AAGTTCAAGGTCTCTTGGGAAGTACGTGGTTCCCATTTCTGCTTTGGGTGATCAAACATGCAAAACATTGATTCAGCGAAATTTCCTCCTTTCTCCTAATTAGACCTGCGAGCTCGTGATCTCAAGGCTGAACTTGCTGCTGATAAAGCAAAAGCTGAAGCTGAAGTTGCTGCTAATAAAGCAAAAGCTGAAGCTGAAGTTGCTGCTAATAAAGCAGAAGCAGAAGCCAAAAAGGCCGCCAAGAATCAAAGTAATTCTGAATCCAGTGTTTGTCAATAGTCGTTTGTCTTGATCGTGTCGACCGATGGACTTACGGGTACTCAACGATGGTTTAGAAAACAACAAATTGACTCGTCGTGGTCTTGCTGATCTCTTACAAAATGAACTAGCTGAAGTGCAGGGTAAAATTGCCGCTGAAGAGGCTGAAGTCCAAGGTCTCTTCGGAAGTAAGTGACACATCTCCTTTGTCTTTCACTTTCACGTTGGCCGACAAGATATCAAAATCTTCGTGTGCTAAACCCATTTGCTCTGCTTTTTAACTAGGCTTACGAGCTCGTGGCTCGAGTGCTGAAATTGTAGCTAACAGCAAACGTGATTTCGAAGGTGAGTCTTATAAGACTCTGTTCAATCTTCTCCAGAATTGTACTCTTTCAACTTTGAGTAACTGACTGAGTGAAATTCCCTAGACGAAGACAACACGATGGAACAAGAAGGCTACAAGTTGCTTTTGGCCCGTGACATTTCTGCCAATCAAGGCACAATGAGCATTGGTCCATCCTCTGGTACCACTCAAGTTTTAATCGTCACCACTTTTGCTGGATTGGCTGCTGCTCTCGTTGTTGCTCTAATCGCTGTCATCATGTTTGGCAAGAAACGTAACAGCAAGACCGTTAGTGATGTTTAATATGATTGTCCTTTGTGCTTTCTTCACTGATGTGTTGGCTGGCTCAACGTTTGATCTCATACTTTTCCAATGCTGGTATCTCCAAGATTTTTATTATGAACCCACCCCAAAATCTATAACCTATCCCTTTCTGTGTGGGTAATAAATCAATTTCAACTTAAACTGGATTCAATTTTGTTTCCTGGCCGATTTCGAACACGCCCTGCGAAACTGAAAAAACCCCCAGAACTTTCAACATGGCCCGAAAGCGTTTAGAACGCACTTGGAACAATTCAATCTCAGCCATCTTGTCAAGTCAAGCAAGTTTCCAAAGGTCTTTCGTTGATTGGGTTTCTCGGAGACAGCAAAGTAGCCCGAAATACATGTCAATCCATTTGCCATTTGCCCAAGTTGACTTGCGTGTCGATGACTTCTCGCCAACATGTCCCCGCAATTTTATAAATTTGAGATTCTGCCTGAATACGTGGCCCTGTCGCCTATGCCTCCACCTTTGAGTCACCTCTTAAAAATGTTACCTTTTGAGATGACGCACATCGCACCCGACAGGAACCACAGTAGTAAATCAAAGAACTGACAACAATAATGGATGTCGAACCTAAACTTATTGCTCGTGAACTTGGTGATGACACCCAGACCGACATTGACACGAACTTTGCTCAGGCTAAAACGAGACGAGCACAACAAGAGCCTAGAATTGGAATTATGGCCGAAACTGACAAGAACATTCCTGAAACCAAAGCTAAACGGGATCAGCAAGCGGCTGAAGTTAAAGATCTTATAGCAAGTAGGTTGATTTGTTCAACCTCTGCGTTCAACTAACCTACCATCATCACAACAGCTACCGTAGCATCTGCAACTGCAGGATTTCTTTCAATGTCTGATAATACAAGCACTGCTGCAGAGCCAATGGCAATAATAGTTGGATCTCTGCTTGTCTTTGGTCTCTCTATGGCCGCTTTTGGATTGGTGTTAGTGTTTTTGAAAAAGAAACAGTTAAAGTTACCTTCTAGCAAGCGCTCCAGCAGTGGTGACGCAGGATGAGTGGCTTTATAGATGAACTCGCTGGCGAGTGATGAAAATTTGTTTTTGAAATTGACACGGGTGTGCCGCCTTTCAAGGAGTATGGTCTTTCATCAGCAAGAACCGAAATATACCTTTTATTGTACATCAGTGTTCGTCTCTTATTTTGGATTCGAGCAAGGTTTTCCCTCAGGATTCCACAAGAAATAACTCAGTTCTACCTAAAGCTACAACTTTTGATCGGGGCCCTCTTGTTTGCCAAACAACACCCACAAGGCCAAACCACCGCGAGAGAAGAGCTACAATAAATCAGAGTTACCATTGAGACTGTCTGTCCGTCTTCTTTGAGAGAGGTACGCAGATATCGCTAAACAACAGACAACAATAATTTGAAATCCACGAAGGTCGAACGCACTACTTTAATGGTAGACAGCGAACGTAAGTAATATTGCATCGAGAAAGTGGATTGCCGTGATAGAGAGAACTACGGTTGATATATGCTCACCTTCAACCTCCCTTCCATTCTCAAAACTAACCAAACTCGTCTGTCGTTGTAGCTCCATCATAAAGGGAATCATAGTAGCAATGCACTTGCATAAACGAAACGAGACCGTTGCCACTCCTTCCAGCGATGGACACACTACAAGTCATCACGTAACACCCACCAAGATTGCTGAAATGGTGTCTCTCCCAATAACAAGTCCTGCACACAAGGCACTAGCTGCACCAAAAACAACAGTCAAACCAGTAGTAGCCAAGGCTCCTCCAGTTGCTGAGAGCCCTCCACCTGTATTTCCATCCCCAGCTGATAGGAAGGTGATGCAAAGTCCAGCTAATCGAGCTGCAGCGGTAAGTGAAAGGGGACAGATTCAATGTTGAACAGTATCGATTCAATAGTATTCAGGGAGCCCCAATACTCCAATCAAATTCTGATGCACTTGTTATCCAAAATAGGCAATGCCTGAAAACACAACTGCTCCACCAGCTGGACATATGATGATTGAACCAACTCTCATGGCAGCTTCCAATACTGGCCAAGGAGGCTTGCCACCTGGAGTTATTGCCTCGATTGTATTTGGGGCTTTGGCTGTTTTCATCGTGGGTAAGTGTCTCAGTGCAATTCTAAGCCTCTGATATTTTCCTAACGACGCCTTTCGGTACACCACAGCCATCATAGCAGGCATCTTCGCATATCGAAAATGGAAAAACAAAGATCCAGTTCTAGCACATCAAATCTTCCAGCATCCAACTGGTCTTGGACAGCCCAAACCATCATCGTTTGCAGTCCAATATCAAAACCGAATTCGACCATTCAAGTCTCAGAGTCCATCATATGAGGCTTCGGAATATCAGTCTCCGGTCCATCAGTCTCCGGGATATCAGTCAAGCGCGTCGGCTCCGAATATGGTATATCAGTTGCCGTCTTTGACGCAGTTCCGGGATCCGGTCGGGCCAGCTGATAGGGCAACGAAGGTTTTGGATAGTCCGGTAAGGTCGTCCACGACCTATACAGATTTGTGGTAGTTTCATAAGTGATGTAGTACGGCTGTGTGATTTGGATCAATTTGGAAGGCGTTTGTTATAAAAATTCTTCAATCACGAAACGAAGCGTGCAAAACGGCAATTGCGCCAGAGTTGACTATTGGGTTCCGTGTAGTAAAAGAAAAATGTCTACTTTGCGTTAAATTTGCCTGTGCAGCGTTTGCCGGGGTCCTCTCTGTTTGCAAAACGACCACCACGAAGCGCGGGGGAACGAAGTATACTGACGCGCAGAGAGTGACTATTGAGCCTATATGCCTATCTTTCGTTGAGGGAGGCACTCATATACCTCTAAAAAAGCAAGAGCGGGCAACTTGAACTAGTAACGGTCAAACACACTTCTTGCATGGTATACAGCAAATAATGGTGGAAGACAACAACTTGAATAAGAAGAAACAAACCGTTGCTTTAGCAGCCAAGAAAAAGTTGCCGGAAAGGTGTCGACCGTCAACAAGTGCAGCGCCCAAGGTGGCCTCTCCGACGCCAGGTACAGCATCCAAGGTGCCTTAACCGACTAGAAAGGCAGCATCAGTTGCGCCTTCTCCAACAACGAAGGCAGCATCCAAATTGCCTTCTCCGACAACAAATGCAGCAACCAAGGCGTTGGCATCATCTCCCCCAAACACAACCACAAAGCCAGTAGATATAGTAGCCCAGGCTCTTCCAGTCCGTGCGACTCCGGCACTTATGATTCCATCGCCAGCAGATGGGAAGATGATGCCCAGTTCACCAAATCGAGCAGCCGCGGTAAGATGACGAGCGGATTCGAGGTTATGAGGGTCGGTCAATTCACTAGGACTCAGCAATACCATTACGGCAATCGCATTCTGATCTCCTGCTGATGCACTTCTATTCCAATATTAGGCAATGCCATAAACCACTGCAGCTGCCGCTCCACTGGGCCATGGCGTAGGCAAACCTGCTTTGACCGCAGGTTCCAGTGGTGGAGAAGGAGGTATGTCAACTGGAGTGGTTGCCTCGATGGTAATTAAGGCCTTGGCTAAATTCATTGCAGCAAGTCTTGTCAAATTTCTCGTGCTTCTTGTGATCTTTTAAAAACCAAACGTACGTTTTTGACACACACAGCCATCATAGCGGGATTCTCAGCCTACCGAAAATGGAATAACAAGGATCCAGGACTGGCACATCAAATCTTCAAACACCCAACTGGTGTCGGACAACCGAAACCGTCGATGTTGGCTGTAGGATATCAAAACCATATACGACCTTCGAAGCCACAAACTCCAGCGTATGAGTCTCCGATATATCAGTCTCCAGATTCAGGCTACCAGTCAAAGACGACTGTTGCGTCGAATATGTTATATCAGTTACCATGATGATTTGTGGTAGTTTATAACTTTTAACTGTGTGAATCAAAGCTCAACCAAAAAATGCAAACGAATATACTGTACCAATAAGCATCAAATGCGAAATGAATCAGAAATCACTTACAATGTAGCGCGATTTGAATGAAAAGTACATGCGCCAGTCTATGTCCATGGCAGTCTGAATCTCAACAAAATCACGCATTTCCAATATGTATGCGGTGCAAATAGGAAAGCTGGACGAGGCAACTCTAGCTCTAAAGCAAAGGGAATCTACTGTAAGTCTCACTAGTTTCCTTTTGCCAACCATCCATTCTTACACCCTTTTGTAGAAACGAGAGTTGGTAAATCTGATTGACAATCGCATTCCTGTCGTGTTGGAGGAGATTGGACGATTACTTCGAGTAAATTAAATTTATCAACATGGCATTTCCGAGCTGAAAGCAGAGTTGCTCATGCTTTAATCGTCTTAGGAAGCGCTCATCATTTTATCAGGATCTGCTGATGTTGGTAAGTTTACGCTGAAAGTCTTGGTCTAGGTTCAATTAATAATTGCTCATTTGAATGATTGTGAGCTTAGGATCTAGTCCAAAGAGCACGTCAGCTGCTACGTTGGTTATAACTTCACCAAAGTAAGAACACAGTTCATAAATCTTTGAAGCTCGTGCCATGACTCTCAACCTATTTCTCAGTAACGACGCTGTAAAAGGATTTCTCACTGTGAATGGAACCAGTATCGTCAAAGGAGTAAGCTCAACCCCTCGAAACCTTGAATGCTCAGGATGTTTGGACTTAGAATCTTTTAATCGAACTTAGGATTTGACAATCAAATTCAACCATTACAATCGTGGTAGCCCTTACAAGGTCACTGTAAACAACTCAAAACCACATTCGCTGCTTCAGGTTGGCGTTTCATCGCAAAGTTGCTGATACCACGTGTCTCTAACGTCACAGCTTACAGCTACATCTAGCTCGAAATGGAGTAGTGGCTGCTACAGGCATTGTAGAAGATTCTTTCTTTGCTGGTTTTGATCGAATATCCTTGATGCAGGTACAAGTCAACGAACATCGAAACGTCGCATTTGCACACATAATAACAGCCTGCTACCCTAGATGTTCAAACGAATCAGCAACCAAATCGGCCAATCGATCCAAATCCTAAAAGCAGCACCAGAGGACACACTATTCCCAGCTCGAGACTGTGATGCAAAGATGTTTGCACCAGACTTGCCGGAAGATTTGATTGTGGAATTCCATGTGGCAGAAACATCAGTGGTTTGCAGCATATTTGCTATACAGTTTCATCGTGATGCTTTGCCGATACAGATTCAGCAGTTGCAGCACAAGTTCTTGACGAGGTTTAGAGGGTCTTTGAAGACAAGGTTAGTTTATTGCAATATATTTTGGGGTGCCTTTTTTGCTAACGCACGAATCTTAGTATGTATAAAGGTCGTCATGTAGAAATCCTGGACGAACTAGCAGTCGAAAGTGTCAGTCCTCAACTGACACGATTGGAAGCAATCCTGGCACGAATCCAAACAATCTGCCAAAGTACACACCACAAACTCGCATGTGTGAGCGAGATCTAAAACCATAGGCTGTATAATACTGGTGCAACTGTGATTTATATATAAAATAAAAAGTCATGGTATCATAATGGGTATTCACATGTTTTCCATCCAGCAGAATCACATATACAATTGTGTGGGTTGAGGATGCAATAATATCCATCTAATTCATACATCATATATCCAGCAACATCGACATAGTACACTTTTTTTTGTTTCGAATTGAGGCCGGCCAATCTCATGAGTTCATATGTATATTCCTGGCTTTACTCACTGCCCGTTCACACACCAACTTCCAAGGTACTACTTGAGTCGTCCACCAGTCTTCACTAGTGTCTATCAACGGTTCCCATACATCACATACCGCCAATCCAAACTGGCCAGCGTAGAGAGATTTCTCGCTCAATAGAGCAAGACCTCGAATCAAGATAGATGAGCCCGCCATAGACTCTTCTGGCGTTACAGAGTATAGCTCGGCGAGTGCCAGGGCGCCTTGAAAGCCAGTCCAGACAAATCCAAAGGCACTGCAAGTAGAAGGATGTATAAGACTTCTCGTATAGGTATATGACAAGTCCTTGCGGTAACTCCACTTACCCTGACAATAGATTCGTCGTAATAATGTGCACCATTCCCTGGACCAGTGCAGTGGTTGACCGCCTAATGACCTGGAAGGCAATCTCTCTGTCCCAGCCACCGTTCTGGACAGCACTTTCATCTTCCGATATGAGCCATAACAATCTAACGAGTCGTTGCATATCAGTCTAGACAAAGTTCCAACTTTATCAAACACAACTCACTGAGCTCGATACAACAACAACCTCCCAGTATGATAGCACTGGTGAATCATCAGCCTGAGCGTACGTTCAGAGTTTGGAACCTCCGTTAGCACCTCGAAACAATTACTAATAGTTTCCGGGAGAGCCTGATAAAACGCGTTCAACTTCTCATCCAATGTGTCGAAATCCCCCTTTGTGAACTTCCGTTGCGTCATGCTGTATTCTGGTATTTTGAGTGACTGCTCAAGACACAATTCCATGATGGGATCAATAACAATCAAGATATTTGCAAAGTAGGAAGAAGCGTCTTTGCCAAGATCATAGTCTCGAGTCACAGTCGGGGGGCCAATCGGAGCATTCTCATCATCTACATTAGCACCGATATATAGTGGTTGTGGGGCTGGAAATCTACATGATATGTACGACACTTTGATCATGGGTGTTTGGTCGAAGAGGAAGCTTAGCATTCTGTCATATGATAAGATAGTGTAAAATAAGCGTCTGTGGTGTTCACGATCTACCCAGGTTTGCGGACGAGTTGAGAGTGATTCGATCATTGATATCATTGGTTCGTCGGATCTCTCTACGGGCGGTCTTGGCAGCTCGTCGGGATCCATATTCAACTAGAAAGGAAGCGAAAGTGCGTTAGATTAAAGGGATTGGACGTCTGAGAAGCGTGACTTACCCCCAGTAACAGCGCCGATCGTGCTGCCAAAGATACGAAACTCCATGCAGATGGTATCTGCTCTCGTACTAGGCATGATGGTGGGTGACGAGTTTGTATTAGTACGAGTATGAATAGTATGGTGCGGTATTGTCACATCAGTAGTAGTTTCGGCACAGAAACAAAAAACATGACCAAAGTGCGACATGTTGGCCGACACGTCAAGAAACGCAAAACGAATTTTCAACACTTGCAACGGATTCACTTACGTGCATAGTACCGGCCCAACAACAGATAAGCATGTGGAGCAGCTATATCCGGGTACTGATCCAGCGTACTCGTCAGCGCATTCCTCGCACTTCGTATGAACTTGTCAGCTAGCTCCCAGAACGGATCTTCATTACGAGACGGCGGTTGCCGCTGTATGAGCCTCTCGAATGACGGTCGTAGACGATGGTCTCGGCATGTCAACGCTCCAAAGGCGCAGAAAATGTCCAATAGGTACAATGGCATAATTCCTCGCTCCCATTGCTTGTAGGTGCGAGATGGGTGATACGTCCATAGGTAGTACGGGCTATTGCTGCAGGCATCGAGCAAGATCCGTACATGTTCTGGTGAAATAAAGATTTTGTTAGACGGTCGGAAGTGCTGAGTTTTACCATAAAAAGATCGATCAAACCTTTGGGAATAGAGGCAGCCAGACTTGGAGATATTGGTGGCCCTGGCCGTGGTGTTGAGAAGGTGAGTGGTTGAGGGTTTAAATATGGAGCGGCATGTTGCTGGATATTCCGATGTTGTGGTAATAATATCCCAGCTCCAGGAGCAACGAGTCTAAATATAGGTGAGAAGCAAGAGGTTAGCGGCGAGAGAATACTGGATACCAGATCAGATTTCAAATGATGGCGTAAAAAATTTGATCTTGGGCTTTTAAGCTTTTACGCCGCAATAAAATTTGTGACAAAAACTTTTGGTTACTCACATGGAAGTTGGCAGGGGGGCTTCTGATGTGTCGACCAAGATATTTCTCTGCAATATCACACATGAAAATCGTTAGAGAATTACGAGTGACTTTGTCTGATTAGGTTTCCTCACTTGTTCCGTTTCTGGAGAGCAACGACAGAACCGGGCGTCCAAACCCTTACATTTGGCGCACCGCAAGGTAATGAACTTGCGCCTGTGCTTCCTCAGAAGCCGTAGAAGTCTGTCAGATTCATCTGTATGTGCCATCCGTCTCTGCAGCTCGACAGATGTCATTCTACGAGAGGCTGATCGAGAAGGCTTTGGAAGCAATCAAGGGGACTGGAATTTAAATGGCTTTTTACAACACACCGGGGCCCTTACAAATATTAGAGGCGTCTCGATCATTTCCCACCGGCCAAATAGTGGATCTTGGAATGAATGAGCATGTTTTATTTTTTCAGCGTCAGGTCCTGGAATGCAGATGATTTATGATTTTATGCGAATAATTACTCCCACATTCTGTCACTGCCCTCGTCTATAACTTTACTCCGTTTTGTACATTCCTCACCTGCGTCCATCTCCACACGCCTTCTCTATATATCCATATATCCTACTGAGACTTTCTAGCTCTATGTGCAGCCTCTTCACACTCTATCCGCCACCCTTCTATTTGATTCCTTACTTGCGGTTCAAACACTGAAAGCTTCGGCTTCCATGCGTCATAGATCGTCAACCCAACCATACCAGAGTACAGCGCATGCTTGCTCATAGCAGCCAAACCTTCCAAAATAATCAGAAAAGCTTCGGCAGCTCTCTGAGGAAACAGATGATACGTTTCTCTTAATGCCATACTAATATTGGAAGGATTTGGAAGTGAGATCATCGGTTGTGAGTTGCTTGGAGCAAAAGCAAACCATACCAGCAATGCATCGCAGGAAACACCAATGCAAACGAAATCACCATTCGTCTACGAGTCAGCATCTGTCTTGCCAGTCCCATGCCTTGCACCACTGCCTGACACGAATCCATCATTATTTTAAATGACGTCGAGAGAGTCACATTTGCAAGTTTCGACATTGTTGCCAGCAAACTATGAAGTTCAAAGCCAGTTAGCCCACTTGATGAACTGCAACAACACTCAAAGTACTCACCAAGTGCGGTGCAAAAGTAAACGACAAGTATGAAAAATCTGATGAATCATAACCGAGGCGACTCTCTCCCTCTCTTCATTCGGATGCGTCACAGAAAGCGGCGTCCTCAACGTATCAGGCAACGTCTGAAAATACTCGTTTAAGAGGCCATCAATCTCTTCCCTCTCAAGCAACAGTTCATGTCGTCTGGACGGCCCCGATGGCAAATCGAGACGTTTGGCCACCTCGATTCTAGTATCTCCGTTATCAAACACGATTCGCATTACACGATCCAAGATTGACATGATTACGAGGAGATGCCCATACACGTCTTTACCGAGATCGGGATCCCGACGAGTATCGTTTCGAGACGCGAATGCAGTGGAGTCTATATTTCTATCTGGAGAGTCGTAGACTCTCATTTGGCAAGGAAATCGACACGTGATGGTGTTGTTTGAGATCGACGGCCGTACTCCAATCATGAAGGAAAACACTGTGTCAAAAGATTCTTGTTAGGAGACATATCGTACTTGCAATATTCTAGCTTCACAGCTTTTGATGCACAGCTTGCCTCTATCGTGGTACCACACACTCCAAAAGAGCCTCCTATAGTATTCCCTCTCTATCCAAGTTTTCGGTCGAGTAATTCTGATGGATTCAGCAGACGGTGGATCCGTTTCTGCCGGCAGCTCGTCCGGATCAAGATGGAGCGCAAGCTTGGTGATTGCACGCGATGCTAATGACCCGTACATGAACGCCACTGGTGCGTTTTCTCGACCTAAACACAAATTTTCAGCAAGGATCAAACACTATATGGCGAACAAAACTATGAAAGTGTTGCCAGCAAAGCACTCCTGCTTACGTGAATAGTATCTGGCCAATAAGAGATACGTTTTGGCAGAATGAATAGTCGGATAATTCTGAAAATTCTCCCATATCCCTCGACGAGCACTCATCATGAATCGATCAGCCATCTCATAACATGGGAAATCTTCACTGACATTTGTCAAGCAGTCCATATTTATATCTGGAAAGAGCTTTGCGAGTAGTTCACTGCGACAAAACATTGCTCCAAACCCCATCACTGAGAAAAAGTAAAGAAATTTGTGAGTACAGTCAAGCTGCTTCTTAAATGCATACTCAGAATGCGTCATCGTGTTTGGATCTTGGTTCGACTTACTAATGTCGAGAAGATAATCAGGCAGTGATCCCTGATCCATTAGCTTTTGAAAGAAACGAGCATTGAACGTATATGGCAATGCATTTGCCTTTTGCTGAAAGTACATGCTGAGCAACTCTAAGAGAAATAGTCATCATGAGTAAGCTTTTCTACTTTGAAAATTTTAACAAGATTATCACACCACGTGTCAGAAAAAACTGACCAGATATTAACGATTGGGGAAGCCTAGACACCATGCTATTGTTCTTTTGCGAGATCGGAGACATCGGTCTTGTTTGGCGAATCAACTGCTTCCTCCTGTCAAGCAAAAAACGTGCACGTGCTTCAGAGTGGACAATTTTTCCTTCCAATGTGGAGATGAGCAGTGCTCTGGCACCATCTTGTCGTAATGGAACCTGTTTCGTATTACTATATACACATTTTTTCTATGTCAAATGTGATAAAAGTCAGTTTGATGCAGCTTTTGACATTAATTTGATCTGCGGCCAACAAGTACGACAAATTTTCAACATACCTGTTTTTGTATACATTGGGAGCAGCTAGGCCGCTCTCCTGAGCAAAGGATTCTACGACGTTTACATTCAGCACAATTCGACCACTGTTCAACAGCAATAGGGGTGATCGGATTTGCTAGCAATTCGTGGAGGCGCTGTTCTTGCTCTTTGGTCATCAACTGGGTATAGGTAGGTCAACGTTCGATGAAAGAACAAGCATGAGATCGCTTGCGACGATGATTTAGCGGTTATTTTTGGCAAAGCGAATAACTTCAAAAAAAAAAAGCCACTGACGTCGTTTATCGGATCAGAGTCGGATGCAAGGGATTCGCAAAAACTAGCTAAATAGAACAATCGCTCGGAACTGGAGATGAGGGAAAAAAAAGAAATTGAGGCAATTTAAGATGTTCAAATGTGGTGCCAAACTACTCTCATCTATATTATTATGAGGAGGCGACAATTACTAGTACTACTTATAGACATGTGTGTATACTACTACTACTATAAAAATTCAAGAAGATCTATATGACAATATGTATCAAGTTTTTTTTTTGTGTGGTTGTAGCAGGGGTGGACCAAGTTTTACAACGATTCAGAGATCCGGAAGCAGCTGGACAAGCAGTCAATCAGAGATGCGAGTCCAAGTTCTGTCTCGGTTGCTGGCATTCTATTATGGTGGCTTCAGAAGTCCTCTGCACAAGTGACTTGATCATGTATACCGGTATATCAACGGCTTTAGTGCGTTTTCTAGGTATTCTAGCTGGATTACTGGATGGTACGGCTTGTTGCAGTGGCCATGGTGCAGCAGAGTTGGATTGAATGTTGTTCATGTTGGCAAGCTACGATTCGAAAAAGAAAAAAGTAGTTAGATTCACCGCCAACAAGTGTAAAACGACCGGTTCTCGATTGCGTTAGCTTGAAGGTTACCTTGTAGAGAGTGTGTGGTGTAGGGACGTTACTGCGTAAGTCGATTTCAGTCTGATTCGATGTAGATGCTCAAGCTGTCTCTGTTAATTTGGAAGGAGATTGGAAAAACCAAAGAGTCAAGTGATGGTTTGGCTTGCCCGAGCGTCGTTTGTTTGCTGCAAAAACGAAAAGCGTCAAGGGGCAAGGAAGGAAGGTACAGAGGAGTGCTGACCCCCCTCCCATTCCTACATGTATAAAAACTCGCCAATTGCAGTCATGTTGAAGGTTTCCGCTCACCGCATTCGACTTTCTACAGTTGGAAACCCTCACCAATGAGCTAGACACCTCCACGAGTTATGCCACCTTGTCTCCCTTGTTTCTCCATACATCGTCGCGTCGTTGTGCTTGGGAATGCACGAGCAAGGTAAGATACACTCGAGCAAACGTTTGTACAGACCATTGTTGCTAGCGACTGTGCACTGTCCATGTTTGAATCCATTAGTCTGGATTAAGTCTGTGAAGACCGTGCGATCGGATACCATTCCTTTGGCGTCTCATATCAGATATAGGTTCTTGGTGGTTGTTGGACCTGATCTGCCCAGCAAGTAGGCTCCAAATCGCAGGATACCTTTCGATAAGGCTACTTTTGCTTCTGGTCAAAAGGTGCCCATCATTTCACGATCCCCTCAAGACAGATCAGCAACTTTCATGCAAGGAACCACAGACCACAAACTAAATCATGCAAGGTTGCTCACCAACAGAGTTCCTCCGCCTTGCATGATTCATACGATGGAGGGACAATTCGACAAACCGAAGCAAGTTAAACGAGTCGATCTGGTCAAGATGCTACAACCGTCAGCCAACACAGTTTCACCGACGACTTTTATGGTTTCCATATATTTCAGACAGTCTGGCCTCACAGCCGGTTTGACTTGCGCTGAGGCACAAATTCGGTTCATCACCACAGATTCTTTGAAACTTTATGCCTTCATGCATTGTAAATTAATTATTTATTTTGAAGACCCAACTCTTGAGTATCCAGCTCCGTCTACTATGTACCTGACCATGACTCGTGGCTGTTCACAGTCAGTTCGATTCGGCTACCACAAATCGCAGCCGATGTGATAACCGCTCACAGATGCTTTTGACCGAGACGGAATATCATGCATTGTATTTATTTATATTATGCCTTGAATCGCAGGCTTTCGTATTTGCATCTACCGAAATCTGGTGGCCTTCAATCTGCGTCCGTTGAATCGTTAGCTCCGATTTCTCAACAGCCCTTGACCCTTTGAAATCGACTGAACATTATCCGAGTCCGTTGACCATACATTCAACAATCCCTCATAACTTGAATTGGGATTTGGGAGAAAACCTATTGGGATTGGTATCTTTTCGGCAAGTTTCTGTAAACAGCAGTCATCCTCGACGTGTCCATTGTTTTTAATATCGAATATAATTGTTGAATGAACAGATTTGGATTTATAATTTGGTGCAGCAATTGGTTGGTGTTTGGCACTAGTTGTCATTCGCGTAGGCGAGTGAGGTTTGGATTTTCTGACGTGTTTTAGAGTAAAGCCCGACTGGTTTTATTCCGATGGTCTAAAGGTGCTTGAACATGCGATAAGTCCAGGTTTCATGGAGGCGTTCTTCGTTCATCAATTGGCTTCACTTTTTTTTCAACACCTTTAAAGACGCTGAACAGAACCCCACCAAAGGCTCAATGTCAGACGACGATGACCTGCAACTCTCCTCTCATGCAATGGCCGCTCTAGCTCAATTCATGAAAGACAAGGAGGCTGAAGAAGAAAAGCTCAAGAAGATTCACATCATTCAAGCAGCGAAAGAGGTAATTGCAAACTAATTATGGCACCCTTTCAATTGGATACTAAGGTTTCCAAGTAAATAATTATTAATACTCTGTCCTATTAGGTTATTGAACCGCTTACTATGGCAGATTTTGGAGAAGATTGGCAGTTGTCACAATTTTGGTATTCAAAGGAGACTGCAACAGCCATGGTCAATGAGGCGATCAAACAGTCTATTTCTCAAGATGGGTCTTATATCGCGTGCTTGTGCACTCCCACTATATTCGTCACTGCTCAGGTGTGAAAAAAAAATCCCCGTCACCACTATTGGTTCACTAAGATTATCTAACCATACTTTGATCACTTTCTTAAGACCATGGACCAAGTCGACACATCCAAATTTATCGTCCTGGAATACGACGACAGGTTTTCCGTGTATGGATCGAAGTTTGTCAAATACGACTATGACAAACCCCTGGTTCTTCCGGCTCACCTACAAGGCTCTTGCTCGTTTATTATTCTGGCAAGTCTCTGGACCCCCTACCATATACCGACATTGAGCTGTTTGACCAATATCTCTTGGTTTATCTAGGATCCACCCTTCCTGTCTCAAGAGTGCTTTGAAAAAATCCAAGCTACTGTTGAATGGCTCAGTGCGACAGGCTGCAAGGTGGTTGCGCTGACAGGACAGATAATGGCTCCCTTCATCACATCGAAGATGGGGTTGAAGGAAACTAGTTTTGAGGTCAACCATGCCAAGCTTTTAGCCAATCCGTTTCTGTGCTATACGAACTATGAGTCAGAGACAATCAAGTATGCGTAATTATTATAGAGAACTGTGACTTTTTAGAGAAACGTTTTATAGATTATAGAGAGAGTAGTTTTAGACAGGCAGCAAGCAGCGAGTTTCTTTTATAATATATGTACACCCACCACTATTACAAAGGTTTTGTCGTTGTCTATCTTTAAATCCTAGGCCCCTTCGGATTCCTGAAGAAGTTCCTCACAACATACACCTGCAATACAGCCATCAGCATAATCATCCCACCCTGTATCAGCGCAAACCAGAAAATCCTCCCCTCAGTACTCTTGACCGTATCAAAATTCCTATTCTCTCTCGTCCTAAAAAACTTTTGTTGTCTCTGTACAGCATACAATGAATCCCCAATCTTTCTTAACGATTCATCCATGGATGTTTCCTTGTCTACATTCGGTTTGGGTGGTTTTAGGGCTCCACCTTCATTCAGTTCGTGTTCTACAGATATATCAAAGTCCACCAACTTTTCGGCGAATGTAGACATTGTGTTTGAGAAGCAAAAGGTGTATTCACCGACTTTGCTCGCTGCGAATACATAGTCGCCTTGTCTTTCACGGTCGCCGTTTAGGACGGGCAGGTTTTGGGGATCGAGGATTTCATAGTCAATGTCGAATGAGCCGCCTGATTGGACCTAGGGAAGGGAGGACGGTGTCAGTGTTTAGGGGTGATAGCATTCAAGTTGTGTTTCTCGGAAGAGACAAAAGAGCAAAGGCACAGTGCAAATATAATCAAAATATGCATTCAAATTGTGGATTTTCCCGTCAAGTTCTCAACACGCTCAATCCATAACTTGACAACGTCAATCCATCGTACAATTCCACCTTTTTAATGACCAACAAAAACATCACAATCCAATTCCAACATGGATGCCACTTACAGCAAAATAGAACGCAATCTTTTCTCCAATAGCCTTTGCAGCTCCATAAAAGCAAGCTCGTTCGTGTGGTTGCATCCTATATGTTAAAGTCGTTGCTGTAGTCCGCGACACATACAAGCTTATTACGACCAGACTCAGTAGAAGCGACTTTATAGAGTGATTGTGGCCGACTGCCATGGCTTCTCTATCTATTTATCCTGGTGAGGTTTGGTATGTTTCCTGTTTTGAGAGGTTTGGATGTCAAAAGAGTGGGAGGGTTTGAGAGGTTTTGAACGGTCGAACAAGAGGCAAATTAGCAGCTATTTGACGCGTTACATGAAAATATTAAATATATTACTAAAGTTTACAAATAGTCGACGTAAACTCAGTTCTCAGCCCGATTGCAAAGTCTTCCGTCGCTGCAAATCTACTTGGAAGAAGAAATGCTTCGTAAGTCCTTTATAAATATGGCATATTTGAATGAAACGTATGTTACAATGAAAGACCCTTTCGAGATGCAAAAAATGCGAAATGTGAATACAGAAATAATTTACGCAGAGCTTGTTTCTGCTGCTGACAATATAACAGCCTTCATTTCAATCCAAGCTCTCAAGATGTTATCTACTGAGTCTCCTCGCGGCATCCATAATTTCACGAGCCTACAGTTGTATTGCTGTTAGTATGCAGTCATCGTAGCGTCATTGGCAAAGGACAGTTAGACCAAACGAAACATGGCTGCCTTAAAAAAGCATCTATCACCATCACCTCAAAGCCCATTCAGGTCCATCCGGCTGTCCTTCAACACCACCAACTCCCAGCCCTTCGTTCCCAGCTATCGAGGAATCTCCACCATCAACTCTAACATCCTGCAAGTACTTGGCAACAAAGTCGCGCATATGGTTTTTCGAGTAAAAGTAGTGCTCCATAGTAAGAGTCAGTTGCATGTATCTAGCTGTATGCAAGACGGGTACTGGCAAACCGTCTCCATCAGAATGGAAAAAGTCTCTAAAGATCTATACAAAACGATGAGAAAAAAGGCAACAAATATCTCGTTTAATTTCCTTTGTAAGAAACTTTCTCACTCACTTCAACAGCCTGTCTCATCCATGCTACACGAGCTTCATCCCACGGTTTCTTGTCTTTACCATCTTCTCCTAACGGAGGCACCAACAACCCCTCACAAACTCTCACAAATCGATCCCAAATACGTCGAATCACCTTATTTCCCAAATCATCATACATGCTAGAGCTCATGACTCGTAAATTGGAGTTCAGAAACCCCAACACCGGAGCTAAATCCATCTCAACCTCTTCTTCGTCCATATTGGTAACAGATGACGAATCACTCACACTAGGTGGCGTCTTGGCTCCACTTCCTCCATTCATAGAGCCCAAAAACCCTGAACTGTTGACCATCTTTAGTTTGGTAGGCACCCACGCCTTGAATGCATCCGCAAGTACTTTGCGTTTATGTCGTTTACAACAATCCTTGATTCGTGGTCGTAGATCGTGACATAGCGTCTTTACGAAATCATCTATAGCTGCGTTTTCGGCTTTGGCACAAACCCATTTGGCACGTTCCAGTGCAAACTCGACTGCATCAGTTTGTCCTACTTCTACTTTTAGTTGGACTCGACCAAATGGTGAAAGGAGGACCGTTTGATCACCTCCTGTATCTGGGAAATCAAGAACTGATCGGCTCATTATATATTCTTGACCTTCTGGAAGGCAATGTATCAAGCAGATCTCCAGTGCCCCACGACCTGATACTAGATGTAGTGATTCATGCCATACTGGTCGTACACGTTGTAGAATACGACGGGTACGAGCTAATTCTAGACCATTGGCATAGATAGCTATACACAATTCCGTAGCGAGAGGTCGTACACATGGATGATACTCACCACGTACTACTGTGATTCGTAGAGGTGGTCGTGGTAGTGCGTCTCTATTAGGTTTTCGTGGTGGAAGACTTGGGTTGTTTTGTGCTGCTTCGTCGTCAGGAATGGGTCCTGTTGAAGATTCTGGTAGTCGTTTTACAAGATACTCTAATCGTTCAGGCATGTGATGTAAATCGTTCAGCTTAACACAAGCCTACGTTAGCAATTGTGTGAGCTTACAAGAAAGAAAAAAAGCTGGGCCAAGGGTTACAACGCTCACCGTACTGAGTACTCTAACATCATCCTCTCCAAGCTGCACCTTCTTACTCAGAATCTTGGGCATCTTGAAGTTAATTTTCATTCCAATGGTTGCTGGTGGCTCGCTCTTTATAGGTAGTGGTTCCTTGGATGCCGTCTTGACAATCTCGGCAATTTCAAAGTCGCCAATAATTCTTCGCCTGAGAATGTTACTGTATCGTTCAATTGCTTCTGTGAAGATCTGGAGAGATTGCATGAGAAAACGACTTTATCCCGCGACATAAAAAACCCAAACATAATGCCCAGTAATACCTCAACGAGACGAGACACAAACACTCTCTCTGTACGAACATCCGGCCATCCAATTCCAACAAAGAAGTCAACTTGTTGTTGGAAGGATGTAAACAAATCAATGACGGATGTTGAATGTAGAATCCCTTCTTCTGGTGAAATTGGCAAAAACTACAGAAAAATTCGGTCAGATTGAGACTGTAAATACACGCAGCGGTGTGCTTTATCTGTTGAATACCTTGTCAAAAGCAACAGCATTCTGTGCCCATTCGTGTATCTTGCGTTCTAATAAAACAGTAGTTAACATGACTAGTCCTGTTTTTATCATATTCGTGCTCATACCTGTAACAGCCAACCATGCCCTCACAGCACCAATAAACCAATAGGTGATTCGAAACTTGTCAGCGAGCCTACCCAACCGTAATAGAAAACTTTGTTGAAGAGTCACGATCGCAAAAAAAGTCTTTAGATTGAGCGATTACATACCTATGGTCAATACTCTCATACGCGACCCTCAGTTTAACAACAGCTCGACACAACGCAAAAGCATCATCCAAATCCGGTTCTGGATCAGCGGCATAAGCATCCAATTCCAATGAAAGTCGCTCATAAAAGACAATTGCGGCCATTGTTGGTACATGCATCCGTCTAAAACGAAAAGAAGGATGGTCAACACGGTGGAGAAAAAAATGGTGGAATAGGATGTTATCATTTACTCTAGTAATAACCCATCCAAATTGTCGACGAGTCCCTGCAAATCACCCGTAAGTAAAGTCACCAAGCTATGCAAATCAGCTCCTTGTGCTCCTTTTGCTCCAATCGATTCGGCAGTCGTGTGGAGTTGAATAAACCGTGCCTCCAGAGCATTCTAAACAACAAATGTATGCAAGTCATTCCGGGCATCTTTCTTGGAAAGTTGAATCAGTAGCTTTACATGTATGGTCGTCTTGATGGGCGTTATTAGCTCGGCAACTTGACGTGGTATCAGAGTAGAATTCTTGATATACATGACAAGGATTGTTGTCACCGAATCACCCTGTTCTTTTGTTATTCGATCTGTAAACATGTCTGATAGCCGACCATTGAGAACGAGGTGCAGTCCCCTCAATGTCGTCATGAATGACTCGGTCTAGCGAAAAACAGACATATTGGACTACTGTCACGCGCGTCACAGGCTGGAGAAGACCTTACATCCTTGATTGTAAACGTATCAACCCTCGTTAACGCCATAGCAGGTGAGAAAAAGATTTGATAGTAAGGTAGAGTCTCCATGCGTTTCTCAATGAACAGAGCAGTTGCCAGCTCGAATAATCTAGAAAGTTGATTGTGTCAGCAAAAACAGACAGTATAGAAAGAGTGTTTGCATTTTCAAATCCGCATAGGGTACTTACATGATACAAGAAGACTGTGCAGAAATCCTCCATATAGAGGCAACAATCAGCAGTATTTCCCTTGACTGAACACTCAGAGCGGGCGATGCCTTCCTCAAGTCATGCTGAAGCAACATTTGGGCAAGAGCTGTGTATGCAAGGCGTGGCTCATACGGTATAGTGCAAAACTTTGCCTTTTCAGCCTAGAGAGAACACACAAAGAAAGCAAATGAGAAATGTCCCAGTCACTAGCAAAACAAGGGGACGGTATTCTACGAGAATATACCTGGGCAACTCTATCAACAACAATATGTATGGTTCCAGTAACATGGCTCCGTTTATTCCGTTTACTCAATGGCAGTTTCAGACTGAGGGTAGCACCATTTTTAGTGCCTTCGACAAGTCTCGCGAAGTCCAACTCCATCATCCCCAAGAAGGATTCTTTAGTATTCGGTGATATTGGCCCACGAGCACCTCCTGGCCGATTCCATATCGAAATGAAGAATGGGTCGCTTGATTTTGTCATTGGTCTAAAGCAGCAATAGCAAAAAAGTGAAACGTGGGAAGAGCTTATTTCCGAAAGGAACCCAAAGTCGACAATACCATGTCACATCTACCAAAACACTCACATCGTAACGGTAAAATTCCAAACAGGATCAACACTCTTTTGCACAGCATGCGACACAAACGTCCGATCTTCGGTAAAGATTGCAAGATACGGATTACTAGCCCCATTCTTATCTTTAGCCATGATATCCACAGCTTCCACGACAGTCACAGAAAAAAGCGCACGAGGTTCTGATGTGGCAGTCAGCAACGCAAGCTTAACCATATCAGCTTGCTCTGCGGTCTTCCATGCAGCATATTTAGCAGGCGAATCAAAGTCAGTGGGTTTGATGAATGCTGCATCGCTGCCAAGAAGCACGTTATAAGCTCCCAGTTCCGATTGTACTGTCTAAATCACGTAGAAGTGGGAGTGAGACACAACCCGTTTGGCCTCAATGGCATAACTTTTTACATCAGATCCAAACGTCTCAAGCAGCACAGCCTTCGTATCCTGAAACTCAGCATCGTCCACATCCAAGGCTTCACGAATCACATTTGCTAATTGCAGACGTGAATTTGATGGTGGTGGACACAATGGACGGTCTGGAGGAACCATTGTAGCAGTAGTCGTGATATTTGTTGAAGAGCTACGAGATCTAAGTCCATTTGGGCTTGTTCCTGCCTGGTTTACGGGATAGAGCAGTGAGCGCAACACCTGTTTGTGGTGGATTTGATTAGTCAAGTTTAGTGAAACGGGCTCTTGATTAAATGAATTAAATGGAGTGGTTACATATGACCATAGCGATGGAGAAGATGCCTGCTCATGAGACTCTTCTTCTGACATCTCCCTACTTGGCTTTTTGCAACAAACGGTAAACAATATTGAGAATCGAGGAATCGCAAAGCCAAAAGTCTTGACAGTCTTGACGACGAGGGTGAACGCGTTATAATGTGTATCGAGCGCTTAGATGAGGTTCGTGACGAGCTACGAACGCGTTAGAACCACTGGACAGGTCATTCCGTTACAACGTTTTGACCGAATCCAGACGCTCCACTCCATACTACTGCAACATATACGTCCTTGTTTACAAATTTAACATTTCTACATGGCCTCAAAGCTTTTCATCAGAAGACAAAACACCCAGCACCCAACCAGCAAACCCAGTCGAATTTTCCATAGGAGACAGTATCAGGTTCCTCGACGGCCCACTTTTAAGCAACACGTGTATCTGAGTCGTTCTGGTGGTGGCCTGGCGTATAGCGTCAGTCAACCGTTTCGACTTTTGTAGCAAGACTTCATCCAACACGGGGTTTGGCAGGGTAAAGACAAATTGTAAGGTGGTTGTAGCTTGCAGTATGATTGGATTTGGTTTCGATACGTCAATGATGAAGGAGTCTCGGTCGGGATGTGCCTGTTCAGGGAAGACGGTGTGTGTGAGTTGAGTTTAGCTGTGGATTCTCGACATTGTGTATGACTGGCAGTTGATGGTTCCTTACCTTGTTAAGAAGATCCCTCTGCTCTTCAACCAGCCTAAACGCACTAGCTCCAGCACCACTCACAGTCGCTGCCCTCTTGCGCTGAAGTAACGGCGCAACACTATTGGCAAACCATCCTCCAAACGATTTGCCAGAATTCCCAGTCCCAGTTCTCGATGGCCGAGCAAGCGACTGGAATCTCATGACAACAGATGATCCTCGACTCCGTCGACGCGGGTGATCTCCAGCGTGGAATCGGGGTGAAGGTTCTGAAGCTTGACGTGTTCTTACTCCTGGTGGTTCTGAACCATTGTTCTGTTTCTTCTTTTCGTCTTTTACTGCTGATGGTGAGTCGGGTTGCCTGAGATGCCGTATTGACGTCCAGATGCTGGACTTGTCTCTTAAGCGATGTGATACGTCGATGCTGTTTTAGGCAAAAAGAAAAAAAACCGATGATGAACACCACAGAAACAGTTGTAAGAGAAACACATGCCAACTTACAGTCCACTCAGAATGAAGTCTGATCCTCCTTGTGAATCAAACAGCGGCAAGTGCGTCATTAGACACCATCCTAAGAAGTGATAGAGTGTTAGACACGATTAAACTTCAAAATGTTGGATAGCTTATGCATGTCATCGTCACGTCATCACTCACTAGTCGTATTGGCAGTGTTCATCGGAATGATTTGCCCAGAACAGATACCGTAGAAGAAGGAACATGACAAGAACGAAGCGTCGTATGAAGGAGATATGATTGTTTCCAAATCTGCGTCAAAAAAGGCACTTGATGAGCTCATAAATGAAGCTTCACACAAGAATTTGTGGAAGGCTTACACGGCTGTCCACATATTTCAGCTGGTTTCTATTTTCAACAACAAAGAGAGTCAGCTTTGAGAGACCCTACACCACGGTTTTTAAACTCTTACATAACCAGTCACACAGCTAGCCATATTTGTTACAAACGACACTTTTCTAGACTGAGAATCTACGATATGGAACGACGCGCCATACCATGGTGATTCATCCAACTGTTGTTTGTTGAGAGCACACACTGTGTCGTAGAGCATGATTTTCACCAGGAAATCTTGGTAGAGAGGCTTGAGAATCTTTGTAGTAGGTAGTTTTAGTGTTTGGGTGTAAGTTTCGTCAGGGCGTGTTTTGCTAGCAGCAAAGACACCAACCTCAAATTGCTCGAGCTGGTCCATATTCGGACGTGGGCATCTCGTAAACGCTGATTCCCGCCTTCTTGAAAGTGTGTTTCTTGAGCAGCAGACAATATATGCGTCCAAGGCGGATTTGGTCTTGCTGTCCAAGTTTGCGAAACTAGTTGTCGGAGGAAAAAAAGAATTCATCTCTGAAAATATACTTTGGGGCTTTCAACTTGAGTGATGATACACACCTTTTAAACAACTCTGACATCTCCGAGTCAGCCATCACCAGCTGCTCAAAGAAAGCAAGTCCAAAAACATCCAGCAAAACTCCTGTTTTGGAATCACCCTTGGCTACAGAAGCCAACGAATCCGAAGTTGACGACGTGACCACACCAGCGGATGATCGACGGTGTGGCTTTGACCCCATCCGCATATCATTAAAAGATGTAATCAATGTTAAATTTGAGGTTGATGGTGTTGCCGGTTCTGCTGCTGCACTCGTGATATTGTACTGCCTCGTTGCATCCCTGTACATTGATCTGTCCACGTTAGAAACCGTAGCACCAGTGTCGAATTCCATGATTGCTTGATATATCTTGCAGTGGTAAAATGTGATGAATAGATCAACCCCGCGATGCCATAGATCGACGTCTGGTGTGGAATAAGTGGAGAAAACCGATCTTTGTAAGTAAAGAGAGCGGAAGTGTCGGTGTCCTTTGGATCGACGGAGTGCGAAATTTTCTGAGGTTGGTTGAATCGTGATTGGGTTAGGTTTTTCGAGACCCTTAAACCAAAGTGAGGCACCCTAAGGTTGACGGGCGTTGGACATTGACCACTATCCGGTAACGGGCGGTGTTCAAGGAGACGGGCGGTTTTGAAGGAAGGAGAATCTTGACGTAGGGACCAGCCGACCACGAAATTCTTCAACATCAAATTGTGCAGGTTTGTAGGAGATATGAGTCTAATGATCTAGAGATAAATACAATACGTACCACTATTTATATGCAAATTATAGCACATTAGCAAGACCAACCTAACAAGCAACTTTACACACCACCCTTCTGCTGCTTTAACAAAATCTGATAAGTCCACGTCCTATTTGGTCCCAGCTTTCTCAAACTTTCAACCATAATTTCATTGGTAATAAACCATCTGGAGCCCTCCATGTACTTCGCGGCCCGGAATCGATTTATGAATGGCAGTCCGAGTGCATGTAAGTGGAGATGGTCGACGGTATAAAATGGTGGAGAATGGAATCCAAATCGCTTTTGTTCGAAGCGTGACAAGAGCTGTTCTCCGACGTGCTCCATACGTTCCAGTAGTGGCGCATCTTTACATCCCAAGTGCGATATGTTGCCTATGTGGGTTTTGGGCACTATGAGCAGGTGCTGTTGTGCTGACGGGCTGATGTCTCGGAAGGCCATGAGTTCGTCGTTCTAAAGAGAGTATGAGGAGGAATAGTTGGTTACTACATAAATGGTAAACTTGAAGATCGCAAGACTCAAAGTCACTAAGGTCGAGAGTCTCGACTGAGGCACACACACCTCAAAGACAATTTCCGCTGGTATTTTCCGTTCAATTATATTGCAGAATGTGCAATTTGCAACTCGTGTTATGACTGGTTGGACCTCCTCCGTTCTGAGCGAGGGTTCTGATGCCTGCATGTCCGGGGTTGCCGAGGTTACAGACACAGAAGGAGCTCGTATTTCTGAGATCATTGTCGTGTTTGGTGAGGTTTTTGGACGCCAAAACCAATCCATTATGGCCATTTTTTATGGGTTTAGCGACTGAGTTTTTTTCGACGTGGAGATAACGGACAGACTAGACTTGATCGGCTGTTATTGACAATAGTATCTACACCATAAAATCATGCACATTAGTCGCAATTCGCGTGTTTAGAGAATACAAATCAAACTTTGGCTTACCTTCCTATTCGTCTGCACAATCTTTGGCTCTCACGATATTTCAAGTCAACGTTCAAACCATGGCAAAGTCTATGAGATCCAAAAGCAAACGCCGATTCAGGGCGATTAAGAGAGTTGAAGTAAGTATCATCGTCTTATTCCTGCTCGAATTCACGCTGTACGATGTTTTTGAAAGTTTTTTTTTTTTTTTCAAAGCTCTTACTCACATCAAACCCCATTTGACGCACTAGGTTTTTGCACCTGTCGAAGAAGAGAGATTACAGCAACAAGCTAAAGAACAGGCTGAAGCTGCCCTAGTCGAATCACTCCATATGCAAACAGAAAAGACATCTGAAAACGATCAAACCATTGTTGACGACGATGAGGAACAAAGAGGACGGAAGGGTGCTCCTCTTGCTGCTCCAAAGATGGAAATAGACGGGTTTGAACCTACTCCAAAGCAACTAAAGAGACAAAAGATGCAACTGTATCTGTCGGGCAACCAGTTTAGGAAGAAGAAGAGGATTGCAAAGTGAGTTGTTAGCTGGGCAGATTGCTCGTGGCACATGTTTTTGAACGTAAGCTGATATTGCAGTTTGTGCTAGGCTCAAGGCTACAGGTCGTAAAGCTCCCAAGATCGCTAGGAAGGGGCGAAAAATCTAATTTCCATGTACACTCTTGATATTTCATTTTAGCTGCAAATACTAAGCTCTGAAAGTATTTTATACAACTGATCTTGTCAGGTGTTGTACATTTCGTCAAATTCTTTCCCATCTCTCGAAACCAGATCACATACATCGATCGCGAAACCAAAACAGAGACACGGTTGATTTCAAAGAAATACTAAAAAGTTATATTTCAAATTAAAACAAAGAAGTCCCTCCCAATACACGAAATCACGCCCTGTGAGTCGGCCTAATGGTGGTAACGACGACAAGAGTCATAGCGAGTGTCGATACAGTCTCCATCACAAACAGCCATATAGGGCTGGTTGGGACAGCATTGTGCATCAGAACCTAGAGATGGCAGAAAAAAGGAATCAACTGAATGTCATAGAGGTTAACTGATTGAGAGAGACTCACCATCCAAAGAAGCTGTGCAGACGTTATTGTACCGACCTAATGCAAGGTATCGTTTGTTAGTGTGATACTATTGAATAAAGTGATCTTCATGTTAAACTGATCTTCATGTAACTTACAAGTTGAGTAACAAGATGGTTTTGGAGCAGCGGAAGTGGTGGTTGCTCGCATACTAGTTGTTGTTGTCACCTTCGTGGTCGTGGTGCTTGTAGTGGGTTTAGACGTAGTTTTCGACGTGGTTGTCGTAACCGCCTTCGTGGTGCTGGTTGTAGTAGCAGCTTTGGTCGTGGTTGTTGTGGTAACAGGCTTGCTAGTCGTGCTTAAAGTAGCAGCCTTCACGGTACTGGTGGTCACAGGTTTAGACGTGCTTGTTGACGTAGCAACCTTAGTGCTGGACGTAGTAGTCTTTACAGTTGTGGTGGTGGCTTTTGACGTGGTTGTTGAAACACCCTTGGTGCTAGGGACTGGTGACACCTTGACCTTGTTCGTGTTGACGAATACGCTGAGTCTGCTTGTTCCACCACTATTAGACGGGGTTCGTGTTGGTTGTTAGATACAGATAGCGTCGGATGAAAACTAAGTTTGAAGACACTATACCATGGCTCAGCGTGATTTCCAGAACAGACAGCGCTGCAGTCGGATTCCGGTCGAGTATTGTTTGGTGCAATCCAGCTGCCACAATAGCACTATGCAGGAGTTGACAATTAGTATCACGCTCCGCTTTCAGTCATTAACAAAATAAAACATACTTGACCAAGCTCAACTCCAACATAGATGGGACAATCGTTATCACCGTATCCGTAACCTCGAGTACACTTTTGAATACATCCTTCAACTGTCACATTTGCTGGATTGATGTATACTTGGTCGTCTAGCAACTGTCTCCTTGGATTATCATAGAAGCAACCCAAGTATGCCCATCCAGCTGGAACGTTCTTCGTAAAGTTGGATGTCACTTGGATTTGCTGTGGTAATGCGATGACTTGGACTGGAACAGCTGGACTAGCGGTAGCGCTAGGTTTAGCGGTGGTCGTTGCACTTGGTAGTGCGGTAGCTGTTGCAGTGGCGGTTGAGTTATATTGCTGTGCAGAGATGTATGTTAGCTCGTTTTTTCGAAACCCAAAAAAAGGTTTGATAAGCTACTTCGACGCCATCTCTGGACTTACAGGATATTCATCCAAACAGTAGCAAGATCCTTGTACCAAAACTTGACCAACCGGACAATATAATCTGGATGCATGGGGTACGATAATTCCGATACACGAAGCTGGCAATCCTTGGAAGTATGAAGCACCACTGGGACAGTTCTGATAACATAGATTTCCAAACAATGTGTATCCAGAAGCACACGACGGTGCAGCGGGGACATAGTTGACACAAACTTGACCACAAATGTTCTGGCATTGTGATCCATAGAGCGTGTAGTTTGTTGGGCAAGAATAGATTGGTGAAATGGGTGCCGGTACGTCACTTCGCCCACCACAATCACCGGCCGAGTCAATGGTACCGGGAGGACACTAACGAGAAATTTATTGAAGGTTAAACAAAAAAGCCAAACAACATGTCTGGTGATTGACGAAGATACATACATCTGCAACCAAAGGAATAGAAGTATTGAAAACACCACACGTATTCGTGTCTGAAGTATTGGCAACCAAGGTTGGGAAGGACGTAGGAATAGTTGTGAAAGGTACAGTAGCAGTTGCAGTGACAGTAGGAGTCGGAACCACTGTAGTTGTAGGAGATACAATGACCGCGTCCTACATACCAATAAGACCAGATGAGATTCTAAACAATCTCAAGAGAACAAAGCGAATCGGCCTTACCGTAAGACAATAATCAAGAGGCGAGAGACCACTATCAAGCATTATATTCAACAGGGCTGCGTTTGCAAAAGTCTGCTGATTGAAATTGGTTGTTTCGCAGTCACAAGCAACCTCATAGTCGTTGAGATTGGTGGTGCTGTCGACACCGACATTACACTAATTGAGAAATCAGAGAAACCGCTTTAAAAAATAAAAGCAAACAATGACAACGACTCAAACGCCCCAGATTATTCTTACTGTGGTTGAAGCTGGAGCGAGACAAGCAAAGTCACAAGCAACTCCCACATATTGACAAAGGGAAGCCGGGTTCTGATTGGAGTAAAGATCTGTCCAACAAGTCGATATCGATGCTAAACAGAATGAAGAAAATCAGTCTTTACACTCCTCAATTTTTCTGCGTCACCGTAACGACTTACGAATAACTTGAGTTGGATCAAAGCAGAGGTCACATTGAGAGACATAGGAGGTCGAGTTTGTTGTCGCATCACAAGAGGCACGGCTTTCAGCTGTCACAATGATTCCAGAGTTGGTCAGACTGGTGCAAGTGTTGCCAGTTGTACCGAAAGTATAGCCACTCGCACAAGTGTTGTAGCATAGGTCGATATAAAATTGTTGGCCTGCAGGACATACTGGAATTGCATCAGTTGTGTCACAAGCATATGGAGCTGCTGATGTTGCGCAAGTACTAAGTGAGAGAAGATTTCGATCAGAATCGATACCAGAGAAGAGACGACAAAAAGAACTCAATCGAAAGCAGAATGCGCACGTAGCACTCACCAAGAAGCACCAACAACAACAGGAGATGCCAAACATGCTGCTGCAGATCCACTGCAAGAGAATGTTGATGGACAAGCATAACCACCAACCCAAGCAGATGCACCGTCCGAATTATCATAGTATCCTAAACAGTTGCCACTGCCATCCTCCGTCGTATATTGCGGACATGCCGACGACAGAGGTTCCACCGCAAACCCAGCGTTCTCAGCGGAAGCACAAACGGTAGTGGTAAGATCCGTTAGAGCATCCCCAAACAAATCCCTCTTAGAAACCACTATATGTGTAGCAGTAACTGGACATTCCAAAGCAGTGTAGAGATCAGCCAAGACGGCTGGATTCGGCTGTGGCAAATACGAGCATGGTGCGAAATCGGTTTGGAAGTTGGGGATGAGTCCGGTTATCGAGACCAGTCCAAACTTGGTTAGACTAGCCAATGACCCAAACGAGAGAGACGGTAATGACGGGAAGAGACTCTTGAAAAAGTTTTCAATGTCGTCGATGAGGGTGTCGAAGAGATCGAATAGTGGTTTGGCAATGAATTTTAAGATGCCGAAAATCGTATTGATGATTGTGTCGACAAAGTTTTCAATGTCTGCGATGAGGTCTCCGACTGTGATGCAGCTCTTGGTAGCGGGTTGACCTGATACCATGGAGAAAAAAAGTCAGCGTGGCATCCTCACTGAAGATAGAAGACCTTCAATCACATTATCGCAACTTACAGATGTTACCACCAAAGAACTCAAATCCAGCTCTGCAATTATTGTAACAGAGACCAGAAACATCCGTCTGACCCACCGCACAAGTCTGTCGCTGCGACAAAGACTTGACTATTCCACCGTTTGTATTGGAGGTGCAAACACCAGTTGAAATAGCAGGGACGAGGTGGTAGCCGCTCACACAATTCGGATAGCACAACCCAGCGGATAGTTGAAGGCCGGATCCACAAGATGGTGAAGAAGATTGCACACCACAGACTCCAAAAGCGTACCAACAACTCCAGGAGAAGAGAGTACATGTGAGTCCAGTGTTTGTCCAGCCTGATGGGCAGGAGTAGGATGGAATTGACGAGCTTCCAGAAGTGCTATGTAGAAATAAATTGGTTAGTAAGGGTTTAGTTATCGCTCGCAATCAACGTAATACTTACTAGTAGCCCCAACAGTCAGTTCTAAGTGAGAGAAAAACCTATGAGTGCCGTCCATTCACTGTTTTCCCGAGATAATGACTTACCCAGTATCAGTAGTATACGCTGGACAAGGTTGTACCAATGGAACAGTTCCTACACCATTAGCATAGTCCTTGGTGACATCAACGTAGCAGATCGAATAATTCAACAACTCGGAAATAGGTTCAAGAGCCTGAATGACTGGTTGAAAGAATGGCTCGATGTCGTTTTCAAAGAAGCTCACCGCCGAATCGAACGGGGCTTCAACCTTTCCGATTGTGGTTTGAATCGTTGCGAGATCGTTCTGGAGCGGTGCTAAGAAGCTTGCGATGGAAGATACGATTGGCTTGGACCAGCTGAATCGAGTAGTGAATTCATTGTAGAGCGTCAAGACCTTGTCGTAGTCGGCTACACCCTTTGTACAGTCGCTATGAAAACAAGAATAATCAGCTTATGGGGTGATCATGCAAACCCAAAGAAGACGTACGTAGCGAGCTTCGGTTCGTATTTCAAAAACGCCTGGAAGAGCTTCTGACTGGCCAAAAACTTGCTGATTGGATTATACACTTCTGTGCAGTACAGATTGATTGGCTTGCTGAGTTTAGATCCAGCAGTAACCGAGTCGACGAGCCCGTTTATAGAATCTTGAAGACCAGATAAGGTGTCCTTGACTACAATCTCAATATCCGAAATTGCTTGTTTCAGTTCTGGACCAATCTAAAGACACAAACACAAGATACGTTAGTTGACGAAACACTACTTTGACAAAACCCCAATGCACATACATCGGGAATAAACCCAACCAAAATTTTGGCAACATCCAAAAGTTTAAGGAAAGACTGCACGTCTTTATCACCACTACTAGCAACATTCAGACCACTAGACCAGATCTTCCAGATTTCTTCAATCTTGTTATCAGCGGAACAGATCTTTTGCGAGTCGCCCATGAAGGCATTATACTTCGCAATGTCGCTGGATAGGGTGGTCAATTTGTCACAGATGGTGATGCAGGTTCCAGCAACACATTCACCATCGGCACAGTATGTTCCTCCGCTGACTAGCATAAGGATAAGATAAGAGATAAATAAATTAAAAGAAAAAAAATCCAAGGAATTTGATCACGCATGATGCTCGCAAATTGCGCGTACCACCACATTTGTTTGCACAGGTTCCAGTTACAGATGATGTGTTTGCGAAACTGCATGCTTGTCCTGCAGAGCAAGGACAGCTTGCGGTACAAGATGGAGTTGTAGGGCACAAGCATTTGCCGGCTACAGTATTGGTTGAGCAAACAGAACCAGCAGCACAGCTATTCTCAGCGAAGATGAAGGTATGAGGAACAAGATTTGTGTTCTATAAAAGGTGAGACAGGTGCAGCTTGTTTGTTACCTGGCACAAGTTGAACCACAGGAACCAGCAGGGCATGTACATAAACCGTGGATACAGTTACCAGATGGACAGTATAGTCCACCGCCTAACGCAATTATTTCAATTAGTTAGTACCTGTCCTCATCCTTTAAACCAGCTAGTGCAAACACAATACTGTGCTTGCTTACTTTCACAAGGTGTAGCCTGCTGGATAGACAGACAAGTCTTGTTTTGGAAGCAAGTTTGGCCATTAGGACATCCAGTACCGCCAGAAATACCACAACATCCCGATGCAACTGGTACAGATCCTCCAGAGCAACTGATTGTCGTTTGTGGAGCTTCAGGAGTGAAGACGAGTAATCGCCACCATTCCTAGTAAATTCCCGCAACATTCGTTTAGCAACATGGATAGGCCAAAAACCGGATAAAGGGTCTTGTTTCCTTACTCTTTGGACACTGTTCGCACAATTTGGCAACCAGATGAAATCAGCATTGACGTTTCCAGCTAGAGTGTTGAAGGCAAATATGGAAGGGCTCCATTGTGAGGTTTGATTACATTGGGCCCTATTTAAGCAAAAAATGTCACTTTACACTGCACGGATACCCACTATGATCTCTATGTAATGTAAAGAATCCAGACTACTTACAAACCAAGCGAGCTCTTCCACGCGGAAGTATCATAACCCACGGACGTCATAGCATCCAAATAATCACTCGAAGGCTTTGCAACAGTGCCATAAACTTGATTCGAAGCAATATCTACATTCCATGGTGGCAGTTGACCACCATTACATGTTGCAGTTGTGTCGGTCAGGTTTCGGATAGTTGCCTGCCATGGTTGTGTGTTCTTGACAGTTGTATCCGTCGTAGAGTATAGCACGCCGTCGAGAAATACGACAGCCTTGAATCCAGCATAGAAGCCACCATCGACAGCGTCGACTGAAATCAGGAAGGGGCCTGGACCGTCCACTGTGAGATTGTACATCGTGGGAGTCGGCCAGCCCGTTGTGGGACCACATATTCCGGAAGCGTTTCCATTTAGGTAGAGCACGTAGTAATTGTCAACCTGTTTCAAAAGAATGGGGAGTGAAGTTAGCGGTTGGTATGTGAACTGGGCAAGCAATACGTCCTCATGGCATATCACTGAGATTTGAATCTTGAATTGAATTAAAATTCAAAATTCAACATCGCTTACATCGAGAACAACAGAGAGATTATGGCTCACGGACTGTGCTGGAAGTATCAGGGAAGATATAGCTGCTAACAGCAGCAGCAATCCCTCCATCTCGGAAAACTAAAATGAATAATAACCAGTTCCAGAATTTCTCCTGCTGCAATCCACCAAAACTTGTTCTTGAATGTTGATTCAATTGATAGATACCAGGGGAATGGATGTTCGTTTTGTAGAACTGGCAAATTGGAAAATTCTTGTAGCGTATTTAGCTAGTAGCCGCTTGTTTACACCAATCAAACTCTGGGAAGTCTAATTACGTGATTGCTTCTTTTCTCCTTCCCTGGTAACATATTGAGCAATCACACAAAACTTCCAGCTGATTGGAGAAAGAACACAAGAGAGTACCTGGCCGACTCTTACTTCTTGTTTTGAAACACATAAACAAACGGTTATCTAACAATGTGCTGAACAATGTGCTTGTTTCAATGCTTTCTTGTGTATTGCGGCAATTTGTTTTATGAAGTGCAGTCTTCATCAATGAGATCCTGTTGTAGTCCAATGTGGATTTCCTGTGAATATTAATGTAACTAGTTGGAATATGGCAGCCAAGTGCTCGACGGTGGGTCGGGCAGTATCCTAATGGTGCCACATATTGCTAATATGCCATTATTGCTTCGAATGTTTTCATGATCATGAATTTCAAAGCGTTGAACGGGAATGCGCTGATACGTCGAGGGCGGCATATCAAGAACTTGAAGCTTATGTCAAAAGTTGTGTCTGTAGTTGTGTCTGTCGGCTGGCAGTGTTCTCACAAGAGGGTTTTTTTAGACTCTAACACTTGATAGCTTCTGACATTGCGTTGTATCAATTGGAGAATACAATGCCGTCTCTCATACCTCTTGAAAGGTTTTTGGCCACTTCTTGTGTAATGTCATCGTCCTTTTTGCCCTGCACCCACCAACTCGTCGCGTTTCACTGTCTTGGAAGTAGTCAAAGACACCTTTGTCTTCTGTCTCAATAAAAGCCAGGTGGCATGAATTACTCCAAAACTCTTGGATTGGGTTGTCAAAATTAATTTAGATTAATTACACATAGGGCATGTCAGAAGTTTGTCTGCAATCACCAAACAACCATCAGCGAAACGTAAAAACGGCAGCGCTGCTTTTCTAGTCGCAGGTAAATGACAAATTTCAACGTAGTCACACCCTTAGCTTGGGAGGACCCCAATTCTTCTCTGAATACATATACAATATATTGTCACTTTCTGATTCTTCAAATACATTTAAACAAACTCCTTTTGACATAATATACAAGCTTATCTTCACCTTCATCCCATTCACATGTTACATTTCATCAAAATCTTCATCCATAATATCAATCTCAGGATAATCCCCAACTCTCACTTTATCTGGCCTCACAAATGAAGCATGCTTGGGTTTAGCTTTGAAGTATGGTACATCCTTGACGCTATTGATAGGAGTTATGATTGTGTTTGAAGCAGATTCATGTTGAAAAGCTAACTGCCGATGTTTTTTTGCTCGAAACTACTTACGTTCCATCATGTTTGCCAACAGGTTCATCATACTCTACACCAATAAAGAATCCCGGTTTGAGGCCTTCCACTCGTCCTACATCAGCAAAAAGGAAAGAAATCCAGTTTGCACAGGCTTCACACCAGGAACTCGAGTCAGTCATCTTACCAACAAACCTCACAACCCCTCTCTTAGCAACCCCATATTCTCCATCCACTTCACATCTACTATCCAGTGGTATCTGTGAAGCCTCATTCGCATACAAGTCATGATCTGGTGGCTTGTTCGCCTCATCAGAGTATTTGCCCATCTTGTTTTGTTTCATGAATGCTCGAACCGAATCTATAAGGAAAGTACGATTAGCAATCGATAGATGGGGTTGTATGCACGGATATTGTACCAGATCGTTTAGAATAATCTTGATCAGTAATCTCAAACTTTTCTACAGCAGAGACATCCGTGTATAGGTTTTTCGTCTTGTATGGATTCAAGTCCACGACCTAGACCCACGAAATGTAATTATATTATTAGATCATTCCCTGTCCATAGCAACTTCAATGCAAGTCGTACATCCAAGCGCATGAAATCAGCAACAGGATAAAAGCCCAACATCCGTTCATCTTCAGACAGATTGCCCATCAAGACATCCGTTTGGGAATATAAATTGATCTTCATTGTAGATGCTGGAACGCCTGTAATTGGCTCTAATCGTTCCTAGTACACGATCAAGTTAGCTCAACATGCAACATTTTAATTACACACTATATTTGAACTACCTTTAATGTGGCAATAGTGATGCCCTTATCGAATCTCCGTTCCGAGCTGACTCCCTCTGATGTCACAAAGACGGTTACGACAGATGGCATGCCTGATTGAATCATATTGGTCGCTCTTGCTTGTTAATTTTGGAAATTGTTGCAAAGTTCGAAATTTGCTAGGTATTAGATGCATACGCTTAGTGACTGGTGCAATCTACAGGAGCTAGTTACGTGTGTTATGGATCATTTGCATAGTTAGATCTATCTATACTGTTAAAATTCGAAGTTGCAAAGTCGTGACAAAATGCAAGCGTTGAAAAGTTTGAGGACGGACACTAGAACTATTAGAGACGAGAAGTTCGAGCACATTTTAGCGTCGGTACACTATGTAAATGTGAAGATCTGGTTTGTTCCGGTTCAAGCAAGCATCTTTTCCGGCAATCAAGACTAGGATTGAAAAGTAGGTACACTCCTCGACTCGAAATACGTGGTATGTTAGTATATGCAGTCTAAAAGAGGCAGATATTTGAAGAAATCATTAGATTGCTGTGTTCTGCACTGGTGCCTTAGAGAAGACATGAGCGAAATGCAGCTGAAAAGGAAGTTGCGGCTATCAAATGCTCCCCAAGGTTTTGAACCCTCTGTCGTACAATTTGTAGAACTTAAAGGGTTCTTCTCAGTCCATGGGATAAAGTATCTTAATTATTACGATGGCCGATACTAATATCACTACCTCCACGAACAGATCGTCGGACGAAGTACAAAACATACAACGTGCGATTGTGATGCTATCAAGATTTTAGGATTGTGTAATAGTGAAGGCAACACAGAAGTGTCATTTTGTTTCTGTGCATTATTCGCTAGTGCTGAAAGTTAAAACTTGGTGATTCAAGAGGAACACGGTCCAGTTTGTGGGAGGACGGATGACACCTCCAAACAGTATTCACGACACTTGATTATTGAACGAGGAGACGAGGTTGATTATTCAACAATTCGACCGCCGAAGGTTGGTGTTTTTTGCTACCCCTTGGTGTCCTTGCCTTATCTCACCTTGTATGTAAGCATTGCATCGTCTCGATAGCTTGGCTCTGGTCGGTCTTGCTTGTTTGCTTGAGATCTTGAGAATACTTCGGTCATATTCATTCTTCCTCGTCGATCAGGCTTCTGCGGCCAAGCTCACACAGTCAAATGGCGAAAAAACGGAGGGTCAAACTGAAGGATTCTCCCAAAGATATTAGAGTTGAGGTTTCTACGTATATTACTATAACAAAAACAACAAAAACGACAAACGAGAGAGGTTTCCATAGCAAAACAAAATAGTGTCCAGTAGGCGATAATCAACACCCTAGAGTGTTTTTCATTCTCTAATCTGCCTCATCTCAGTAGCAGCAGGTTCCAATCGTTCCAGTTGTTCCTTCTTGGCACCCCTCCTCTTTTGCACAACATATGCTTCTTCAGCAATGATATCTGCATCTGATGGCCTGAATGCTCGTTTCAGACTATACGTTTAATGATTGTTAGCCGTTTTTTTGTTAGTCATCACACCAAACAAAAAAAAAAAAACGTTCAAGCAGCTACTATTTTACGTACTATGTAAATCCAAGATCAGGCAACAAACACATCGTCGGCAGCAGCAACAAACACAAATAATATGCCGGTATTACATGATCCAGCTGGAAGGTGCCGACTTCAGTGTATCCGAGAGCAGTAACAACAACCATAGTCAGCGTGTTTAGTAGCATGGATACGGCGACTACAGCAGCTGTAATCCATATAAAGTGGCGCGTTTGGGTAAGGGATTTGGCGACGACGGTTATGAGGAGTGGTGTTGAGAAGAGGTAGCATTGGACCCAGTATCCGTTTGCACGGCCTTTAAAGTCGAGGTTTCCTTCCGAGTTTATAAAGTAGACGGAGCCGAATATTACTGTTTGAAAATAAAAAAGTTAGGATTTATGTAACAAACATCCGCTCTTTCGAATTCGTACCTAACGAATGCCATACAGCAGACCCAATCTCTTCCGCTACTTTATTCCAATTCCAATATAACCCACGTCGTATTTCCTTGAATAGTTCAGGATAGCTATCCAGTTTCTCTTCTGGCACGTCACGTTCAAAAATGGCAAAGACGATGGGATACAGGGATGTAAAGACGACATTGTAGAATGTGAAAAATATTTGCTCCATGACAATCTAGAAGAAGAGAAAGAAGACATTAACATCAACATTGTGAAACAAAAATTAGTAACTCAGACTAACCTGAGCACTCCACCCACTAACAAACCCAAACCACCACTGTATAGTGATAAACGCAATATTCTTATAAAAGCTGTAATAAATAAGCCCAGCAAGCCTCTCAAAGGAGTAACGACCATGTACAACCAGCAGTCGTTTCAAGAATCTAAACTCCCCAAACGCGTAATCTGCTGCCCGGACAGCTTGATTACCCTCTTTACCCATAATACCGACTCCAATATTAGCAGCTTGTATCATAGACACATCATTAGCTCCATCACCAATAGCGAGAGTAACAGTCTTTACATTCTGCTTTACGAGGTCTACTACCATAGCTTTCTGCAATGGTGCCATACGAGCACATACGACAGCAGCGCATTGTTTACCGATTTCTAAAAGTTCTAGTTCGAATTTAGCGTCATAGACAAGAGCGAGTATTTCACCCTTAATGACGAGAGCGTTACGACGTCCATCTACTTGTGACGCCATATCATTCTTGATCTTGTCCAAAGAAGCTTTCACTTCCTTTTTATTACTTCCGGAAACGATTCGGAGAACCATATCGGGTTGGATCAGACGTGACGACATTGATATATTTATAGCGGTTTCCTGTTTATCACCTGTAAGCAGCCATACTTTGATACCACATCGGAGCAAGTATTCTAAGGTTTCAGGCACGAGGTCTTGTAATTTATCTTCAATGGCCGTACATCCGAGATATATCAACTCCTTTTCGATTTTCTCACAAGCAGCAGCGATCTTTTCGGTACGTTCATTCAATGCTCGTTCTGCAGCATCATAATCAGTCTTGAATGCCGTAAATTCGCCTTCGGATATAGACTTGTATGCAACGACCAGCGTCCTAAGTCCAAAATCAGAGTAGTGATCTAGTGCTGCTTGTGCTTCATGCAACCTACTACTTGGATTGACTCGTTCATCTCGTGATAGACGTGCAAGCACCATATTATCAGCTCCTTTACAAAACAGGTAGAGCTTGTTATCTACAGGTGAGCGCACCACAACCGACATTCGTTTACGATCTGATGTGAAATCCATGAGCTGCAAGTGTTCCCACACTTCATCTTTACCAAAGACGTTGAGGACTACAGTTTGCTTGGTTCGTGAGCGTAGTATGACTTCGTCTCCTGCTAGACCCTGTAGTAATGCAGACTCATCAGGCGACTGAGCTTCATATACTAGTTCACCACTCTTGTCATCACGTTGTGGCAACACAGTATTACATAGTCCAATACACCTAGCAAACAATCCAAGTCGTGTGCGATCCTCTCCGACAACAGCTGAATCGTTCAGCGCTCGACCCATAACTCCAGGTGTATCCATCTCATGGTAATCAGTATTGCCCACATACCAATTACTCAACTTCATCAAGTTTTGAGTCAAAGTACCAGTCTTGTCGGAAAATACGTATTCTACCAGTGCTAAATCTTCGTTCAAGTTGGAATTGTTGGCCTTCATGTGTTGTAATGACCTGATTCCATCAGCATCTTCTTGTTCTACGGCCATCTTTTCGTCCCAATTCATGAAGACGACTTGAAGTAGACGGACTATTTCGATGGATACGAATAGGGAGATGGGGATTACGTAAGTGTACATGGCAAAGAAGGATATTACGATTTTCAGTGATGTCTAAAAGGATTGGGTATGTGGTGAATAATCAAACAGACGAGTCCATGGAGTTCGACTTTGTTGCTCGACCAAAGTGCAAAAGAGGAATAAGAGAACAAAGAAGAATGCAAACTCACATATGCACCAGGTGTACTACTTGGTCCCAAATACCACTCAATCGAATAGTTCAAAGGCTGTAAAATCCCAGCATCCCTCCTCGCAAGCTCCTTATAATATATAGCACTACCCCTCACAATCGAAAACACAGCCGACGTAACCAACAGGAAGAAATTGTATGCAAAGGCAGCCAATATCAGATAATTCATCTTCTTTTCCAGAGTCGACATCTTCACTTTTCCCTTGTTGAAATTCATCATGATTTTGGTGTCAACTCCTGTGTATACTACGATTCCATATGCGTATTCGGTGTTTCGGAGGGTTGCGCCACGGAATAAGAGCTGGTTTAGGGATAGTGGGTAGACTGGTGTGGATTTTTGGGATGAGCGAGAGGTGCGTGTGTTGCCTTGGATTGTTAGACGACCTTCGAATTCTCCTAGACGTTGGTTTGGTTGTTCGCATTCTATGAAACCTCGTAGCGTTCCGACCTCCTACAAGGTTAAGAGTAAAGTTGGAATGAGCAAAAAAATGCGGATCCAACACAGCAAATGCATTTAAACACCTGTTCAGATCGCAACATGGCCAATTCTGGAACCGCGCCTCTCCTTTTCAAACTTGTTTCACTGGAAAAGGGCACAAAGATGTAAGGCTTGCTGCAGTTGATTCAGTCCGCGTTTTCCTATTGCAACCCAAAAAAAGGTCAAAAGATGTGCCACATACCCATCAAGTTCAGCAGTCTGAATAAAACAAGTTCCATCTTCATGAGAACTCGATACCAAGACAGCATCAACAGGGAACTTGTGATTTTTCGTAACTACAATAATATCACCGGTATTCACATCTCTAGAATGTATTTCCATCTTCTTTCCATTTCGTATGATTGTGACGGGTGTGTTGTTTGCTGCTCTGTCTGCTCGTCCTCGGAACTGGTATTTACGTTGAGAGTAAGCAAACAAGACCAAAAAATGCTGCAATCGTTGAAAATGACTCTGTTACACATACATAATCTTCAAGGAGCTCTTTGATAGCATTCACACCCAAGACTAGTACCAATGGAAAGATTTGGGTTACAGGAGATAGAGTGTCTCCACCAGGCAAGAATACGGATATGGCAGCGAGTAGAAAGTACAGATTATAGAATCGTTTGAACTGTGAGAGTGATTATTAGTTTACAAAGAGGTAGACGTGTATGTGGCCTATCTAGAGAGGGGTGCTTCTATTTTGCCAAGAGGGCAATTCACCCTTAAACCACAAAAACACCATTTACCTGGTTGTATAGATTGAGCGGTATGAAACTGAACACGGTATACTTTGTGGTGCGTATATAATTAGTATTTTTGCGATGGACACCCTTTGGACCAGGCTGATCAGGAAAGTTTACGACCCATGGTTCTCGGTCTTCCTTTTGTATGCTAGCCGATGAGCTGTGCGGTAGGGTAGTTATATCAGGCATGGCATTGAGCGTGCCAGTTCTACCAGCTGTAAATTGAAGAGAATTGGGAGTGGTGAGTTTTCGTGTTGTGGTGTCTCGGCTAGCCTTGAGAGATGCAACAGGTTGGAGCCTGGTGATGCTCAAGATGAGAGCTTGTATGTGATCGGAGGCAGAGTCCCCATGCATCAAACGATCGAATATAAAACATTCACAAGATGCCCGATTTCAATGTCCATTTATCGCCACCACCCAATGAAAATAAAGAGATGTGATGCCGACGGTGAGATGCAGGTCGAATGCAGCACATCGCACATTGTAGGTTCGTACCTTCCGGCATTGCACTAGTGGTCGTCTTCTTTGTTTGAGCAGGCGATGGCCTCTTGATTTGCGCACTTTCGTCCACTTGGCCAGGGAGAGAGTATGAATGAGACGTGGCTGCGAACTTTTGAGGAAATAAAAATGGCTATATAAGGTCTCTCCTCTACTCCCCACTACTGGCCAACTAGTGTCGGCCAAGCTTTCTAAACCGTCAACTTCAAAGTCTGAGTTTGAATTTGGAGGAGATCTAGCTCGATGGGTGAACCTATAGAATATAAAGACCAACGAGCTCAACGGAATCTGCAGCGTATGCACTAGATCTCGAGAAGTCCAAAGTGCAACCGGATTCAGTCAATGCGAAGGGGCAGCGGGAATTATTGGAACGCTTTAAGCTTTTTAGAGATCAAACGCTAATTCGCCTTCATTAACATGTAAAATCACGTACAAATACACGATATGGTGCTCTTTCGTTTCCTTGGTGTGTTGGGGTGCATTGCATCCCGTATCCATCATTCGGTCCAACACAAAATGTCTATGATGGAGCTGCCAACTGATGTCAAAATTGCCGTTATCGGGGGCTCTGGGCTCTATGAATTGGATGGGCTCACTTTACTGGGTCAAGTCAATCCATCCACTCCTTGGGGTCATCCTTCAGGTATATATTCAGCTGCTCTGGTGCTGCTTTCATGTTTGAACGGCTTGCATCAGCACATCAGTTTGAGCTGATGCGTGTATAAGTGTACAATTATTGCATAAATCACTCGCATTCAAACTTGCTTCAGTCGCTTCTACCTCATACTCATCGACATCAAACTAATTGTACACTAACATATGTATCTAGATGCAATCACAATCGCAACCACTCCAAACGGAACCAAAATCGCCTTCCTAGCTCGTCACGGCAGAGGCCACTACCTAACTCCCACAGAAGTCCCCGTACGAGCGAACATCGCATCCCTGAAAAGAATAGGTGTAGAAGCAATCCTAGCTCTCTCTGCTGTCGGATCCCTCCGCGAGGAAATCAAACCATGTGACTTCGTACTGCCATCCGAGATAATCGATCGCACAAAGGGTATCCGCGACTCGACATATTTCGAACACGGTCTGGTAGCACATGTAGGATTTGCAGATCCATTCGATAAGGAGCTGTCGAATATAGTTGTCGCTGCTGCAAAGACATCGATCCCGGATGTCAAGATACATGTAGACAAGACGCTTATATGTATGGAGGGGCCCGCATTCAGTACACGTGCTGAATCGCACATGTATAGATCGTGGGGTGGGGACTTGATCAACATGTCTGCAATCCCTGAAGCGAAACTGGCTAGAGAAGCTGAAATCGCATATCAGATGGTGTGCATGTCTACTGACTATGATTGTTGGAAGGAGGATGAGGAGGCTGTTACGGTGGAGGCAGTCATGAAGAGGATGACGACTAACTCGGCTAATGCTAAGAAGCTGTTGTTGGCTGCTATTCCGATATTGGAAGAGGCTATAAATACTAGTGCTATAAAGAGTGTCAGTCGGTTGAAGGGAAGTATGAAGTTCGCTGTGATGACGGCGCCAGCAAAGAGGAGTCCGGAAGCGGTCGAAAAGTTGAATTATATCTTGCCTGGGTACTATTGAAGATTGTGGGATGGTATATGAATTTGTGGTAGGAATGTGTGTCGTAAGGTAGTAAGTAGGTAGATGAGAGTGTAGTGATGATGAGCTGGCAGTCTCATACAGTGTTATAGGGTATAGAGAATCAACCACAAAACTATAGATAGATCAAAAGAGACATGGCCTTGTGTATTGCTAGCTCTGCGTTGGTTTTTTGCTGCTCTACTTTCAAACTCAGACACAAATCGAGCAACCCACACAGACGCAGGGAAAGGACTTGAGCGAGCGTTAATCAAACGTTTTCTTGATTGAAATTCACATAAATTATATTCGATGTAAGCTCTCAAAACGCAATGATCTTGTATCCACAGATCCCTTCACTATGTTTGCTTTTTACTAAACCATCATCAGTCGCTTAGTATCAAATCTTCAGAATGGCAAACAGACTCAATCAGTTAAAGCAGCAGCTTGGCCAACCTATCGAGACATGGATCATAACAGGCAAGTCATCACTGGTGTGACATCAAGTGCTTGTAATTTCGAAGCTCAAAAGTCATGGATTTTTGGGAAGATCACGTAGAGCAAACCGGTACATTCTCCTTCATTTAGGTGCTGCTCGAGGATTAGGTATATGCGGTTTCCTTCGTGTCTCCAAATGTGTTGGCTCACGAATACATCTCACACACATCCTACTCCAAACACTTACACAAACATAGGCTATGAACTCGGCCGCCAAGTCCTCGAGACAAATCCCGCAGCACGAGTCATCTTCCTCGTCCAAACGATGGCGTTAGGCCAAGACGCTTCAAATTTGATTACCGAAAAGGGTGGACGAGGGGGTGTTTTGGAATGTGATGTTACTGATGAGGCGTCTATCAAAGTACGTCCTATATATCCATCTGATATCATGCTTATCACGTTATCATGCTTATCACGTTATCTCTTGCTTTTGATCTATTACCGGTAATGATTTCAGCTAACTACATTGGTCATTTTTTTCTCACAGAAAGCATGCGCCGTAATCCTCAAAACATGCGCACAAGGAATCGACGTGCTCGTAAACAATGCCGGTGGCTTTTACGGCGCCTCTGGAATGTCGCTACGTGTTAAACCCGACGATCTCATCAAGACGTTCAGACTCAATACTGTTGCGCCCATGCTGTTTATTCAGTTGTTGCATCCATTGTTGGTTAAAGGGCAGACGAAGAAGATTATCAACATGTCGTCAAAGTATGTATTGTATGGCTCCTGATGAAGTGGGGGTATTGAGAGACGCGAAGCTGACCCTTTTTTTTTGGTGTAGTTTGTCGTCATTAACGGACAACAAGAATGGTGGTGCATTGTCGTATCGCACGACAAAGACGGCACAGAATCAGATAACGGTGACTTTTGCGAGGGAGTTGTCTAAGGCTGGGTTTGCTGTGATAGCAATGCATCCTGGTATGTGTCGACGTGCATTAAGTGATCTTTTTTCCCCGTCTTGGTACTGTTTCAATAGTTGACCCGATGATTATCTTACCTTTTTCTCCTCGATTCGGTAGGCGTTGTCGACACGAAATTTAATCAAGTAGGTGACGAGATTGGTGTTTTGCTGTTGTTGGTCTTGTGATTTCCAACAGAGCCGCTTCAACAAACCGTTTTCTAAACAACCACTCTTCACAACAGGACAATCGAGGGGGAGGTCCAGCACCACCACTCAAAGCTCCCGAATCTGTCGCTGGAATGCTACAAGTCATTCGCAAGCTTACCAAAGAACAGAATGGCAAATTTTTGGACTATACGGGTAAAGAGATGAGCTGGTAAAGAATGATTTATTTGTAAGGATTTTATACTACGTAAATAATAGTATTTGATGAACGGGTGGGTATACGTGCCTGTGACGTGTCCGACGAGGACTTGGCGCAAGCTCGAGGTGTAAAAGCATGGATGTAAGCGTATTCACAGGTATTGTACGCGTGAATCACGTGAAAGTCGTCTTTAGAGCCTCGGTTCAGATGTGGTTTGATGTTTAAGGGTCGTGGTATTCGGATCAGCTTTTTGTGAAAGACAGCAATTCAGCAGAGAGAGACATCAAGGAAGAAATAAGAGAGACCTGCCGTGTAGGATTGTAGCTCGGCGCACCGTCATCGTACGTATACACTGACTATGGAGGAAGAGTTGACGTCGAATAAGTTCGAACGCTAAAAACAAGTGACATTCGAAATCTAAGGAATTCGCTCTTCCCCAATAGACATATAATATAATACGAAAGGCGAAGATGGCACCAAAGAAACCAACCAATCCACCATCAAAACCCTCCCCCCCAAAAACACTCACATCGCTACCACCCGACCTTATAGTCCGCATCTTCACATACGTGCCAGTCCCAGACCTTGCAAAAGTAGCTCGTACATCTCGACGCCTCAAAATAATCGCATACGCTGATGGCGTCTATGAGCCGAAACTACGATACTTGGGGATACCCGCTCCAGCAAACTCGGACGAAAACTTGCATGCCAGTGAAACCGATTCACATATATCTGTTAAATTGAAGCAGCTGCCGGGTGGACATATGCTTGCTAGTGGAGCTGCATATCTGGAGACGGGGACGCTGTGGGGTGGGTTTGATCCTACGCCGCCTGGGAGTGGGAGGAATAGTGTTGGGGGCGTGAATCCGATGGCGCCTGGTGTTGCTGTTCAGGATGTGGAGCCTAGTTTAATCAGTCAGGTATGGGATTTGAGTGTGGTGAAAGTGCTGTGTTTGACCTTGACGGACATTCGTTCTCATGGCTGGTGTCTTTTTCTCGTCGCACACAGGACACTCTCGACCCATTCGCACCACAAACACAACCAAACATATATCAACAGCTCAATTCAAATGGCATGCTTGCACCACCCAAGAAATCAACACTGACGATAGGTGCTGGTGGTTTACGTGGCGCCGTAGTATCAGGATCCGTCTCAAACAGCAGCATAGGTATCGCATCAACGCGAAGTCCCTCCGGAAAAGTAGTTCGACAAAGCAGCGGTCTCCCTCAACGTGCCGCTCGAGATGCCTTCAAACGTATATACGCAGAACTATCGCCATATTACGTCGATTTCCGTAAACGGGGTAAAGATTCACGAGTATTTCGAGATTTCAAAGACCTGATTGAAATAGCAACAGTATTACGCCGCTTGAAACTATTCGGAAATGCTAAATTCATTACAGATTACGAAGATATTAATTTCGCTCTGGATACGACGATGGAATGGTTCGAGTCTATGATACTGGCACAGTTTGACAGAGCATATGATAAAGAAGATATTGAAGAGATGAGGAGGAATGCTGTTGCTGCGTATCAGTTGAATGGTGGAGCAGCATGTGTACAGTTATTTATCTCTAAAAACCCGATATTCTTTGATCATACCTTCAACCCATCGCTCGTCGCAACAAAGCTACCACCACCGACAAGCAGCGATGATCACCGTGGATATGCCCTCGCAGACGACTTTGCTAAATTCATGGACCACATGCTCACAAACTGTCGTAAACAGGCAACCATAGTGTTCCAGGTATTCCTGCCAGACATGCATGCAATGACGCTATTCGTAAACAAGGTCTTTGAAGACTCGATTGCTGAATATCTGTCTGCTGTGCTTGAAGCTGCCCGTACTGGAGGAGACATGACTGTGTATCTGCATACGTTGGCAACTGCTGTGTATTGCTGTACCCAGTTCCTGGATTTTATTAGCAGTGTGCCGAATGTGCCTGTTGAGGCTGATCGTGTCGCGGTTGCTATCACGGGTGTGTTTAGGCCGTATACGGATGCGTATTTGATGCAGGAGTTGGATCATATGCAGAGGGTTTTCGCTGCAGAGTTGAGCAAATTCAATAAGAGGGTGAGTTGGAAAGAGGTTTTTGAACAAGCTATCATCCACTTTTCGGTTTGAGTTTTGTTTTGGCTCTCAAACATCTTCTGATAATTTTCATCTTAGAAACGTAACAGTGGAGAAGTCCTAAACACTCCACCCCAACAACGCAAAAACCGACGCTTCCAAGGTGACGAACGAGAAAAACATAAACGTCAAGTCCTCTCCACGGTCCGTACCGTCCTCTTTGCTCCAATCGCCCTAGGCAAAACCCTCACACTCACCGGCAACAATCGAGTCAAACCACAAGAACAGGGTCTCCTTGGCGACGACGATGAAATATCGTCTCCCATAGAAGATACTATGAAACTGCCATTCTCGTCAAAGGAAGCAGCTACATATGATCTAGATGATGATAGTTTGAATGCGTTGATTTCGTTGGAGTTGTGTTTGAATCTGATGCATACGAATAAGGAGGCGCTTGGAAGGTGTCTTGTTATTACGAATGCGTGTATGAAGGATAAGATGTGAGTTTGTATGGAGATGGAAATCATTTTATGTTTGATTGTGCTATGAGGTTGTTTTTCTCACTTGGTATCGTCTCGCTTAGGATCAAGAATGTAGAAAAGATATTCTGTTCCTTGATAGATATTGTTAGTGAGAAACATTTACGACCTGCACTTGACAAGTATGTCGTTCATAACTTTCACTTTGCTTTGTTTTGGGGCAAGACTCACCGAATACTTGGATTTTTTAGTGCTGTATCACGATTAGGCATGCCACTAGGCTCAACGGGTGATTTGGCAGCTCCAGTAGAAGACAATATGGACTCCATTCAATTCTTTGAGTTGATTCATATCGCTGATTTGGTACAGCAGATGATTGATGTGTACTATCAGGAAGATGTGGTACGTTTGTAGTATTACCAACCTCTTTATTTGGCTTGCATCGAATCAACGCTACCATGGCAAAAAATAGCTTACATAACAAGCAATAATTTTCTTTTAGAAACCATGGATTGACGAATCCGATTTTCTATCCGACGTAGCAGTAGACAAGAAAACATTCGAACGACTCCTTGACGACAAAGTAGCTCAAGGAATGGATAAAGCTATACAAATCCTGGTCGCACAAGTTGAAGCCATCCTTGTTGGAGAACAGAAGCCGAAGGATTTCAATCCGACTGATAAAGCTGCTGTTATTGATGTTAAGGAAACCGTTGCTTGTGGAAAGGTGTTGGCTTGTCTTGTCACGAACTTGAAGCAGTTGTCTGCTGTTACGGATAAGAATACGTTGGAGGTGTTTTATGGGGAGATTGGGATTAGGTTGTTTAAGTGAGTGTTTTGTGTGATTTTCTGTTACTTTGCCGGGTGTATGGCAAAGAATTGGATTTGGAGTTAAAGAATTTCGACCATTTCCGCTACAGAACGGTGTGTTTTTTGGTGCTAACATAGTACTCTACAATTTTAGTGTGCTCATCAAGAACATCAAGAGGCAGCAGATCAGTCAGACCGGCGCAATGCAGCTCATTTTGTAAGTGTCGTTGGACATACGTAGTTGTTTCTGTGTTGTTTTCTGCTATCGCCACAAACCAACCAAAATTTCCCGTTTATTAGTGATTTGAACAAATACTACAGCTGGGCATCATCACTACACGTCCCACACGTCACCAAGCTCTTCGTCGTACTCAAAGAAGTTGGAAATCTCTTCTTGGCAGAAGGTGGACAAGACTTGAAAACTCTCATACATGATCAACACGTATATGGATCTGCGCTCAAGATTGAAGAGATTTATGAGCTTTTGCAAAGTCGAACGGACTATAAAAAGATTCAAAAGTATGTTGAGAGTAAGGAGTGTTGTATTCAGTGAAGACACGGAGGAGGGAGAGGTGGTTGTACAAATAAGGGAAAGAAGGAGGCATTTGTATATTTTGCATTGTTGAAGCAGCAATAATATTATTAACTTGCGGAAACCACATGAGTTGCTTCGTTTTGCTGTGTGGTGTTTGCTCGGTTGCTGAGAACCTTTTTCGCCTCACAACAGGAAGGAAGGACTACGTAAGCACAGTCATGTTTTATCTGAATCTCTTGTCTAATCAAAGGCCTTAGACCAGTTTGCCATACAGGAACATGCGGACACACACAACGCTGGTTTTTTTTTGTAGAAGCCTATGCTAAGTTCGTTGGCCAAACTCTGAATAACTCTGAATACGTATTTGATTTCTTTAGGATGAGAATATGACGTGTTTACTTCCATGGGGACAAGACACGACGATACTGCAACATAAACCAAGTCGCATTCTACTCGAATCAAGATCATCAGCTTCATCACCGGACCTTGTCACCAACCAAAAAAAGTACATTCGTCACCAGGCTGTCATCATCCACAAGGACGTCCAAAGTGGTTGCCTACAGACGTTGTGAAGTAGAAGAGTACTGCCATCAAGCACCTGCACACAAGTCAATGCAATGAGTAAGGAGGACGGATGAATGAAGTCGTAAGTTTAAAGGTTGAAAGATCAAGATATCTTCCGCTTGGAGTATGTCCTTTTTCGGCCTTTGGGGCTTGAGAATTGCATACTACTCCTCTTTTGCAAGTACTTGAACCTCGAGGCTTTTCACCTTTCTAAGAGTGCCATGTCTAGTTTCAATTAGTGATCGAACAAGTGTTATAGCTGGCCATCATCACCACACGTCCGTCAACTCCTTCTCACTCAAAGAAACTGGCAATCTTTTCTTAGCAGAAGGTAGACAAGACTTGTAGCCTCTCATACTTGATCAGCCTGTGTATGGATCTGCATTATAGACTGAAAAGACACCTGAATCGCTGCGGAGTCGAACCGACTTTACCTTCATTCAATGGGCTGTTGGGGACTGCAAACGAGGACCTGTACGGAAATCTTTCAAATACATCAGGTTTTTAGCAAATTGGACAATCCAAGATTTACTAATGCTGCTTTGAGAGCATTGTGCTTGGTAGCTTAAGGCATCCGACAATTTTCTATATAGCCTTTTTTCACCATTAGAGCAACCAACCCGCCGGGCCTGCGATCACTAGCAACTCGTAGACAAAAATTGTCTATAAATACATATCGATCGTGAATTTGTGCCTCACACGCGATTGCCGTTGCTTCAAGCTACGTGAGGTCATACTGCGTCCCAATCAAAGAAAAAGAAACCCATGTCAAGTCTTTCGGAGAAAGCAGCGCGCGCCTCAAGCATCGCACTCAAGCAAAAAATATAGGGAAAGTCAAGGAAGCCCATAAGGTAACTGCAAAGTGATTTTGTGTTCATCAGAGTTCGTGTTTTCACGTTTTACATTGCAAACAGAAACAATGGTGCCTCGTCCAGTTTCAGCAAAACCAAGGAAGGAGGCTCCTCAAGAAGGTATGATTAAACTTAATCACGATGCAGTCAGAGTCCGTATAGTTCTGAACAATCTTCTTGTTACCTAGAAGACGACGATTATCAGGCAGCTCCACGCCGTGCTGTTTCTTCATCAATGGCTGCAGCTCGACGACGCGCATCAGCTGATGACGAGACTGAGAAGCCATCACCTCGACGTGTCGCCAAATCATCTGTAGCTACTTCGAGAGACAACTCACCTAGTCGTAAATCAAAGGCATCAAATGACGATGATGGTAACGGAGTTGGAGTTTTTTGCTGGCACAAATGATTGATGATGCTAAATATTTTATGTTATAGAAGGAGAACGTGGTCTCTTTTCTGGGGTAGAAAAATTCTTCCACGGTGACAAGAAACGAGATACTGCGGCATCACCTACCAAATCTGCGTCTTCGGCCTCTTCCTCTCCATCAAAATCATCAACATCAGCTTCGTCATCAACGAAGGTCTCACCTACGAGAGATGGAGCTGGACCAGATTACGGATTGTCATCACCACCAGACTCAGTAAAATCGAAGACTTCCAAAGTCGCAGCGGCAGATGCTGCCAAATGGAAGAGCTCCACCATCAAGGCACCCGTACAGGTCAATGCATTGATTAAGGAAACAGATGAGGTGGTAACTGTTAAAGCTTCAAAAGCTAAAGTGACTGTTTCGGAGGGTGTTTTGCCTGGTGGCATTAATGTGAGGGTTTATGCTGCTCCTCTTTCGCAATTGCTAGAACCGCTGACCGAAGATTTAGGTAATTGGAATGTTGTGTTGAACACGGATTTTTTGTGCCTCACAACTTGTTTTTGTGTAGTCGCATCAGAAGTATTCGTCAATGACGAATCTTTGGGAATGGTGGAAGATGTTAAAGGAGACGTTCAAGTGCAAGTACATCCTGTCGCCGGGGAATGTGACAAATTTTCTGTGTCTCTTGCTTTGGTAAGATTATCTTGCTCGCAATCTAGATTTTTGGTGCTAACATACCTCAACTTCTTGAAGGCTGATCCTCGACCAGCTAAAAAAGGAGCCAAATCAGCACCAGCTCCTACCAACAGTACCAGCAACAAAAATTCGATGTTGCTAAAAGCTGGTCCCCTTTCTCGACGTGAGTGTAGAGACGATGTATCATGGTGCAGCAAAATATCTCTGTGCTTGACACTTTCCAATTAGTGAATGATGACGACCACCAAATCGAAGACGATGACGTTCCACCTCCTCGTTACAACGATAAAAAGAAATCTGCCTCTGCTCCAATTTCACCTTCCAAATCACCCAAGAAGCCTACCAAACAGGACGACGATGAGGATTATGAGCTCATTGATGAAGTACCAGCTATGAAATCACCAGCTCGTAAATCGTCTCCTGCCAAGAAACTGGTTTACGACGATGAATCTGATGCATCCTCCAAGCCTACTCCTTCTCGTCGTCCAACCGACAAGAAACAGACAAAGAAACCAGTTCAATATAACGACGAAGAAGAAGAGGAAGCGCCTGCTCCAAAATCTAAACGAGCATCACCTAAGTACCAACCAGAAGAAGAAGATGAGGAAGAAGCACCTGCACCAGCGCGTAAATCTTCTTCTCGAAAATCCAACGTCTCTGATGAACGTCCAATTCGTTCAACTAGTAAATCATCGTCTCGATACCAAGAGTCTGAACAAGACGATGATACTAATTCTACTCAATTGGGCGGCTTTAATGACAATGAAGATGACGATTTCAGTCCTCAAGGAATCAACGGTCACGATCAATACGACGAAGAAGATCAAAACAACATCAGTGAAGAGGGCGGAGAATTCGACGAGGACGATGAAGAGGGCACTCGTGACCTCAATGGTGTAAAGCCCAAATCAGCCTTCCGAACTGCTCGTCGTTTCGCAGCTAACCGTCCTTGGGCAGGTGCCATCGTGGCTCCTTCAAATGCTTCAGAAGCCGGAGACGCCGAAACTCACACCGAAGACGGCAACCCAGCTGAAACTCTCGTCCTAGAACACATTCACGGATACCGTATGCGAGACTGCTCAAACAACTTGTTTTACGTTGACAATGACACTATTGTTTTCAATGCCGGCTGTGTTGGTGTTGTACACGACTTGGCCAAAAACAAGCAACGATTCTTTATGAACAAGCATAAAGATGATGTTGTGTCTCTTGCTCTACACCCAAGTGGTAAATGGGTTGCTACTGGTGATATCGTTACTCGTGATGATGGGTGTTACATCTATGTTTGGGATCCACGTAATCCTGAAGATGGCAAATCTGTGGCTATTCGGGTCGGTGAGAAGAAGTTGGCAAAGGGTGTTGCCGATACTGAGTTTTCGCCCGATGGTAAATGGTTGACAGCTGTTGGCATGGATGCTGAACATACGGTAAGTGTGATTTAACGGCTTCACTCGGGTTATTTTGTTTGGGTTTGCTATGCCTAACAATCTGACATAAATCCTCCAACAGGTTTACCTCTATGACTGGCAGAAGAGTACCAAACCTATATGCAAGGCGCCAGGTCATAGTGATGCGGTAAGATGAAAAGCAATACCGGGGCAATATGCCATAGTGATAGCGACGCACTCGTTTCTTTTGCATCTGAAATTGCCCAAGAATCAGGTATCTAACAATTTCCTTCTTTTTTCAGATCTTTGGAGTTACATTTAACCCACAAGCCCCCAACGAATTCGTTACATACGGTGTCAAGCACGTCAAATACTGGTCCTTCAACGCTTCCAAAGCTACATTGGATGGTGCCCGAGGCTTGTTCGGTTCACGAAAAGTTCAATCAGTACTCTGCTGTACCTTCCTACCAAATGGAACCTACGTTACCGGCTCCCATGGTGGTGAACTATTGATTTGGAACAAGAACACTGTCTTGAACGTTATCGAAGGTGCTCATCGCGGCCCTGTGTTCTCCATTACAAGTATGCCAGATGGAAACAGTGTGGTTACTGGTGGTAAAGACGCTCGCATCGTACTGCGAGACTCCAAATTGCGAGAAATTGCCAATGTTGAAGTGGAATCTGGAATTCGTAGTTTGTGCTTCAATGCTGATGGGTCTCGATTGTTGGCTGGGTTGGAAGATTCAGTTATTCTTGAAATTGAAGGATTGAGTAAAGGTGGTAAAGCTAAGGTTGAGAAGATTATTGAAGCCCACTCTGCCGCCAAGTGTGTTTCGCAAAAGTTCTGTTTTGAGGGGGAAAAACAATCAAACTTACCGATAATGTCACATAGGATGGAAGAGTTATGGGGAGCTGATGTGAATCCTAAGAAGGACTCGGAGTATGTCACTGTTGGTGATGATTCCAAGGTCATCAAGTGGGATGCCAAGCAACGCAAGATGGTAAGATTCAACCGATTAATCTGCATCAGGTAGCAATGTTTTAAGCAGTTGAAAAATCTTGTTAGACCGCTATTACTGATCTACCTGGCAAACTTCGAGCTGTATCATACAGTCCTGATGGATCCATTCTCGCTATTGGAAATACTGATGGCGATGTAAGTTTGAACGACATTACAAACATGTACAACTTTACTGAGTCCTCGTGTTGTTTTAGCTCTTCATCTTACACGGCGAAGACCTCTCGCAAGCATGGTCTCAAAAACGCCCAACACGCAAAGACGTCTCTTCGAAAGAACACGCCGTCCAAGTAATGCGATTCTCACCATCCGGTCAATACCTGGCGGTCGGAACCCACGACGATTTGGTTGACATTTACGATGTTCGAAACCGCATGCAGCGTGTTGCTAGCTGCAAGGGACATTCCAGTTTCATTACCCATTTGGATTGGAGTGCTGATTCCAAGTTTATTCAGACAAACAGTGGAGATTATGAGTTGTTGTACTGTAAGTATTCCAATATTGTTGTTTTTGTTTGCTTCTGCTATGCAAGTTTCTAAAAACGTGAATGTTTCTAGGGTCTATTCCATCAGGAAAGCAAATCACATCCGCCTCGTCAATGAAGGATGTTCAATGGAATACCTTCTCTTGTGTTTTGGGATGGCCTGTACAAGGAATCTGGGAAAAGGGGATGGAAGGAAACGATATCAATGCTGTTGATCGAAACCCACAACACACATGCTGTGCTTCTGGTGATGATAACTCGTATGTCAAGCTCCATCACTGGCCTTGTAATCAAGAAGGGGTAAGGGTTTTGAAGAAGGAAAAAAGCGAGCGAGCAATTATGAATCCTATCGTGCATCTTGCGACTACCTGCTGATACGCCTTTTTCCATAGGCTCCAAGCCGAGGTTACTTGGCTCATTGCTCGCATGTCACGAACGTTGCTTTTACTGCTAAGGGATCTAGGTTAATCACCACAGGTGGTATGGATGGTTGCGTAATGCAAGTAAGTATTTATCCGGAGGATGTTGTCTTTTGCATTTCCAACCTGACCATCTATTTGTTCGTCATGTTTTAGTGGATTGTACAGCAGGAATAGAAAAGCAAGTTAAAGTTAGTACCACAAGTTAAGAGTACAAGTTAGTGATGTGTGTAAATAGATAGCCATAGTCAGTTTTTTTGATATATAGACAGATTTACTAGAAAAAATGAAAGCAAGTTACAAAAAATATGTACAAAACTGGTCTGTCTCTATGTTCTATGATTGCTCTTGTTTTATGATGAACCGTCTAGCTTTACATAATTCAAGGGTAGCATCCCTGATTTTCCCGTTCTTCTGTTCGTTCCTTGCCCCCTGAGCCAAGATGGAGAGGTATTTTATAAGTGACCATTCAAAGTATCAAAATTTACGATCGAAACCAAAAAAAGCTGCTAATCTGTATTGGAATAGCTTACCATCCATCTTGAAACACAGCTGTAATAGCAATCTCATCCCCCGGCAATATATCAATCTCATCTTGATGCTCAGCAGCATATTCAGCAACACCAGCCACAACCACACAAGGACCAGCCGGTGCCTTCCCTTTCTCAGCAGCAGTAGGCTTGACCTTCTGTTCTTCGAACTCAGGCGATGGAGGCGACACCGTCTCCGATCCAGATTTACGAGGCAGAGGCGGTACAGGCAAGTCCTTTGTACTACTACTACTAGATCCAGTGACCGATTTACGTGACGTAGCATCCATAGATTTCCTAGGTACCTTGACTGAGAAATCCGCAGAGCTTTTCCCCTCATATGATAATCGGACCATGCTTTCTAGCTGTTCACGTTCAATGACTGCCTTGACGGACGCGCTACGTGGTCCGGTGTTCTTCTGTCCTACTTTGAGAGCATCCCGTAGTCCACTTACAGTTCTAAAGATTGGGTAGCGGGGTTTCTTACGGTCGGGCATGCTAGCCAAGATCTCAGCTGATGTTGGGTTTTGAGGCATGTTTGTTGTGTTGATATGGGATGGTGCCTTTCTCGGTTTCTTGGATGTCGAGCTTGGTTTCTTTATAGGTGCATCTACGCCACCTGCTAGAGATTGTAGAGATTTACGTCGTTTCAAGTCTTTTCGGCTCGTTCGACTAATTACAAAGAATCCAACCAATATAGCGAGCAAAATAGCTCCTACAATACCACCAGCGAGCGCACCACCTATAGATTTACCGCTACCTTCAGCAGCCATGCCAATAGTTGGATCAACTGTTGGTGATGCATATGGGGATGGAGCGACATTTACGAATGAGTATGGTGCTGGTAATAGTGTTCCATCTGCGTTGACTAGAGTAGCTGGTGGACCAGCAGTCCATTGGTTTTTACGAGCATCGAAAAAGTAGATTGTAGGATCTTGATCTGCTACTGCGCTTCCTGCTCCAGATCCTCCGAATACTGTCAAGAATGGACCAAGTGCGGTTGCTGATGAGTGATATCGGGCTGAGGGAGCATTTACATCTCCTACGTCTCGCTGTACAAGAATGATAATTCAGAAACTCTGGTTGTTTTGTGGATGAAACGTGTGTTCGTACCTGACCCCACGAGTTTGTAGCCAAATCCAATCCAAACAAATCATTTGATGCCACACCCGTCTGAGATGAATAACCACCAAACACAAAGAACGTGTTTCCAATGACGGCACAGCTTGATCCATATCGTGGTGACGGTGCGATCGACATTGTAGACGACACTGGCGACCATACTGAATTCAAAGTATTGAAAATCCAAGTATCGCCCAGTTCCAAGGCATTGCCACGAATATCCTGGGTACCACCGAACAAGATAAAGTGGGTAGAGTTGATGGCACTGGCACAGTGGTAAGACTGGTTTTGATATAGGACTTTTCTTTTAGCTTGCTTGACTTTTTTATGGCTTGAGAGAACCACAAGCTGAAAAGAAAAAGAATCACGCTTACCCGAGCACCAGGATTAATACTGCCAACAACCACCTGCTCAATCCGATTCGCATTCGTATCAACAGACACCATCAGGTTTGGCGCAGCGATGCTCGCTCCACCTGCATCCTTCCCACCATACAGATAATACAATCCTCCCAGATATACTCCGGAATGTGCAGCCCGTCCAACATTAGCACCCGACGTAGTCGTCAGCGCAACATTTGTATATGTGTGTGGTGTAGCCAACGACAGTGATGCGAGCCCAACAGGATACAAGGCAGCTGCAACGTCTGTTCCGGCAGTAGATACCGATCCTCCGAAACAAATGATACGGTTTGGTGTGTTGCTTGTTCCGTCGTATGTACAGGTTTGGTCTCGTACATTTACTCGATTGTTGAGTGGGGTGAATTGGGTGATTGTTTGAGTGGCGTACGCTAGTTGGGTAACGGTGTTTACGTATGTAATTCCGGGTCCGTCTAAGATAAGAATGGATTGTTATGTTTGACATGATTGCTGGTGAACAAAGTGGACGCAACTCGAGTTTTCATCCACATTGTCGTGATACTTACTGCTCTGTCCACCGATGAAGTAAACGGAATCATTCGTAGGTACAGCGGTATGATCTCTCCTGAATTGTAATGTAGAGAGCACAGCTGCCCGGTTTGTTATGCGTTGGTTTGCAAGGGCAACCAAAGCCGGAGCCATCTTATTCTAGTTGACACTGTAATATAAAGGATAGGATCTTGACAGATACTCGCAGATAATGTATGTAAAGTTTCAAAGCGGCACAGGTCTCTTTTTTTCCTTGCTTGATTGGTGTGTCTGTCTATTTTCTTTCGATTTTTTTTTCTCCCAACGTTTTGGTTTCTGCAAATAAGACACCTGGAACATGTGTGATTCGTAACAAGCATTCTGATATACGCAATGAGTTTTATTACACGGGGTTTTTACTTCACATGATGCCCTTTACGAACGAGCCAAAACAAAAGCTGATCTGCTAGGTATATAGAGCTAAAAAACGAAAGTATTAGCGGACAAGATTAATGAATACCGCACACAAAGCAATCGGACGTCATGTAGACAACCATGCTTCACATCAAAAACCATACCTGCAAGTAGTTTGGACGCGCACACCACGGCTCTGGTGTGGTGAAATGGAACACCGATTCATCTAACCTTCCATGACCACAAAATTCTTTTGAATCAGTGTTCAACACGACCTTGTACTTTCCGGGTTCGCCTGCTCCAACTCTATACTCGGTATAGGACTCAGTGGGATGGAAGTTGAAGACAAAGATCAGACCGCCTCGTTCGAAAACAATGATTTTGTCTCCTTCGTGTTGGAGACTGACATACTATAGTGATAGGCCGCAAAATCTGTAAGACGGCGAAACCAGCAAAAATGATATTGACGAAATGATGAAGCAAACCGAACTTGCCTGCGTATCCGCCAACCATTGAGTTTTGGTTTCCAGAGCATGCATAGCTTTATCAAAGGCGTTGAGGAACTTGTATCGTAATAGTTTGTCTTCGGTCAAGTTGAATTGTCGACGTGCGTAATGGAAGCTAGATGCAAATGGTAGAAAAACACTTCAACCGCACGCCTGAATGTAAGAAAGTCAACACCTTACTAACCTGTTGTTGTTACCAGCTCTAGGGAAATCCAACCATTCAGGATGTCCGAATTCATTACCAAGAAAGTTGAGATAGCCCTCACCACCCAGTCCATATGTAATGAGTCTAAACAGTGGACAAAGTGTTTAGACAAAAAATTGCTAACAATGTGCCTCTATACTACATACCGAATCATCTTGTGCAGTGCCAATCCACGATCAATAATGGGTGTCCGAGGACTAATATCAGACATGAAATCATACATCTCCTTGTCCATGAGCCAAAAGGCAATAGTCTTGTCTCCAACAAGAGCTTGATCGTGACTTTCGCAATATGCAATGGTAGGCTCCTTCCATCTTCGATTTGTGAGGGTGTGGCATATGTTTCCCATATTCCAATTTTCATCCTATGGGTGTGTTGAAAATGGGTTTACCATAGAGATCGAGAATCCATGTCTTTTTGGCGCACTGATCGCCTTACCTGAACTTCCTTCAACAGCTTGATCCACATGTCAGGTATAGCCATTGCAAGACGGAAATCAAAACCCATTCCACCTTCTGAAATTGGTCGACACATTGTTGGCATACCTGACACATCTAGTTGACAGAATATCGTGAGATTTCACTTCGCAACGAATATCATGGAAATCAAGGAAAACAAACCTTCAGCGATGGTTATAATGTGTGGATGCAATTGTTTCATGATAGCATTGGCCTAAAAAGCGCGTGAGCTAAACAGGTTACGGTTCGAATGTCAACGACAAAGTACACTACCAGAATCAAATATGTAACAGCTTCTAAATCAACAGAGGCACCAAAGTATTCATCGTAGTTTCCCGAAAATGCAGCTCGAATGCCATGATGCAGATATATCATGGATGTCACACCATCAAATCGAAACCCGTCAAAACCATACTCTCGAATCCAATATCTCAGATTGGAGAGCAGGAATCGCATGACTTCGTAGTGTCCGTAATTGAAAAGCCTGTTGAATTCAAGATGTCAGTCTAATTAGGCGAGTAGGAAAAAACTCTCACAAAGAACGTGCGCAATCTTACCGACTATCCCACAACTCATGTTTCCCTCTAATCCCATCATGGAAATATTGATGTGCTAATTTCAGAGGTTTTTTAAAATCTAGTTCCGACACCCGCACAACCAGAAATCTTACTTGTTCCATCAAAGTTGTTCAAACCGTCCAACACATTGTTGGCAGCATGAGAGTGAACGACATCCAACAAGACAGTCAGCCCCAATCCATGAGCGGTATCAATCAATTCTTTGAGGTCTTCAGGTGTTCCATATCGACTTGAAGGGGCATAGAAACTGCTAATTTGATATCCAAAACTGGCGTAATATGGGTGTTCCATTATAGCCATCATTTGAACAGTATCGTATCCGAGGTCTTTGATTCTGGGTAGTACATTTTTGGTGAATTCTTTATACGTTGCTACACGACCTTCAGGTGAAGCAATTCCAACTAGAGGAATGATAATCCAAAATCGCTTATTATTAGTTTTGGCTCTGAGGCTGCGTGATCATAAACTAGCAAATCTAGAACTCATACTTACCGTGAGCTTCATAAATCCTTGGATTTTGTGGCTTTGGCGGTGATTTGTTCTTGAAAACATAAGGAGTAGGAGGATTCCAAAACACTGCATCGTAAACAGGACTCTTTGATAGATCTTGTGTTGCCCTTTTGATATAAGCAGGTATACGATCTATTTGTTCTCCTGATGGCGTTGACATTGTAATCTAGAGTCATCGAGTTTTAGTCGATGCCAAAAAACGGTAATGTTCAACAAAAATGTCACCTTGATTTTGGAGTTGTGAGGTATAGCTGGCGATCCGTCAGGCTTGTTTGGTAGAAATAGCTCCCAAGTACCAAACTCGTCTCTCTTCATTGGGTTGGCTGATCTATCCCAATTGTCTAGAAACACATGTCTGGTCAGCGAACAGTTCACAATAACAGTTGAATTTCAGCGCGAACAGAGCAGGTAGATACATACTGAATTCACCAATGAGAGCAGCATACAAGACACCGGGAGCCCATTCACGGTACTGAATGCCACCCTTGACGACATTCAACCCTAGTTTCTCGTATGATCTGGTAAAAGCATCGACACTTCCTTCCGTTTTTATGATTTTTGAGTACCAATCTCGTGCCAGCTTCTGCCTAGATGCATATAAATGTTGGGTTTAGTTACCAGACAAGCAGCAGAAACGACGGCAGACTCATGTTTGGTCCATTGTGTGAAACTTTGACTGATTTATCAAAATGTCGAGCAAAGCTTCATGAATGTGATAGATACAAAGAAAGAGAGAGCCCCATACGCGTTTACAAGTCGTTTGAGAACGTGAGATGCACTTACCTGTTCTCGAGAGCGCCCTTAGATTGTGCCAAATATGGATCCAAATCCAACAATGGTTGGACACTTAAAGGAATCGGATTCTCAATATCCGCCGTCATTTCTTTTGGTCTGTAGCTATCAATTATGTACTGAAATATCACTAATACTGTTGTTCTTGATGTTCAAAACAAAAGAATGCAAGTTGCCGTTGAGCTTGAAAGTTCAAGTCTCAAAACCATAAAATGCCGGTCACTATGACGCGAAAATTTGACTTTGATCGTTTTCAATTTTAAATTGGTTACGATTACTTATACAAGTTGTATCGTTCTCAAATCACACGCATCTGCTCCTATTTGGACAGACCTCCAAACTTACACCCTGCCAGCATCATATTGTACAAATTTTACTCTTTCACTCTTTCATGCGACCACAATCCACAATGACTTGTCGATTCTGTGCTCCTGCTGCACTCCATCCTCGAGAGGAAAAGGAGCTTGAAAGATACCTCGTTCGTTTTTCACATATCAGTCAGGTACATCAGGGAGCTTGGTAGAAGATACCAGCAATTATTACGTGTTTGATACACTCAGCTCAAATATCCCTGTGTCTTCCCCTAGCTCTGGGCTCTATTCAAGATGGAAACGACCTCCCAAAGGGTTTCAAATTTTGCTTGGTTAAGTATCACGTCAGAAGCAAATAGCACTATCGCGAATAAGTGCACAAATCACTTTCCACATCTATTCAGATCCGATTAATGGTGTCAGTAAGGCAGTTCTTGATCTTCAAACGCGAAAAGGTCCAGTATTCACCAAACTTTTGCGACTGCCGCAAACACCGACTAGGCAGCTACCAAATTAACGCCGCGACATATTTAAAATAGGTGTATAATCATGTGATAATGAGCTCAAGCACAGTGAATGGTTGCCACTCTTCGAGCTACTGTCCAAATAGGCCTTGTGCAGCCCGCAGTCGACGAGCACTCATAGGAATCAAGACCTCTTGACGGCATAATGAGACGCGTGTGGGATTACCGACATGGCAATCATTGAGTAGAGCCTCCTTTCCAGGTCGAAACGAGGCTTTATCTCCATTCCTGGATATTGCCAACACGATATCACAACCAGGCTACTCGTATCGGTTCCTGCGCGTGAATTACGTATAGAATTTCGTATGGTACGCGATACATATTCATAAAATGACGTAAAAACCGAATTCCTGTACACAAATCTGTGACGCACAACACAAATCGTTGGATATGAATGCTACCGTATATTACTATATTAGGATTAACAAATATGATCTAACCAATATCCCAACCCACCTTTCCACCCGTCTTCTATTCTTAACTACGACGTACCAAAGCGAAGACCGCTCTTGAAATTACATCACAGCAGCCTTACTATAAGCCTCAGCCTCCTTCTCTGTAAACTCCAGCGCCTGATGTCTTCCAGCGAGCGGTCTCACACCCCACATCAGACACTGCCCAATAACCAGCAGCACAATTACAAACAAGAATGCGTAACGGTTGTTGTGTGTTGCGTCTGTTAACGCTGCAGAGACAAGCGGACCAATCCAGCTGGATCCCTTGTCTGTTACTTCGTAGAGTGCAAAGAATTCGGATTCGTGGCCTATGGGCATTAGTTCAGAGTACAGGACTCTGCTGAAGCTTTGGTAGGCGCCGAGGAGGAGGCCGTCTGGTAAACACGAAACGAGAAGTTGTTGGAATTGCTATCTGGTTGGTTGGCTTTCTTTCTCGACTGGTGCTTTGACATGATAAAAGTACTTACGCCATGCAGAAGCAACAATAAACTCTGGCAAAACACGTAATCCAATAGGACTAGATGTAATGAGACCGAGTGCACCCCAAACTGGAACGATGAACGCACAGAACTGGACTATAACTGTCATGGTCCATGTAGATAATTTGAAGAATTTCTATTAAGAAGATCAAATTAGAAACGAGAGGGAGCAAAAAACGAACAAGAAACGCTTCTAATGTGTTTCGACACTGCTCAACAATTGATCAATGCCCGATTGTTGTTTATACCTGAATCTGCCAGAACAACCAAGCTCCAATGACACCGAACACGTAAACTTCCAATGCGAGGATTGCCAGTATGGTTTGAGAGGGATGCAATTCTTTTGAGCTAAAAAAAGCAACAGTCAAGCAAACCGGATGCCAATTAAGCTCGATTCTGTGCAGACACAAAGTACTGACTCACGCGAACAAGATAGCCAAAGCACCAATAGTGTTCAAAGCATCAGATATCATAAACCAAGAGATCTGTTGGTGGTTTTGAAAAACGAGGTGGTGAGTGAGTGACACGTGCCAAAAAAACCTTGAAACAGAATACAGCCATGCCGACCAATACAAGCTACGGCCAACTCTCCAGTCCCCAATCCAAATTCCCCCCAAACACTCACCAACATGAAAAACAATGACGGCAACTGTCTGGCTTTAGACAGCGTCTGGAATGTCTTCTTCCATCCAAACGTATATGGATTTACACCTTTCGGCATAGGTGGTCCTGGTCTTTGTTTGAGCATCATAAAGGCAGGAATCAACAAGACGGTTGTAAACACACCGCCGATGGCGATTGCGACTTGGAGGGAATAGATTGTTGTGCCCATGGCGAGTGCTATTACGGCACCGATTACGATTACGAGGACGGATGTTCCGTATGCAGACCTGTACATACATTACAATATTGGGAATGAATGAGCATGCGCGTAGTGCAGGTATTGAATAACACACGTTAAGGTGATACTTGGTCACGTCTACCCGCGTTTTGGGGCCTTGAAAAGAGAAAAACGTCGCTATTCTTTACAAACTCACATAAAAGCATAAGTCGAGAGCTGATTAGACACTGTTTGGGATACAGCATGCAATTCGTTAAACGACATTCCAGAGGCCTTGGCTTCCAATGTCTTTGGATGGTGACGGGTCAAGATAGGCAAATAGGACAAGAAGAAAACGTAGGCAGATCCCATCGCCATGGATCCAAGGATGCCGTATATCGCACCCAGCCAGTATAGTGTATCCTTTGTGATGGTCAGCCAAGCTAATAAAGTAGTTGTTAAAACACAATGTTATATATTGCAGCTTCAAACTATTGTTTTTACCGAACTGGAAGATGGTTCCGATGATTGAGAATATGATCAAGAACTATGGAGACGACAATTCAAAGATCAATAATACACACAAGAGTACGCACGTGGCGGATGATCAATACCTTCTTTCGATATGTTCCATGATCAGCAGTGGCAGATAGAGTCACGAACAGGAATAGTTGACAAAAGACTGCCACGACAGTCGCGTAGAGAGAGAATGATGTTGGATCCATGTAGGTTGATCCGACGAGGACAGAGCATGAGTAGTTAGGGTCGCTCGTGTTGCACGGGGTTATAAAGTCACTGTGTGGAAGAACAAGAGGATGAGTTTGATGACACACGTTCTTCCCTTAGCAAGCATGCGGTAATAAGCATACAACATACACAGTGGATACTGCAATGTTTGCAGCGCGAGTCTGTATCACGACAGGACCAAAGACAGCGATGCATGCACTAGGGAAGCAGTAGAAGATCAGACCATTTGCTACAAAGGAGAAAAGGTCTCGATGGTAACAATTACCTGAAGAATGGTTCAACAGCAGCAGAGAACTGATACAATTGTATACACGGTTAAGGTCAACACGGTTCTAGGATAGTGGATAACTGTTTACTCACAATGTACCAGCCATAGAGCTCTCTGTTGGAGGTTACGGAGATGTCGACGTCCAGCTCGCCACCTATAAACATAGACATGATCCACAAATGAGTTGAAATCACGGTTGTTATGACATGCGCCAGTACGCCAGCTTCAAACACATAAAGTTGCTCAAGTTCGACACATGGTTTTTCACTCACTTTCAAGAGCCATCTCGGCCGTCATCGGGACTCCCGATGCCGCAGGAATCTTGTCGCTATCACTGACCACCATCGTTGCAGTCTTCTGCTTGGTCTAGCGTGGATGTTTGGAGTTAGCAAGTCGACAAGTTTTCAAAGCCAGACGCTCAAAAATACGCTTCGCTACGTGACGGTAAGAGCAACCATCACAACCATCGTTTCAGAATTATACTATTATTTCATATCAGAATTACGGTATTATAGGTGTGAATGGGTAATGCGTATTAGTTCGTGTATTTTTTTAAGACACCTTCTGTTGATGAGAAGGCTCCCTCTGAAGTATGAGACAACCAAATGAAACCCAACGTGCTCATTCCCACTGGATGACATTGAAAGCACTTTAACGAATATGAAACATGCCCATCACTGCACCTTCTCACTTTGCTCGTCAATTTTTGGCAATGCCTTCAAAGTATCCTTCCCCTGTGCTTCAGCCTCCCTCTCCGTAAACGCCAGGGCCTGATGTCTTCCAGCGAGCGGTCTCACACCCCACATCAGACACTGCCCAATAACCAACAGCACAATAACAACAAAGAATGCGTATCGGTTGTTGTGTGTTGCGTCTGTTATCGCTGCAGAGACAAGCGGACCAATCCAGCTTGTTCCATTATCTGCGATTTGAAAAATAAAGGCTATTCAACGTCATTTTCTTTAAAATTTCCATAACCCAATATTATCCCAATGCATTGTACCAGTAATTGCATGCAGAGCAAAGAATTCGGATTCGTGGCCTGTGGGCATGAGTTCAGAGTACAAGACCCTGCTGTAGCTTTGGTAGGCGCCGAGGAGACCATTGACTAGCAGGAAACAGGAAGAGCGTGGGAATTGTGAGGCTGAAATGTTCCCAAATGATTGGGGAGCAAATCACTTACGACAAGCGGAAGCGACAAAAAACTCTGGCAGAGATCGTAGTCCGATCGGACTAGATTCGATAAGACCGAGGGCACCCCAAATTGGAACGATAAAGGCGCCGAACTGGATTATAAATAACATGGTCCATGTAGATAAGTTGAAGAATTTCTAAAAGTGAATCAAAGGGTGGAAACCCGATAAATGTTTGCACAGTTTGATAAAAGCCAAACGCTTACAAAACAAAGATCAATCTCCTTACCTGGATCTGTAAACACAACCAGGCTCCTAAACCACCAAATACGTAACCTTCCAATGCGAGGGCTGCCAGTATTGTTTGCGACGGATGCAGTTCTTTTGAGCTTAAAAAAGATGTCAGTCAAGTACCAAAAGGTTAATAGCTCAAGCTTCCGTTAAACCAAGATACCATTCTAGTTACGTACGCAAACAAGATAGCCACACTGCCAACAGTGCCCAAAGCATCAGATATCGTAGTCCACGAGAGCTGCAGATTGTTTTGGTAAACATTTTTTTGGGGCGGGGGGGGGGGGGGGGGAAGGGTGAGTTGCAAAAACCAAAATCCAAACTTAATGACTCGATATCAAACACACTCTGAGCATTGTCAAACCACCCTCATTTCTCATCAACTCAAATCTCTCCTTTAGATACTCACCAACATGAAAAACAAGGAAGGCAACTGTCTAGCCTTGGCTAACGTTTGGAATGTCCTCTTCCATCCAAACAGGTATATGTTTACACCCTTTGGAATGGGCGGTCCCGGTCTTTGTTTGAGCATCATGAAGGACGGGATCAAGAAGGCGACTGTAAACACACCACTTATGGCGATTGCGACTTGGAGTGAGTACATGGTTGTATCCATGGCGAGCGCTACTCCAGCACCAACTAAGATGACGGCGATGGATGTCCCAGCTGCGCACCTATGTAGAGTATGGTAAGTCATGTGGCGTCTTGTGGCCATTGTAAGCACCACGATTTAAAAGATTCGTGTCCATATCCGTTGGGGCTTTGTTACGAACAGTGTGCCCTTTTTCACAGACTTACATGACAGCATAGGTTGATATTTGGTTAGATATAGCTTGAGATACAGCAACCAGGTCCTTGAATGACATTCCAGACGCTTTAGCTTCCAATGTGGTTGGATGATGACGGGTCAAGATAGGCAGATACGACAAAAAGAAGATATACGCAGTCCCCATGGCGGTAGATCCAATGATTCCATATATGGCACCCAACCAGTATAATGTATCGGATGTAATAGCGAGCCAAAGAAATTGAGTAATTGCACCGATGATTGAAAATATAACCAGGAACTAGGAGAAAAGAAAACAGATTGTTAAACAACGCCAATAGAATTAACTAGATGACTAATTTTCCAAACCTTTTTTCGATATGTGCCATGATCGGCAGTAGCAGATAGAGAGATGTAAAAGAATAGTTGGCAAACGGTTGCCACGACATTTGCAAAGAGAGCGAATGATGTTGGGTCCATGTAGGTTGATCCCACAAGAACTACGCAAGAGTAGTCTGGGTCACTCGTGTCGCATGCTGTGATAAAGTCACTATGTGGGCGGAAAAAAACCAAACATGAGGACTTTGACAACGATGTTTCCTCCACAGGGTTGGTAGTAGCGTCCAACGGACAAACATACACTGTCGATACCGCGATGTTTGCGGCGCGAGTCTGTATGACGACAGGACCAAACACGGCAAGACACGCACTAGAACAGATGTAAGTCAGCCATTGCACAAATCACTAATGTTGACGGCGATCACTACCTGAAGATTGGTTCAGCAGCCGCTGCGAACTAGTTACAATCATGTAAACAGTTAAAGGTAACTTGGTTATATAAGCTTGAAACAGTGTACTCTAGCTTGCTAACTTACCATGTACCAGCCATAGAGCTCTCTGTTGGAGGTTACGGAAGCGTCCACGTCCAGCTCGCCAGCTATAAATGGTAAGATAAAAGTTTGAAGAACTGATCGTCCATAACTTGAGTGTTGAAGATACACCAGCTCTGACGCAAAGGCTGCGGGCAAGTTCGTTACTCACTTTCAAGAGCAAGCTCTTCCGTCAGTGAGATTACCGATAGAGCGGGAATCGCGTCAAATTCAGTGGCTGCCATTGTTGCTAAAGTTTAGAATGTAATTTGTTGGACGACAAGAAAAGTACGATGAGGCTCAAGATGGCACAAAGCCAAAAGTCAATAACTGACGTACACATTTGCGATAAGGCGCAAGCTTTCAGAAGATCACAGTGTAATAGGCCATCACTCAATTTAAACACACAATTCTGATATTAAAATGGAGTCACGTAGTGGAGATAACCGGGCACTACTGAATTTTCAAATATGGGTGGTGTACGGTCGATTACCTTTCACTGGTTATGTTTACCTGTTTTAGTTACCCTATATGCGCAATATGCGTGGAGAATTCACAGCCGATTCCGATGCCTTAAGAACGTCGTTTTGCGTCCTACAACTATTGTATTCAAGTGAGATTGAGCTTCCTGGAAACGGAGGCGAATACTAGGCAGAAGGATGCATCCAATCTTTGAAACGTACCGATCTGAATAGAGCCTACTTCTCTTTACTCCCTCAGCTGCGTTGATGCAAGAGCTCAAAGCAAAATAATCCTGAACTATTAGTTCATCACGTCTCTCCTACAGATTTCTGACAATTTAATGTATTTCGAGCTGTCATGGATGTATTCGTATTCCTCGCCCACGTAAAATCATTACATCTTGTAACGTGTATCATCTTCACAACGTCTTTCACCTTGTTCCAACTTTTGTCCATTACTAGTTCGCGAACGTCAATATATGGATTTGAGGGCGATGATAGTGATACAAATTTTATTAGCAAAATGACATTAGCAAAATAAGCGTCCGTTGTTATGCCACATACGTGCCTTTTCTATACGCAGAGTATTATCGTGAACACAGCTCATGCATTCATTCTCTCTGCTTCCCACCAATATGCCTCTTGATTGGCATTTCGTGGTCTAATATAGTGGGAGAATGTGTATTGTTAGTACATAGCCATCCGTAGCAAAGTAAAAGTGTAGAACAATAAACACACGTACCCCCTCTGCATCTTCACAATGCAACCTACCGAAGACATGTGTGTAAGGACCGACGTTTTACAACCATCACACTACAAGGCGGACCAAGTGGAGAATGAATGCCAACACAAAACTATAAAGACGAAAACATTAAGCAAGTCCTTCAAAGAATGGCCCAGCTGGATGATTTTGAGTAAAGTAGTGGAGTAGAAAGAGCAATTAAAGATGAAAATTTCAACCAGATATTGCAGGATTTACAGTAGCTCAGCAACAAGTTGGCGAGGTTTGTTCTTTGCGACTGTCATGTGTCAATTTCGTTTTTGACTGATTCCAGTGATGTTGAAGGTATCGAGCACTATTTCCGCTTTCAACAAGCTTTGAATAGGCAGTCTCCATAGATTAGAAAGTTCACCTAATTCAACAAATAAAGATCGAGATCGCGTTGAATGTTGCGAAATGTTGCGAAAAATTAAAAGTTGCGAGACATTGCTTACATCTAGATCTATGGTAGCTACGTGACTGACACTTCGAGGATACTTCTATTGGGTGCGATCACCATAACAACCCATAACAACCACCCTGCTTGTCGTAAAAATCATGAAAACCTGCTTTTGCCTGTAAAAGCAACATAGCATCATAGCAGCATCATAAAAGCATAATACAAAAGCATGTCATGAGCACTGTAGCGGTATGGGTCAAGCTATACGAAAGAGGTGCCAACGATGTCGTTAATGAAGTACAAAGAATGTCTGCAGCACGAGTCAAGTTGCTTTCAACCGAGACTGTTTATGATCTAATGGAATGTCTGGTTAAGGACACATTCAAGGATAAAGTGAATGGAGCTGTCCCTGCTGAATTGGAAGTGTATAAGCATGATGATACTACTATTCCTTTGAGACCAGGCCTGTCATTAGCTGGAATTCGAACATCTGACATGGCACCTTTGAAAATTGTCAGGCCAGCTCCATCTTCTACTACTAGAATGTCCATCGATATAGATAGACCAGGTATGCAAGGTCATCCATTCCCACTTCATCGCATGTTTGGTGAACCTTCTTATCTAGATTCGGTCGCGTGGAATACAATTGTGGATGATCTTCTTCAGCCTATACAGCTGGATTCTGGTGACCTTCCTATTCATGTTATTGAGCAACATATGCAAAGCAAACTTCGTGCTCCACTGCCATTACTCCTTCCCATTTTCAAATACTTGACACAAGGTCAAGTGGATAAACTCAACCATCAGTTTGTCCAGATCCCTACAAACTCTGATGATGATTTATTGTCGGTAGCTAGTATCGTAGACCAAGTCTTGAGAGGCAAATCGGTTGGAAGCGGCGAGAATGCAGGTACAGCACTTTGTGGGAACATTGAGACTTGGACCATTCACATGTCCTTCCATTAGGTATTAAACTATGGGATTCTATAGTAGATATTCCCTTGGACACATTTGCCAAACTTGTCGGAATGTCTGTAGATTCTGGTCGCAATGTCAAACCTCTGCAAAGCACTAGTACTTTCAGACCAGATTTCTTATTATACTATCAGCAACTTCTTATGGTCGTTGGTGAAGAGAAGGCCAACAAGGATATTGCTAAGGCAGAATGGGACTTGAATAAGCTGAACGAACCGCTCGGTACCATCTTTTATGGAAATGTCAAATCATACTTTGCTTACGCAGCTGATTTTGAAAGATTGAGGTTCGGTCGAAGGACGCTTTCTTGGCTTAATCATTAGCTAATCTATTTTTCCCACTTAAGATTATTCAGTATCAACGCAAATGGAGTCAGATATAGATTATTACACGATTTTAGGTTGGTGACAGCATCGGGTCGCTTGGAGGCTTTAGCGGCAGTAATCAATATGTTTCGTATAATTCGGGGTTTGCTCGCACTCAACGAGACTGTTGGATTCAGCCCAAAGTGGTCTCTAGCTAAAGAGTACGAACGTGGCGGAGGCAAGATAGTGAGTTATAAAGAATAAAATTCGGCTGGGCTAGCAAGTGCTAATCCAACCCGAATTAGACTCTTGTCTTTCACAATACCTTTATGGACAAGACGATTCGTTTTCCTTGGGACAACTCTACCATAGAGGTAAGATACTTATTTTAATTCACGCGACAACTAGAACTAATCACCACTCCGACAGGATTTACTCTTAGCTCATTCTGTCGGATCTCCCTTTTTAATCCACCGTATCGGGCAACCCAAAAGGTTGCCGGGCTCAATCGAATTCCGTCTGAGTCCTATTGGCACCAATATTGGTAACATTGAAGATGTGGATACTGGCCGCAAGCTTTTCAAGTGTATTTTGAAAGCTTTGGAGGTAGGAATGGGTTGCAATTTGAATTCAGTATAGTGATTAATTCAGACGCATTTGCAATAAGGCTCTTCATGCTGTTGGCATTGTTCATCGTGACATTCGCTTGGACAATATGATACAGGTGGAGAACAGGTTTCTATTGATTGATTTGGAACATTGTGGACAGGCTGGGCCGCTGGCACCTGGATTTAACAACGGATATGTGCCACAAGAAAAGCTCGGCAAGCATGAAATGTCTTACACCTATGGCTGTGACATGTGGATGCTGATGCAGACTTTGTCTACAATGAACTTCGTCAGATCAGATCCAGAAGTACAGGCAATTATCGAAGAGGTGAACGATTTGGTACAGCTCGACCCTGAAAACCCACGTCTATCTGATAAAACCTTGGCTACTACTATGTTGGGTAATGAAATCTTTCAAAGTATTAGTATTTGAAGAGATGAATCAAACGCTATTTGTCAATTCCAATGTATCCGATGCTATTGTGTTGCCATCATATTAAATATTGCAAACTATCACTCAATAATGTGATGGTGTGATCATCTGATCCAGATACAATATTACCATTCTCCATTACAGCTAATGAATGAACACTCATCGTATGACATCGAGAGTTTTTATCACGGACCCATCAACAGGATTCCATATTTCGATGGTACTATCAGATCATCCAAATAAAAATTACCATTCTCCATTACAGATATTGAAGTGACCAAACTGGTATGACCTGTGAGAGTGTGCATCACGGAACCATCAACGATATTCCATATTTTCATGGTGCTATCCCACGGTCCATATACAAGATTCCCTATACAAGTAGTAAAAACAGGTAGAATCTTCCACGCATATTGCGGATATTGGGTTACCAAATCAGGTATATACAACCAGTGTACGGTAATCGACTGTACATCACCCATTGTTGAAAATTCAGTATTGCCCGGTTATCTCGACTAGGTGACTAGGATGTTCAATGAAATTGCTCCATTTTAATATCAGAATTGTGTGTTTACATTGAGTGATGGCCTATTCCACTGTGATCTTCTGAAAGTTTGCGTCTTGTCGCAAATGTGTCTGTTGGTCTGTTGGCTTGAGATTATGAGACAGACGAAGGAAAGCAACAAGTCCAACCTACAAGGTCACTACGAAAACGCGTTGGAGAACCTGGAAGAGTGCGCTTTCTGTCTTCGATCCTTGTTTTTCGTGGTTTGCAGCTTGCATTAACGTAATGCATGGGATCCAACACCCATTACTATCTGATCTACACTTGGATACGCGATACAAACTCAAGAAAACACGAAGTATCTCTCTTCCTATAGCTGATGATGGTGCGTTGCATATTCGGAAGTTTGTCCAATGATTTGATTTCAAGCCTGACATTTGACAAAACGTCTTCAAGAACGTCAGACGATGAAGGCGATACTTAGGACACTAGGCCAGCGAGCCACTCCACTGATATACAGATCCATTATACGCCAGCATATACAAACTCGAGCATATGTCCATCCAACAAAACCATCTCTTGCTACAATTATACCAAATGCTCCTGCTCCTCGTATGCAACATATATGATACAGATTAGATGAACCATGCTTACTTACCTTCTCTTACTCTATACTAGCTACGGAACTGACTGAAACAGTAATCACAAATGAATCTGGTCGTCCCATCTATCTCGACATGCAAGCTACCACTCCAATGGACCCAAGAGTCCTAGACGCAATGCTGCCATATCTTACTCAGCAGTACGGAAACCCTCATTCGAGAACTCATCAGTATGGCTGGGAGTCAGAAGCTGCCGTCGAGCAAGCAAGATCGGTATGTCTATCATCACTTTGTGTTCTTCTTTTTTTGTTTGATGATCGGAAGGACGATACAATGCTTTAGTGTGTGATCTAAAGCTGAACTACATTCAAAGCTCGCTCAAGACATGCACAACACATATTTGTCTCGTCCTACTCACCACTTTTTTCGCCATCCCCACTATAGCACGTAGCAGATCTCATCGGCGCAGATCCAAAAGAAATAGTCTTTACGAGCGGTGCCACAGAATGCAACAACATGTCCATCAAGGGTGTCGGGCGCTTCTACAAGGGAAAGAAGAAACATATTATAACTACACAGACTGAACATAAATGTGTATTGGATTCTTGTCGTGTGCTACAAGAAGAAGGATTTGATGTCACGTATTTACCTGTCAAGAAGAATGGACTTGTTGATATGAAGGTATATTATCATTGGGCATTTTCCCTTTTGCCTTTTTGCTGCTGTTGCAGGGTCTCACTAATATACATACCCAATGCGTGCATATGCAGGTTCTGGAAGATGCTATTCGGTCTGACACATCATTGGTATCTATCATGGCAGTCAACAATGAGATTGGTGTGATTCAACCACTCAAGGAGATTGGTGCCATGTGTCGATCCAGAAAGATTTACTTTCATGTAAGTTTTGGGATGTTTTATGAGTCGCAGTGTCAAATTTGCTGTCGTGATGTCTCGATCGTAATGTCGAGAATAATTCGTCTAGCCCTCCACCACCTTTTTTTATACCTTACCAAAAACATTCTTCAAACTCATCGCCCACATCATTAACCACACCATCTACTAGACCGACGCAGCCCAAGCAGTAGGCAAAATCCCCATCGACGTAAACAGCATGAACATTGACCTCCTCTCCATCTCTGGCCACAAGCTCTACGGTCCGAAAGGCATCGGCGCACTCTACGTACGTCGTCGCCCACGTGTCCGTCTCGAACCACTCCAATCCGGCGGTGGCCAAGAACGTGGTCTCCGCTCAGGAACAGTACCAGCCCCACTCGTAGTAGGTCTCGGCGAAGCCTGCCGCATCGCAAAACAAGAAATGGCATATGATTCCTCCCGAATCCAAAAACTCTCTACCCGTCTCATCTCTGGAATAACATCTCGAGTTGAACACGTAGTGCGAAATGGTGATCCGGATGCATCCTATCCAGGATGTGTGAATCTATCGTTCGCATATGTGGAAGGCGAGTCCTTGTTGATGGCGTTGAAGGAGATCGCATTGTCGTCGGGCAGTGCATGTACTTCTGCATCGTTGGAGCCTAGTTACGTGTTGCGGGCGTTGGGAGCTGCTGATGATATGGCGCATTCGTCGATACGGTTTGGGATGGGGAGGTTTACTACTGAGAGGGAAGTGGATTATGCTGTGCAACGTGTTGTGCAGCACGTTGATCGATTGAGAGAGTTGTCGCCACTTTGGGAAATGGTAAGCTTTGTTGCATGTGGTGACTGTCGTTGCCTTTTCTTTTGTTTCTTGCGGTATGAATGTGGCACAAGATACTCATACGTGCAATTTCTGCTTCTAATATAGGTGCAAGAAGGCATTGATATCAATAAGATTCAATGGAGTCAGCACTGAACAACAGCATTAGCATTATAGTTTGGTAATTTCCCTTTTTTGGCTTCCTTCACGAATATTTGCATGAAAATAGTATATAAATAAAAGCAGCTTTTATAAAACAGTAAAACAGTAACATTGACAGTCTCATGACGCGTCCTGAAGCTCAATCTCGATCCGTGTTTTTCTCGCTCAAAAATCCGGCAGAATTCGCACACTGCTCTTTTGCATCAATCTTGTTTCACACTCATACCCATAGACTAAAAATCAAAAAAGGTGAGTGCCATGGTAGCCATGTATATAGTAGAAGGAGACGTAACGGCCTAATCCATCCAGATTTCGTTTCCGTTTGCCAACTTTCAAAAATTTTAAACTCAATTTTTTTACCACGTAGATATTTCCTCGTTGAAATCTAATCTAATTTAAACAAAATGGCCGATATTCCAGCAGGTACGATATACACGTATAGAACCTGCTGCTCTCTTGTTCTCCCTCGCAGTGATGGAACATCTGGGAACTCAATATTGACATCAACGCACAAAAAAATTTATAGGTGATCCAGTCAACGGTGCCAAACTATTCAAGACTCGATGTGCGCAATGTCATGTCGTTGAAAAGGTAAATCGCCATTCAGAGGAAGAATTGGAGTCGCTATATTGCATGATGACTCAAGACTAGCTCGCTTTCGTATGCTGGGACGGGCATTGTCGGAAAACACACACACACCCACACATCACCACCCCTACAAGAATCTGAATCACCAAAACCTCGTTAATTGTAGGGCGCCCCACATAAAGTAGGCCCAAACCTTGCCGGTCTGTTTGGCAGAACTTCAGGAACCACTGCTGGCTTCTCGTATTCTGCTGCCATGGAAAAGAAGAAGGTTGTTTGGGATGATCAACAGATGTTTATTTACCTCGGTACGTGTGGTTGTTGTTGAAAAATGGAGGTTATGATTTCATTGTCAACAGGTACTTACGGTGTTTTTCGTTCATGCCACGTCAACAGAGAACCCAAAGAAGGTAAAAAATGAGATTAAACACTCATTGTTGAAATCAATTTCTCAATTTTCTCTTTTACGCACTAGTTCGTTCCTGGAACCAAGATGATCTTCCCTGGTTTCAAGAAGCCTCAAGAACGTGCTGGTGAGTCTTATTTCCTCTACTTTACCATGAAAGTGAACAACGAGTCAATGAGATTCTGATTTCAACTTGTACGAATTAGATGTCATCGCTTACTTGCACCAAGCTGGTGACAACTAGACTATTACTCGACGACCCTGTCCCTGCATATTAGAAGAATTTTTTTTCTCACTAGATCAATCACAAATAAAAATCATTTTCCTTGGCTTGAAATTTGTGTATTTATGTCATGGCGAGTATCTTTGTGTTATTTCATATAGAAACAAAAGGTAGTGTTGTGCAAGGGTTTTTGGAAGTTTGATCTTTGGATTGGAGACGCAGTGCTATTGTTTCTTGATATTCCTCTGCATCGGTGAGTGCCCTCAGTTTGGAAGTTTGATCTTCAGCTTTCCTGACATCTGTTACCTCTGTAAACGACCACTCAAGCATTCCTTTGACATCAACGCATTCATCTAGGACAACGGTTCCAAGTATAGTCATTCCTTGGATCACGTCACCAATATAAAATGCATGACATATGCCATGAAGATCTATTTATACCCCTTCAACGTACTGAGCTTGAAACCTCGGATCCTTGCTCTTCAATACACAATCTATTGACCTATTGCGTATTCAGAGTTTGGAGTTTTGCGATATAACCGAGCTCTGTCAACGACGCGTAAATTTTAAGCTGAGACTGAAGCTATTGTTCGTTTTCATCCAACTTCCTTTAGCTTCAGCTTTTGTAGCTTCAAAAACTTCAACACGTTCAGTCCTCACGCTCCCCAATCCCAAGCACAAACCATGACAGATACAGTCAAACTAATCAGCTCAGATGGCTTCGAGTTTGTTATTGATCGTAAATGCGCCATGGCTTCTGGAACGCTGAAAAACATGTTGTCAAGTCCAGGCACGTTATTTGTGACATTGATGGTGTTGGAGGAAGAGCGTCATAATTCCCTGTGATTTTCATTGAATTTATTAAGTGTCGACTCTCTTATTAACCTCTTTCGAATGTACGTTAGGCCAATTCACGGAATCCATTCAAAATGAAATCAGGCTTCGAGACATGAAGTACGTACTCGACCTCCTTAAGATCCAAATCCTATCGCATAGTTATTATTCATTTTCATCTTGCAATATTTTGGATCTCTACTGTCATGTCTTTCAAACCATGCATCAAAACAAGCCAACAGTATACACACTGATCCCTTCTCTCAATTCACGCTAGGGCTATCATCGTCGAAAAAGTATGCAAATACCTGTATTATAAAGTGAAGTACTCGAATGCTACATCGGATATCCCACCATTCCCAATGGAGAATGATTTGGCTCTTGAATTGCTCATGGCTGCTGATTTCCTGGATGTATAAGAGTAAAAGCCGCTGAAGAGTGAATGGAGAGAGGATTCGAGTGTAAATATTAGGAATGAAGCTGTATCATAAACAAAGGAAACATTTCGCATTAATGGTTATGTGAATTGGTTCCAGTTTCGATAGATCTCGTTTTGTCCTCGTCACTCAACCTCAACATGCAAAAGGATGGACAAAGTCATCATTTTGCAAATATTCGGTCTCCTTTTCTTTTTAAAATGGTGTTACAAATTCTCCAAAACTATACATCAAAGCGAATCAAAAAGAAGTCCCTTTGAAAGCACCTTCTTCCCATATAATATTTTTGTTTCTTTTGGCTAACTACAGCTTTATTGCAGACTAAAAAGAGAGCACAGGCGTCAGTGAGGACAAAAGGTCTTCTCGGGCGTACAGCCATCATGAAATCACAGATGCAAAACAATATCAATTTAAATTTAACACATACTCGCCAGCCAACTCACTTGAAATAAGCATCCATGCCAGTCCCATGAGAAGCATTAAACTCATCAGCATCCATCGTAACCATCGAAACAGGTGCAGGACCTTGCTGTTGAGTACCACCAACACCTCCTACCATTGGATAACCACCACCGACACCACCTCCTCCAACAACACTATTATAATCTACAGCATTACTACCAGCAGGTAATCCCATTGCAGACATACTAGGTAGAGCTTGCATCCCAGGATGTGCAGACATCATTTGTGGTGTGGTATTACCTAATAATGATGATGACGATGATGTATGACCTCCCATATTATGACCGTTATTATTCATGGCAGCTTGCTGTTGTTGTTTCTTAAATGCTTGTCGTTCAGCAAACAATTTTTGTCGTTCTCGTTCTAGATCTCGTCGTTCAGTTTCTAGTGCCTCTTCCATCTTTTCAAATACTTCGAGTTTGAGCTTCATCTTCTTCATTTGTAGGGATGTTAATTCAAACACGAGACGGGCTGCTTCTCGTTCTTCGTGGTTTGATAGAGAATATGATTTAGCGGCGGCAGCACCTATTGCTGTTGCTGCTACACTGGATAGGTCATTGGTTGATGATGTGGCTGTTGTTCCATTCTCGAGTTTGGGGTTGCTACTAGTTCCATTCATTGCAACATCATGATCATCTGTATTATTAATACCACGTTTAGCATCTAGTTTCTTGACCGCAGCATCAGCAACAGCTTTAGCAACAGATGGACTGACGAGTGAAGATACAAAGGTGGCCAACGTCAATACAGGATTATCAGCTTGACTCACTACACCAGCCATACCACCATATTTCACATCAGGTCCACCTAATACTAGTCCAGCCTCCGATAATCCCAAATAAGGTTCATCAATAGGCAAAGCCAAGAAATGTGCTAGACATTGTTCAGGTGATTTACTTCCTACATGCATGGCAATTTTATTCCAATCATCATGCATTTCAACACCTTCTAGCAACAGCAGAGATTCTTTATCAGTCCATGATTCGGCTTTTGCGGCGGTTGTTTTGTCACTTGGCTTATCTTCCAGGCGTACAAAGTCTGCAGCGTAGAATGCGGATGGGAAGCGACCTTCTGTATAGCAATTGGGACAAATATCTAGAGTTGGGTTTCGGACACAGTGGAATCGTTGTCTAGAGCATTCGACACCACATGTTGAGCAATTGACTTTGACTCTTTTGATATCTGGTCGTTCATCGGATGCATCTTCAGTTTTGACTCGTTTTGCGGCGTTGGTTGTAGTTGCTGTTGTTGGTGTGATCGCTGGTGACGATGACGACGTACCAGCGTTATCGTATATATTACGAGAGGTACTCAGTCCTGCATCTAATGGCTTAACATCTCCTGTTATATTGCTGCTTGTTGATGTCACGCCTGCCATGCTATTACTACTATTGATGATACTACTATTATTACCGACGGGACGAGGCATGGGAGCGGCAGGTTGGAATGGCACAAGGCCTCTTGGAGTATCAGCAGTAACTCTAAAATGGCCAGTAAAGGCAGGAGCCAAATGGGACGGTCTCGAGTCTGGGTCGACCTGGTAATTGATGAGGCCCCATTGTTCCAAGAATGCATGTACCCTTACGATGGCACATACATCACCAGAGAGATTCCGTCTGCAGGCGGTGAGACTGAGATATTCGTTTGGATTTAGTCGATAGGTGTTTATCATAAAGTCTCGATAGTCTTTATATATCTGAGGGGTCTTTGACTTGTTTCTATTGTTGAAGAATTCGGGGACGCCATTGACTTCGGTTGTGTGAATGTCGTTGAATTTGAACCAGGCAGCGTAACTTGGGATGATGATTTCGTGAGGTTGTGGGACGGGGGGTTTTGGGTTTGCGTATGGATGTGGTGATTGATCGACATATTTTACATTTCCAGTGTCTTGATGTAAGGGAATAAAACGAGATTGGTTAGAGATTGTAGGAATGAGTTGTCGTCGAATGATTTTGGGAATTTGCCAGTTTTAATGTCGAGGCTGCGCTTATAAGATGAATGGGAGGACGTACCAGCATCAGCAGGTTTCTGGTCGGCTCCATCTACATCCATGCCATCCATGTCTGTTTGTCTACTTGATATATAGACGTTTTGCCCCCGTTGTTTTGGTTGGTCGACAATGTTTTGAATCTGTTTAAGTGAAAGGGTCGAGCTGTTAAGTAAGGCGAAGATATTAAAAAGAACCCCAAGAACATGCTGATAGCTTACTATTATTTGAGCTGGCTCTCCTTGCTCTCTAAATGAAGTTTATTTGAGAATTGTCCTTGTTGAGAGTGGAAGGAGTTTGAGAGAAGCGAGCAGCTACCAGGTACAGTCTACGTGCTTTACGCGTCGATAACATCTTACCGTAATTTATTTAATATTACATTCGCTCAACTTGCCCTTAGTCCCATCGATTTAGCACTCGTTCACCAAACAAAAGTTGACGATGGGCAATGTATTCAATAAACCAGCAGCCCCACAAGGGAGGAAGATAACAGACAAGGATAGAGCTGTCCTCGACCTCAAAGTGCAGCGGGACAAGTTGAAACAATACCAGAAAAAGGTAAGAAACGAGTATCATTTGAGAATGTTGACGATTTGTAGTGTTTATTCACTAACCATCCAATCTTATTAGATACAAGCAGTAGTCGATCGAGAAGTCCAAGTGGCCAAAGAACATCTCAAGAATGGAGACAAGAGAAGAGCCCTCATTGCTCTGAAAAAGAAAAAGTATCAACTGCAACTGCTCGATCAGACTGACAACCAGCTACTCAATCTAGAACAATTGGTACTTTGCTTGCATTCGTGTGACTCGTGTTGCATTCGCCGCCTCTCATATCTGTCTATTAGACAAACTCGATCGAATACGCTCTGGTGGAGCAAGACGTGATTAAAGGACTGGAACAAGGCAACCAAGTCCTCAAAGAAATACACAAGGAATTGTCTGTAGAAGCTGTACAGAAACTCATGGATGACACCGCTGATGCTATTGCCTACCAGAATGTATGTGCATGTGCTGTAATTACTTCAACCAAGACACACAGTCATCGTCCATACCTTACATAGGAAGTGGAAGAGATACTTGGCTCCAAGCTCACTGAGCAAGATGATGCTCAGATAGAAGCTGAATTGGACGCTATGGTGGAACAGCAGCAAGTACAGCTTCCTTCAGTTCCAGTGGAGCCTATCGACCTGGCATTACCAGATGTGCCTGATACACAGCCAAGGATACGTATTCCAGCAAAAGGTATTGTGATCTTTGGTCGATCCAAAAAAAGGATACAAAGTAACATACGAATCTTTACGTTAGCTTCGAAAGTTGATCAGACACCTGAAGATCCTGTTGCTGCATAAGTCATTCTGTATTTTTCTCTAGTTTTATTATGAATCTCAAACATATATAAAAGAAGCATGGATCCCACATGGATCATTTCGGAACGGCGTTATCGGAGCATCGCACTGAAGTCTGAACACGTTCAATCACACCGTTCACAAGCAGCTTTTTGTGATGTTGCCGTTATCTGCTGCGATGTCTCGAGAGGGATCCCAGTCACCTCCAAGGAAGTCCCTAATTGCATCGAGTGCCATGTACTCTGTACGTTTGATTTGATTTTGATCGCTTGAAGTTTGGTTTTGGATGTGGACATGATGAGGCACATTGAAAATATAAACTCACACAAGGAATCATTTTCATTCACGCTAAATATCCAATCTAGGCCAATGGATCACCAACTCCAGGCTCGGCATCTTCAGATAGAATACAAGCATTAACAACATCGTCTAGTCGGCCCAGTTCGGTTTTCGAGACTAGGAATGTCATATCACCACGACAATTAGCGAAACATGCTGTTGTCAAGAATACTAGAGAACTTTTGTCTTCGATCAGGTGTGTGTCTTTTATTGTGTTGGATCTGTTGGACCAAACTTTAAGATTCTTATCTTTTGGTCCTATCTACTAGTACTGTGACAAAGAATAGAACTGGGTCTGTCCTTGGACGTCAACTTATTCTGAAATCGGATCATTTTGATACTGGTAAACAGTTAGCATCTTCGGCAGTTGGGGAAAAGGGACACGTCAACCAACCTGTATAGCATCACTCACTCATTTTCTTTTTTTAGCTTTAAACACTCAACTCGAGTTCTACTTACAAGGAGCTCCCAATTTCAGATTCACTGATCTCAATATATACGGAGTCGCTCAACCTACCGTGTCAGGTGTATCGACCGTCTTGACACTCCTGAACTGTCATCCTACCGGTGATCCAACTGCTTCTGCTATATGGTTTTCGGCTAGAGAAGAGCCTCTTGTGTAAGCAATGCGAAAGCAAAAAGATCGATGCAAGACCACACTTCGAAATTGATCTCTAATGACCTGTCCCTCATCACTGTTATATTGCTAACACTGTCGCAATTAGATATATCGCTCGCAAGCCATTCGTGCTCAGAGAAGAAGAGTCGCCGTTACAAAATATCAAGTCGTATCAAGGAATCAGTATATCGAGACTAGAACAAATGGAAGTACGATTGAAAGAGGATGTCATTCGGGAAGCTACAAAGTACAATCAGATGATTCTTGTTCATGATGAACTAGGTAAGCTTCATGAGCTGATAAGTTTAGAAGATTGCAGTATCGTACAAATCATATTTTTTTCCTGTTTTATTTTTTACGTAAAGATGTTTTTCTCATTCTTCTTTTTTCTATAGATAACGGACGAGTAGTCCCATCATGGATGTCAGCAGATATAGTGCAAACGCCACGAGAAGTGTTTAATTCCTTTTGTGAATATGGATATCGTGTGCAGTATATTCGTATACCAGTCAGTCCCGAACAAGCACCTGAAGATCGATACTTGGATGAATATGTCAATGCTATCAAGAATAGCAAGACTTCTGAAGCTCTTGTCTTTAATTGCGGGATGGGTGTCGGTAGAAGTAAGTTTGGTTGATCGATTGCTGTGGTTTCCCTATTCAACTTGTAGAGGTTGCTTACTTTTTTCGGCTTCAGCAACATTCGCAATGGTCATGGCTACACTAGTTCGGAGAGGACAGCATCTAGCAGAAGGCAAAGAAGATCCGGTTCCCATTGGTGGTGTGACTCTCAAAGGAGGATCTGATGGATCATCGGACCTGTTGGTTGACAATGATGATTTCCAAAAGACTCGTGCTGTACTCAAGTTGATGTATATTCTCGAAAGGGGTGAGATAAAACAACTTCCTCGAGTCGTTTTCTCCTTCACAAATGGTGACAAAACTGCTCTAATCAATTCGGATTTTCCTTGTTTTTAGGTCTTGAGGGCAAGATTGGTATGAGATCCACTGTCGATCGAGTCCTTGCTAGGCCAGCAGTCATTGACGACCTGAAGAATGCTGTGCTGGGGAACTATCAAGTCGTGTTACAGTTAGCTAGTGTGTTGCAACAAGGCGCGAGAACGAAAAGAGTGTTGGATGAAGTTGTTAACCAATGTGAGTATCGTTGATTAAACCCTCCTTGAGGAAAAAAAACGAGTTGGCGGAGTGCAGATATATAATCTTTGATGTGTCTACACATGCACTTATTGAACTGATGAAATAGGCGATGTCATGATTAATTTACGGGAAGTGATATTGATGCATCGTGTTGCATATGCCAGTACCGGTGATCCCGTCATGTTGGAGAAAGCATTAGGTTGTTTGGAACGATACTTTTTCTTATTGGCATTTGCCTCATATGTGAATGAAAACTCGAGCGATGGATTCCAAACACCGTTTAGTATTTGGCTTGGAGCTCGACCTGGTATGAAATAGCAGTTTGATGTGGCGAACAAGAAAACCATCATCGAGGAAATTCTGATTCTCGTTTTTGGTTTGACAGAGATCTTCAGAATGCTTGAAGGCATGAGACGTAAAGGACCCAGACTGTATTTGTTTAGACCCGTCGAAGATTTGGGTGTCTTGTCTGAATCTGTCACTCCTTCTTCAAAGCTGTTGCGTACTTCCACTCATCAAGGTGGTGAACGTACGCAAGAGAATGAAGCGGAGAAGTATGTCATCAAGGTGTGTACGTGTGTTGTCCACTTCTTTATTATGCAACGCGTCCGAGGAAGTCTTGCTTTGGTCAATAGCACGACAAAAGTCCAAACTCTGTAGAATGCTAATCTTCGCTGGTTTCCTCAACTAGTCACGACAAGGAACAGTATTGGTACCCAACACAATTCTCAAAATGGACTTTTGGTCATCTTCAAGTTCGTCTACGAATGTTATTGAAGGAGCTGCCAACTTCAGGTAATTTATTGGATCGAAATCAAATTTATATGGAGCGAAGCTGTCTTTTTCTGTGTTGACGTTTACTCAACCCACAGGAGGATCGCCACACAAAATATATATGGAGTTGCCCAACCTACTGTTCATGGAATGGAGAATGTCATGGCCAATTTGAAGCAGACTGATCCATCACTGACTGCTGTGATATGGTTGAATCTTCGAGAGGTATGAGGCTCAGGCTCCATTGATGTTTTTTCTTGCGATAATGATATCATGTGTGAACTTTAACGCCGATACCTCATTTCAGGAACCTTTGGTGTATTGCAAGTATGTCCTGACGTTGCACTTGCTTGAAACAAGCAGCCCAGTTGGATGTTGTCTCATTTTTTCCCTTGAATCTCAGTGGTATCCCATACGTCTTACGAGATCGCTACCTCACACTCCGAAACATTCGTTCATACTCTGGCATAACCGGAGAACGTCTCGAACTAATGGAAGTTCGACTTAAACAAGACGTCCTTCAAGAACTCGACAATTACGATAATCGGATTCTCCTACATGCTGAAACACCGGATGCACAAGTTGTCCCTGTATGGGAAGACTGTACTGCCGAACACGTACAAACATTACGAGAAGTCATTGATGAATTGAAACATGAGGGTCATCCCCTTGAATACAATCGGGTGCCTATGACTGCTGAGACTGCTCCCGATGAGTCTGATTTGGATACGCTGTTGCAGTTATTGACTAGGAGGGCTACTAGGACTAGCGCTATTGTTGTGTGAGTTGTTTGTAGGGTGTTTGTTGTTGATGATGCCAATCGATTGGTTCGCTGAACTTCTTCGGCTTTTTCAGCAACTGTCAAATTGGACAAGGTCGCTCGACAGTCGGAACAGGTAAAAAGCACGTACTGTTTTGGTGAAAACACTTGCATCAGGTTTTCGATTGATCTCCGCTTCTTCTACATTCTTCTCACGCAGCTTTATAAACATTTCTTAGCGGTGGCATCCTTGGTAATGCACTGGCTGAACAATACCAAACCGTCTCATTACGACGCCATGCCACCAAATGCCAAACCACGAATCAATTACCAAATCATACACTCGCTTTTACGGGTCATTCGTAATGGTCTGGAATGTAAAAACATGGTGGATTCCGTCATTGATGATTGTGGACAATTCATGAATATTCGTGATTCGATTGAACAGTGTCGTTTACAAGCTGAGAATGAGTCTGATAAGGATTTGAAAAAGAGGGCGGTTCGCCGTGGGTTGTTGAATCTGAAGAGATAGTAAGTTCGTTTAATCAAATCGTTGGTAGCCGTGGTATCAAAAAACCATTTGCATTGCATGTTGAGCTTTTTCTGCTCACTTCCTCTTCGCCCTTCTTTCTTGATGACAGTTTCATTTTGATTCTATTTCAATGCTACCTGGATCAAAATCGTCTCGATCACGTTACTCAAAGGAATGAATCATTCAAGTTATGGATGGATCGACATCCTGAATTTGCAACTATACGAGAAGATTTTGAGAATGCTGATATTCAAGCTCTTGTGCCTGTTGAAAAGTTGGCGCCTGGTAGATTAAGAAAGACCATTTCTGCATCGAATGAAGGGCTTTTTTGCTCACATTGCGAATTTTTGTAGGTGACGGAGTGGCGCTGACAAATGAAGTCCTGAAAGTGGTTAATTCACGAAATGGACAAGTGTTGGCTCAGCAGACTATATTGAAACATGATATGTTCCCTGGATGTCAGAAGCTGTCCTTGTCTGAGAGAATTGAAGGTACGTCGTGCTTCTGTGAAGGCACAAAACAGAGAGAACTAACAGTCGCAATGAATTTTTTAAACAGGTTCTCCCAACTTCCGTTGCATATCCCTATCAACAGTCAAATCCCTCGCAACATTTGGCAACTCTGTTATCGGGTCGCCAAATCCTGCCACTACACCCATCGCATCATCATTCCATGCTTCTGCTATGATGGGATCATCTATAACAGCATTGAATGCGCCCATGTTGGACAAGGCTGGTGAAGGACCGTTCGTGTATGGTGTTGCTATGCCTACCAAAGATGCTATTAGACGAGTGCTGAGTCGTATCGATGCTGGACCTGGTGGTTCGAGATACCTGTTGTGGACCTGTCTGAGGGAGGAACCTGTTTTATAGTGAGTGTCATCTCGTTGGTTTGGGATCGTTGTTTCAATGCTAACGCATTGTTGCTGATAGTGTGAATGGTAACTTGAACATCTGTCGATTGAGTACTTCGTCTTTTTCCCCTCACCCTTCACATGCATAGGTCGGCCATATGTTTTGAGATTGTTTCAGGAGCCTCTCAAGGTACATTGCACGACCTTTGCGCTATACTTCTTTGAGCTTGACGAGGCACCTCAATTTCTGAGCCCCGTACTGAGTCTTATAATATTTAATCGTTCAGAATTTGGAAGCAACTGGCATATCGCGACTTCGAGTTGAAAGAATGGAACATCAAATGAAGTTGGATGCCATCGCTGATTCCAGGCGATATGGAGGACGTCTTCTATTGCATGAAGAGGAAGGAGATGCTAAAACTTACTCCATTGTGGTAAGCTGAAGACGGAATCTCCTACGTTTTTAGCAAGGGCTATTCAAAGCTTAACTCCTTCACCATTTTAGCCTGTTTGGGAAACAGTCAAGGAACAAGACATCCAAACACCCATGGAAGTTTTCAAGAGCATAGAAAACGAAGGATTCCATGTCAACTACCTTCGTATACCGATAACAGATGAACAAGCACCCATTCCAAACGTATTTGACGAAATGGTTGAACGGCTGATGGGTGTCCAAGGCAACACTGATGCCATGTTCAACTGTCAAATGGGTCGAGGACGTACCACAACCGGTACCGTGATCGCATGTCTCATGGAAATGATTGTGGGCAACGATAAAGTACTGCTGAATGCCTCTTATATTGATGAAGCTGACATGATGTCTGAATCGATTGATAAGTCTGACACGAGTGCTGGTGGATTGTCGCCATCTATGAAGAGATATCAAAATGGAGAGTATAAGATGGTGCTGCAACTTATTGGAGTTTTGGCTTATGGGAAATTGAGTAAGAGGTTGACGGATAAGGCACTTGATGCCTGTGATCATATACAGAATCTGAGGGTTGCGATTTTGGATTACAAGTTGAGAGTTGAAGCCCTTGATCCCAAGTCTCCAAAATATGCTCAGTTGAGAGATGTTGGATTGAACTGTGAGTTGCAGTTGCAGAATGTGTCTTATGGCTTTTTTTTGCTTACACATCTCTGGGTTCTCCTTCCAACAGATCTAGTACGATACTTTTTCCTGCTATGCTTTGCAGACTATCTATTAGAAGAAGCTACTCAAGTTGACCGTACCTTGGCTACACAAACACGACCCTCAGCCCTCTTCGACCATGACGATGAGGAGGACGATGACGACCTAGAAGAAGAAGATGAGGACCATACAGGATCTGCCATGACGAGTGCCGGATACTGGAATATAACAGGAAACAACAATAATGGCAGTAGAGGTGATACACCACAACCTGGAAAAGCACCACCGATCGATATGGCTAGTTCTTTTGAAGAACATTTTAGATCACAAGAACGATTGTCTGTTGCTATAAACCCGTTGACTCGACCACGCATAACGTTTAGTGAATGGTTGCGTGAGAGACGGGAGATTTTAAATATTGTTAGGAAGCATAATCAAACTTTGGACTAATGTGAATGGAAGGGGATAATGAGATATATGAAGATACCATCTGACGAATAGCTTGTTAATGCTGTATCGTATATTTTTGTTTTTATGAATTTACCCAGTAGTAATAGTCTACATCTTTGCACATTAAAATATTATTTAATAGAATTTGAGCTTTAAGTTGTGAGCTTTGCACTTACAAAGAGGTTTTTTACAGAGTATTGCATTATTTGTGAGCTTTACATTTACACAAGGCCTTTGATATTCATTGACATATTTGCAGCGGGATTTCTTGCCTTTGGAAGTTGAGAAGGGTTTATACTTCATTATTGTTGGCCACCAATGCTTCCGTCAAATGTTTCAGCTTTCTAATGAGAACACCAAAAGACTGAGTCAAATGAAGCGGACGCACAGGAAGCAAAGGAGTCAAACTTCAGATTCAGTATCATCATTCTGAGATCCACCGTTCTTGGAGTGTTGTCAAGAGCAGCCATGATGAGGTTGACCACACTCAATACAAATCTCGTTGCCAAACATACCACAGAATACAGTTTTCATTGATGGTGATGATGTATTGGAGCGATTGATGACAGACTTGCACCTATACCATTTTGGCTTTTCCGTAGTAGCGTTTGCTTCATTCATGATACGAGTATTGCATATTGAGATTCAGATTGACTGCTTTCGACTGGGATAGACTTCTTACAGCCACCACAAGTGCAGCAACATATGTTGATCGCAGAAGCCTTTGCTTTCATTCAAGATGAGACTTTGACCGACGACGATGACGCCACGGGTGACTGCTGAGATGATGGTGCAGCTGGAGGCACAGATGATGAAGACGAAACGGTAGATGATAGATCCAACACTACAATATGTTTGCGTGATAGCGACATGGAATTCGAGAGCTCGTTGACGTCCATCTGTGATCCGGACGACATACGTAATGGCTTCGATAACGTTCAATCGGTCAGGTGGTGGTTCTATCCTATTACTCCTGGTTGCGATCGGTCGGGCATATTCATTGCATAGTCGTCGATGGGCTTCATGCAAGAGAGTCGGTAAATATATAATCTGCTAGTAGTCGTCGTACCCAAGCTACCACCAGAAATAGTCGTAAGCTGTCTGCACCTCGGTGTTATACTTTGAATGCAGCCAGAGCCGGTCCCAAGCCCGGTTGAAATGAGGAGGGGGTGGTCATGTTTTTGGTTGTATCTGTTTTTGGTCTGCTTTTGTTTTAGGTTGCATAATTGAAAGTCGGGGTAAACATTCATAAAATTCCATCCCGAATTAGGATTTCACTCGGCGAAGCTCCCCGATGAGCAGTGTGTGCAATTTGTTGGGTCTTGTGTTGTAGGATATGATCTGTTGCCCATCAAACTAGTTCGGACAGACAAAACGTTGTCAGTTAGTCTATTCGATCAGGCGCAGGTGCCAGCAGTCTGGCGTCCGTAGCAATTGACGTTGGTTCTGACTGTTGTTACGAACGTGATTTGTGAGAGAAGCTTAGTCTCGAGGTAGATACCAGTCATTTAGCGGCCCACATCGTTCTATGAAAATTGAAATGACGCGTTGGATGTCCACTGTTTAGTGCCCAAGCAGTTTTAGGTGGATGTTGGTCTAGATTGTTGAATTCACGAGTTTGTTGCTATGTTGCAGTTGGGAAACATGAGTTTGCCACACAACCTAGGAGAGAGAAGGAGGTAGCATCGAACACATTCTCACAAGTAGTCTACCCTTAGGTCGGCAGCATGGTTCCGTTGCATGCTCCAGCCTCTGAAAATCCGTTACACATCATCCCAATTCCAGCTTCGACCAAACTACACGGCGACTATGATGACGGAAATGGATTCTCTGGCTTTAGCTTATCATCAAACACCGTTATCTACCATCATAGCCACGATTTGGCCTCCTGTGCTGCGAGATTATCACGCACATTGAACTGCTCCAACTCTGTCCACTACGCTGCTGGAGAATCAGACAAGATAAAATCATCTCGTACCAGTAATTTTACCGACATTAATTCTCAAGTCCTGCCTCATGGAATCCATTTGATTCTACTACTGCCACCCTCCAATCGTGACAACCACAACACAGCTCACAACAACCCAAAGGACGATGAGGCCTATGAGCTGAGTGTCGTCGATGCCAATACCATAACTATAGTAGCATGTGGAGCTGCTGGTGTATTCTACGGGTGTACCACTCTGGATCAGATGTTGTCAACTGCTGCAACTATTCCTCGAGTCACTATCATGGACTTCCCAAAGGTGGAATGGAGAGGCTGTCATTTGGATTGCAGTCGTCACTTTATGGAAATTGACTTCATCAAGAGGTAACAAACCATCTATTTCGTCTTGTCAACAAAAACACCATAACACGAATGTAATCGGATTCTCACATCCGCACATGCTCTCTTTCTAATATACATCAAACTATAGATTTTTGGAAGTACTAGCCTACCACAAGATCAACCGATTCCACTGGCATCTGATTGACGACCAAGGTTGGAGACTCGAGTCTCTATCATATCCAAACCTGACAGAAATAGGCGCTTGGAGAGATGATGCTGAAAATCCAGGCAATAAATATGGAGGTTACTACACGCACGATCAAGTTCGTGAGGTTTTGGCATTGGCTCAGAACCTTCATATTGAGGTTATACCCGAGATCGAATTGCCAGGACATTGTACAGCTGCTCTTGCTAGGTGAGGGAGCCCTATAAAGCCAGTTTCTGTACTTTTTTCGCTTACTAAATTACATTAACACCTTTATCAGCTATCCTGATTTGGGATGTACTGGTGGTAAGTTTGTCAAACAGGCACCTTTGACATTGTGATTGTGTATTCAGTCTTGCTCCTCTTTGGTTAGGCCCATATAAAGTAGCTAATCGGTGGGGTATATACGAGGATGTGTTTTGGTAAGTATTCCAAGTACTACACCGTCGTGCTTTCTTGTCGCCCCTCATTTCACACGAATTTTCTAACTGCCAGTGCCGGAAACGAAAACGTCTTTACCTTCCTTGAAAGTGTCTTATCCGAAGTCGCGGAACTCTTTCCGTCAAAATACGTACACATTGGTGGTGATGAATGTCCAAAAACACGATGGGACGGGTGCCCTCGATGCCAAAAGAGAATCGTGGACAATGATTTGGCCAATTGTGAAGAATTACAAGGCTGGTTTGTCAAAAGGGTTGCTAGTATTTTGAGGAAGAAGGGGAAGGTTGTTATTGGTTGGGTAAGTTCTCACATGTGTTCTTCAACAGTATTAAAATAAATGACACGCTGTTTTTGCCTTTGCGACAGGATGAGATTCATGAAGGAGGATTGCCTGAAGGTGCTGTCGTGCAAAGTTGGAGAGTAAGTTTGCGCTGTTGTGTATCCATTGTCGAGTTTTAACACTCTTCTTTGTAGGATTGGAGTGGTGCAATTGATGCAGTTCGACTCGGTCATCAATCAATAACGTCACCTGTGTCGCACTGCTATTATGATTGGGGCATAAAATAGTAAGTGACCAATAAACCCTCCAGGTACATCAAATCCACAAAGGAACTAGGACTCATCAGCCCTCCATTGCTGATAGCATCAACCTAGAGAAAGTATACTCGTTTGATCCAGTACCCCGTGGTCTCTCCGCCGAAGAAGAAGCACTTATATTGGGCTCTGAAGCATGCATGTGGACTGAATTCGCTACCAGAAAGGATGTATTTGGCAAGGTGTTTCCTAGGCTATTGGCTCTCTCTACCAAAATGTGGACACCGAGGTCGACAACTGATTTGATTAGCTTTTCTGATTTCTTTGAAACGGTTACCATGTATCATATCCCGAGATTGAAGAAGATGGGCGTTGAAGTCTCGGATGGGATGTGTGATTCGTTGAAGGCTCGGCCCTGATACTTGCTGTTATTAACTATAGTTTGCTGAATGAATGTAGTAGTTTTATCGTGATAATTAGTTTGGTAGCCTCGCTAGTAACATGATTGCATATTGACTCTTGAAAACAGACTTGTGTTTGGTTGTTTCGATGCGCTTTGATGATGCAGAAGACTGAACTGAAGTTGGTTGATGATGCAACAAAAAGCTACACTGATCTTATGCTTGTCGATGATTCTATTTTTCCAACACACATTTTTTTCTTAAATTACTATACGAACACTCGTTCTTAACTACTCTCTACTCGCATCAGGCATCCAATTTTTAAATTAACGCGTTGATCAACACCGTGACCGACAACACCACAAGCCCAACCAGCTCAACACCGATTTTGCTACATCCACTTCCATTACTTGACGCCCCAGTCACATTAGCTATAGCCGAAGGCCGAATCACAGCAGTACCGGTCGCAGTCCCTGTTGGTTTAGCAGTCGACGATGTAGCATTGGCAACAGGAGCTCCAATCAATGCAGGATTGAGTCCGGTATTTATAGGTTTGCTAGTGTCGATATACAGTGATGGCCAATTGTTACAATCACCGACTCGTTTGATTGTATAGTTGGCTTTCTGGAGGAGAGTGAGGGCTAGTGGTGCGGCTGATGCTGAGGCGTTGAATAGATCGTGCTCTGTTATGCAGAAAAGTTAGCTGTGGGTTGTTGAGGTAAGATGCAAGACACGTACCCAATGAAATGAAGCCTGTTTTAGAATTGCCTCCTGCTGGACCAGCGCTAGTAACAAATAAATCGCGTAAGCATAGGATCGAAACAGCACAAGAAGCACAAATGTCTTACGCATTAATCCAATTCGTAAAGTTGCCCGTAACAGTTTGTGCTTCAACTGCGGGATCTGTGATTGACCAGTCAACTGTATCGTGGTTCCAAGTTACAACTATTTGACGAAGAAGAATAAAAGTCAAAGACCTGGTCAAAGTCCTGGTTGCACTCTGTAAAACACACCTTTCAGACCAAGAGCTCGTAGTACGAATCGTGTACGGTCATCTGAGTCTCCATATGGCCATCTCATGCAAGTGGGAACTACTCCAATAACCTGCGATGAAGGTCACTGTTTACGTTAAAACCTGGTACAAGGTGTGAAGTGTTTCCAGCAACGTACCTGATAGACAGCTCGAGCAGTCCAATACGTTTCAGCAATAATTTGTTCGTTTGTCAAGGCAGTGTTAGAAGCATGGCTCCAAGTATGCAAACTAGAAACGATGCAGGGTCGGTCAGTACGCCGTGGGGGGTTTTTTTCATGGGCTTAACAAAACAGGTTTGCTTGCAACATACCAAATTTGATGTCCCTCTGCATATGCACGATGTAATACGTCAGGCCGCTCCATTATCCGACTTCCAATTACAAAGAATGTTACCTTTAAAACACACAAGACAAGTGTCAGAGATTATGAAGCCATATTTGCCCAAACAAAAGACGAAAGTGACCAAAGCAACCCACTTTCGTGTTAATAGCCAACAGATGATCCAATAATGCAGGAGTGTAATCTCTGTTTGTCAACGGAAAGCAACCGTGAGTGGGTTTCAACATCGAGACGAAGCAAAAAGCAATGCCATAGAACGGAACTTACGATGGACCATCATCATATGTAACTCCCCATTGACCTTGTCCAGGACACCTGTACATTTGGCAAGAAAAGCTTCAGTCTCACAATACTAATTGTCGCCTATTTAACAGAGTATTTACATGGTGACTTCGTCTCTCCAGCACTTGTTTCCACAAGTGTAGTCACACATTCCTGAAGCACCTAGCGAAGCGTTCATCGAATCTCCAGGATTGCATAGTATACCAAATTCCATCGAGCTTGGTCGTGGAGGCCATGTTGGCACCTTAAGAAAAACAAGGGAGAAAGTTAGTTACGTGCTTTGGGAATGAATGTTTTGTGATTGCTTCACGATACGAGGCATCTTTAGACTGTGTTTATCGTAAAGTTTAAAAAAGTGGCTTTCTGTTGTCGTAGAAACAACCAAAGATCGGGACTCAAACTAGCTTTTAACTCGACTTTCATCATTTTCATGCACAAAACATTCATTTAATTGGCAAGATCTATCTGGATCTATCCATTTCCCAACTCAGCAAACATATGACCGTCCCCAAAAATGTTGATGGCAGTGTTGACTTCCATTTCAAAGGTGTACTTACAGCAGTCAGATTCACTGAATTTGTCCATAAAGGTACGCCATCTGGTACTTTATCCATAGTGGGGTATGGACCTGGTAAGCAGCGCCCTCCTGGACAAGGAGGTGCGTAGAAAGTTCCAACTGGCGGTAACTGAGTTGGATCGAATGTTTGGCAGGCTGCTTGGGTTATGAGTAGTGGTAGAACTACTTGGAGTATATGGCGCCTCATCCTTCTTCGTGTCAGGTGTCAAAAGCTGGCAAAATGAGGAGTTGTTGCTGTGTTGACGAAACTTGGTTGTTTGTCCAAACAGTTGAGCAACGGAAAGAGGCCAAATCTTACCATGTATGCCGGTTTGTAAAGAAAATACTCATCAACACTAAAGTACGCGACGCAACTTTTCTGGACCTTTTTTTTATTACAACGAGAGGCATTCAACAAAAAATTGTACAAAAAATTTGATTTGGCTTTTTTTACACACTACAGCCATAATTTACGTGCCAGTCCTCCTGGCTCTCATCCTTCTTGGCATACCAGCAATTTTACGCGGTGCATCGTCGTCCATCATCGCAGGACCTGGAGCGTCCTCGGCCACAACAGGAGCATTAGGAGCTGCTACACTTGGCGGTGGCCTAGCAGCCATCATGACTCTGGCCAATAGTTCGTCCATTTCCGGGTCGTTGCCAAATAATCGTATGGCCAGAAGCTAGAAGTGGTTGATAATTAGCACTCTTGTTTTCTTTTGGATGTGGAAAACATAAAAAGGAAAAGATGTAGACTTACATTCAGTTCATTATAAGAACTTCCCGGCGTTGCTGCAACGGCTGTATCGTGTGTTGGAGGTGCAGATGATGATGATGATGGGCTTGCAACAGGAGCTGTCATCCCGAATATGGAGGACACTGCCTCTTGTACCGATGTAGGGGACGGTTGCGATGCAGCAGCAGCAGGCTGCAATGTCTATAGAGAGTACCTTTTGTGAGCACAATGTGTGTGGTACAAGGGATGAAAATCTTGCAATAGAATGACTTACCAATGAAGATGGAGCATTTGGCACAAGCGAAGAGTACAATACGGGTGGAGTGACAGTAATAGGTCTCGGTAATGTGCCCAATGATGGCACAAGCTGGTGTCCACCAACTGATGCGGTTACTGGCCTTCGTGATCGTGCTCTTATAATGGACCGTGGTGGTGTAGGCAGTGTCGAAGATGCAAGCGTAGATGCAGAGCTCACAGACACGTCATCATCAGCGCGGCGCTTTGGAGTAGTAGATTTCGGAGGACTTACAGAAGCTGTAGGTTCGACAACTGCAATATCTCCCCTCTCACCCTCCGATGAGGCAGCGGTTGTCGCTGAATTTGGAAGCTCTACATCCTCAGTAGGCTGTACTGCCCAAAGCAGTACTTCAGATGGAATTTCACCGTCCTCCAACACTGGTTCTGGCCATGGTACACGATTCGATGGTTGCGACGGAGGGGATCCAGTAATACCAGTTGGGATGCTGTCGTAATTACTACCCAAACTAGCAGCACTAGATGTCGTTGCGCTTGTAATCGGTTCAGGCATTGAGGAGTCCACCTCGTCCTGTTCGATAAAAGCGATATACGCTTCCTCAAACGCATCAGTTACAGTCCGGATACCAGCAGCCTGTTGCAATGATGATGCCATACCACTACCAAATCCAAAACAAGTGGCCAGTGCCATCGATTGTAGTGAACAATTGGGCGCTGGCATGGTGGTGGCGATTGGTGCAGTGGTACTTGTCCCCACAATTCCAAACACAGATTTTGAAGTAGTTGCTATTGCATTTGGGGCCGTTTCATGCGCGATGGCAATTGCTATATCTGGGGCGGCATCATTCGAGGATATTGATGTTGATGCAACACGTATCGGTTCAGCAATACCAAATGCAACACAAGTGGCCGGCGCCATTGATCGTAATGGATAATTTGGTTGTGGTGGGTTTGCTGATACGCTTGTGGTGACTGATGTAATAGTGCTAGTATCCACAAATTTAAATATACCCGTTGAAGCATTGGTTGCTGTTGCATTTGTTGCCGTTTCATCAGCGACGGCCATTGCAATATCTGGGGCGGCATCATTCGATGATATTGATGTTGATGCAACACGTATCGGTTCAGCAATACCAAATCCAAAACAAGTGGCTGGCGCCATTGGTTGTAATGAATAATTTGGTCGTGGTGGGTTTGCTGATACGCTTGTGGTGATTGATGTGATAGTGCTAGTATCCACAAATTTAAATATACCCGTTGAAGCATTGGTTGCTGTTGCATTTGTTGTCGTTTCATCAGCGACGGCCATTGCAATATCTGGGGCGGCATCATTCGATGATATTGATGTTGATGCAACACGTATCGGTTCAGCAATACCAAATCCAAAACAAGAGACCGGCGCCATTGATTGTAATGGATAATTTTGTTGTGGTGGTTTTGCTGATACGGTTGTGGTGACTGATGTTATAGTGCTAGTATCCACAAATTTAAATATACCCGTTGAAGCATTGGTTGCTGTTGCATTTGTTGCCGTTTCGTCAGCGAAGGCCATTGCTATATCTGGTGCGGCATCATTCGATGGTATTGATGCTGATGCAACATGTATCGGTTCAGTAATACTATATGGGAGCTTATATTCAGGACCTCCCAGAGAACTACCGTTCAATACAGTTCCCGTATCAAGCTGCATAGACCCGATTTGCGAGGCATCAGTTCGTATCGACGTACTGTCTGCTGGTTGGGAGACCTGACATGCTGGATTATAATGATAATGCATTGAGGAGTCTACGGCTGTGACACCATCGATCACGCTTGAAGTTGGCACAGATACTTCCGTTTTGGAGTTGTTGCCGTTGTCTCTAAAATCATTATCATCCAATATCATGATGCTTTGATCTACAGATGGATAATAAGCTGAAACAGGAGAGTCCATCAACGCTGAGCTGCTAGATGATGGTGTGAACTGTGTCATGTCCATCGGTGCCCCAGAATAGACAGGCTCCAAGCTCTCAGGAGTCAAATCAATGAAGGTTATGAGTGTTGCGACTATGGCCTCTGTGGGTGATGACGATGAAGCAGACACGGCCTCGATGATGGAACTTAATTGAGCTACAGCACTTGGGCAACCTCCTGTAGTTGTCGTGGTACTAGTTTTGGTGGCGACTGGTGATTCGGATCGTACTAGTGGGCTGACAATATCTCTGACGGTACCTCCTTCTACATTCGGAGCAGATCTTTTACTCGATGCGGCTTTTACTGCTAGCGGTATTGACCTTTTTCGTATGACTCCGGTCAATAGATTTGACCCGACGTGCAGTCTTGATGGACTTTCTGCGGTTGCAAGGAGTTGGGCGTGGTGTTTGAGCAGAGAATAGACAGTCGTCACTTCTCTTCTCGTCATGATTAAGGACTACACTAACAACCTCTTCTTCTTCATCGTCGTCATCGGACCATAAACCGTATCCTGTTCGACCAGTGGCTACACTCTTATTATCCTTGTTCCTGATGAATACGTTAACTAATTCTTCTTGTTCATCGTCATCATCATCAGACCATAAACCGTATCCGATTCGCTGACGCGAAGGGACTTGGGTCATGGTTGATCCATCCACCTGTTGTACTGGCGTGTTGAGCGTAGGCGACGATTCAGGCTTTATTGGCGTAGCCACCGGATCTGGCATACTGGAAGTTATTGAGGTCTGCGCATCCTTTTTCACTGATGCATCATAAATAGCCTTTTCATACTCTATTATGAAGAAGTATGTCGGGTCTAGAAACAGAAATGTACAGATCAGTACTGTTTCCAAAAGGGATGTGCTGATTGCGAAAGGACGACCCACCTCTATACGTAGTCCTAATGGGATTTCGGATGACTGGCGACGCATATCCCGTATCCTGCACATATGGATGATGGTACCAGTATCGTGGCGGCGATTCTGGAACGGCGTCGTAACTGTCTTCGGGGTGAGCTTGATACAATTGACGCTGGCTGCTAGTGGGAGCAGGAGGAGGCGGCACATGTCTTTTAGTGGTGCCAACACCTAAATCCAGCCTTCGCCTTGGCCTATTTCAAAAAAGGAATTACTATCTCGGTTCACTTGTCAATCACATCCACACAAGCACTCACCCCATCTGCTGTTGAAACTTGCGATGGTACAATGCTACCAAGTTGATGTACCATGTCATTGCAGCAAATATGAACCAGATGGCACAAATGTAGGTCAAACTAGATACAACCATTCTCAAGACAGATTCGTATTCGGCACCCATTTGAAGGCTGTAGTTCTGGGCTATATAGGAAAGGCCAGTAGCAGCTATAGCAGACAATAACCTCGCTTGCGAGGATTCTGTTCCTACTGTATCAGAAGTCATAGACGTAGCAGAAGTAGCAGGAGACAGCCTTATTGACAAGGTGTCGGTTACTACTGCAGCAGAGACACGGGAGGTTTGTCGTGATGGGCGTGAATATAATACAGTTCGGGAGGGCCTTGAGGTCGATACAACAGCGTAAGGGGTTGATTGCCCTATAGAACGATGGATTTGTGTTGCGGTATTAATACCAAAGGTGTTTAAAGTGGTGCGTAGCAAATCCAACAAAACATGTTCTTCCGAAAAGACATCCCAACAAACATTTGACATAGGAATTGTGCAGATGAACTTACGCAGCTGAGGGGTACTGAAGACTTTAGGTGCTGGTCCAACTTCTACTTCAGCACCACGATCATTTGACTCATGGGCTGGTACCAAACCGTCAACGCCAAAAGGCTGATGCCACGAGTGGTTTTTCGAAGGGACGGGGAGGTCGCCACCGTGTTCCTTGTCGGTCAAAGACCTTACAGAACTATGATAAAAAGAGAGGGGAGTGAGATGTTATAGCTATACATTGAAACAAAAAGGAAATTTGGAAATTACAACAAAGCAACCAAACATACCTCAGCTGCAGGAACCTCCCCACAGCTTCTTTGTTTTGGGTGGCTGGGTGCCCTTCTACTTCGGCACCACGATCATAGGACTCATGGGCCGGTACCAACCCAACACCCATAGACAGGTGTTGATGTTGGCGTTTCGAAGAGACCGGGAGGCCGCAGCCAGGTTCCTTGTTGATCATAGACCGTACAGGACTATATGAAAAAGAGATATACTGGTTAGATCTGGGCGTCTAAAACAAAAACAAACTTGTAAAGGACATCGAAAAACATACCCTGACTGCCGCTGTAAATCTCCCACCAGCTTCTGCCTCATAGGACGGCAGAGGGTTGCCAGTGCTAGCCAGACAGCCATAGCAGTGGCAACGATCGCTCTGAGAACGGCTTGGGGGCTGTTGTCAGTGTTGCTCATTGTAATAATGTGCTAAGAAAGGATGGAAGTTGTCGCTGACCCAAACAGTCTAAGGAGGTTTGAAAAGAGTAGAAATGGTCCGATTGCATATTGGTTATTATAATACAAGTGATATCTTGTGGTATACAGTGTCTGCCTTGACCACAATGCCGTCCATAAACAAGAAGTCACCTTTACAGGAGCTTGTAATTTCTAGTTCAATTTACTTCTGCCAAAGTCCCGATTTACAGCTCAGTAGGCTACAACGTGATATTTTGTAAGGCTTACACGACTCTCACCATCATGAGCACCCGGAAACCCCGAAACTACGCAAACGAGCAAACAATGAGATACACACACCTCCTACTACTCGAACAATCTAGCAAACAGTCTTTCTACGCGTCATCTACCGTATTAGAATACCGCAAAGCATTTCTCCATCTTGTTCAGATCGCGATGCTTCCTTGAGTTGTTTAAATCGACACGTTTTGCAAAAGCTGAAGCTTTGCCATGCATCCGCTACGTAACATCGACCCAAAGACGCCTGCATTGAACTATGGTCAATGCACCTTATTATTGGATACAGCCGGTCTTGCTGTCACTCACGTCTATAGAAAAGTATCCAAATAAATTTGCAATGCAGTGGACCTGATTCCAAATGCTGCTGTACTCAACGCTCCTACGTCCAGCGTTAAATTAGACTGTTTCTTTCGGGTGGCTTGAACTCCAAACCCGACATGCTAGCAATTAACAGGTTTTCACATTTTTATGCAGCTTTATTTTCAACTATGAAAGAAAATTCGGGGATTGCATATCTGGGTGTTCCTTTTGTCGCTTTTGTATAACTATTCGGGCAAGGCAGAGAGAGTAATGGCAAATCAGGCCACATATGAGAAGGTGTCCTTGTCAGTATCACTTCGCTCCAAATATTCCTTTTCCAGCAATACATCAATCGCCTTCTTAATATCTGGGATCTTCGGTTGGAAACGAGCCTTGAGTTGCTCAATTACTTCAGCAATTAGAGCATTGTGCTTCAAGAGTTTCCTAGTCTTCATGATACGTACAATAGCAGCCTAGTGTATAGAGATAAAAGCGTTGGTGTTATGGCAGAACAAACAACGAAAAACAGTCCTCTATGATACCTGAATGAGCATACGACGATCTTCCTCCACAATCTTATGAGTCTCTTCCGTTTCAGTCTTTTGCTCAGACTTGATGGGAATGTTCAAGTTGACTTTTAATTTCTTATTCTTAAAGTCAAAGTTGAGCTTGAAGACGGAATCCTTGGTTACTGTAGGAGTTTCACAAATCAAGACTCGAGACTTGGTCAAGATGTTCAGATTACCAGTCAAGACTTCAGGAGACAAGCTGGTAGCAGACTCCAATTCGGAGAATGTATACTTGTCCCCTGCATTGTATTGTAGCAGAATACCCATTTGATAATTGGAAACCTAATGTCAATTGTGTTACACAACATTGCAGAACCAAAAACAAACTGTTTGACGATACATTAATGTACCACGTACCATAAAGGTGTATGTTCCTTTAGCACCCTTTTCACCCTTGACATAGTTGGTCTTGAGTTCTCCCTTTGACATTTGGAAGAGCCAAGTCAACTTTCGACCAGAGTGCTTGTTGCTATAGAACTTTTGGAAGAGTTCGAATGTCTTGGTCAACTAGGAGAGAAGGTGCCATCAGTACCAGACATTTTCTGAGGGATGCCTGGCAACTCGAAACCCATCCAGCACTCTTCCCAACACTTACGTCCGTAGGCAAGTTGAACGGTGTAGAAGGTGGATTGAGTGGCCAAGCAGCTGATCCTAATACTTGAATATGAGCATCGAATGCATCTTTTCCATCCATTTGCCTCTCCAAGAAGCCCCTAAAAGTAATCGATGAGCATCAGGCCACAAAAAAAAACAGGATGCGTTATGCATACTTGAATTCATCATTCAAGTCCTTTGAAACGTTCACATCAGTAAACATTCGTTGCAGCTTGGATGTGTACTCATAACCACAAGCATCCTTGAGTTTCGAAATCATCATGGATTCCGAATCTTCAGAAGATGAAGTGGAGTTGACCAGACGTTTGGCAAGCATCTTTGAGTAGAACTTTTGGAATACATCCTTGTCTTCGACATATTTGAATACCGTCATCTAGTTGAAAGTTGTGACGGAGTAATCTGTGAGTGGGAATAAAGAAGCTACCCAGTCATGGCGTACGAACTTACAATCTGGTTCAATACTTCTTCAACTTCAGTTTCCTCTGCCACTTTACCACCTTTACGCAACAAGGAGTCACAGTATTGAGCTAGTAATTGTGGACTCTTCTGTGAACCTTCCTTGCAGACATGATTCCTATTGACGAATTCACGACAAGCTTTGTCCAAAGCAGCGACAAAGCCACTGTCTGCTTTGAATGCCTTTGATACCAAAGTCTGATATTTGGAGTGGACTGCCAATAGTGCTTCGACATAGACTTTGGGATCAATGTCTGATCCGGCAGCTTGCTTCTTTTTGGCAGCGGCGGCAGCAGCTGTGCTCTTGGAAGGTGCTGGTTTTTCGTCTTCTTCACCGTCTTCGTCATCGCCACCTTTACCACTAGCTGCTTGTGAAGCTGCAGCTTCGGCAACTTTCTGTACAGCTTCCAGACCTTGTTTACGTACGTGGTTTTCAAAGATATTAATCAGTTTCGACAAGCCATTATCGACACGCGAGAGGAGGTTGTATATACGGGAGAGGTCTTCGGTTTTATCTTGGTCGAGAAGAGTTTGGAATTCCTCTTGGATGGGATTGGTGTGATTGGCGATGAGGACGGTTTCGCAGCGTTTGATGAGAGGCTTGCTGGTACTGGGATTTAAATACAATGGTACACGGTTTTCTTCTTCAAGCAATCGACTTTCCGCCTAAAGATGAAGGTGCAAGTTGAGCAAACAAAGAATTGTCAACAGGATGCAGAGCGGTTTGATATGCGCAAAGACTGTAAATACATGTGTGATGCACTACCTTCTTCATATAATCTGTTATGGTGTTGTCAGTGATGAACTTTTCGGATTCTGCCTTGTAGTATATTTCTGTTGCATCGACGAATGGAGTCTCAAAGTATTGCTTGTAGACTTCCAAAGTCGACTTGGATGAATCAGATTCATCTAATCCCAATGACACTGAGAGTTTGGAGGTTGCGTGTTACCGATGTACGATAGCAAAAAAAAGGTTGACGAGAACATTTACATACCGAAACTGTCAGCCACACTCTTTATGAGGCCATTGTCTATTTGCTCTCCATTCCTTTGTTTCTCAATCAAACCGAGAACGGCTTTCATGACATTGGCTTGCAGTGGCATGAAGAAGTTGTCTCTCCATGACACCAGTGATAACTAATGGAATCACACAAAAAAACAACGTGAGTCCACAATCAAGAATGTCATAGATCCCCAACGACACAGCCTCATCAACAGTATCTTATCCAGGACTTACTGTGTACACATCGTATATAGTCTTGTGACCTTCATCAATCTCCCTCTTTACCCAATGACGATTCAAGTATCGAAAGATGTGGTGCACCAGTGTTGAAGCTGTAGTGTAACGACTCCATTGTCTGGTGTAGAATATGAGGAGGGATTCATCCATGTGTTGTTCAGATGATGTAAGCATTCCTTGAAGGTGGGTTTTGAGGTAGTCCTTTAGCTTTTCGTACAGATCTTTGCCCATCAGATTTGCTCCTATATAGCGGAATAGAACAGATCGAGTTCTAATAGTGTGAGTACAATGAGGAGCAATTCAACATTGAGGCTTTGCCTCCCGCCAAAGATTACCTCGATGACCTCCAGCTTGAGCAGTAAACGGAAGCTCGTTAGCACCAGTCATACGACTGCTTGTACAGTAATTGTAAATGAGGCTATTTTATAATGAATATATAGGTTAATCGGCTGTTTCCTCAGCAGAGAGCGCAAAGTGTGGGTGCTTCAGATGTCTCATTCCGGATTTGTCAAGACTTTGAGGCAATGGAGCTTTGCATATTCCCAAGCAACAAGAGTTGCGAGTATAACGTATGCAAGTAATTGGATGATGGATATATCCGGACACTTACGTGTATAACTCTACATATTTGTGGTTTGTCAATCCCTCTTCCAACTTGTTCATGATTTGATGGAGGCCCTCAGATAGCTTCCGCCAAGTATTCTCCAAGTCTTGAGCAGCTTGTTGGGCCATTGTGAGGTATTTCTAAGCTATACTAAATAGAATTTGATTAGCACCCTCATCTGTTTTGCTCAAAAGTTTGTTGCAATCCAAGGCCTTGCAGTGCTGTCCAACAAAATGGAATACGAATGAGGTACCTGTCAAGACTGCGAATACCTGTATAAGAATGCAATGAAATAAATGAATGCAGTCGATTGACCCAATTCTGTCTATGCTGACTGGTGTCTGTGCAGCTCCGAGTCTGGTAAATGAGTGACTAGCGTGACGATTGTGCGGTGAACTGAGGAGAGAAGGCATCATATACAATCAATACTCTTCAAGCTCTTTAAATTAAACGAAATTTATGAAATATAGTCAACGTGTCGAATTGCACCTTGAGCATCGCATGGACACAATCTCGTGCATTTTCAATGAAATACGCGCTGCCAAAGTTACGAGAAATCTTGTGTTGAAGATCAATACCTAGACGCGTCTAAATTGGAGTAATTTGGGTTTCTACATTGTAAACTGTGCGGTCAAACTTGTTCAGTCCAACAAACTTTGCTAGTAGTCAAAACACACAGAGTGCGTCAAGATTAACAGGAGCTGCAGACAAGGCAAGTGGATCCACTTTCTGAACTCAGTTACTCGGTTGTGTGTCTCTCTCTCGTTCCGTTGCACCATTTGTTTCAACCGTTTGTTTGACACTTGACTCACATCGTTTCTGTCCCTGCAGACTTATAGACGAGCCCCCGAATCTCGAAACTGTTGACGCGCTGATGATCTGATATCTGCTCTAAGCTCTGATGCCACGGGTCAAGTTCTTGGGAAGGCACATTGACATTGCTTCCGATGATCTCTTCTTTCCATCCGCCCTCAGTCTGATCTTCCATACAATATTCTTCAGCTTGGCTCTAGCTGCTGTGAGTTTGGAGCTTTTGAGTCTTGTTTCTTGTAAACGTGGTTGGATAGAGCCCAAGTCTTTGACCCTCTTGGTTGAAAGGAGTTAGCTCACACTCTTTCCCCTGTCCATAACTAGTATCTGTATACACGACCAGGATGCTCCAAACCTCATCTTTTGCCCATATATCTGTTGCTGCACTTGGCAACGATGTTGGTTCTCATTCTCCTGGAATGGTAGTTACAATTGTTTCCAACTCTTCAAGCAAAGGCGTTTTTAAATACGCCAGTGGCAATCCTCTTAAACGTCTTTCTCATTTAGGAATATTATGATACTGTCACTTTTGGGGACAATCGCTGAACCAGGCCCGAGAGTCTATATCGAATATATACTACCAGTTCATTTTGCTCTACAGATAACAGATGTCGGAACGCACTTGTTTGGGTTTTGGACTGTCTACGTCCCACCACTAGAATGTCCCGACCTCGACTGGGGAACAACAATTGGCATCATCAGAGTCTTGATTATCTGGGGGTTGATAATGGTCTCGCTTTGGGTCATGCTATGGGTAACCCTGTTTATAAATGGTAGACATCAACGTATAGCACTCCATCTTGACGAGTATGTTGAGAATTGGACTGACTGGTTGCGCAAAATGGCCCAGAGGTTTGGAGGTTCAGATATTGCCAACGATATCGATATTGGTGACGCCTTGGCCGATGTAGCGGGAGTGTTGGCGGAATTCTTTTATGATGATCCACAAGACTTGACGCCAACAGATCTTGTAGTTGGTCTTATATTGATGAAACGACAGGCAAAGGCCTTAAAACTCGCCGATGTAGTAGTTGATGTGGTTGAAACAAACACTGGACCCTCATCAGACGCTATCCCTCTTGCTATGCCTCTACCGTCTATAGCTGTAGAACGTCCGTCAAATGATGGTGAATCTAGAACTGCACAGAGTCGAGATCAAAGTCCTCTGAGTACCGGATCTGTAGTTGCCATGGGTAGCTCGTCACACACTCCGACTGGATTTGATTCTAGTCCAGATGGATCAATAGTCGAGGGCGACAAATCTCCCGACCTAGTGGCAGAGGAGGGTGGTTTAGTATCCACTGACGTTAGTGACGCATTACGTGATGTTGATAATGCTGAGAAGCATGCAGGTGACAAGGAAGAAGGTGTCAAGGACGATAATCTACCTGATAATGCTGACCAAGATGACACTCAACCTGGCATACCACTCCAAGACCTCCAAAGCAACGGTCTAGGTAAAAATAGATCCAATGTAGTCATAGACGTCAAACCACCATCTACACACGAAGCAGAACCTGAAGCTGGAGATGTGTCTTTGCAAGTCGTTGCAAAAGCAAAGAAGAATGCCTTTTCGAGACTTCGTCAACAACGACTCTTACAGCGAAAAGCTCATGGTAAAGCTGGACTCTATGTCAATCCTGCTTTCGCATTGTCTGATGCTTCGTTGATGCCACAATCTGGAAGTACTGCTAATTCTCCTGGAGGTGGTGTCTATTACGATGAAGTAAAGGGTCTCATGTATTTTGCTAAATATGCAGAGATGGTGTATGAACCCAAGTTAGTGAGGCAACTACAGAGGTCGTGTGTATGTAAGTAGTCAGCCATCGCATTGGATCTATCCTTCTTCTGATTGCTGACTTTTTGTTCCTTCGTTGTTTAGTGTATCATCTGCCTCAGGCGCACTTCCCATTGACGCCTTATATGGTGATTGTGGATGCAACAACCCAGGTGAGCGAAACAACAATAGAGATAATCTCGCATAGTCCATCCAGTATATTGCGTTTTTTCCCCTCTCTCCTTGTTTAATAATTTTCATATCAACCAAAGCTGATGCACCATTCACAGACTATAGTCATAGCAATTCGAGGAACGTATTCTCTCTTTGATGTGATTACGGATCTGAAAATCTCTATCGAAACAGTCAAGCTTCCAGAGTTTGGAGAAGATGCTTCCTTCTTTGTCCATTCAGGAATGATGGCAACAGCAAAGAGAATTCAAGTCGAGACTATAACGACTCTTCGCAAGGCGTTTTCTGAATCATCCCCTTACCGGTCGTACTCTTTAGTGGTGAGATCCAAAAATCAAAGCTTCGATTTTTTACTCGTTGAGTGCCTAAGCAGTCAAATTTTAGGTTACGGGACACAGTCTAGGAGGAGGAGTTGCCTCTCTTCTGGCTCTACGATTGCGTCCAGACCATCCGTCTGTACGATGTTATTGCTATGAACCACCAGGATGTGTAGTGGACGCTCAACTGGCAAAATACATGTCAGCATTCACAGAAGTTACTGTAATGGGTGATGATCTAGTACCTCGCCTCTCTCTGCCAGCTCTCGAAAAGTTCAGAGTCGAACTCTACAAGACGATAGCTCAATGTCCACTCAGTAAAGCACAAGTACTTGGACATGCCATGGCGCGATACTTTAAGATGTCTACTGTGCCCTTCCAGAATCTGTATTCACGTTTCCCAAAACCGAAAGCTCTTCCTCATATTCCGGAATATCAGGATCATAGTGAAGATCTGCCAGATATGAGAATACCTGGTAAAATACTCTACTTGGTTAAAGAACAGGATGCCCCTCTCTTGAGAGGTGATAGTGCATCGGATTTGAATCGAGGTGGTGTACATTGCTGTGGTGGAGGTGGCAATAAGATAAAGGAGAAGAAATACGTGTATGCGCCACGATGGGCTAGTGTAAGTTTTGAGGAATTGATGCAAAAAGGAAGCGAAGAATATGTCAATGACTAGCTCGTTATCTTTTTACTTAGAATGAAGAGTTTGTACGCATCAACGTGAGCTGGAGCATGGTCTCAGACCATTTCTGTTTTAATGTCATTACGAGGTAAAACCTTTGAGCTTTGCCATGTCGTGGCGAATTTGAGCCAGAAACTCATTACTTCGAATCATCCTTCTTTTTTATAGTCTTCGCCAAGCACCTCAGGATAGGAAACTGAATTCTGTTCCGGACTCTCACCCACCACCAAGAAATTTGAGAAGGAACATGAGTAGAACTCATTCATTGAAACTGAATCTATGAGAGAGACTGTCTCTTTTGGAACTGTAAAAATATGTATGGACATTAGGCACCTGGATACTTCACTAATTTAAAACCGCACAAATCACTGCTGTTTGTCGTAGTCTACTTGATATATTTCTTTGCATCTGTGAATAGGAACAATGGAGAGGTTTTGCTTGATAGTTTGGCGTCCATGTGAGTTTCAATGGTGTTTTTTTGTCATCGTTCCACTGGTATCGGCCTCTGATTATGACGCGACATCACGTCCATATCGAGTATCGGATATTATGAGAATTGTATGGGCCCCTTTCCAAAGCGCAACTCTTACAAGTTTCTCTCACGAAAAAAACTTTATTCGCTCTGGTTACACTGCTTGACTTATAAAGAAAACTCACTTACGAGACAATCAAAAACGATGTTTGCCTCCAAGCTTCTTCGAAGAGGATTCGCCAGCTCTGCTATCAGCGTACGTGCTTGCTTCCTCCTCGAGGTGTTATTCTGGTTTTTGAGCTTTTTTCGTGCATTGTGAGAGCACAAATGTTGGGATTGCTTGATGCATTTGGACATGGAGGGAAGGAGTAGATATAATCTGGATATTTGGATTGAACTGCTACGATGATGCATCACACTACCCCTTGATGCTGGAACGATTCAAAACTCCGAACATTCATTTAAACTGGTTGAATTCCCCCCATGTTTGAATGTGGTGTTTTTCAATGCTTTGATGTGGTATATAGACCACCATTGACGTGTAAATTCACAACACGGCCCATTACAACCATTACCTGCACTTTCCCTCACCGGAACACACATCCTAACCACAAAGTCACTCCTCCAATAGAATGCACCATCCAAAATGAAGGTCGCAGTCCTCGGAGCAGCCGGTGGAATCGGTCAACCCCTCTCTCTCCTCATGAAACTCAACCCAAACGTTGACGCTCTCTCCCTCTACGATATCGTTAACACTCCTGGAGTTGCTGCTGACTTGTCGCACATTAACACCAAATCCGTCGTTACTGGATACAAGGGTGCTGATTCGTTGGAAGAGGCATTGAAGGATTGCAATGTGATTATAGTGCCTGCTGGTGTGCCCCGAAAGCCTGGTATGACGAGAGACGATTTGTTCAATACCAATGCTGGGATTGTCAAGATTTTGGCTACTGCTGCTGCCAAGTAAGCTATTGTTAGTCAATTTTGTTGTGTTTTTTGAGGGCCGCTTATGGTATTGAAGGAGTGCGTGTTGTTGTTGGAAGAGTACACGTGGCGTTCGTCTCCTTCTAGGAGACGATTCGTGAGTGGACATCATATACAACTTTTTTTAACCCTCTCATCTACGTTGTCACTTAGGGTCGCACCAAAGGCCCACATGCTCATCATCTCAAACCCCGTAAACTCCACCGTCCCCATCGTAGCAGAAGTCTTCAAAAAGCACGGCGTATTCGACCCCAAACGATTATTCGGTGTCACCACCCTCGACGTTGTCCGAGCCTCTACTTTTGTAGGTGCCAACAAGTCTCTCGACAATGCAAAGACCAAAGTAACTGTAGTAGGTGGTCACTCTGGAATCACAATCGTCCCGCTCCTCTCTCAAACTGGCCTCAAATTCTCACAAGAAGAATTGGAGAAGCTCACTCACCGAATTCAATTCGGTGGTGATGAAGTCGTCAAGGCTAAAGATGGTACTGGATCTGCTACCTTGTCTATGGCTATGGCAGGTGCACGATTTGCCAACAACTTGATTGAAGCTTTGGGTGGCAAGAAGGGTATTGTCGAGCCAACCTATGTATTCTCTCCTGTTATGGCTGATAAGGGTGTTGAGTTCTTTGCTACCAATGTTGAATTGGGTGTAAGTGTCTGATGAGCTTGTTTGCCTTCGAGTTTCAACATTGGCTCATGTCGGTTTTTTTTGCATGTGCTCATTTCAACCTTTTTCCCTTATAGACTGAGGGTGTTGCCAAGATCCACCCATTGGGTACTCTATCTGACTACGAAAAGAAATTGATTGATGCCGCTGTACCAGAACTCGCTGCCAACATCAAGAAGGGAGTTGATTTCGTGCACAAATCCGCATAAAATTGTCGTAAAAATATAGAATTTAGTCCTTTCAAAAACAAAAAAAATATTTGCTATATGTGTCGTTTGCTTTTGGTCTTGGTTACAGAAACTGTCTCCAATGACATCCATTCAACTCACCTCACCTCAATTACCCCTTCCTACAACCCCCACTATACAGCAAGCGAATCTTTGGAACAGCATTCAAAATGATTGGAAAAGTCTTAATCTCATCTTTCGCTCTCGCAACAACCGTCTCTGCTCTCTGGAACCCTTCTACAGCTTCACCTACCGCTTGGCAATATCCAACACAAGATGTAGTAAGTACTTAATATATTTGACTTCTGTTCAAACTTTAAAGCTTCTTAGTAAGCTAAAATTCAAATTCTAGGTCGTTGAAGCGGATCCTACTATCACTGGTAACGTCCTCTTATTTACCTTTTTAAAAATTCAGGATGGTTTGACGCAAATGAGAAATGGAGATCAAACGACTAAACCAACTACATCTTTATACTAGCCATGTACAATCTCAACGGTATTCCCACAACTGTGAGTGTTGTTCCTCAACTTGCTCTATACACTTCTCCTGGAGTTATCACGACTGTATGTCACTTATGGTTTGATTGATGTGAAATGGAGTGCCTGTTTTCTGATCATACGAATGGAAGTCCTGCTGTTTTATATAGGGACCCAATGGAACTCGAATGATTGCTGCTCTCACGTACGCTCCTTCGTGGACATCAAAGTGCAAAACTTAACATTGACACAACGTTCCAATCACCATAGTTTCGACGATGGTCCAAGTCTTGGAAACAGTGAACTGCTTTACGATCGGTTGGATGCTCATCCCGACGTCAAGGCATGCATCGTCTCTTCCGTGGATTTCATGCAGAAAAATCCCTAATTGCTTTTCTTCGTTGCAATTTAGGTTACTCTATTCGTTGTCGGCAGCCGTGTCTTTGACGCTCCTGTACTGCTCCTGCGTGCACACAAGGCTGGGATTGCAATTTGTGCTCATACTTGGAGGTCTGTACTGTTATTTTGTTACCACTACCAGAATCGGTTTTCTTGGAATAATGAACTTACCCTAACTTTCGATTGTTAAATAGTCATCCATACTTTTCTACTCTCGACAACAAAGTGATTCTTGCAGAGATGGAATGGACTTCTAGTATCTTCGAAGTACGTTATGACATGTTTTGGGGTTTCTATGATTCAATAATGGCTCAACCTTCAAATGCAGGACGTAATTGGCATGAGGCCAGTCTGTGTTCGACCACCGTTTGGAGACTTGGATGCTCGTTCAGAATCAGTCCTTACGGCTGCTGGATATTTAAGGATCTATATGTGGTCTCAAGACTCTACTGACTCTGCTGATGGGGCTACTACTGCTACCACTTTGAGCACCATGAAAACCTTCTTGTGCGTACCAAAAACACATCCCGTGATGATTGAGCATCCTCGATTGTTTTGGTTTGTACGAACAACGAGACGGGATTTTAGAAGGCACTGATTTCTTTGGCCTGTTTAGAGATCAACAAGTCGCGGGTACTTTGAATGGTGAACAAGGTGGAATATTCCTTCAGCATGATCTTTTACCAGGTTTGAAACGTCATCTTCTAGTTTAATAGCAAGACAAACAATCAAGTTTAACAAAAACCCCTATTTTCATTTGAGTCATCTGGTGACGCACCAGTCCTCGACTATGCCCTCTCCAAAGGCTTAAAGATCGTACCCGCATGCGTATTGATGAGAACTGGAATTCGATACCGTGTGAATGGAACCGTTGTTAACATGACTCCTTCATCTGCAAACCCTGTAATGGCATCACCATCACTTATGCTGAAAGCATCTGCAGTAGCATTCCCTATTAAAACATCTGCAATGGCATCACCAACAGCCAATGTTAAGCCAGTTTTGATGGGATCACCAACGCCTAAAATGAAATCAGCTCAGCCTTTTGCAATCGTGACTCCTTCAACGCAGTCTGCTTTTGCAAGCTCTGGGGCTTCCTTGACGGGATCTGGGGTGTCGATCGCGGTTTTGCTCTTGGCTGTCTTGCTCGTGTGAGCAATATGATTTCTTCAAGTCTTAGTGGTTTTTTTACAGTGGTATTTTCGTATTCCCGACATACTGTATATAGTTTCAAGCTGTTTACGTTTTGAATTTTAGCATCTAGTAGTTTAGTTTCGTTTTCATACACAATAAATCATACTCTTTAAATTAAACCAAGGTCTAACTATTTATTTGTATCTTCAAAGGTTTATTTGGTCATTTTGAAATGAGCTTTCGTTTGTATATTACTAAACATATCATCTCGCTCACATCAACTGGAAGTGAGAATCCGAGTTTCCGTCCTTCCTCTTCCAAACAACAAACCAAGAATACAATCAGCATCATAAATCAAACTTGAAATCATAATGATCGGAAAAGCCATGATATCCTTTCTATCCCTTGCTAAAGCTGTGTCTGCACTATGGAACAATAGTACTGCTTCACCCAACGCATGGAACTATCCGGCACTCGATGTAGTAAGTGATCACAACCTCAACTGAGCTTAGGTGTATAAATGCTCATTGATGATCCCTAGGTCGTTTCCGCTGATCCTACCATCACTGGTAAGTCCATCTTCCCATTTTCTTGAAGACGACGAGTGTTTTGACGCAAGTGTGAAATTCGTGGCAAGTGACTGATTCAAGCCTCTGTCTTTAATTAGCAATGTACAATATCAGTAGCATATCCACCAAAGTGAGCCCATCTCCTCAAACTGCCTTATACTCGTCTCCTGGCGTTGTCACAAACGTAAATGTTCGATTGCAAACTGTGTTCTGTCTTTAACGTTGACAATTAAACAGACTTTGTTTTGGCTGAATGTATGCCATTTATCGTAGGGCCCTAATGGAACACGAATGATGGCTGCTCTCACGTATGTTGTCTCACATTAAGTGCCAAAGAGAAACTCTTTCTGACAACCACTTTGTTGGGAATTAAAACAGTTTCGATGATGGCCCATCTCTCGGAAACAGCGAAATTTTATACAATTGGCTTGATGCTCATCCTGACGTCAAGGTATAAGATCGAAAACCCTTTCGTTTGAATCTATACATACTCATTTCAAAAACCCCTTTTTTACCAGGTGACTCTCTTCATTGTTGGATCTCGAGTCTTTGAAGCTCCTGCCTTGTTGCAAAGAGCACACAATGCTGGAATGGAAATCTGTGCTCATACTTGGTCGTACGTGCGTTATTTGTGTTTTTGTGTTCTTTTTTGCATATAGAACATCATGCTTGGTCTTGTTTTGCAATGCATTGATATAATCTATGTGTTGATTAGACACCCGTATCTTTCAACCCTCTCCAATGAAGTAATCTTGGCAGAAATGGAATGGACTGCACGTATTATTGAAGCAAGTTCAAATCTGACTGACACGTAGACTTCCCTTTTCTCGTTGCACCACGATGATTCTACATTTTCTCCTTCGTCCTTTGCGCTGATCTTCCTTGTACTTATCAAATTGATCTCGAACTCACGCAAAAACTCTACCTTATGTAGGACGTCATTGGAATGAGGCCAATATGTGCGCGACCACCGTTTGGAGACATGGATGCACGTTCAGAACAAGTGCTCAAGGCTGCTGGCTATAGCAAGTTATACATATGGAGTCAGGACTCCACCGATTCAGATGCTGGGGCTTCTAGTGCCACTACTTTGTCTACTATGCAAGAATTCTTGTAAGCAAAACTTTTAGAGAATGAAATTTAGTACCGTTTTTGTCCCTCAGTTATTGGGCGCAAAGCACTCATTAGTTTAACCTATAGAGACCAACAAGTCGCTGGCACCTTGAACGGCGAACAAGGTGGAATCTTCCTACAACATGATCTCCTACCAGGTTTGCGAGTCCGTTCATTAACCTTTAAGACAAGCAATCAAAGCTAAACCAACTTTCTTTAGTTGAATCTTCAGGCGACACTCCCGTCCTCGATTATGCCCTCTCTAAAGGCCTCAAAATCGTACCAGCTTCTGTGTTGGCGGGCACCGGAATCCAATATAAAGTGAATGGAACCATCATCAACATGACTCCTTCTGCTGTGGCTGTAAATGAGACCACCGTGATGCCATCAGCAGCAGTAGCAGCTCAAGCACCGTTGGCATCACCATCATCTAAATTTACCCCATCTCAACCTTTCGGGGCTACTGGTTCGCTGACTGGTGTTGCAAGCTCTGGATTCCGTATCAAGGAATTGGGTGTGTCCTTTATGGTATTGCTGTTCGCTGTCTTGCTTCTGTAGAATTTCACTTCTGAATGTCTGGGTGGTTTCTATGTGTCTATAGTTGAAGCTGTTAACATTCCAACATCGTTACATCGTTGCGTCGTTTTTTAAACCCAATAAAATCATAAATCATTTTGAGTTTCCTTTCAGCACAAGAGTTACTTGTGTTTCTTTAAAGTCAGTTTTTATTGTGAAATGAGAATTGCTCGTATTTTACTAAACACTATATTCTAGCTATTGGGATATGGTATTGCATTTGTTATTTTGCCAAATTTTCATAATGATTTCTTATGAGTGTCTTCTATTTGCTTGTGTGCGTTGACTCGTAGCATGAGTTTATCACCGACATCTCGTACACATTTCAATACGTGATCAATGTCTTCACGGGTATGGGCAGCAGATAAACAGAATCGTACACGAGATGCAATTATTGATGTGGCAGGGTATCCCACTACTACGACAGCAACACCACGATCCATCATTTCTCGTGAAAAGGCTGGAATCTTGGCTGGATGGAAGAGTAATAATGGAATTACGGGGGATGCGATGTCTCCATATACTATAAAGCCCATCTTCTTCAACTGTGTTGAAAAGTATCGGGCGTTGGATGCTAGTGATTGGATGCGTCTTCTACCATCGTCGGTTCCGTCTTCGCCCATGATGATTTTCATTGAGGTATAGATTTGTTGTAGTACGGGGACTGATACAGATTCGGCATAGACGGCAGAGTGAGATGCCATTCGGACGTGATCTACGACTGTTCGAGAGCCAGAGATGTAGCCGCCAGCGGCTCCAAATGACTTTGTGAAGGTGCCCATCAGAATATCTACTTCTGTCGGATCGATACCATAATAGTCACAAACACCACGTCCATTGGGACCGACAGCTCCGATAGAATGTGCTTCGTCCAGGTATATGTAGAACTACAACCAGATGGAGATGGTGAGTTTGAATTTGTGTCGGAAGCAAAAAAAAGCGCTCTTCATACGGAAGCATTCGATAGGAGACAAATCAACAATCACAAGCCCATTAATACTTACGCCATATTTGCGCTTCAATTCAATGATTTCAGGTAATCGACATATGGTACCCTCCATCGAATATAATCCTTCAACTACAACCAAGATCTTCTTCCATGGTCTATGAGTTCTAGGCTGTCCCTGTGCTATCGATTCTCTCAATACAGTTTCCAAATTGGCTGGGTCATTATGATTGAACACTTTTATGGCTGCACCAGACAATCGTGATCCATACACGAGGGAAGAATGGTTGAGTTCATCCGATATAATAAGACATCCCTTCGATACAAGAGCTGGAAGAGTTGTCGAGTTTGTAGCAAAGCCCATAGAAACTACTACCGCTGCTTCTTGACCTACGAATCTAGCTACTAGTCCTTCGACTTCATGATGCAAATCCAATGTACCAGACTCCATACGCGAAGAGTTTGTTGATATACCCCATCGTTGTACAGCTGCTTCTACTGCTTCTGCACATGGCCCTTCGGATTGCGCAAAGCCCAAATAGTTGTAGGATGACAAGTTGAGTAATTCTCGAGTGCGTCCCGTCAAATAAAAGGTACGATTGTGATCTGGCGATTCTCGTTCCAGTAAGGTCAGAGTTCTACCTGGGACATTTGTGATTGGGCGATTGAAGCAGTCTCGGATACGTACATAGAGTCTTCTGTGATAAAAGGTATCAAACCCAGAGTTTATAGGAGCATACCCGTTCTGCGTTCGTAGCGGCTTATAAGCTGCAGTTCGGAAGCGTAATCCGAAAAAGTCTCTGATGTGGCCATAAACGATCAATACAAAGTAGGATATATATGTTGTTACTAGCACCCAAGTTGGAGCTTGTTCGAGTTCCTGTTCGCCAGAGACTTTGTTTTGAGGCTGAAGTGGATCTGGTTTATATAATGGTGGTGGACTATAAAGCGATGATGCTAGACCTGATGATACCAAGACATCGGCTGATGATAGAGGTACTGATGATAATGTCGAGTATCGATCAAAGTGAGCACGGTTGCCTTTGCCCATAACTGGAGGTGGTGTTTCTGTATTGGTATTTGATGGTGGTAACTTCTTTGCTCTAAGAAAGAAACGTTTTAGTTAAGAGCGATTGGTTTTTGGATGCACTCGTTGGAAACACAAATCTGATACACCAATGAAGGTGTGCATGGGGATGTCAAAACAGGAGCTTGATAAGGAAACATACATTTTAGCACCCCAAAAGAGAGAAGGTAGGCTGCTCGCTCTTGGTCTGCGTGATGGTGAAGTCGGGGTACTATTGCTATTAGATGCTCCAGCAATTTTCTCGACCAGGACTTGATGCGTACTTGTCTGACTAGTTCTTCTCCAACGAGGCTTCTGGACGTTTAATAAACCTAGACCAGGAGCAAGCGGAGTGGTAAATTGACTAGATGAAGATGTGTGAAGTGTGGTTGGGAGGTCGTCGTCGTGGGTCAATGAAGGAGACGGTGTATCCGCTTCTGCAGGGAGCAACACCCCACGAGGACTATACGGCGGTGGCGGGGAAGTGACTGAATTTTCGATAGGCTCTGGCGTATGGCTGCGAGTTTCAATTCGGGTTGTTGTTTCAATCTTTGAAAGCAGAGGAGCCGATGGTAGCGAAGGAGATGGCAGTAGATTCCTGAGAGAACTCCTGGCTAAAGAATGAGGTTCGTATTGGGAATGCCTTCCAGAATCGCTCATTTGATTGCTGGTCATCAATGAGAAGATGTTAGCCACCACCGGAAAGCAAAAGGAGAATATGTGTCAGATGTAAACAAACCTCCTTATACAGTCCTAGATGTCCTTGTCGGGCAATGACTCTGGAGCTTCGATGTCTCTCTCTCTCCTGTCCTTCCTATCTAACAAGGGGACGCTACTTTCTGTCAAGATGCTTCTTCAACCAACACACAACGGTCATTTCAATGAACGCGTGGACTCTACAGGAAACGCTCATTCACGTAGAAAATCCTGGAAATTTATGATTTTGCTCCCTATCCCTATCTCCTTTGTCGGTCAAATCGACGACATCTTTCAAAGCGATCAACACCAATTCCTTTGTACTTGTTGTTACTTTGGTATCCGGAGAGCTTGAACGAATAATTGTGCTTTACGATTTTACGAGCATTAGCCCACTTTGGACTCTTCTCCAATTATATGACGACCGTTTAGATCACCGCTGATCACTTAGCCGACAACTACGTCACGATGCAATGATCTTGTAGACAAGAAAGAGTGCAATACTCCTCGCCTCATTTCGAAACAACGGTATTACCAACCGCTTGACCAAAGTCTCAACTGTGAGCATCAGAAGGCGCTACCAGAACCGTCTTTTGTACTTTAGCAACAAAATGTATTACTATTTGTTTCAACTATCAAGCTTCAAACAATTATGAATTCACATTAAAGGAGCAGAAATCCGATTACAGAGTGTATCGGAACTTTTGTTCAAGTGTGAGTTCAACACCAGAACGCACTAGAGCTGCATTTCTCGCATCAATCTTTCTGTTCATGTACATGAAAGAGAGACGGGTTCCCATTCCAATCAATGCGGCGGCAATCAGACATCCAGCGTTGATGGAATTTCCTATTGGGAAGTGTGGAGCATCTGCCGCCCTGTATATTTGACCACCAATTGCACCAGAAACACCACCAAGACCATTCATGAGGCCCATAGCAAATCCACGAGCAGTGTGACTCCTGTGGTTGTTTGCAACCCATCCGTGCAACAATGACACAGTCGCGGCGTTGGCTAATAAAAGAGTTGAAGTCTTGAGTTTGATAATTTTCATCCGGAATGAATCGAGAGGACAAGAGCTGTACCTGGAGTAACAAAGAGCATTGCATAAAGAACTCCAGATGGTGACCAGACTGTCGCCATGATGATGAAGGCTATGGAACAGATCAATTGACCAACAACCAGTATTCCAGATCTGTCACCAATCCTGTCTGATACGTTTGACAAGATCATCAAAACTAGTGACAAGAATGTAAGCTTCACGACAACGAAATACGAAGAGGAAAAGTAAACATACCTATGGCATTCCATATGTTGGTTGGAACGGTCATCCATTGCGCGGCGACCCCGGTGTATCCAATGTAAGTCAAAATGGTAGGCTGGAAGTATGCAATTGAATATCTGATCGAGCAAAACGTTAGATTCACGTTGTGGTGGCAAGGAGGCAGGCAGGCAGTCTGTGTGAATGACTTTGGACTTACTGAGGAATGACGGCCAACAAGAATATTGCGGTTTGAGCCCACAACTGAGGCTCTCGCAAGACACCCCATACTTCATCCACCTTGAATTCTTTAGCAGCTGCTGTGGCAGCATCGATCTTGAGACGGTTGCATGCAATTTCACGTTCCCGGTCTGACAAGAACTTGCAAGTTTCAGGGTAGTCCTATTGAGAACATGCATGGAGTTCATTGTTAGATTTTGATCTGAAATCCAATGCTAATCGCACTCAAGCAGGTGTCTCACGGGTATCAAGAAGTAGAACACAATTCCGAGAATGACTGGAGGGAGACCTTCAAGGAGCTGGGACGTTGAATTCGGTTAGAGATGCTTGTCTACCACAACCGAGACTTGAGAATACAAAAGCACTTACGAAAATCCATCGCCAAGCAGCAAGGCCTCCTGCACCGTCCATGTAGAACACACCAGTGGCAATCAGACCAGAGAATGCAGTAGCGAATGAAGCACCACCATAGAAGAAGGAGATTCTGCCAGAGATTTCATTTGGCTTGTACCAGAAAGTCAACCAGAAAGTTACTCCAGGGAAGAGACCTGACAAAAACATTGATCAGTAATGTTTTGGGCGAATGAGAACGACGAAGCTCTTACCAGCTTCGGCACAACCCATAAAGATTCTAAATTCGTGAGAGGGTATTGTGTGTTAGAGCAGTGGGATGACGGGAAGCCACCAATAAACAACACGCACCGAATGGTCATAAGAGCAGCATATGAACCAGAAGCAGCCATGCAAGACGAGAAAATACCCTGTCAAAAGCACAATTGTTAAAAACCATGAAAACTTTCAAACCCCAGAACACCCAACACTGCTAGCGTACCCAAGTCAACATAATACGTGAAAGCCAAATAGAAGGACGGAATCGGATCAAGGCTAGGTTGGAGAAAGGTTCAAGAGCACAGTAGGGAACAAAGAACATGGATAACACCATGTTGTAGTCGTTTCCAGTCATCCCGTTATCCCTATTGAGATTGACAAGGAGATTAGTTCAGAATAAGTACAAGTGGCTGCAAATACAATGAAGCCATCGGGTATATATTCACGATGCTTCCGACTTTGCCCGAAACTCGACACTTGCCTTTCCATTGCACCTAAACCCGTCTTCGTGTCCAACGAATAGGCACGAGCATTACCAATGTTTACACGATCTATCAAAAGGAATTGAGATTGAATAACGTGCCAAAAAGGGTATTACGATCCAAGTTTCTTGACGACTTACCAAGGAAGGCAAACACATACATAGCCAACGCCAATGGAATGACGGTTCTGTCAATGTGCCATCTTACAGCAGCTTCTTCTTCGGGACTCCAATCTGATGAAAAGTGTAAGGTTTAAGTGAGAAACGCTATCAACCAAAACCAAGAATTCTGAAATGCGTCGTTTAACGGTTTGGTCCAAAAACACATACCAATAGTGTAAACTTCAGTGGGCTCAACGCCCTTCTTCTCAATATCAGTCATTATACTGCTTTTGCCTGATTATTGTATAGTTTGGGTTTCTTCAGAATGTGCAAGCTGGAAGTGGAGAAGTTTACGTGTTTTTTTGACTCCAATGCTCGGCCATATGAAAAAGCACCCTTCATCACATGGGATGGCTTATCTTGCAAAATTGCCCCTTTTGTCTCCTTTTTCAACCCTTGGCCCAGGTACACGATCCAAACTCTAATTGGGCCTTTGCTTTTTGTTGGGGTTTGAAGGGCAAGAAGGGGGAAAGCGTCCCTTTTTTGTCCACCAAAGGGAAAGGTTGGACCTATGGGAACCAGAGAATCAATTGTCCACCCTTTTTGTGACACTTAGTTGTTTGAAAATTGAGCTTCCGAAGTCACGACTCTATCCAAGTGCTGAGTTTGAGGCTCAGATCGACAGAGTACTGTGAATATATGCAGCTTATACAGACCTATAAGGAATGGAGATAGCTTTCACTAGTAGCAAATAAAGCCTTCACGCCTATCTGTATTTCAACTCTGTTGGTTTGGTCTTTGAGATTGCAGAGTTTTGGTTATCACATGCAACACCTATTGCAAGAAAATGATAGATCGAGAGGAGATTTTGCATCGACTACATGTATTGTCATGTATTGTTCGTACGGTTCCATTTGTCGATCGTCTCAGGGTTGAAGTCGCATTTTCGATACTCGATTGCACATGCAAACACGCATGTCCCAACTGTGTAAGAGCTTGACAGCGGACTTACCCTACTTACCATCTGCTTTGGAGTTCCTCATTCCTCTGTACAAGTTCATTTATTAGCTTTGGAATCTGCTTAAACTACGTTGCCTGTCAATATGTCAATTTCTGCGGTTGTTATAACCGACGCCAAAACCTTAATTATTATTTCTCGATCTAATGACAGCCTACGATCAGGATATGAAGCATACCTTTTGGGCCTCTCTTTCTTTCGCTCCGCAATAACCAAAAAAGATGGAATCTTGAAACAATTGCAGCAAGACCTTATCGCTCGAGAATGGAGTGATCCATACATCAAAGAATTATCATTTCAATTGATTTGTTTGACTACTAAAACTACAAATCACCCAAAAACCACAAATATTAGATGTTCGAGGTTGAGCACGAAACTGAATTAAAGTGTATATCGCCATGTCTCGTCATGAGTGAGAGCACGGCCAGAAGCCAAGATCTGAGCATTACGGCGATCAATAGCACGGTTTGCCATGATGAAGGATAGACGGACACCGCATGCAATCTAATTTGCCAAAGTCAAAACAAGCCAGTCAGAGATGTACGCAAACCGATGATCACAAACCAAACCCAAATCAACTTACAAAAGCAGCAGCAATCAATACACCAGCGTTGATGGAATTGCCAATTGGGAAATGGGGAGCGTCAGCTGCACGGTATCTGTTGTTGGAGTGATAAGTTAATTTGATTTTTCAGTTTGTCAAGAACGTGGGTGTTGTTTAACATACATCTGTCCACCAATTGCACCACAGACTCCACCAAGACCGTTCATCAATCCCATTGCAAATCCACGGGCAGTGTGCGATTTGTGGTTGTTTGCAACCCAGCCATGAAGCAATGAAACAGTGGCAGCTACGTTGTTTGAAGCAAAATCAGACGACTCGGCTTTCAAATATTCAATATTCAGCAGAAAATCGTACCGTTGGCTAATAAAAGAGATGAAAGTAGTGAGATTTATGGTTTGCATACAGAATGATGATTTGAGGTTACTAAATTGTGTCCGAAACTGCAAATGATTTGTGGCAATGCTTGCTCATCCATCATCATACCTGGAGTTACGAAGAGCATTCCATATGCCACAGAAGGAGGACTCCACACATTCGCCATCACAAGGAATGCCCCTGCACATATGAACTGTATGGCATGTGATTCAGTACTGATTTGAGAGCTATCCTTACAAGCCTGACTTTTACCTGTCCAATGATCATGATTCCAGAACGGTCTCCAAGGCGATCAGAGAGATTGGACAAGATGATCAACACTTTTTGGAAGATGGGGGTGGGAAGCACATTAGAGACATTGGTTTATTTTGGCTGTTTTGGCTGGAAGTGTTCCGATTGTGAACTTACTGATTGCATTCCATATATTGGTTGGAACGGTCATCCATTGTGCAGCCACACCGGTATATCCAAGATATGTCAGAATTGTAGGTTGGAAGTACGCAATGGCATACCTAAATGGCAGCATTATCATTCAGATCATACATTCAATCGATATTGTTATTTAATCCAGCACCAAGTTGGCTAGCAAAAGAACATACCCTGGAATAACTGCCAAACAGAAGACGCAAGTTTGAAACCAGATCTGAGGTTCACGGAGCACTTTCGAATCAAGAGTATCCGTTAGGAACCTTTTCCATCGTCAAAACAGTCACAATGAATGTTACCTGGCCAAACTTCATCCATTTTGAAGACCTTGGTATCACCAGCAGCAGGATCAACTCTGAGACGAGTAACGGCGATTTCTCGTTCACGTTCGGACAGGAATTTACAAGTTTCAGGGTAGTCCTAATAGTGTGTGTTGGAAGAATGTGTGTCGTTTCAACTACAACTGTGTGCTGATGAGTCGACAAACCCAAACGCACTTACCGGAATCAACCAGTAGAAAACCACGCCGAGAATGACTGGAGGAAGGCCTTCAAGTAGCTAGGAGGGGAGTCAGACAGGTGTTTGACTGAACAAAATCTTGAGGCAAACTTACAAAGATCCATCGCCAAGCTGCTAGACCTCCTGCTCCATCCACTGTGAAGAACAAGAGCTGATTTCAGTACAAGGAACTTGATAAAGACGAAGTATGTGACTATGCAAAGCTCACTGTAGAAGACGCCGGTGGCAATCAGACCCGAGAATGCGGTGGCAAATGAAGAACCACCATAGAAGAAGGAAATACGACCAGATATTTCATTTGGTTTGTACCAGAACGTAAGCCAGAAGGTTATGCCAGGGAAGAGACCTAACGAAAGCAATGGTAAATGATTGTTTGGACCAATGAGACGCAAGAGACACTTACCAGCTTCGGCCGCACCCATCAAGATTCTAAATTCGTGGGAAAGGCAATGAATGTCGAGCACATGGTGATTTACCAGCTGACCCTCAGAGTGGAACCTTACCGAACAGTCATTATAGCTGGAAAGGAAGAGCAGGCAGCCATGCAAGATGAAAATATACCCTGATTCAAGAGAGCGGTTAGAAACGGTATACTTTGACCTTGAAAAGAAGAACAGTACATACCCAAGTCAACATGATACGCGAAAGCCAAACAGATGGCCGGAAACGAATCAAAGCAAGGTTGGAGAAAGGTTCAAGGGCACAATAAGGCACAAAAAACATGGATAACAACATGTTATAGTCATTTCCCGCCATTCCGTTGTCCCTGAACACCAAATTGCCTTGGAATGAGGGCACAACTTAGATTGGCGTGAATGTGACAAAGATGCCCACCTTTCCATGGCTCCTAAGCCGGTGACAGTGCTTAAAGAGTATGCACGAGCATTACCAATGTTTACACGGTCTAGTCAACCCCATGGGAATTGTGAGATCTTTCCACAAACTGTTTTTCTTATGGTGCAATAACAACATCCAAACATTATTGCAGCACTCACCAAGGAAAGCAAAGATATACATGATCAATGCCACAGGAATGACTCTATAGACGATTCATTTCCTGTCAGTTACCAAAATTTTGACTCAAACTGAGTCGTCACTGCCATTCACTTTGTTGCGTGCAAATTGAAAATGTTGCCAGGTTTGTGCCATAAGGCACCCAAGTTGAAGCGTATACAAAAACACATCGTAAAAGCACAGTAAAGACGTTGCAACTTACGTCCTGTCTATGTGCCATCGGACTGCAGCTTCTTCAGCTTGCGTCCATGCTAAAATAAGCCAGAGTCAAGTTAGCATTATTGCAGTCACGTATTCAAATATGGACTTAAAACAAACCAGATCTCACAGGCTTCATGGACATCTTCATAGCTGCCAAGCTTCTTCTCCTCGTCGCCCATTTTTCTGATTTTGGTCTGCAACAAGTTTTGGGAAAAGGCGACAGTAAAGTAATAAGAATCAAATAGAGTTCTTTTAGCACGAGGACTTGGGACTTGAAGACGAAATCGATGTAGCTGAAATGTTTGATAAGAATGCAAAAGTCACGCATGAAAAACAAACAAAAATGTCCAAGCGTCCTCAGGGTTCAGGTTTGACACATGGCTTTTCTGAACCCCTGGGAGCTGAGGGTCACTGACTTTCACGTCGCATCCGCCAAAAGTTATACATCTGGTGACTAACACCCTTGCAATTGAGCCTCGCCTGCTGTCTGGTGACCGATCTGACACGATAAATCCTTGGGGTTTATGGTCTTCGTCCGCTAAAAGCGGACATTTGGATGCACTATGCGCAATCGCGAATTGTGCACTTGTTTTCGTATATGCAATCATAGGTACGTTGTATTATTGTATTATTGATTTGGCGGCTACGTCTAAGTTCTTGCTTTATCTGTTGGTTTCAGCCGAGCCTGTATGCAAACGACAGGCAGGGCTTTTTTTAACACCCATGTCTGCATGGTCCATTAGATATAAAATGTCCACCCAGCCGTTTGTGGCACGTTGTGGTTTGAAAATTGAGCTTCCGAAGTCACGACTCAATCCATTCAGTTTGAGGCTCAATATCAACAGTCCAGTGTCTTCCAAGTACTCTACAATGTTGCAGCTTAGTAGAGCATGTAGATAGCTTGACCTGTAGCATTTTGCAATAGCCTTTCGCAGCACGTGCGTCCGAGCTTCGTCTTGAGTTGCATGTGGCACATTGCGTAGTTAAAGTGATCAAGGGCAACACGTTTGCGACAAAGTTGTGAATCCAAAAGAGATTCTACATCGATTTCAATTATTTGGCCACAGATTTATCGTATGGTTCCATTTGATGATCGTCTCTGTAGCAAAAGTGAAATCACTGTCTGCCTCGAGAAGCTCAGTGTATATGACCTGTCGGCTCACCCAACCCACAACAGTCTCTGCTACGTCTTTCCCAAGCGTCCATACTTTCCGTTCTTGACGCGTGCAAACTTTTCCCAACTTTGTTAAGAGCTTCATGTTGAGTTAGCATATCCTCTACTCTTCAGGTCTGAAACTCTCCTAGAAGACAGCTTCTATTTACGTGAGAATGTTTGGAAACCACTTTGCTTGCCTCATTTCTATTATACCCGAAGCCAAAACCCAACCGTCACTATCTAGGCTTATGTTGGAGTCCGTGTCTCAGATTATTAATCATCGTAGACTCTCCTTCTCTCCTCAAACACCAAAGAACCATAAAACCCTGCGCCTGGCTTTCATAAAATGTTTTCAATAGCAATTGTGTTGTTTTGAAGCAAAAATATACAATACACAAATATACCTTACAATGAGCTTATAGCCCGTTCATACACATGAGGAAGATGCTTCCCAGCAGACCCACTACTAAACACAAGACACCCAAACACAGCTTCTAAATCTACCACTTCATAAATCCTTCCTGTCATCAACCACAACACACGTCCAGCGGGATATAACTTTTCGTTATTCAGGCAAGCATTTTCAATCTCGTAGCGTAGACCAGCGTCAATTTGGGATTCTGACGGTTGGATTTCCGGGTGTGAAGATGTTGCTATTGCGATTGCTCGGCGAGTCAGACCGACGGTTAGATCAGAGTTGTTGTGCATCCAGATAACGACGTTTTTGAGATCTCGAACTGAGCCGAGCGAGAGGCGTGGGATTATGTCGTCGTCTATTACGACGGAGAGGATTATGGATTGTAGGAGTTTGCTTGTTGCTTTATCGACCACCTATTTTATGTATATATAAGGTTAGTGAAACCATTGTCACATCTACAACAGGAGATAAGGGGCTTTTTTGTTACCTGAGGACATGCAAAAGCAAAACATTGTATCGTTCGACCAACAGGAAGTCCAGACAGCTCATGTATCGTGCCAGTATTGGCGTCACCCCACTGCATTGTGAGTAATGCTCCAAGTGAAGCTCCCAGCGAATGACCTCATTTGATCAATTTAACTGAGTTAGTTTGTTTGTTCAAAATTGACAAAAATGGTTGAATAAAAATACTCATACCTGTTATCAGAAGAGAGTATCCAGGCAACTCTTGCAGCGCCTTCTTTATAGATTCATATACACGAGTTCGAGGTTGTGAGAGAGCTTTAGCAGCCTTCCACATTCCACCATGGACTCTAGCTTCTTGACCTGCTGGAAGCTTCACAGTCTCGAAATCACACGTCAAATCAACCATCAAATCATGTATCGACAACGTTCCTCGTAGAGCTAGTACTACCTGTTTATGAGGATGGTCGACGATAACATAGAATGTTGGATGATATCGGCCAGAGTTTACAGCATGTCGATTATCATATGAAGATGAGATAATAGACGCTACGGGGACATCTGCCAAGGTGGCGAGCGTGTCATGATTTCGGTGGATTTGGTTACTGATTTGCTCGTTTCGTAACCAAGATTGTGTGGTTTGCTCGTTTCGGAGCCACGACTCCCATGGTATTGATGGTACTGGCAGGACACCATCTACAAGGAAGTTTACAATCGTGGTGCCATATGTTCCTATAGAATACCGTGATGCTCGTTTGATGTCTTTTAATAGTAATTGGAGGTTGAAGGAATTGTTTTCTGTTGGGATTGTCCAGGATGATTTCGGTTCTGAGCCTGCGTCTTTTATATCACCCACTATACCCTGACTGACGTCTCCTTCTGAAGCGACCAGCACAACGTCATCATTATTCGGCAGATTGCGATCACTATTACCATTGGCGTTGGCGTTGTCGTGGGTGTCGGCTGCATCTTGGTATTCTTCATCTTCGTCCATGAGCTCTTCGATAATTGGACTAGCAAATATCTGTTTGCATCCACTTATTGCCGTTTCTTCCCAAACTTGACGCGTCAGATATTGCAAACTAACCCACGTTGTAAGTGACTTTAAAATCTCGAATATGTTGAGGTCATTGATGGGCGTTCCCATTCCATCATCTCTACCCATTTCACGCTTCACTAATCTAGCAAATTCGGCCACAGCTTTGCCTGTTTCACCACTTCCAAACTAGAGAGAGTGCGAGTGAGCTTTAATGAGATTTCATTCGGGTATGATTTCGCATGGCCTATAGCTTACCAAAGTATCAATCGTAGAAAGAGAATCACTAGCTGCTCGCAACGAAACACTAGTTACAGTTTGTCCAGTAGTGATTCCAGCTATGGCAAAGAATTCAGCAACGTCGAGAGACCCAGACACAATAGTAGATATCGGTGTGAGTCCTGTGATTTCGCCTAAACATATATTGTGGCATCAGCATGGTTGAAGAGTGGATATCTGTACGTTTAGCATTTCATCAACTTGCAACTCAAAGAATCGAAATTTAGAGCTCAGGATGCAAGCCAAGTCGTGGGTAGAACAACAAAAAATTGCCAGTGCTGTCTCGCTATGATCGTACCAATTCCGTTCACAACCGTCCTAGAGGCCATTAGACCAAAACGAGTAGACCACTTAGCGATTTCGAAACCAATTGTCGTAGCTGAGAGCAAAAAGAAGAGTTGTGGTTAGTCAGTAGCCATCACCAAAACGGTCCAACATCTCAGTACAAACTCTTACCAGTTGAAGCTACGTTGACCAACGTACTAACTCCCATGACAATATTTGATATAACCTAAGATTCAAAGTAATCAGTTTAGAAACAATATCAAAAGTCAGAACGGCTTCACTTCCACGCAACTAAAATCTTACATGGTTCGACTGGTCTGGCGGTGTAATCTCATCTTCAGGCGGCCTTCTAGCGCTCAATACAGGCCTAACTACTTCAGTAGCAACTTGAGGCTCTGGATCGTCCACGTCCATTGTCTCAGTCATTGTTGAAAAAGGCAAGATTATAAAACTTGACGGTCGCTTCAAGTAGATCCGGGTAATACGATGAACAATGGTATCTATCAGTTCCTAGTTCCAAATCACTCTATATTCCGCTGTCATAAACGGTGAGATTCTCCGCTCGCAGCAAATGTCAAATACAGGGACATGGGACTAGAAACGTTTGCCGTCCGACGGCCGGGTTGAAGGTACGGTTCACAATATGATTTCTACGTTCATATTCCAGAATTCGCGTAGAGAACGTAGACGTGCAGCTGTAATTGCTTGGAATTCTAGCTGAATTTCATCAACAAAATATGTAAAAACACGTCGAATGCGTTGTAGCAAACGTGTCGTATGTAGTTCTTAATTAAGCGGAATACGGCACCGTTGTCTCGAATAAATTGCAAGACCTGGTTTAGAAGTTACAATTCCCAACTCGTCTCTCCCAATTTTTTTTTTCTGATCTCCACATAGCAAACAAGGCAATGGCGAGGAAGGACAACAAGAGGAAGGCAATGCCGTCCAAGAAGGGCATCAAGCGCAAAGCAGTAGAGGAAGACGACGATACCGTCATGCATGTAAATCTAGCAGAAGTAGATGCTTTTATAGATGGAGGCAGCTTGGATCAAGAGCTGCTCGAGAAGATGGACGCAAACAACAAGCAGCAATCTCGTAAAAAGAAGAAGAAGAATGCTCCTATAGATGATGACGACGAGGTCGCCGGTCAAGATGAAGACGGTTTGACTGAGGAAGAAGAAAAGGAGTTGATGCTATATCTGAAGATGAAGCAAAAGGAGCTACGAGCTAGTGGCGGTGATGCAGATGAAGATGACGAGGATGAAGATATGGAAGGGGATATGGAGGAAGATGTTGATGATGCCGTCGCTGCTGCTAGTAAGAGGCCCAAGTGGGTGAAACAAGCTGCAGTCAACAATGTGGTATGTGGTTGATTATTGATCTCAATTATTGATCTTAAAATCTTACACTTCGAACCCATTCAATCTCGCCCTTCTTGTCCGTAGCCTGGAATGGAAGCCCACTTGGAAAGGATACGATTACCAGCCAACCTACCCTTCATTGAAACGCTAGCAGTCACATCCACAGCACCATTAGAAGCAACCCTCGAAACTCCAGAAGACGTACATAATGATACAAAGCGAGAACTCGCTATATATAAACAAGCCCTCCATGCCGCCACAACCGCCAAATCCACTCTAACAGCTGCTTCTATACCATTCACTCGTCCAGACGACTACTTTGCCGAAATGCTGAAAACCGATGCTCACATGGCTCGTGTACGTCAACGTCTCTTGGACGAACGCCTACAAGTAGAACAGTCTGAAAAGGCAAAGAAACTGCGAGACCTCAAGAAGTTTGGTAAAAAAGTACAACAATCCAAGATACTTGAACGTGCAAAGAGCAAGAAGGCTACTCTGGATGCTGTTAAACTGGCTCGTAAAAAGACAAAGAATAATAGCAGTGGTGGTAGTGATAGTAAAGATGATGGTGGTGCTGACGAGTTTGATATTCAACTTGAACAGGCTTCTGGTAGTAGGTCTGACAAATCAGCCACACGAAACAAACCAAACGGATTCACTAAAGGTGGCAATCCACGAGATCAGGCCAAATCTAAAAAGAGAACGTATAAAGACTCCAAGTATGGATTTGGAGGTGCAAAGAGGCATTCAAAGAGTAATACCGCTGACTCTACATTCTCGATCGAGAAGAGTGGATTTAGTGTAAAGAAGATGAAGTCTCGAGCATTTGAACAGGATGGTCGCAAATATAATGGTGGTGGAATGGGAGCCAATGGGGCTCAAAAGAAGAAGGGCTTTAAGAAGGTTAGGCCTGGCAAGAGCAAGAGGTCTTCCATGAAAGGGCCCAAGTAGTAGTTGTAGTAGTAGCATCGTCACAACTATAGCATAGTTCGCACAACAAAATATATTTGGTTCTTGTCACGACCTCCGCCATATCTCCGCCCGGATTGAATTTTTTTTCGAAGTCACGACTTTGATCTTGAATGGCGGTAGCTGAAACGTTAGAGGAGCCTCTGACGTATCGAAACGTAACCCTGTGGTTTAACTTCATCTGCAGTGTTTGAAAACTGTTCATCATTGATAAAACTGACTTTGCACACCACTTTTTCCAACAGGTCGTGTGTATTCTGAACGAGAAGGCTGGTAGTAACGCTGGAAAACGTGTATTTGCATCTGTAAGCTTGCATTATATTAAGATTCCTTACACCGACCGATTAAGTTTGTCAACTCCTTTATCACGAAATTAGATCTCGCAACGCTTCCGTAAAGCCTTTCCAAACTTCCAGCTCTGGATCACAAAGTACCATCGCCACGCCATAGAGCTCGCTAAAGATGCCGTTGAGACCTTCCAAGCTGATTTAATTGTGGCTGTTGGAGGTAACGGGACTTTGTCACAGGTTGTTGAAGGATATGTGTCTGCGAACGGGGTAGAGAAGGGATGTACGATTGGAATGATACCTGCTGGGTAAATGATCTGATTTTGTGTTGCCAAGACTTTGTTGATCTCATTATGATCTTTGTAGTTCGTCGTGTGATTTCTTAAAGGGCGTTCTGAACTCGAACCCAAAAGGTGCAAGTGCTGCAGTGTGGGATGTTGATTTTTCAATGAGTGTACTTACACATGGTGTCCCTGTCGCGCTTGATGCGTGTAAAGCGCATACCTCGCGACCCAGAGGTCAACAGGGGCATGAGAAAGGAGCGTTGCCTGTTGATTATACTTTTGTCAATGGTAAGAACTCTCGTTTGAACACATCTAAATGTTTCTGAAGTAATAAAGTATACCATCATTAGTCGGAAGCTTCGGTATCCACGCCTCCATAATAGAACGCCTCTACAACTCCCCCAAACTCCGCCAACTCTCAGGGGACTCCTCAACCCACTTCTTCCTCTCTTTTCTAAAAGGTTTCACGTACAGAAACCTGCCCGTCTCCATAACGATGTCCGACGAGCACAACAAGACGATGACCGCTGACTGTGACGTATACCTCGCATGTTTGGGCAACAATCGATACTTTGGTGGAGGTCTCATACCGTGTCCGAGAGCGCATCCAGCAGATGGTGTGTTTGATGTCTGGGTAGCGAAGGACGTATCAGTGATTGATATTGTGGCGAGTGTGCTACCTGCACTACAGAATGGGACTACGGCGACGAAGTGTGAGGGCGGTGGTGGTGGGAAGAGGGTGTATCAGAAGGCTGCTAGGGTTGTTGCGAGGCCGAGATCAGAAATGCCTGTGCCTGTTGAGGTTGACGGAGAGTATGCAGGTACGTGTCGTTTGTTTCGTAATTGAAGGTGCATGATGACTCTGACGCTGTTTGCTTTTGGTGGGTTTAGGTATATTGCCAGCTGAATTCGAAATGTTTCCAAAGGCGTGGAGGTTTCTGTTGCCGAGAGCATCGTGGCTGGCATGACGTCGATCTGCTTATTAGACTGCAATAATGATGGGATCTTGAGGGACGTGTATAGCAACAATAATACTATATTACCTTACTTCATAACAACTTTATGGGAGCAATGAGAAAACAAAGTCCAAGTGCCAAGATGAAATGACAGTACAGCAACACCGGAGGCAGGCTGAGAACTCATAGGCGCGATTTGCTGAAACAACACGCGCACCTGTGGAATAACGGAAGACACAATTCTTGAGCCGAATTGCTGAAGCAACATGTATTTCATAAATGTTGGAGCGTATGCACATGAAAGTAAATACACTGAAAGTAAATACACTCGTAGATGAGACTGGTATGATTCCACGTGGAAAGAATTAGTGCACAACAATAGATCCGATACACGGAACCTAGCGTATATAAATCGTCTAAGGGGAAGTGTTTGAATTATGCGGTCGCGGTCTTATTGATCGAGATTCATCGTGTAAACACGAGGAAAAAAACTGAGGAGTAGGGGAGTTGAACCCGTGACCTTTCGATGGAGTTCCAAGTATTATTGGAATCGAATGCTACTACCAACTGAGCTAACCCCTCACACGTAGTTTCATACACTGTACGACATCATGATTGTGTACTTATAGGCATTGTGTCAAATTATTAGAATGTAGAATGTCGGAAGAAAAACAATCAGAGGATCGTATTTGAGCCTTAGTTGTTGCATTAGAGCTTCTCCCTTCAAGGGTTTTGTAATCGGCGTAATCGCCTGTTACATTCCAGCTCATCTGTGCCTGCAATACAAGTCGCTTCAGTGTCTTAAAAGTTCCCATGACCAACTCAGTCCGAGTATAACGTCCAAAACCATTGAAATGCCAATCTCATCACCCAAGTCTTCTTCTCCCTCACCACCTCCTTCCCAACGATTTCGAAAGTGACACGGATGTCAAGGCGGTCCCCAATACTGACCCGAAACTGCTATATAAGACCACAGGCTCATCTGAAACAGCAAGGATTTGGGTTACGACTCTAAATTTTTATTTCCAAGACGACTCATTCAAGATAAGAAACAACAAAACAGCACCAACAATGTCTACAGTCTGGAAACAACAGATCCATTCTTTCCATCATTCTCCAACATGGGCCTGTAAGTGTCATTCCAGCTTGAGAATGCTGGCCAGTGTTTACCGTTGTTGAGTGGTTCCTATTTAAAAAAAATTGTCAGCACATATCAATTATCTTCTGTGCGAGGTTTTTTTGTCATTACCTTGCTAGCCCATTCAACCATAGTCTCGTATACTCTTCCATCGTATCGTCCCAAAGCAGAGTGCAGAGCAAAGTCGCTGTAATTCCAGGCATCGACTAGTGCGACAGCGTTGGGTCGTACTTGGTCGATAATGTCTCGGACGAGGGAACGGATCCATGAGTATTGACGCCATGAGAGGTAACCCATTGTTCCAAATTCGGGCTGTGAGAAAGTATGTTGGTGTCAGACAAAGAAAGTTCACCACGGCAGAGCATGTGCAATTGATCACCACGGTAGAGCACTAATAGCTTCAATCACGGTCTGAAAGTAACAACTCTTACCTCACACTCCATAGTCGACAATGCAAACAATTCAAACAATTGCCTCATGACTTTGGCAGCATCAGGGCCAAGTTTGGCCAAAGTCTTTTTATCGTCCAATTGCTTGGCAAAGGAAGTAATGATGATGTATTGTCCGTGTGCTTTAGACACTCGGTTGGCCTACCATGATGTGATGTCAGTAAAACTTACCGAGAGAACCACATTGGCGGATAACTAGTAGTCGGTTTTCTTGCCACGTACCTCCCATTGTCTTGACACAAATGTAGCACCATCAGTGATCTCTTGGGCGAGTTCCTTAACCAAACGTCCAGCTCGAACAGCAAAAGCGGTACAGATTTCATTTACGTTCAACAAGTCTTCTTGTGAAGTTGCACGGCATTTCAGGTGATCGAATTCGGGTTTCAGAGCACCCAGCAAGTATTCAGTGGTGTCTGTGGTATGTTTGAGGTTTGGTTCCTTCAATGCTTTGAGATTGTTGAATGTTTTTAGGAGGTAGCGAGTACATTGGAGACTGATCTGTAAATAATATAGGTTAAGTGTGTATAAAAAATATGTTTGGTGAAATGGCAAACGGATGTAAGCATTTACCATGTAGTTGTCGCCTTCGCCTGTAACCTATTGCAGAAAGGAGATGAGAAGACTCGCAGTATTTGAACACGGCTCGATTGTCTCACCATCATGCCTATAAACATAATGAGTGGCAGTCAGAATAAGCTTGATTGAAAAGCATATAAAGAGATTTGAAAAGGACAAATACATACCGTAATCATTGTTGGTGATCTAAAGGAAAGACAAAAAATCATTTTTAGAATCTACGCGCAAAGAAGAACCGCATAGATGTGGTAAAACAATGCATACATTTGCCATTCCTGTAAGGTATCCGTGACCACCACAACATCTTCGCAAGTCCTCAATAGCATCGTATGCAATGTTTGTCACCAATGATTTCAACGACGAAGAAGTTGCGTGGATTTCGGGTTGTAATTGTGCTAAAAATCACAAACGCAAGTCAGGGTGGGTACGGAGTCTGTCTCTCAGCGTTTGGTTTTTGTCAAACTCACCAACTCGGTCAAAGTCATCCTTGTTCAAGTTGTCCATGAAACTGTTGTATTGTGCCATCATGTCCATACCGACAAAATGTAAAGCGTATGATTTAGCGATGGAAGTGAATAATCGATACTACAAAACGAGGTTTGAATTAGTAGGGACCGACGAAGCAAAAAAAGGATGACTCTGGTTAACAATGTACAGTGTACATACTTGCTGTTGAGGATAATTCAAAATCTGAGTCTCAGCAGGTCTAGCGGCATTTCTAGTGTACTCTTCACCAATCTTGTCCTTTACAGAAACAGGATCCAAGTTTGCTGTTTGACGACGGATGGCAGAGTATCGGACTGCGATTGTAGCAGCTCTGGCCAAAGTACCAGCGGCACCTCGAACCATACCAGCTCTTACAGACATCATGGAATTGTAGACCAACTTTGAGTTGGCCTTGTTACGGACATAGTTTCCCTTGGTATCAATGTTTGAGAATCTGTTTAGAAGAGCGCTTTTTGGGACACGGACTATAGATTAAATGTTTGTTCTTAGTTTCCAGCTCGATGAGAGCAAAAGGCTCTGGCTATGAACCCACATTTGTAAAACCAAGCACATCCATTGTCCAGACCATTGTGACCATATTTGGTACCAATATCACCCGCAATAACTCCTGGCAGTAACGAGTGATCTTTTTCTGATCGGATACGGAATACAAATGAATGGATACCTGCCGAGAAAAAGAGTGAGCCAAGGAATACCTATTGTTGTCACAAACCATCTTGAAGACTCACCGTAGCTTCTGCCCTTAATAATCAATTGAGCCATCAACCCAACATGAGTACATGATTTTCCCAAAGCACCAATCCACCATTTACCAGAAGTCAAGTAAGGCGAGTTAACTTCCAGCTCATCAGTAGCCTCAATATACGAAACCTCAGTTTCCAGCCCCTGAACGTTACTTCCATGACCAAGCTCAGTCTGAGCGTAACATCCGATAATATTAAAGTTTACAATCTTGTTGATTAAATCCTTTTGCTGTTCTGCACTTCCTTCGGTCCTAATGATTTGAATAAACATGGACAAGTTGAGTGCCATCGGGGAAGAGCCTTCGAGGAGAGAGTAAGCGTAGTGCCATTCAGCGTTTCCCCATTTGTGTATTCTGGAGAGTTCGTTGAGACGGTATGCGGCTCTGGTTGATTGCAAGAATGCTTCCTCGTGATTGCGGTGGTGTAGGTGTGTCTTGTCAAAGACGGGGTCATTGGACACGACTCTGATGACACGTTCTTGCATTTCGAGTTCATTGTCGGAATACAAGACGCGAGTTACCTAAATTAAATGCTTTGGTCAATGACGATTCAATGTTGAAAGGATTTGTCCGTGAAAGATTGCGTCAGGCTTTTCACGCGACAAGCTGGCCAGACAGTTCAGTCTTTAACCAAAGTGCAACCACTGATTTAATCATTCAAAACTCGAAGGGTTGCATGGTTGCGATCTTGAGTCAACCTGATCAACCAATTTTCCTCAAATTTATCATCGTGGTGGTGATGATTCACGCACGTTTGCCACCAAACAACAAATCAAACCACTTCAAAAGTCCAAACGGTGTCTCACATTGTCGAGAGGGAATGTAGCTCTAGATCGTTCGTATTCCAAGGATTTTGGCCCATCGACCCCGCCTGGAAGTAAACCGTGTGGATTCAAATGATGGGCATTGTTAGGGGCTGGGTATCTGCCAGCTGGAAGAGCACTGGTTGACTTTGGAGAGCTCCATGCCTTTGTTTCGCTTGAGGTGGTTGCCATTGTCTGTTTCTACTACTGAAGCCTTTGCTGTTTCTTGATGTTGCTTAAATTGGAGTAACACAGACGGACATTCACGTTTAGTGATGATGTCACAGGCACAAGAGTAGCGATGCAATGCCAGATCCAATCACGTACAGTTCTGAATAGGCTAAATAGTTGTACTATCGTCCCGCAATCTCTAGCGTCCGTTCTCGTCAGCGTAACGAGCTCAGAGCAGGCCGAATTAACGAGAGACACGCGCCCCCTAAGCTACTAGCTAATCATCAAGACCACGTACAGATTGAGCCATTTTTACGCGATGACACGTAAGTGTGTGTTTAAATCACGTCTTTCTTCCCCCTGATCGTCGTCATAGTCTTCCACAAGATCTTCCATAAATTCACAGCAAGCAACCCGCCTTAATCGTTTCCGGTAAAGATGAGCATTTAGTGCTTTGAGTAGTTCTAATCTCATCTGAATTTCATACAGTGAGTTGGAGCTTTGAGAGAGGTGGCAGTAACAGTCCTACAGACTAGATAGCAAGCTTCGCACCAAAGCTGACTGTTTTGACCAACTTTCATCTAGGTTTGGACTGGACTCCTTATTCTTGAATTTTAATTCCAACCAATTCATTCTTTCGGGAGCTCCAGCATGGCCGACTCTCCAAACCATCATAATCAACATCCCCCAAAACGACAACATTTATTCTCCCCTTTCAACCCTCCTGCATTCAGCTTCCTGGACCCATACATTGACACTCAAGATGATGGAATCATAGATCCAGTCAATACCTCAACTATATATGACTCGCCTTCATCGCTGCTTCAACCATTGCGTGACTTGTTACTCTCGTCTGAAAGGTTGGAAAAGCCAAGGTCAAGTCGATTTCCGTGGCTAGTAAGTTTTCATTCATTTTGATCATACTTGACTGTTCCGATCATTTGGAATCATGATCCGTGATCATTGACGTTGTTATTTGATCTTGTTTGTTTCCAACTCGTATTGGATCGCACACGGTCATGTTGTCGTGGCAATGTCATTGTACTTATATGGATCACTTGTCTCTAGGAACCGCAGAATGACTCTGATCAAGCAAATCTATCATTCCCATCACTCCCGCAGACGGATGCCTTGCTACATGAATCTTCTCTATCACCACATGGCAAAGCTCATCACGAGACATGTTCGCCTGGCAATTCTGCCAATTGTGGCTCGATGCAAGCGGTAAGAATGCAATGGAGCGTTGATTTTGATATCATCTGTGAACAGAATCAAAGCTTGTACAACAATACACATCCCTGTTTGCTGATTTTGGTCTCCTACTCATTCCACAGGCTGCAGCAGCAGAACCGACGCCACGTAGCTCTGCCAAACCAAACTTGTTTCAGACTGGCCAAGCAACACCACACGAAACTCCAAATCGTCCTTGGCCTCGCGAGTCTCTGGATGGCTCTTATGGAGTCGGGAATCGTGGAAGATCTCGCTCTAGTAAGAACCGAAAGTGTAAAATTCGACTTTGAATATCTATGACGTCAACCGTCTTTGCTTACAAACACATTCTCAACATATTAGGTCCACATCTTGCTCGAACATTGTTTACCCCACCATTTACTCCAAGACTATATTCTAGATCTGGTTTGAGTGATGATGGATCTCCACGAGGGTCGTCGTCAATCCACGATTACATTGCCAGTCTCACATCATCTATTCAAGATGATGTCGAGTTTCCAATCAATGATACACTTGTTATGAGAGATGCTACTAGAAACTCTCTATTGCCATCTCTGCCTCCTTCTCGTATAGTCATCATAGAGAGCGTAGATGAAGACGTGTCTTTTGACGAGTTGCGCTCTGCTCTGATGGTGTGCATATCGCAATGGTTTTTGTTTGCGCCGACCAGTGCTTTGACTTCATTTTCTTGTTAGACTCATGGTGAAATACGTCACTTGTCAATTTATGGAACTACATGCATTTGTGTGTACTACCATCTTGGTGCTGCTGTTGATTGTGTGAATCATCTACGAAAGTATGGATTGGCTCATCAGCAAGTTACCGTGGCATTTGGCAACCTTGGAACTCTACGCAAGATTGGACCTGTACCTGAAGATGTCTTGGTCAATCAAGGAACTTTGATTGTTTGGAATTATGGTGGTGGTGCCGAAAATCTATTGGTACATGATCCCACCGTATAGTCGCATTTTTTGACTCACACCGACAACAACTCATTTCTAGACTATACTCAGAAAGTGTGGAGAAGTCAAGTCAATAGAGGATCATGAGCTATGCCCAAAGACAGCTTTTGTCCTTGAATTCTATGATATTCGAAACGCAAAGCGTGCGTTGGAGTTTATGCAACTATATCAGGTACTTTAGTTGCTACTACCGCAAAAAAACTGCCCAATCACTTGCAATTTTCTGTCCGAAACTCACTCTGAATGTTGTTTTCCTAGAATGATGTATTTGTCGAGTACAAGGACCCTCTGAAAAGGACTTGGATCCCTTCTACTGACTCGTCATCTAAATCAAACTACTTTTCGCCATCACTACTTGATTTGGATCTTGAACCACTATTCTACTTGTCGCCAGATACCAGAACACTATCAACTTCACCTACTCGAACACCTCCATCGAACCACGATGGCAGCAGTAGTTTAGAGTTTCCTGATACACCACGTCGACTCAGTCGGCCTCGTGTACCAAACATCGTCACCTCATTCGACCAATCGCCGTTGACGCAACGATCTACTTGTGGTGGTGGTAGAGATGGTGGAGCCATGGCTGCTGGTGAACGAAGTCCGACATTGTTTGCAAACACATCACCATACCATCGTCTAGACTATCCAATGTCTCAACAAGTCTCATCACCACAATCAGAACGTACAAACAGTGCTCCAGTCGATATTCGACGTCCCATACCACGTGGCCGAGCACGATTGTTTCCTTCAACTGATATGGCCAGCCCATTCAGTGGAATGAACAATGATTCATGGTTGGCCGCACCATTGTCATCAAATAGTTTTGATTCTCCCATCTCGCCACTTCTTGTATCGCCACGCTCCTCTGCTGCACCTGTCATGGGTCAGCCACAACAGCAGCGTAGTGGTAGCAATAGTTCTAGTAGCGGTAGTTCTGCTGCACAGAAGGGAGACTTTGACTTGGAAAGAGTTGTGGCTGGCCGTGACTCGCGTACTACTTTTATGATCAAGAATATACCCAACAAGGTAGATTGGGGAGGTTTCCGATTTTTCAGGTTTGACGGTGTCTAATCATGATTGTTTGGCCTGCTATACACATCTGCTCATGAAGTACACTCAGGTAAGAGTGTAATTACAGTATGAATGTACTGTTTTTGGCTACTATCCCTGATATACCGATTCTTCGCTGATGTCTCTTCCACATGTAGCAAATGCTCATTGACTTCTTGAATGATGGCCATCTTGGAGAATTTGACTTTCTTTATTTGAGAATTGACTTTTTGAACAGGTAAAAAATAATCAAACGATTGTCTCAAGTATACATCAAGTCTTATCGACTCTTACGCAAAGGTGCAATGTTGGATATGCATTCATAAACTTTGTCTCCACAAAGTCAGTCATTGCATTCGCCGAACGTGTTGTTGGAAAACGTTGGTGAGAACGATCGCGCGACTGATTTCCACACAATATCTTGTGAATCTAACACTATGATTACACCACCATTCTATCCTTCTGTTAGGCCACGCTTCAATTCCACAAAGATATGCACTCTCAGCTATGCCAAAGTTCAAGGACTTGATTCTTTGATCAGAAAGTTTCGAGATTCGTCTGTGATGCTTGAAGAGGTCTGTCCTTTGATTGAGATATATGTTGTGTCTTTCTGATTTTGTTGAATAAGCTCCCTATCACCTCACCTTTCTAGCCTGCATTCAGACCCAAATTGTTTCACACTGAGGGAAGTTTGAAAGGGCAAGAGCGAGACTTTCCTGCTCCTACTGCACCACTTCGACCAAGGTGATCGTTTGATGGACTTTGATTCTCAACAAGAACTTGCCCAACACACAAAATCTAGTTCTCGTGGCTTGTTTACTCGTGAATTGGGATACGTCCACACTCCTACATTGATGAATGGATCTCCTTCACGAGCATCAACTGTTGACACAGATGGTGTAGAGGCATCTCTTGGCAATTTGATCTTGGAAGACGAGTCAAGCTTGTAGCGAGATTTGCTGGGTCCGTTGTGATCGTTTTTTATGATTTGTGGAGAGATTCCCTTTGGTGGTGGTGGTGCTTTGAAAGTTATGTTGTCAGTCAGTTTCAGTGTGCTGTTGGACCCATTGTTGCGAGTTTCAAAAGAATGTGAATCAAAAGTCATTCACCTTTGAGAGTTTCAAAAGAATGTGAATCAAAAGTCATTCAACTTGTTGGACTAATTTAAAATGTTGTTGTATTTTCATAACGAAAATGTTAAAATGTTGTTTATAATACATATTGTATATTTCCCAAAATGGCAGTGTCACGATGAGCGGTCTATGCTTGCGAACTTGCTCTGATGTGATGGACGCAAGTGGAGATTTCATCCGACACGTCTAGCGACGCGAGAGTGAACACTAGAAGAGGCATACCATTGTGCGCAAGAATGACTCCTTTTATAACTGTTGCCGCTGAAGATCTTCGGCAAACGGATGGACTGGCTCGCGTACTACGAAAAAACAAACGGAATCAAAGGAACTACCAAAACACCTCTAAACTACTTGAAACATGGGACGTCACCGACATCACGCAAGACATGCTAGACATCATCAGGTGCGTACTTTTCCGGCTTCGTTTTGCGTGTTGTTTTGGGCATTCCAAGTGTTTGGACGCTTAATTGTGTTTTTTGTTTGAATTGTAGGCTGCTGAGCTCGTTCAATGGGGTGAGTAAATTGATATTTAATCCGCTCGAAACATATTGGATTTCTCTTGTCGTTGGATCAAGCTGTTCTTGTCTTGGCAGCACGTGTGCATCAAACAGCACGCCCACCCAAAAGAATGTTCTGTCCTGCATTTTGTTGGAAACCCAATACGCAAATGCAGCTGACATTCGTTACTTGTCCTAGGTGAAAGTGAATGCTACTCCCTAAAGAATGTCGCAACTGGAACCTATTTGGCTGCTCATGATGACGGCAAGCTAGTAGCAGAAGATAAAGATACCTTGCACCATGACATTCCTTTCATGATCGTCCACCACCCACCTTCTGACTTGTGTGGTTTGATTTGCTTCATCAGTACGTTGTTGCTGTCCTAAGTTCCCTAGACCAAAAAAACGAGCTTCGTCATATATGCTCATTCTCACGTCACACCATTCAACCACTTAGACATGCTATGGTTGGGCGTCGACGCAAACGACGTTGCCCAAGCAGTCAAGAACGCAAACCAGCAAGAAGGATGGCATCTGGAAGCAGCTGATGCATCAGTCCATAGCTACACGTTGAAGTCATTTAATGGCAAATACTTGTCCGCTGAGAATGGTGTTGTCAGCTGTAAGGCTACTGACATTACGGATAACTGCCGTTGGATTATTGAGCCTGCTAGTGAGGTATGTGTTGAGAGGGGAAGGATGTTGCACGAGAGTGACTAATAGACATTGATTTCCGTCATTTTTTAGCCCCCAGCACACGTTCACAAGGCTGAACCACCTGCACAAGCACCAGAAAGCAACACTACACCAGCTCCAGCTACGGCTCCAGCTGCTATTGCTCAACAAGTATAAAGAAGACCATCCGTCAAAACAGAGATGTTGTAGGAGCAAGGTCAAAGTCCAAAATTACCCAGAAAGTTGTACTATAAATGTCAATGTGCGTGTGAACAATAAGACTTGATAGTCCGCAACATTGGTTTTCATTAACTTGGGTTTCTCATTTAAAATCACGTTCTATATTACAAAAAAAGGCAAATTCAGTCCGTCAACCCTCTAAACTAATGGATTGGGCCTCACACGTCTAAACAAATTCAATTGATGTAAAAACGTTCAGCTCTCCTGCTTCTATGCTTCAGACTCCTCCCAACTCCTATCTATAAGTATGTAATCTATAACTTTGGTTTCTTGCCATTCATGAATCTCTTCTCAAATGATTCTTTCGGTGACATGGATTTATCTTCCCACATGAGCTGCATCTGGCGTGCAACTGCTATTGGTTGTCCAGTAGTGTCGTAGAGTGAGATGGTGTAGTCGCCGCGGCCGTGGAGATTTACCATGTCTGTGTCGACACATAAAAGATGTTTGTATGGTCCTGTGGCTTTCACACGGTTCAGGAAGTGTATGGTGAGGGCGACGGTTCCACTGCCTCTGTGGCCTACGTCGATCTCTCTAAAGCGTTGGAACTAAAAACATGATGGCAGTTAGAGACATACACACACGAACATAACATTGAACGAGATTGTATACATACCATTCTGTGATCAGTGAACATGTCGCTACACGATGAAAGGAGGTTAAGAAAGTTGTACAGTGCTTGAGTATGAAATCGTTTGCAACCATACCCAAAGAAACAAAGAGCAGAATTATCAATCGGCCTTTCATCTGCAAATCCAAGCCAAGCAGGGTATCTCTGCGCCCTGAATTAAGTGGTATGATGAGTCGCAAGCTTTGTTACCTAATTCAGCCCCCAAAAAACACTCACATAGCCCATTCAGCAGGTGCCCGTCTTTCTTTGGCAGCCTTCATAAACTCAGTAGAAGCATCACGACCAGCTTCAGACGTCAATTGCGTCCTTACATTGAAGAATTTCGTCTTGAAGTGATCTACATGTTTCACACATTTATCGGGAGATGGGATTTCAGGCATGGGTGGTTGATTAAAGGTAAATCCCGTCAATGGATTCCTATTGAAATCACCAAACGTAGCAGACACGCTCCAGATAACCATTCCAGTTTCGGCGTGACGACATATTTCAGAGCAGTAGATTAGGTTTTTGCCCTTCTTGAGAGTATCGACGGTCATTTGCACAGGCCAGTTTGGTTTGTTGGCGGATATAAATTGGGCGTGGACAATGAGAGCGTCTGGGTATTGTTTTCCGACGTGGAGTTCGATACATTTTACTGCCAGAGCCAGTACATAGCCTCCAAATGCAGTACCTAAGTAATTTGAACGTTGAGCAAATGTTTGTAGGTGTCGATCGCACATGTATCGTTCTTGCCATGAGGACCAAAATCCTCGAGGTTCAAGAACACCAAATGCGATGACAACATACCAGAGGGATTGAAGAAATCGGGATTAAGGACACTACTGTAGACTGATACATCCTCACTGGTGCTAACAACCTGTGGAGTAATAACTTGATCAAAAAGATAAGTCTTCTTTGCAGCAAAAGGGCTGGTTCTGGAGTGCGAGGAGCCAATGCTAGCACTGGTATCTACACTCTCGAACTTGTACGATTCTCCACCCATTATTTGCTTATCGGTTTGCTGCTTTGGTTGGGCAAGTTCGGTTGTTGTTAATGGTGTGCTAATTTTTGGTGATGATGTCATCGTTCGGAGAATCAAAGAACCGAACATTTCACTCGTTGCGGACACGTCAAAGGAGCTCGTATTATTGTAATCTAGGGCACGTAAGCATCATAGGCATCGTAGGCATCGACCCTCCTTCACTTGGCGGGTTGATACTTATTGCTGCAAATCCCATCACGTTATTTTGAAGTTATTGGATGACTGCTAGTCCAACGCTTAGCAAGGTCATAACAGATGTCCCAAATATGTGCGAACATTGGTATCAGTATGATTGTATCCACGATGCATCTCTTTGACCCTCTCAAGCAAGTTTTGATCAACTTTTTTGCATCTGGACGCAAGTCGAGTAATCGGGAAAAACAAACTCACGTACTACTGCAGCGTTACGCGGTTCATATTTAAATGCATGAAGCTCTCGGTCAAGGGATTTCTCGAGTTCAGCGCATTTGTGTTTTTGGTTGTTTCTAATGGTAAGCCCTCGGTGTTGGTGCTCAATTGAAACCATAAAATTACATCATACCCACAAGATGTCAACTACATTGCTTTTAAGTACACTCTTGCTTTCTTACGCCTCCAGTCAGGTTATCTCATCAACCATCCCTTTGCAAACCAACACTTCAACACAACCACAGACACTTCAAGATGCTTCGACTCTCTGTACTATTTCAAGGACTGTTAAGTAGTAGTGTTTGCTTGCTCGGAAGTGTAAAAGCTGAAGCGAGGACACGCCCCTCAGCAGTATTGGGAAGCCGCAATGCAGGTGTCTGCTGAAGTAGACTTTCAAGAACCTCCCACGGGAGCAAAGCTTGGAGTGGCTCTCTTTGACCAACAATCAAGGAGAGTGCACAGCTGCGTCACACCAAAATCATGGGTCGCTATTTGAGAGTCGAGGATTTGTATCAATTTTTCAGTTTGTCAGTGTTTCTTCACAGCCATCCCTACTAACTAGGTCATCACTTCCATTAGAGGTGGATTGACGTGAGCTGCTATATTTCTCATTCAAGTTTTGCTATGATATTTGGTACTAGTAGCGAACTGGTATTTGCAGGCGCCGAAACTGTCCTAAACTTCCAACTCCACCAGTCTCATTATTGTTCTATAGATGGACAAGGCATCAAGCCAATATACAGTAAACGGCCACTGAGAACGCTGTTGCCTAGAGTTTAGCTAAACACTTTTATGGCCCAGCATAGAGGGATACAATTTGTCTTGAAGTAAGACGTTGATTGAACTTCAATATAATACAAATTAAAGATACAATTGTTGCCGCTAGCCAATACAAGGCGAATCGAAGACGGCGTACCCCGCAAACACACCACCTTCTTGGGACTCAATGGATTTGGTACGTAGTAAATGTCCCCTCGCAACATTAATGTGTGTTGTTTCCTCCTCCGAAAGCCATATGCCAAATACTCCAAACTCAGAAACTACAGTCGATAGCTTGGCGACACCATCACGAACCATGACGTTCCTTTGAGAAATCGGTTTGACGAGATCCATTAAAATATAGGCGCCACGTTCTTCCAAAGACAGGGTCTCAAGCGCTGCTTTGATTGCCGGTCCAAATAGATTGTTGCCTAGTATAAAACAAGGTCTGACACTCCGTCTCTACATATCTCTGATATGTGAATAGCTGTCTTACCGCCCCCTTCTCGACTCGGCTTCATGACAAACCGGTCCGGATGTTTCAAGGCCTTCTGTATCGCATCGAGACCCTCTTCACTTTCATCCAGAGGATACAATCCCACAAAACAAGATCTGACGAGATTGGCTTCTTCAAGGTTTAAATACCGTTCTATCACTTGTGGCATGGCCAATACTTGTTGAACCTTCTTGGTTCCCATCAAGTGGTGAGCAATATTAGGACATTTGAGAGAGAGAGACTCCTCTATCAGTAGTCGGGCCTTCCATTCGCTCTCTGTAGGATAGTCTGACGGGGCATAACCAGCTCTGAAGTATGTCACTGCAATTTCTTGGTTGTCTCTAAGGTGCGTGTATGGTGGTAGCATTGGGACATAGCAAGAAACAAACCAGACGGGTGTCTCACATGATGAGCCTCGAGCCAGTTGACAATGACGCCCGCTCATGAATCTCAGATAGAGAGCGTCTGAGCAGTCTTAGATTGTCAAACTTTCGCATCAGCGTATATTCAATCCAGCGTTGATCGAATACGTTTTCCTCATCAGGCTGAACGACCATTAATACCACAGCACTAGGTGATTTCAAATGAATTAGTTCACTATCTGAAAGATCATACTGTCGTCTGAAACCAAGCGTAAACCCTTACTCTGCAACACCATAAAGTCTCCACGCTTGACCCAATCCTTCTGCGACAACGTCCAAACTTTCATTAACAGGCAGCTTTGGTTTACATGGCTTCGTCATTATGTTGATGAGATACGTGTGGAGAGCGGTCGTAAGAGCTGATAAGCTACTTCCAGATGCAGCAATCGTATTGTACTCGAGTTGAACAGGTTTGGCGTCGTCTTGAATCATGTAGTCAGATCTTGGAATCGCCAATGTCTTGGGCTAATATTGATATACAGTGAGGCTCTTCATATCAACAGAATGAGGAGAAGGAACATTAAGATTTACCTGTGTAGTGCCGTGCTCAAGCACATGCCGATGAATTTGGAGTAGACGACTTGTGAAATCGTCTACTTTGGCCACATCTTCCAGGGCATCAAGTAAGAAGTGTGGATCCCTCGAAGCAAGATCGGTGAGTTTTTGCAAAAGTGGCTGTAATTCACGTGTCCGATCATACGCCAGCCTATTGAGCACGATTTTGCAATTGTGAGATCAGTCACATCGTAGGTCAATGGAGGCTTCAGCCAAAGTACAAAACAGAGAGGATAACATACCGTGGTATGCATGAAGGATGGAGAGTAAAAGGAGCACATTTTGCGCCTCCCGACTCTGATTTCACAATCAACCCATTCGTCAGTGCAAAATCCGTTGCAGATCCCAGTAAGCGCATTAGATCTTCTGGGTCCTGGGCGATGAGAGCTGGTGCCATTGCTTGTTGAATCTGGGAAAACATGCAAAATGTTTGAGATCAATGTTCTGTTGGCGCAAGTTCTTACCAAACAACAAACCATGCAAATGTTTTCAGCTCAACGTCCTGTCGGTAGCAAACGTTCACATGCAAAAGGAATGTACGTTCTGCATAGTTCTGAGATTGACCATAAGGGCACTTACCAAGTTGGTGTAGTAGCAAGGTACTCTTTAAACAGTTCAACTAGAATTTTCTTGTCTTCTTGAAGCGTGCAGATGGTGGAAGCACTTGGTACAATCGAATCCACGAATTCTAAGATGTGTATGATGCGAGTAACTCAGTAACTCCCTGCCAGCACATACGAAAACAATAGTCAAATCTCCAACCAATCAGATTGCTCCGTTCATCTGGAGGTCGGAACAACGTAACAAACAGAACAAAAATCATCTGGAGAACAAAGAGAAAAGGACGCCATCCCAACATCAGATCTCGCTTCTGAACATTCTGGTATGTACCAATACTGGGCCACAATCCGTTTTATTGCGGCATCGTATCTCGCCTTTCCTCACTAATTTCTTACATTTCTCGAACAGCAGCTTCAGACATCCCAGTCATCCAGTGGCTGATTGTCTTGTTTGCGTATGGCGCTGGTTCGTCTCGAGGGAAGTGTTTCCCTCGAGACGCACCAGTTGACCTCCAAGCCAGGATGTCAAGCAAAACAAGCACTTTGGTACTGTGTGTTGTATAAATATGTTGTGAAATAGATATGAACCAAATCAACTGTTACAATGGAGTACAAGCGACAACTACTGGTGGGCCAGGTATATTGAACGTCTCGTACACCTCATCAGGCACAATCCAACTCTCATCCAGGACTCAGACTTTGGACGATAGGAGGTTTGGAGATTTCCCATCCCACATGTCACTTTAATTTCCTAAATTTTAAATAAACTTGGGAATCCAGTTTAGCCAAAAAAAAGCAATATAATACGGCCAACATACACTCACCACGACAAAAAAAAAGTGAGGCGCTAGTAAACCATTCATACCATGCTTTTACCAGCCACCACAGCAACCCATTCTCGCACCGCCGACCATCCTGCACCTCCCGCGCTTGCATCCTTACGAGCAGCTTCACCTGCACTCTTCACAAAAGCAGTCATCTCTGGAGTGACACCCTGATCCACAAATTTAGAAATCTCCTCCTTCAATACCACTCTACCTCCTATCCGCACATCGTTCAAAGCCCGCCCATACCCAGCAGCCTCCAGCATCACTGCGTCCTCATGCTGATCTCCCATCTGTGGCCACATCAACATCGGCACTCCAGCAGCAATAGACTCTGAAGCCGAGTTCCAGCCTCCGTGACTAAAGAAGAGCGACACTGCTGGATGAGATAGCGTCAGGTACTGGTCAACCCAGTCCACAACCAGTGCGTTCGGCTTATGGGTGAATATAGACGAGTCAAAGTACTCCTGTTGCTCTTTACGGATCGACCAGACAAAAGGCTTTTTATATGCGGCCAGGGTTTGAGCAATCTCGTTGACTTGCTCGGGACTCTCAAGCTGGTTGGTTCCAAAGGCTACGTATAGCACGGACGATGGAGCTTGGGCGTCCAAAAAGGCGGTGACTTCAGGATTTTGTTGACGGGTGTGGTCTCGTGGGGTATACAAGATGATGGGTCCAAAGTTGAATACTGGTACTGTGGGTGGGAAGTATGACTTGAAGCGAGACAGTTCACCATTCGCCAGTGGCTCCCACGAGTGTGATAGCACAGAAGTGCAATCAAAGAGTGACTACAAAATAGATTGGCGATGATATCAATGTTAGTAACAATCGTGTCGTTTCGTCGCATGATTTTACCAAGTCATTCTCTCCAAGCACTGCTACGACAGGAGGAGGTCCAACCACTTCACCAGGAGTATCCAGAGCGAGTTGAGCAGTAGATTGTGGAGTTATAATAGCATTGGCTGGAGGATTTTGATGAATGGCGGTATAGAATGATAACGGAGCAAGCAAGTGCCTAAATCCTATGACAAATCAGACAGGATCAGCACTGCAACGAGAAAAAGGCAGAGTATTTGGTGCCATTCGTACCATGAAAGGCAATACCCTTTGCCAAAACCTGGTTGGCAAGTGGACACATAAACCATTCCGCCAACACAGCGGTAGGCTTCGTTGACGACGACATCAGCGTGTCCAGATGCTTTAAGAAGGCATCGAAAATATTTTGGCGGGCCTCTCCAAATGATTGGGCTAGTGAAACAAGCATATTAACGGTTTGCTATGAAATCCACGCGAAGCAAATGTAGAGACACGTACCTCCACCCGCCTCGTTGAGATCAACCCAATTCAAATCGTCGTTTTCCCGTATATAGCCCTTTGCCTTGAGCATTGCCAGCAGAGCTGTTGGGAAACAGCAAGTAACGGTGAGATCATTGTGAGCTGCTAGGATCCGGGCTACTTGGATTAGCGGGATTGAGTGGCCAAGACCAGTTCCAAGTTCGATAGACACAGTGACAATGTGAGTCTTGTTCGTTGGCATCGTTCCTTACAAAAGCTATTGTGTTTTCTGATAGAGTGAGGATCTCGTGTTACAACAGTGCACGGTTATACGCTACGGTTATAGTTCAAGGGTCCTAAAATCAACTACTGGCAAACGCAGACACCATAGCTGTTTGCTAAACGTTCCGGTATTTTCAATTGCTAGCCTCATACGCCATGGATCGTTTTATGCAGTGTTGGGGGCAAGGAGGTTTTATTGTTGAATAAACAGCCAGAACACAATTCCCTGGTGAGCCGTACTGACTAAGTCGGCAATACAACAATACGATACCAAGCAAATGCCGGTAGGCGAGGGAGACACCCGCATCGCTGAGGGGGTGCCGAAAGATCACAACGTTCTACTTACCACCTTACAATATTACAGTTTCATCCACATTGAAAGCGTAGAGACCATAGACCAATGTAAACTGCCACTACCACGTATCGTTTTCTCCAAGCTGCAGAAGCTGCAGGCCTTGAAATCCTGTCTTGTTGAATGAAATCATCGTTGCGTCATTTCCTCAATATTTCATTGCCACACATAAGCCAACAGCATCCGAGTGAGCGCAAACTCTGCAGAACTCTCTCCTCATGCAGAGCGACAAATCGTATCAGAGCCTCTCGCTTTCTTTCGCGCTTCATCTCGACAACTAATAACTCTGAAAAACTCTAAAAATCTTCGCAAACGGTTCTAAAATTCAGAGAGCCTATCGCGAGATCTAGCCGATATCTCATCAATGCCCTACTTACTCGTACTCTCCAAATGTGCGAAAATACTGGGGAGTTTTAATATGTCGTGTAAGCAATAATCGTTATTTTAACTTATATGATTCTATCTACAAAGTGCATCTCTAGCTTTAATCAACTCATTCAACACGGCCTGTTGTGACTCAATAGCATTATTAAGCCATTCCTTCATACCCGTTTCAAGCATAACACGACGTTCTGAATGTAATCGTTCCATTTCCGCCAAAGTCACGTTAAAGATGGTTCCTATACGTGCCCTTGTGGCATTATTTAATATAGCAGAGGCTGATGTGGATGATGTGGATGACGTTGAAGTAAGGTCTCGTTCAACAAGTTCATCATATCGGTCTGAAGCAAATCCATGCATTTGGACTAGAGGTGTATATCCCATTAGTAGTGAAGAGTAGGACTTGATCACGATCAAGAAGGGATTCAAGGTGGTTTTGGTCTAATGATTTCGAGTTTGTGAGAATGACGAGGTCAACAAAAAAAACTAAATTCGCGACCGACAATGTGTTTGGCGAACACCGACCTGAGTCCTGGCGATGTTCGAGATGGAATGCAAATGACTAGCAGCAGCCACCATTCCTTGACCAAATGCAAAACATTCTAGAAGGCAAGATGCTTGAACAAGGCGTTCTCGTAAAATGGTGTTCACTACCAAACCATGCGCATACCTCTGCAACCCTCACGCCAACACCAAGAGAGACTACGAATATTGCGTCCATCTTCATCCCTGTCAGCGGAGGTCCCTCGCGCCAACGAGTCCATCGAGGTAGCGAGAGCTGAATACTGTTTCGACAAAGCTGGGAAAAGTACAGGGCCACATGAGACATTTGCTTCAATTAGGCACTAAAAAAGCCTTCAAAAAATATTATGACGCTCGTACCATCAACGACAGCCTCATGACGCTGACCAGCCTCCAAAAACGGAACGACATGTTTTTGAAAGAGTTCTAGATGTGTTCCAAATCGAGACATGGCTACTGGATCACCGTCTTCAGGTACATTGAATTCAGGATGCTAAAAAAGAACGAATTGGTCCATCCATAATACTCCAGATTTTGTTGAGGACACAACCACGCTCAACACAAGAGAGAAAAAAGGACGAAAGATACGTACATAAACCCGTTTGAAGAATGTAGCAGACATATTCCCAGCATCAAACATGGATGGCGCCCTATTCCCACCAGAGACAATAACAGCATTACTAAACTTTGAGATTCCCTTCTTCCATTCGCTCTCATCTAGTCCTTCTGCTGAGGGAAGCGTATTCTCAAATACAAGCATATCATCAATCCAGCGTCTCGACTCCCTGCTAAAGACATTGCCGGGTATCGATGAGCGCTTTTCGCCACCACAAGACAAGAAGAATAAGACTGCTGGTTCGTTCCGTAGAACTGGATGATGAATAACGGATGACAAGTATACTTCAATCTCTCGTCTACGACGTTCAACTCTTGCTACATCGAATCTCGTGGATCCAGAGTTTACTGCATAGTTTTTGCTTGGAATAGATGGTAGTATGATAGATGGTGGCGGAAATCGTTCAAGTAGACGGTCGTGAAGCCATTCGACTTGTTTGAAGCGTCGATCTACGGTAATCACATGATACGATGAGGTCTGATTTGGTATATGAGCCGAGCTTTCCGCTACATCATCTGGGAACTAGGCAAATTGAATTAGAGTTATTGTGAGATCGGAGAGAACAAACCCTCAAACTCATATATGACCATTACCCAAGAGTTGATGCGATACGTGACGAATTCTTCTAGAACCACCTGCTGACTTTGGTCAAGAATACGCCTCTTGACTGGCCTTCGAACTGAGATGAGAAAAGGTGGAATTGTGCCTTGCCATTTGGGGCCAGCCTGATTTTTCGAGTTAGAATAAAATCCTCATATCGAGTTTGCTCCAACAAAAAAATATGATCGAATGAGGACATACCGTGATGTAGTGACGGTCTCGAGCAGAATCATCATCACTATCAGTAGTTTGCAACGAGCGTCCTCCAGAACGACCCTCAGGCCCTCCAACCCCACCAGTACTAATATACTCGTGAAGACTATTATCCGAAAACATTGAGAGGAATATTCGACGTAATGTGCCTTGCAATTTGCCAGCTACGAGACCAGCGACTGATGAGATATTTGCGAGCGGTGAAGCGTACGCCAACGTTGGTTGTTGATCAAGGGACAGTAGTCTTTCCCAGTTACTGCTGGTCAGTGTATCGGCATCTCCAATCATTGAGTTTCGTGGATATAGTGCGTTTATTGGAGCATCTTCATCTGGTGAAGACGATAGTAAAGGTTCGTCGTCGTCCTTGTCGTAGAAGTCGTCATGGTCTTCATCTTGAGCTGATGGTGCACCCATGAACTAGAGAAAGATAAAAAAAAGATAGATCGAGATTCAATTATTAGCGATATTTCACTATTTTACAAACCTGTAGATAGCTCAACGGTACAAAACCAACCATTCCACTGGCATTCTCACACTGGCACCATCCAGGACTGACTTCCACATTCATGGCAACACCACCACCTTGTCGCATAGCGAGTAAAGTTTCCTTAATGTCATTACAACCAAAGACCGTCACACATTCACCACTAGTCAAGCTCAACATTTCTGTAGCTGATGGATCGGGCGTGAAGTCATATATAGCATACCCTGCGTATATAGGAACGACATGCAAGGTATCATCACCACCACGACCAGTACTATGACTGCTTTGTTTACTAGATGAAGGTGCGGGTGGAAGAATCTGTCCGCTGTCCTGTATTGATACGAGCGCTACCAAAGGCGGTCGTTGACCAGGTAACCCAGTCAAAGAAAAGAGTAGGTCTTCTTGTTTTGACGTCGCGCTCTTATTAGTAGACGCGATACTCTTTTTGGATGGTGAAGTGCTCTTATTGAAAGGTGCAGTACCAGCACTAGCACTAGTAGACATTGCAGTCATTGCGAGACTCTCATCACTTGGCTTTCGTATGGTTTTACCACCTCGTCGCTCAAGTATCCTCGCATGAGCTAGCTCGAATTCTGATGATGTTTGCTGTACTGATACAGTGTCTTTATTATGTGGTTGGAGTCGTTCTTCGAGAAGCTCATGACGACTTGTGGGGAAAATAGTAGGTCGATCTGATTCGTGATGGGTTTGAGATTCTAGATCTGGTAGTTCTGACATTTTTTCATGTATATCATCATTACTATGGCTTGTTTCACTGTCTATGCTCTGGTTGCTGGAGCTGATGGCATCAAATGTGTGTTCTGTAAGCCTAGCTCGTCGTCTGATTCGACTTGAGGTAAGTGTCGTAGGCTTTTCAGGAACTGGAGGCATAGCAGCAGGCTTCCTCTTTCGTGAGGGGATCGTGGGAGGAGTACTAGCTTTCGGTTGGTTTTGTTTTTGATGTTGATCACGATCAATACTGCTCACTGGAGACGAGGCGCTCGGTCCATCTATACTGGTTGTGATCATTGTAGCTCTGTTCCTCTACACTCAACCAATACGTGACCGAACGGACCTTCCTGATGTGTTTCGAGTGGTTGGGAACATGTTGTGCCAAGTTCCAAATCGAATAATGAACCGTGTTATTTCGCGATTTATTCAATGTACTAATGTACTGTATTTCTTTATTTATTTCAAATTTCAAAGACTTGAACTATCTCACAAATTCCACTAACAAATCTACACATCTGCTTCTTGCTCCTCATCATCACCACCACCGGCTCGTTCAATCACTGCATCTTTCGCCGAAAGAGCATCGAGTCGTACTCCTATGTAGCTGGGAAATCTAGGAACCTTGTCTGGTGTAAGTTCCTAAAACGAACGATCTGTCAATGAGGTAGTCAGTTTGCATGCGTTGCATGCATCATACCTGAAAACGATATGTAATGATTGCTCCAATCTTTGGAGGCTTGTCCCTTTCGTTGTCCGACAGACCAGTACCTAAACCAAGTCTTAGCGTCAGTTCATGAAATCAAGCTTCTGCTCCTGTCGACATCAAGTATGTAACCACCTGTGGCATGGAATGGGACACTCCCTGATTCAAATCACCAAAACAGTGCTTACCACAAGAGAACATCTTTCCAGATTCCATTTCACATTTCAGAGAACCAACACGACCTGCGTGTTTGCCTTTGCCAGGTTCGTACCCAACCACTTTTGCTTCGGCATCGTAAAATGTCTTGACTTTGAGGAGAGTGCTGCTTCGTTTAGGCTCATATAAGCTCCCAGGTTTTCTGAGCATTAGCCCTTCTCCCTTCAGCTTCTCTACCTCCTTCAGATACTCAAAGAGATGATCACGAGATTTGCATATCGTGTGTTCAACGACTCGCGCAGTCTTTGGATTATGTTTGGCAACATACGCCTTGATTGCTTTGACTCGATCTTCGAATGGCTGTGATCCCAAGCTCGGAGAATCAAAGATCTGATACGTAATAGTATCCCACAGCTTCGAGTTGATAGTCTTAACTACTGACACTGTGGCCGAAAATTGGTTTCTTCCACCGAAAAGTTCACCATCCCAAGACTGGTCTCTCGGGAAGTCTTAAGAAGTATAGAGTAAGCGCTGGTATAAAGGCTTAAGAAAGTAATCGAATGACTTGCCTTTGGAGAAGAAGTCTGGCGCTGTGAATGGGTTTCCAAGCCGACTGTAGAACTTCTGTTCGGTATGATCCCAGAAAGCCCTCACACCATCGAGCTTTTCGGACATCCACCATCCTGTTGGATCCTTACCAGTATTGAGATCCCATTTGTTTGCCTTAAAAAAAGTTTGAAATCATTATGGGCTATTTGATGCAACCACAAGAAACTGCACTATACCAATAGTACAGCTACAGTTTTCTTGTTGGACTTTGTAGAGCTGGCTGCTGCCTTCTTTCCTTTTCCAGCTGGTGATGACTTGGCGTTGACGAAAGCATCGCCCAGCTTGTAAGATAGTCGAGCAGTTTCATAAGCTTCACCCAAAGTTTCCTTCAGATGTTTGCAAGTTCTGGCGTCCGTTGGACCACCTAAAGGCGAAATGCCCATCGTAAAATGTGTTTCTCTGATTGTGACTGACATTTCATACCATTATTTCTCCAAGCGGGACAGGTACAGTAGTAATGGTCTGAAGTACGTTTTAAGTGATATACGGATGACGAAGACTGTGATGACACATCTAATTTGTCTCCATCTTGCAATTCTCGTTTGGGCTTCAGCCCTTTGAATATTAATACTCCATTCTCTTCGACCATTCCATCTTCAGAATCGTCAGCTTTCGAAGCTATAGGTGGAGATGATGCGGCTTGTGGCTGTACAGCATCAGACTTTTTGGGTTTTTTGGAAGGCCGAGCTTGTTGTTCTTCGTCGTCTTCCACATCAGTATCTTCATCTTCATCGTCCTTCACAGCGCTTGAGGCGACAGTTTTACGTTTTGGGCGAGTTGTAGCAGCGGTATCATTATTTGTTGTTGTTGTGGTGGGATTTGGGACAGTTGCTGAAGGGTGCGAGAAGTCCTTTAGATGTTGAGGGTTCTTGCGATAACATTTTTCACCATAAGGACAAGCAGGCAAGGCGTCCGACATTTTGAGGGCATAAAAGTAAGTCTCGGATTTCCTCTGTTGCGTTCCTATAGTGTGAATTGTCAAAGGGTTTGATCTTTCACACAGAGACAATACGGAAGACAGAGGCGATACATACTAAAAGATGACAGCGATGCACTGCCTACGACCAATAAGAAATCGCCTGAGAGAGCTAATTAACCTGTAAGTGGTATATTCGTGAGCTCTGTGAAATTCAGGAATTGTTTGTTCGTTGGACGCGACAACACAAAGTACGGTACATCTAACTCTTTAACTGTTAGAGATGGACTATGGAATTTCTCGCTCCTGCCAGAAGGCTATGTCTATACTGGTGCCCGCTTCCCAAATACACGGGTCATCGCTGTCCCTGGATCATGGAATGACCAATTTGGAGAAAACCGTGATGAGCTTGGTGTCGGATGGTATGAATTGGACCAAATGTACATTCCTGAATCATGGGCAAAGAGGTGTATACACATACGGATTGGATCTGCAAATTACAAGGCTACGGTTTACGTGAACACCGTCCTGGTTGGGACTCACGAAGGAGGACATGTTCCATTTGCCTTTGATATCACCCGTTTCCTGAATATTGGATTTCCAAACAACAAGGTCACCATCGCTGTCGAGAATCTCTCTTCTGCTACACGTATTCCTGCAGGGGTCGCATCTGCACTATTCTCAGGATTCCCATCTGTCTCATACGACGTAAGCTTTCATCGTTGTGGCCGTTTGATATGTGACTCATCTCTTTTCTCTTTCAGTTCTTCCCGTACGCCGGTATTCACAGATCTGTCGTGATTTGTTCTGTACCAGCCCTTCACATTACAGACGTGACAGTCACAAGTACAATAACCGGCACCACAGCTACCGTAACTGTAGACGTTGAAACATCATCGACCACGCATAAAGGACCGCTGAGACTGGACGTTGGTGGCGTGTTTCCTAATGGTCGAGGACACGGCGTGATTCGTATACCGCATGTGCACCGATGGTCTTGTCAGGATCCATACCTTTACACCTTATGTGTTGCTCTTGAGACATCTTCGGGACCAACTTCAACACTAGATCAGTATACGCTAAAGATTGGTGTTAGAACAATTGAAGTGCGGGCGACTAAAATCTTATTGAACGGTATGAACGTTCAACATCTTCCGGTCTGATTCGTCTTATGGATGACGCTAGTGTCTAAAAATCTTGTGGTAACGCTTCTAGGTCAGCCAATCTTGCTAAAAGGGTTTGGACGACACGAAGACTTCCCTCTCAATGGACGTGGTTTCAATTCTGCTGTTGCAGTAAAAGATCACGCTTTGATGCATTGGATTGGTGGTACGTTATTATCATACCGCCTATTCTCAGATTTTGTTTGAAACTTACCACCACTCGTCAAAATAGCCAACAGTTATCGTACAAGTCACTACCCTTACTCTGAAGAGGATTTAGATTTAGCAGACCAACAAGGACTCTTAGTCATTGATGAAAGTAAGACTCTATTTCACGGGTTGTCAGTTTCAACACTTTGCTGACTGTCCTGGCCAATTCCTTCTGTTCTCAGTACCTGCTGTGTCATTAAACTTTAAGGCAGACAACGATTCAAATCTTCCGATATTGCTGAAAAACTGTAAAAATGCGTTATCGGAACTTGTCACTCGAGACAAGAATCGTACAAGTGTCATCGCATGGAGTGTGTGCAATGAGGTAAAGTGATTTTACAGACAATTGATTGACATTAAAATCTCATCAGTGGTTATCTAGCCAATCCCCAATTCAAGACGAGGCAACAGCCCTCCAGGAGTATCGCCCATTGGGCGCGACATCGAAACAGAGTTCATGTCATCACTCGTCAGTCATGTAAAAGGGCTCGACTCGACTCGGCTAGTAACTTTTGCAGGACTCGAAAACGGCAGTCTAGATAGCTGGCTCTCTCAAATGGATTTCATATCTGTCAACAGATACGCTGGATGGTATTCACTAGGAGGTCAAATCAATAAAGCTAGAGAAGCCCTTTCAATAGAGTTAGACGCTCTACATAATCGTCATCCAAACAAGCCAATCATCATATCGGAATTTGGAGCAGACACAATCGCAGGCTCACACTCACTAGAACCTGAGATGTTTTCTGAAGAGTATCAACTGGAATTGATACGAATGTATCTGGACGTTTGTGATGAACGCTCAGAGTATATGGCTGGCTATCATATCTGGAACTTGTGTGATTTCAAGACCAGCCAGGGGTTTAGTAGAGTTGGGGGTTATAATTTGAAGGGTGTGTTTACGATATTGCGTCGACCAAAGATGGTTGCGCATTATTTGAGGTCTCGTTGGAATGAGGCTGCTACAAATCATGTTTGGAAGTTATAGTATAGACTGAACGTCGTTCAACCATTTCTGGATTTTGTGAAGTTCGTCGACGTTAGACACGTTTGTTTACCGAATTTGCTAAACCTTTGTACATGTCGTGTTTATGAATACGTTTACATTTCATATGAATGTAAAACTACGGCTCTATAGCCTTTGACATTGGGGAAGTTACCGATTTGAGGGGAAGAGGAGCGAGGAGATGGCTACATAGCCTTGCTATTCAAGAAGCGTGAAGGGCACCGGCTTGCTCAGCGTGGTGTTGCAGGTAGGTATGTATAGGGCTGGGAAGTGTCTCTCGCAGAATTGGGAAGAGGTTGTCGCTCAAATTTCGTTTCGATCCACGAACAGCCAAAAGGCACCACTCACCAACCTCACATACCATTGCAGGCAATCGACGGACTTGAAGTCCTAATGCATGCATTTCGATCAAACGCCGGGAAAAGGCGTGGTTCGTGTGCAAGAAACAGACGGAACTCCCACCCAGCATGAAGAATCAGTAGGTTGCAGAAGTCACGAGCATTTGCCTTGATTAGCCACTTACAAGGTTGGCTCGTCTCAATATCAAGGCTAGTCAGCACAACGTTTAGCCCAACTGAAAACCATTTGAGACTCACTATCGTCCATTTGGATCTTCCAGAGACTGGATTCGGCTTGTTTTTGTATGATCTACGAATGCGACAATTAAGGTTAAAGTTTGATAGTAGAGGAGTTTGAATCTCAATGGAAACTTACAGGTCCAAGTACAGGATGATCAGCAAACGGCGATGAGAGGACCAAATAAAAGTACGTCAGTTTCTCAGAGGAATGCAGTGGTATGGAAAATCTCATATTTGAAGCTACCAACAGCTGGTGTTGCATTTGTTGCTTTTGTAGACCAAAAGGCACGAGCGGTAAACACCAGTTTCTAGCTATCAAGTGCCAATCTGTTGCTTCAAGGCCAATTTGACGTGCCGCTGAAGCATACTAATGCTGCCATCATATTGTATTTACCCGTCCTCAACTAGAGTTTAACTTTGGCGTCAGTTTCACGTTTCGGTATGGATTTCAGGTCCAGTATTCATGTTGGAGACTACGTCACTCAGTCAGAGCTCCAGCAAGGTGTCGTTATTACGAGCGTCACTCTGTATTGTATTTTGCCGGAGCCCCTGGGACAGAGATTCTCATGCTCCATCTCCGGGCACTTTGGCTTTTTCACGTATCCTTGCAGCGTGATACCCTTTGCATGACACCAAACAGGTCCTCGTAGGAGACAGAAGCAGCTTGGCATTGAAGGCCTCCCTCGTCTTGGCATAGTGGATGGCATCTATTTCCCTCACCATGGAGATTCGTTTGCTAACGTTACTGTCTATAATGCTACAGTCTAGCTGAAACTGGAGGGGGCGAATGAGCCAAATTCTTGTTAATTCGTGTTTAATAACATACCACTGTGACAGGCCAATACTTACCGTCACTAGTGCTTCGAAGTTTGGCAGCAAACAGTTTCGTTTCTTCACAAGACAACCAAGTCAATATACGAAGCCCTGTGTGCTGGAGAGTCTTTTTAAGCGCTTCAAGGGGGTATCGATACTCATTTTTGTGGTGTCGAGGTTCCCATTTCGATTACGAAGTCTGTGTTTCCATGGTTGAATGCTTATAAAGAATCTGGATAGACTTTGTGCACTGAACGACGCGGAAACTGATGAAATATTATTCTACCTCAAGTGTGTTGAGGAATTGAATCACGATGTGTAGCTACATATTTGTCACGACGACCGATGTGCAGCTCCCCAACTTATTAAACCATTTTGAAAACCAAGTTGCCATATTCCAAGAGAGAAACGAAACGCTAACGTATCTCATCCACTCAAATATGGCTTATATGAGTCGACGTCTTATTGCTATGGCACTCATTACTTTAGGAAATGCGCAAAGTGTAAGAGCTACGACTTGTTTACGCAAATTCAAAGTATTAATCAAGCAGCAAGTAGCCTGGTACTCTGACACCAGAAACTCAGCCGAAATTCAATATACAGCAATGTACTGCTGCCGGATGTACTAGTGGTAAGTAACTATTTCCATACTGCAAGTTGTGCAACTATCCGCAGTTGCGGCATTGCCACTTGCGACTACATCTGGCCTCTTGAGCTCTTTCATATGGTCTACTTCAGTCAGTGGCTCTTCTACTGATTGTTTCAGCATTTGGAAGCATTTGGAAGTCCTTTTGCGTTGCAGTCCTTTTGTTTTGCTTCACTTGACACAATTCCCACCAGTACCCGGTACATTGACTGTAGACGCTAACTGGAGATGGTTCCACACGTCTAATGGCTCGACAGGCTGTTACAATGGAAATAAATGGGATGCAACTTTATGTCCAGATGGCAAGACGTGTGTCAAGAACTGTGTGCTTGAAGGTACGTTCTACACAAGTGTTCTGTCATGAGAACGCAACTAATCAAATGTTATTGAAGGTGCTGATTATACTGGTTCCTATGGCATTACGTCTGACGGAAACGCCGTTACGTTGTCGTACGTGACTGCCGGCAAATACGCGATGAACATTGGCTCTCGCTTGTTCCTTTTGGCTTCAGATACGAAGTACAGAATGTTCAATGTTTTGGGAAAGGAGCTCAGCTTCGACGTTGAATTATCCAGCCTTGGTTGTGGTTTGGTATGTGATGTCGCGATGCTGAAATTCAGTATGTTGCAAAATGTTGGACACGTTTCATATATTTAGAATGGTGCTTTGTACTTCTCGGCTATGGATGAAGATGGTGGCGTTGCCAAATACCCTACAAACACTGCTGGTGCTAAGGTTTGAAATTCATTTGCTTTTTTTGGTTTGATGGTGTTTTTACACCACGATGACCACGGCTACGGACCTGTGATGTGTATCTACCACAACATGGTGCTAAAAATGTGTTTTATTTTGTCTTTTAAAGTACGGAACCGGCTATTGTGATGCCCAGTGTCCCCGAGACGTAAAATTCATCAACGGCGAGGTCAGTGGTCTCGTTTTGTGATTGAACAGTCAATCTGATGCTTACGAACTCTTTATTTCCCAGGCCAATGTTGGAAATTGGACACCCTCCACCGTTGATATGAACGCCGGAACTGGCCAGTATGGAACATGCTGTGCCGAAATGGATATATGGGAGGCGAACTCCATTTCTTCAGCATATACACCACACGTCTGTAGCGTCACCAATCAGACTCGTTGTGCTCAAGGTGCTGAATGTGGTGATGGTGCTGACCGATACAACGGGTTATGTGACAAGGACGGGTATGACGATTTCAAGTTTGCAATCAGAGCCCAAGTATGGATGGCTAACGAAATTGCACATAGGTGTGACTTGAACACTTACCGTATGGGTCAACCAGGCTTTTATGGACCTGGTGCTACTGGCGGTATTGATACGACGACCAAATTCACAGTGGTGACCCAATTCATCACATCCGATGGTACACCAGCCGGAACCCTAACTGAAATAAAGAGAAAGTACATTCAGAATGGGAAAGTAATCGAAACCCCAAGCACCAATGTCACTGGAATGCCAGCCTACCAGTCCGTTACCGATAAATTCTGTAACGACCAAAAGACTGCATTTAACGATACCAATGCATTTGGAAAAATGGGTGGACTTGCTGCAATGGGTCAGGCCATGCAAAAGGGCATGGTCTTGGTTATTTCTCTATGGACTGACAATGCCGCAAATATGTTGTGGCTTGATAGTAGCTACCCGCCGACCAAGAGCCCAGGTTCTCCTGGTGTAACTCGAGGTAAGGCGTTCTCCCTTGCGCACGTTTGTTTGATTACCTGGTACTAGTGGGTTTGTTTCAGAATTCTTAATCTTTATTGGGTTATAAGGCACATGCTCTCCACAATCTGGTGTACCGGGAGATATTCAGAATCAAATGCCGAATGCCAAGGTTACATTTAGCAATGTGAAGATTGGTGATCTTGGTACTACTACTCAAGCTGGTGCAAACCCGGCTGGTGCGACCATTGCACCGGTGCCTAAATGAAGCGCTGTAAAGGTAAGTGCTCAAGTAGATTTGTTGAGACTGGGAAACTTGTGTATCATGGCTGACAGTTACTCCTTTCCTGCTTAGCGAGTTTTCAGCCAAGAAATCGTGATATCTGTTTTGGTTGATATGGGCTTCAGACTCTTGGTTTCAACATTGGGACTTTTGTACTCTGCACTCTTTCTTTTGTGTGTTTTTGTTGCTCCAATGCAATAAAGTTTCATTTACTTTACGTTGATTTTCTGGTTTCATATGGTGATGAAACTTTGAAAACTTTTGCAATAAATAGCATACCACACTGGTTTCATATGGTATGAAACTTTGAAAACTTTTGCAATAAATAGCATACTACATACAAAAATATAAGCGAATGTATACATATAGAAGCACGTAGACTATGGTAGAAAAATCTTCAGTGAATTGAACCCTGTTCGTCGAAAATGTGCTTTGCGTCCATTTGCAAAATTCCCAAGGCAAAGAAACCTGGAGAGAGCTCAACACACTTGTAATTGGGAATGTATCATTCAAGATCCGCTGGAAAACAATCATCTTCTTTCTCTCTGTCATTTTCCGGCTCCACCGCGACGTGGCGAAAATAGTAGGTGACCCAACCGCTTTAATCACCAACACATCAATTCGTCAAATTTTTAACGTTGATCGAGACACAAGGGGCGCATTCAGCATCTTAGAAGGTATTTCGTTTACTCCAATATTGATGGCCAAGAAGATCCGCGCTAGGAGTACTGTCACCACCCTCGAGGAAGATGCAATTTGGTCTGTGGATGCGTCTGGTGCGTTTACAAGATTGCAACTAATTAAGTTTAAACTTGATTTAAATTGCTCGTTTAAACTGTTTTGGGTGTTTTTTGGAACGCTTGACCGTCAATCCTCACTCAATCTGAAATTCAGACAGCTAATTCAACTTTGCTCGCGTTTTGATACTAGTTGCTGTCCCTGACGATGTAAGACTTGTGACAACTTCTGAATCATCTTCTCTTGCTCCATTTGATGACATGAAAATCGTGAGACCGTTCATTGCCGAATTCTTTGGGACGTTTTTGTTCGTCTTTTTCGGAACTGCTGCCGTAACATCTGGTGTAATTGTTGGAGCACTTCAAGGGCTTTGGCAAGTTGCAAGTGTGTGGGGCTTTGGTTTGGCTGTTGCAATCTACTGTTCATCTGCATCGGGTGCTCATTTGAATCCAGCAATCACTCTTGGAATGGCTGTTTGGAATGGGTTTTCGTGGACGGATGTTCCTGGATATATCATTTCACAGTTTTCAGGAGCGTTTATGGCTGGTATGGTGTAAGGTTTTGAAAGTATTGTCTTGTGTGAGGAAGGCAGTGGTCGCTTATTGGTTTTTCCTCTAGAAACCTGACGCTATATTCATCTGTGATTGCAGACTACGAGTCAGCTCACAGCATTGTGCGCGGAAGTGCTCAATCCATTAGGTCTGCTATGGTATTTGGAGAGGTAATGAATGCCTTTCGATTTCTGCTGGTTGATCGCGAGCATCAGAGCTAACCGATATATTCGTCAGTACTATCCCAATCCAGCAGTCTTCACAGATGGAAACCTTGTTGGTCTGCAAGTAGCGTTGACAGTCGAGATCTTTGGAACTGCAATATTGATATTTGTCATACTCTCATTGACTGATCCGAAAAACAAGTCTGTGATGAACGGCTTTGAGCCATTCATGATTGGGTAAAATGGTCTCCTGGGCAGTATTTTGTACATGTTTGCTAACCTTCTAAACAATAGGTTCACACTCGCCATCTTAATCGCCGTCCTTGCTCCTCTGAACCAGGTAAGTTTGCTCTCTGCAATGCTCTTCGGTGCCGTAACAATCATCGCATAACACCATTGTCCCTATTTAGTGTGGGCTGAACCCAGCACGAGACTTTGCTCCACGAGTCGTTGCCTACTTTGCAGGATGGGGATCAGTAGCGATGGACGGATGGTGGGCTTATGTAGTTGGACCTATTGTTGGTGCTCAAATTGGAGCTATGTTGAATGTCGCCCTCATGCGAGAGCATTAGGATTGATTGCTACTAAAGGATTCTCAGACGTGTTAGGTAGGCTTCAGAGGTACACTGTGTGATGACTGTGTGGTATCATATAAAATATGTTGTAAAATATACATATAGTAAGCCAAAATCAACTATTTACAGAAACACTATGAGGTAACAAGTATACTTATGAGCGAAGAATGTTGAATCTCTCATACACCTCATCAGGCACAATCCAACTGTCAGGACTCCATGGGTCACCCACACAAACCGCCTTATCAATCAGCAGATTACATAACGACTTTAGATCAATACACCGTCCATATTTAAGTATTTGGGCCTTCAATGCAAAACATGGTGGTGTGTTTGCGCATCTGTCAATCTCTCGCTCCGTTCCAAAGTCGTCTGGAGGACCACACCCGTCTGGTTCACACTGATTAGACAAGACTTCCTGTGTAGCTGGTCTGGTAGAAGTGCTGCTACATCCACAACTAGTATCGGTTGATTCCCACACATCCTTCATGTCCTCTTCTGTCGCAGCTGGAGCTAATGTTACACCCTGTTCGGTCGACGCTGAGGCAAATGTAGAAGTTGGTGCCAGTGTCATATCCTGTTCAGTGGCATCTGGAGTCATATTCTGTTCCGCAGAGGGCGGAGCCGGCGTGGTATCCTTTTCAACGGCAGAAGCGGCCACTGGCATATCCTGTTCGGTGGAAGCCAGGGGCGATTCTATAGATGAGCTATTTGTGGTTCCTGACATTGTGTAAGGGATTGCCATCCTGTGTTGATTTTGTAGAGATGATAAAGCCTCGGCAGCAGCAAGGACGGCCTGATATCTACAATCCATCTTTTCCGACTCGTTGCTAGCTTTGCACGAGTTGTCGTCCATCCAAGCACTCAAGGCGAAAGCAACAAGTTGCTTTAGGTGTATATTGTTTTGGGCCAATGTTTCGTTTTGTTCTTCCAAGAAGGCCACTCTAGTTTGAAGCTCTGATATAGTCCTGTTTTCCTCCTTTATACGTGCTAAATTGACAGTAAAAGTTAGTACAGTTCGAACAAGAAACATACAGGACTTCAAACATGCCAACTTACTTCGACGTCGTTCTTGAGCGTCACGATTCCTTTCTCTTCGTATAGCACGGGCATCAGGTGGCGGTACATTCAATGTAACGGATCCTTTTGGTAGAATTGGTCGAGAGGTCATATCTCTTACAGCGATCGATAATTTTGTTTGCTAATCATTGACAAAAAGGTTGAGCTCGAGGATGTTTGCAAACGCTGGTCTAAGAGAAACCGTAAGCAGAAATACGCGATTTTCTCATCATTCGAATAGGAATTGACTCTAAACTGCCCTACTTTTATATAGCTCAAGGTCGCAAAAGGTGAACGTCATGTTTCGTGGTGAACTACGAAAGGAACAAGCTAACCAAGCGGTTAAATGTAGCTCTGAGAAAGAAGTTCCATTCTTCCAGCTCTGTCCATGGAATAGTTTCGTCACGACCACTCAAAGCTAGAGCTGCAGAGGTGAGAATCAGTGGATTTTGTGACGTCAGACAAGGCATCGGAGCGTTACGGATTCACCAAGTTGACGAAGTTATCATCTATGTTGGCACTAAATACGTTTCTACGTCACATAGACCCCTATATCATCTGCTTATCCTATAATTGATCATACACACGATGTCTTGGGCAAGTCGTTTTTTGTCGTTGCGCTACCAAACGCCATCCCTCACACACGTTGAACTCAGTGATCGGTGCTGGTGGTGCTGGCCTGAGAGCTTCTTTAGGTACTGCTGCATTGGGACTCTCCACAGCGTGCATCACAAAACTGTTCCCTACTCGATCACACACTGTCGCTGCTCAAGGTGGTATCAATGCTGCCCTTGGTAATATGGTGGAAGACGATTGGAGATGGCACGCATATGACACTGTGAAAGGTGCTGATTGGCTGGGAGATCAAGATGCCATTCACTATATGTGTAAAGAGGCGACGAATGCTGTCGTTGAACTTGAGTGAGTATCGTGCGTTAGGAGCTTTCATTTTTTTGCGGTCAACGCAATGCTACTTTGATCCCTCGACTTTACTTATCGATTCTCGTTCTAGGCATTGGGGAATGCCGTTCTCTAGGAATGAGGCTGGCAAGATTTATCAACGACCATTAGGTGGTCAAAGTTTAAAGTACGGCAAGGGTGGTCAAGCGTATCGATGCGCATCTGTAGCTGACAGAACAGGTGATCTTACCTTTCCAGGCAGTTATATTTGCCTCTGTGTTAATCAACATTTGCTCTAGGACATTCCCTTCTTCACACCCTATACGGCCAATCACTCAAATACGACGCGAGCTACTTTATTGAGTACTTTGCCCTCGACCTAATAATGGAAGACGGCGTCTGTCTCGGCGCAATGGCCTTCAACATGGAAGACGGCACACTGCATCGCTTCCGAGCCCAAAAGACAATATTAGCAACCGGCGGATACGGCCGTGCCTACTTTTCATGCACGTCTGCACACACATGTACCGGTGATGGTGGTGCCATGGTAGCTAGAGCTGGACTCCCATTACAGGATTTAGAATTTGTGCAATTCCATCCAACAGGCATATACGGAGCTGGGTGTTTAATTACGGAGGGATCGCGTGGTGAAGGTGGTTACCTCTTGAATAAGCACGGTGAACGGTTTATGGAAAGATATGCTCCTACTGCCAAGGATTTGGCGTCGAGGGATGTAGTGTCGAGAGGCATGACCATGGAGATTCGGGATGGAAGGGGATGTGGGCCTTTGGCTGATCATGTTCATTTGCAATTGAGTCATTTGCCGTTGGATATTTTGAATGAGCGGTTGCCTGGGATCTTTGAAACTGGTATGTGGCATTGAATTTGACCAACGTTGTAGAGAAAAACAAAGCAGCACCTAATGCCTACGTACTTAGCTGCCATCTTTGCCGGTGTCGATATCTCCAAGGAGCCTATACCAGTGTTGCCAACTGTACATTATAATATGGGTGGTATCCCAACCAAGTTCACTGGTGAAGTCGTTACCCACGAGGTATACTCTCTTCCCTTGTCCACGTTTTTTGGCGCACATCTCACACCTTACCACCACTAGAACGGCCAAGACAAAATAATCCCGAACCTGTACGCCGTCGGTGAGGCAGCCTGTGTCTCCGTCCACGGCGCAAACCGACTAGGTGCCAACTCACTATTGGACCTGGTCGTATTCGGTCGAGCAGCGGCTCTCCATATAGGTCAATGCACTACACCCGGTGCACCACAACCAGATCTACCTAAAAACGCAGGCGCACAGTCGATTGCCAATCTGGATAAACTTCGATATGCTAGTGGTGGCGCTAGTGTTGCTGATGTAAGATTGAATATGCAGCGGGCTATGCAACGTGACGCTGGGGTGTTTAGGACGGCATCGTCGTTGGAAGAAGGAGTTAAGAAACTTGATGCATTGGCGTCGTCGCTAAAGGATGTCAAGTTGTATGATCGTAGTATGGTTTGGTAAGTTGTTGGGTACATACTAGTAGACAGTTGCGTGTTTTTGCCGCCCCGTCTACTGTGATTCACACAAACAACTAAATCAATAAACTTTTATAGGAACACTGACTTGATAGAAGCTATCGAGTTACAAAACCTCATGACGAATGCTGTACAAACAATGTATGCCGCCGAAGCTCGTCAAGAATCTCGTGGAGCCCATTCACGAGAGGATTTCAAGGATCGTGATGATGCTAACTGGACAAAACACAGTCTCACGTGGAGAAACGACGAAACTGGTACGACAAAAGTCAGTTATCGACCGGTGCAGGACAAGACTCTTGATGAGGCCGAGATGCACAGTATACCACCGGTAAAGCGTGTGTATTAGGGTCATAATGTAGTAGTTAGGGTGTCTTGTGGAATATATGTTTCCCTGTCGCAGCTAAGAAATTGTGTCCATTTTTGTGTCTGCAAAACTGACCCAGTTCCACGATCTTTCACAGACATTCCAGAGCAGTTTACCAAAAAATACTCGATATGCTGATATAATTGTTCTTCTACTCCCAAAGAAAACTCGCAACTGTGTCAAGTCACCAAAGCACCATCATTGCTGCGGACAGAATCTTTGATAGCAGCACTAATGAACTAGCGACTGATCCTTCGTAGTACTGTAACATGAAACGAGAGGAATGTATCTCCTCTTTCCTTGTTAAAGCCCTGTTCACTTGTCGCAGCAACATTCAAAAGATTGCACCTTTTGATTTTCTTGATGTCAATTTCAAGTATCGATGACAGTGTCCATCATGAGACCGTAGCACGCACACATACATACATATTATATACAACGAACTAGTCACCAACATTCTCACATCCACATCCACCAACCATCCAACAACGCAGCTTTACTTTTCTGGATTGTAATGTGGTGTAGCCCGAAGGCCAGTTAAAAATTCCTCTAAAACCAGTGGTTCTAGAGAGCAATCGGAGTATTGTTGACAATCAGCAATAAATCGAGACTCAGCCGGAACTTCTCTGTCTTCGATACACTCCTGCGAAAGGATGAAGGAAAGGAATTGGTGGTGAGGCAGGTGGGAGGACACTGATGCGTGCGGCTTTTGATGTGGCTTGTATCGTGGTAAATTGCTACGGAAGGGAGTTACGCGTCGATGTTGGATAGGATATGGAGGTAGTGTGATATTCTCGTGTTTTGTGTTTTGATACGCAAACCTGTTGTGGAGGTTGCTACGGTAGGGATTTGATGCAATATTCAGGTAGATGTGATGAGGGAACTCATTAAGAGATCGAATGCGAGGCTACTTACGTGTGGAGGTTGTATCTGTCAAGTGAATAGTTCAAGATTCTCGTGGCTTGATACCATTGGCGCTTGCTGTCTGCATTTGGTGCCAGTTTCAGGTCCAATGATTTGTTGTACTCATTTTCCTTTGAAGAAGACGAAGCTGAATTGTCTCTGTTGTTTGGTTGAGCAGTAATATCGTCTGCCTTGTGATCGCCAAAATAATAGCAACGCTTTCCGTTTGGAGCTTGCAGAAGGAGCTTCTTCCTGTTTGGATTCCTTTTTTCCAGCCATCTTGAGTCCTGGATCTTTGTTTACTCTGGATTTTGTGGTGATAGGCTTCAATTTCTGTTTGCGATCTAAGCTAGACAAAGGAGAACAGCAAACAAGACAGCAGATCACGGTTGGGTATTCAAGACTAGAATGCGACGGAGAGGCACTCATATTTAGTGAATTCCTTGATGATTAATATAGAGTGGGAGGTTTACTGATTGTGTAAAGGGACGAGAAAGTAGAGTTTGAAGCGAGGTGCGCCTACGTTGAAAATATGGTCGATGAAAATCCAATGGACCTCGTAAGCAACGAGAATCAAAGATCATAGGCCGAAAGCCACGAATAAACGAATTTAGGCTATTGCTTTGCCCCTTGTCAGCAAATCCGCGAGAGTTTGAATGTTTTTGCCCGTTGTGTTTTTTTTGGACGCAAGACGTGTATTGGAGCAGAATTGAACGGAACTCGATACAAATACTAGGGGTACCATTCCCTTTCCGTGGAATTTGTGCCATTCCATCCATCGGGTATAAACGGGGCTGATGCGATCGCGTTGTGCTACCGTTTAAACAAACACGGTGAATGGTTTATGGAGAGATATGTGCCCATCACTAAGGATTTGGCGTCGAGAGATGTTGCGTTGAGAGGAATGACTATGTAGATTCGAGATGGAAGAGGATGTGGGCCTTTGGCTAATCATGTGCATTTGCAATTGGAGTCGTTTGCCTTTGGATATTTTCAATGAGCGGTTGCCTGGGATCTTCGAAACTGGTATGTTTTCTCAGAATTGACCAACTTCGTGGAAGAAAAAAGAAGCTTACGACTAGCTAATCACTTCTTATTCACCTGCGATCTTTGCAGGTGTCGATATATCCAAGGAGCCTGGACCAGCTCTTGTGCGTGTCTAGAAAGCAATCGGAGTATTCTTGACAATCAGCAATAATATCGAGACTCAGCTGGAACTTCTCTGTCTTCGATACACTCGTGGGAAAGGATGAAGGGAACAAAATGGGCTTGGGGCAGGTGGAAGGAGACTGATGCTTGTGGCTCGTAAAGTGATTAAATTGCTACGGACCAGAGCTACGCGTCGATGTTGGAAAGAAAGTGGGGTAAGATGGTATTCTCGTGTTTTGATACGCAAAGGTGTGTTGGAGATTGCTACGGTGGGGATTTGGTGTGGTATTCACGTAGATGTGATGGTGGATCGACTACGAGTCGCCCACGCTCCAATACGAAATCGTGCACTCGAATATACTCGATGTTGGCATGTGCAATACACGTCCGACGACTGTCAAGCATGTGATTCCAAGTTTGCAAACCTGCGATGAACAAAGGCGGATGTCATTTCTAAGTATTTACAGGAACAAGATTGTGTATTTTATATCATTTACTCACATACGCAATGTGGAACAAACCCCTCAACACCCCATCTGCCTAACTGTTAGGTAGATCTCATCTCCCTCTTTGATATCATAGTCCTTCAAAGGCCCTCCGACCATCGGATACCCGATGTTACTTGTCAATCTGTATTCGGATGGCTCGAATCCACATTTATGACAGACCGTAGCCTTCAGGTTTTCTACCGCCAGCTCTGGCCTGGCATTAAAGCCCATCCTTATACCACCAGGCAAAGCCACAGTGAAATTGAAGGCACCCACCATGCTGGGAGGAGTAGGCAGCGGATAATATCGACCTCGAAATACTTTCTCGTAGATCCGTCCTTTTACCCCTTCCACGTCGGTTGGCCGTCGTTCATCCTTCAAAATATAGCAGTTCTTGCTTCCCTTTGATCCATTGACGACTAAGACTTCCGCTATATATGGCGGTGATAGAGTCTTCCAGATGTCTGGTCTAAACTCCAGCTCCTGGTCCAACATCATAGTCATAGTCATACAGAGACGTTCGTTCCTGTCAATATCATTGTTTCTATCTAGATCGGGCAACTCGGTTACAGCAATGAGCTCAACAGCAGATTTCAACTAGGGTGTCCACAAAAAGAAACAAGAACGTTTCCTGAATGATGAGTTCGTTCTTCTTGGCGTCCTTGGAAAGACTTGACGACAGATACGCCAAAGACATGATGGAAGCACTGGTACTACTATTGGCATTCTACCATGAGAAAGGGAAAGAGTTGGACTGCGCGATTTGATGTTGAGCATTTGAGCCCATCCTTGACACCACTTACTAATTGTGAAGTAGATCCATTTTCTTTTGACGAAGACGAAGCTGAAGGTAACTCGTCACTTCTCTGTGGTGCACTGTTATCCTCGTCATCGTCAATCACAATCGTTCGTTTGGAACTTCTAGAAGGAGCTTCTAGCTCATTGGATCTCTTTTTGCCAGCCATTAATACGAGATATATAGGATACTCTAGTTCTCTATGTTGTTGCTGTAGTCAATTCGTACCTGCTAAAGCTGCACTATCGAACATCGTGAGGACGAGCACGCGTAAAGCGCTTCAAATGGAGATCTTTCAATCGGGGTTAAAGCAGATGAGCAGATGCCAGGATAAATATACTGATGGCTGTTGCCGGTTGTCACTTTCAACGTTGTTGCTTTCAATAATCCAAAATTCCAACACGACACGATGCATCTTACAGTCAAGAAACGGAGCGGGAGCGCACTAGTAGAGAAGCTCGTGCTATCCAAGGACGAGAAATCGGCAACTGTTGACGATGTCTGTGCTGCAATCCACAAGCAATGTAAGTGTCAAGTCAGTTTTGAAGAATTAAAGAGGGATGAGCGGCATCGTGGACAACGACAGCACGAGATTAAATTACATTTAATTAACATCTTTCCATCCGTGTTAGTCCCCAAATACGATCCAACTCGCCAAAGACTGACTTTTGGTAACATCAAATTATGGACAGTTGAACCTTGGTGGAGTTCCTGACTTGCGTGTACTTCCTGTTGCTATGTAGGAGAGAAGGTTGTTTTGGAACGCGGAAATCTTTTATCAAAGTATTCCATCAAGGACGGAGGTACAAGATGTGAAACTTAGTAAACTTGAGCTATTGGACTTATTGGGGAGCCTAAATCTGTCTTTTTTTGGCCGTTCTTTAGACACCATTGTATTCAAAGATCTGGGTAATACTCGACTCTCGTCGCTCTCAGTTTGTTCTATGTGCTAAAACTTCAGTGGAAAACAACAAAACCATACAGGTTTACAAGTCTCATGGCGAACCGTCTTTCTGGCTGAATACTTTGGTCCAATCTGGATTCATCCATTATTCTACTTCTTCCCTCAAATATTCTACAGGGGTGCTCCTGCTCCTCACTCTACCATTCAAAGGTATTAGACCAAAAAACCACCCCTTTTCCTCTCTGCATGTGTCTCCACAACTACTCATACTCCAACCTTTTTGCATACTACTAGTGTCACTCTGATCCTAACAGTCCTGCACTTCCTGAAACGCGAATACGAAACTGTATTCGTACATCGATTCAGTGCAGAAACCATGCCAATCATGAACTTGCCAAAGAATTGCACACACTACTGGCTCTTTTCAGGATTGTTTTTGGCCTACTTTACATATCAGCCTGGGTTTAATGGTGGAATTACTAAAGGTGTTCATTCGCAAGTTGCCTTGTATGCTCTTATTGGTCTTTGGGCGGTATGTGTGTGAAATTTTGGGAGCTAAAAAAAAGTGCTTCCGTCAGAGATTTCGATGCTCGATCGCAAACAAGCTCTTCGTATTTCTAAACAGTTCTCTGAAGTCTCCAACTATTTAAATCACGTCACCTTGATGAATCTTCGACCTGAAGGCTCCAAGGTCAGAAAGATTCCACACGGTTATGGATTCGATTTGGTCAGTTGTCCAAACTACTTTTTCGAATGCTTGGGTTGGCTTGCTGTTTCCATTATCAATGGTTCTGGAGCAAGTAAGTATCTTGTTTGAACTTGCTTTGTGGTGACATACAACTAACACCAACACGATCTGTCAGGCTGGCTCTTTACAGCAATCAGTACCTACACCATGTACAACTGGGCAGTCAAGAAGCATCTTCGATACAAGAAGGAATTTGGCCCTGCATATCCTCGAAGTCGAAAAGCCATGTTCCCATTCATTGCGTAGATTTATTATAAGATGTGTCCAAATGCAATAAAATTGAGCATGGTACAAATGGAATCGTGTGATTACAGACAAATGTTGATGGGTATCTAATCGTTGGCGGTACATATCACAAAAGGTAACGGGTGGTGGCAATAGAAACGAGGTGAGAAGTCAGTAGCCTTCCTACAACACGTCCTTGACTGTTACTGTTTCGGTTACTGTTTATTTTGCGGCTAACTGTCTCCCAACTGCTCATTCCTCCTATTAAAGAGGAACGAAATCTCGGACGCCAGCAAACAGTGGATCTTATTGCCAATCTGGTCATGAATGCCTAAATTGAGAAACAAGAGTATATGAGAATATTCAGTCAAGCAAAATGCCAGCTGGATGGATGTCTTGAGCAAAAAAAGCGTACTTCGCAATCGCGTTTCTCATCCCTGTCAAAATATCCACCTCGAGTACAGCACGAGCCTTTTGGAAATCATCAGTCTCAACCAACTATCAAAGATATTTTGTCTTGGTTCAAGGGTATGCTACCCCTCTTCCACCACGTTAGACAAGACCACAGCGCAACTTGCTAAGGCGAGAAATATAGCACTCTTGTGCAAACCACTTCACAAGTGTTAAAAAACGATCAAGCTTCAAGCCACACAACTGTATGCGAGCACTTAGAGAGTTATGTGAGCAAGTGATCTTTATTTGGGTCGTTTATATCATTTTACGAAAACGTTTTTACAAACCAGCGGCTTTATCCTTGTGTGCCATGTAGATGATCAAGTCAATGACTCTATTGGGTGAAGGGTTCATTTGTTAGTATTCATTGTTCGCAAAAAAACGACTCCAGATACACTATAAGTATTACCGGTGAGAGTAACCGTATTCGTTATCGTACTATTAACGTGGATGGTAAATAGTTATTAAGTTTAGTTCGTGCATCAATACGCGGTTAGAAGACGACAAAGCGGATAAACGAACGAAAAAGAACAATGGATTGGAACATACCCAAGAGATAAGCTTGACAAAAGTATCATTCAAAGCAATACCAGCCTTGATATCAAAGATAGACGATCGAGTGTCTGACAAAAAGTCAGTGGACACGACCTCATCTTCAGTGTAACCCAAGATACCCTTCAATGGCCCATCAGCATTCTTCTTGATGGCAGCAACAATCTCCTCATATTTGGCAGGTCGTTCCAGTTTGACTGTGAGATCAACGACAGATACATCAGGGTTTGCTACTCTAAATGCCATTCCAGTGATTTTGCCTTTTAGCTCAGGAATGACTTGAGCTACTGCTTTGGCAGCACCTGTAGAGGCTGGGATGATGTTTTGGGCAGCGCCACGACCAGCACGCCAGTCCTTTCCAGATGGACCGTCGACGGTCTTTTGGGTAGCGGTGACGGCATGGACGGTGGACATGAGAGCTTCCTTGATACCGAATTCGTCGTTGATGACCTTGGCTAAGGGAGCCAAGCAGTTTGTGGTGCAAGATGCGTTGGATACGATGGTCATTGATGGGTCGTACTTTTCCAAGTTGACACCTAGAGGTTTAATTTAGAGAAAATTTGAGTTTGACGTTATGAGCAAAAAAAGCACTGGATTTGAAATTTGATGATTTTGGTAGTAATGAACAAGTTCAACATTGACTTGATCGATTGATAGGGTAATAGACCCATAGAAATACAATCACAATACAAGCAATAACCGACATTCGCACGTTAAACCATACACCCAGCTGTCAAACTCAAAACCTTAACACATGACACATACCGCAGACCAACATGGGAGCATCAGCAGAAGGAGCACTAATAATAACCTTCTTTCCACCACCCTTCAAGTGAGCTTTAGCCTTGTCAGCAGTAGTGAATGCACCAGTAGATTCGACGATATATTCAGCACCAGCCGACTTCCATTCGATTTCCTCTGGCTTCATTTTGGAGAATACAGTGATTTCGTTTCCATTGACGATGAGTTTGCCATCTTTAGTGTGGATGTCAGCCTTTAGTTTTCCGTGGGTTGAGTCATATTTGGCCAGGTAGACCATGTATTCCAAGTCAATGAAGGGGTCGTTGATGGCCTTGACGAGGACTTCAGTCTTTTCGAGAGATGCTCGAAAGACTAGACGACCTGTGAGAGTGAGAAATATTTGTTGGTTGGATGTATTCTTGTTATTAGATGGCATACACGACCTCCCCATAAAAGTCAAACACAAGACCCATAATTTGCCTGGCTAAAATTTGAAAGCAAAACTAGAATCAACAAGCATGCAGTGCACTTACCAATACGGCCGAAACCGTTGATTCCTACAGCAATAGTCATCTTATTTTCCCTTCCTTGGTTTAGTTAGAGTGTGTTGGATGTTTGGGGCAAAAGTGCATGTCAGACAGAAGTGAGGAAGTTTTCGGAGTCTAAATTCGCGAACATCAGGAAGGAGGAATTCACAGTGACAGAGTCTCAAAAACCCGACAATTATATCCAAATGCCCATCTGTAACGGTACTCTAACGAAAAACGCGTCGCTGTGCTCGTTCCAGCCCATCCGGCTCGCAAAATCTCCCTCAACTGGCCCTACGTACAAATCCTTGATAATTCTATATAAAAAGATGCAATGTTATATATGTCCCAACCATCAAAATAAACTATTCATCAGTGGATCTTGGTATAATAATAAGCTTTGGTTGAATCAAATTGAATCGTGTGGAAAAGGCCAGGAATCGTGCATACAAGTGTGTCGAGGCCTGTTCAAAGTATGAGATGTGTGAAAGCAGAAAAAAATGGGCAAAGGACCACACGTCAAACTTGGCGAGACTCACTTCAAATTCTTCAAATATTTCTCGATGATGGTAGTATGAATGAGCAAAGATGCGATATAGTCGACGAGCAATGTTTGAAAAGTGTTTGGTTGATCCTTCTGGCATTGATATCCTGTAAAAGAATACGTAAGTGGTGGTGAGGCAAAAAAAAGGCAACAGTTGCTGCATGCTGGTGTTTGTCGCACACCCCACACTCGTATCATACCTTGAGGGAAAGAACTTTGGACTATTCATAAGTGCAGTGGTCCCATCCAAAGTGTGAATAATGTAATCCATAGCACAACACTAAAAAAAGTGTCAGTCCTTACTAGTGATGCGATCAAACCCCTGTTCCAACAACACATACAGATTGTGGAGTGAGATGAGCAGCACACAAATACATCCATTCATCAGCCTTCATTTCAGGACACGTTTCATATGTACAGTCAGGTTCAAGCATGACGACCAAAGTATTCAATTCCAAACAGGTTTGCCTAGTGTGATAGAACGATCAGATTCCATTCGATTTCAGAATCTTCCATTTTTTTCCTTCATAATAACACGCACGAAACCACACCTCAAATGCTCATATTGCCAAGTATCTTCATCCTGAGTGTCTGGCACTTGAATGAGTTTGGTGATTGCAGATGAATCTTGTCGGATTTGTTCTTGGAGGTATTGTTGCAGGGCGAATGTAGAGTCGATATCTTCCAATGGAGTCGGGGCCCAGTTGGACCAGTCCTGATATTGATCATCAGCCAAGTTTATTAGTGTTTTATTTGTGAATTTTATTTTGGAATAACTACGCAAGGGGTAAATGAGCATTTTGGAGCCATATGACAGTCTGATACATACCTCCTGCCGTATTCCAGCTCTGTTTCGATTTGGAAGCTCCTTGGTCGTGGCCATATCGGCCCAGATTTTCTCAAATTTGTCGAGACCGTGCATCTTTGATTGACGACGAGAGTGTCAAGTGTAAATACCTTACGAACGCTCTTGTTCTTTCATTTGGAACAATTTTCTAGACGGTTCACGCTGTGACGTCTACATTATCTTATCAATGGCTACAGAATCATCACGAATTCGCTGTGAGGTCAAACACGACAAACTATGATGGTCTATAGCCTAAACCGTGTCGTATGCAACGTTTTGCTGAATGTCATAGGCATACGAAAGAGTCGAGGGAGCCATTTCCAAAGTGACTCGCCGCTGCTGCTTCGGTATTCAACCACACCAATTCAACCTCAAGTCAAACTGTCTTTATATTAGATTCGCTACTGGATGCAGTGGTTATAGACTATGAGTTCCTTTACATATGGTGTGTGTGGTCCTGATGAAGCATGTTTTGAGACTGTCGCTACTAGAGCAAGTAGATGTGTGATTTTAATGGAATTGTGCTAGGTGAATGGTATCGTTGTTTAATTCTTCTTTGACTTCTTGACTATCTTTGCCGTCTTTGCTGACTTGGTACTCTTGACTGATCTAACAGGCTTGACAGTACTCTTTGTATTGTAGATTCCATTTCTGAGCACACCGACGAATGTATGTGGATGCTCGTATCCCTACAATAAAGACATCATTGAATTAGCACTCTGTCTCTGAATCAATCCGAAATGAATCAAAACGATGTTCACAAACGCTCACCGTTAAAGGTTTGATTCCGGCAGCCTTCATCTGCGAGTGGCTCATAAATGGTGTCCTATCGTGGATTATAGGAAAGTGACCATTGTAGAATGCAGAGAAGAGAATCAGGATTCCGACTAGTAGTGCGACATGTAGAACTGCCTTGGCCATCTTGTTTTTGAGCTTTTGGAATGTGTTGATTTTTGGTATATAGACAAATAAATCAATATATGATATGCTTGTATTCCTTTGGGTTAAGACAAAAGAAACTGCGAGTTTGAACTTGCTAGACTGGAGAGCAGCGGAATCTTTTTTTCAGTGAATCAAAAAACCGAGGGTAAGCCAGAGCGAGTTCTCTGATGTTATCGGAAGGAAGGCTCGGAAATCACTCGTCTATGCCTGCATGTTATTTACAGTCGCACGTCCAATCTCCACAGTGGCCGTCGCTTGATGTGTTTCTCCTTTGCGTCGTTTGCAAGTTTTAAAGTGTCAAACTTGTCGATGTCCAAACAGCTTGTACATTTCGAATACAAAATCGTATCCTTACGTCAAGAGAAAACATAAGATGCTTTATCAACAGTACATATGGCACCAACTATAATTTCTTGCGTTCACTAAACAACAAGCAAAAGTTCTACGCGGAAGTGCATTCCACCCAACCGGTCGCAGAGGCACATGTCCAATAAGGGCAACAATACTGCTAAAATTGCCCTTCCTCAGGATGCTTCCTAAAGGCTAAGGATTTACATTCGGATTTTCATGGGATCTTGCCTTCCTCTTTGATTCAGATTCATAACACATACCCGTAAAAAGATCCACACTTTTCTTTGTTTACAATGCAATTCGAAAATATAAACAGCTTCCCAACAATAAAACATAGTTTCTCTGTTTCGTAAGAAAATCCAACCTCGTTGTTTGAATCTCAAATAGTTTGATCTCTTAATATTTTGGTATTTTATTGCAGCCATGTTTGCTAGACGTGGATGGTATGGAAATGACTCTGATGAGGAGGAAGAGGAAGAAGAAGTCGTCATTGTTGAGCCTCCAAAACCTGCTGTAGTAGCTCCAGTCGAGCCTCCCAAACCAGTTGTTGTTGCCCCTGCACCTGCTCCTCCTGCACAAGTAAGTTGGCTGAATGTAAAGAATTTGCTCCTATTTGGAATCGTTTTCGAGGAATGTTGGTCTGTCGCCGTATTGTTTTGGAGCAAAAACAACCCAACGTGCTAATACAACATCGTCATACCGTCACATACCTAACACGCTTCAACCGTCTTTCTCTTAAGGCCGCTTCAGGCTCCTCTGGCCGCTCACGTTCACGTTCCAAATCCCGCAAGAACAACTCGCGCTCCCGTTCTCGTGGTGGCAACAACAACAACATCTCACGCCCCTCAACTGCTACATCCCCCACAGCACCAAGTGTCTCCAGCTCCATCGCTTCCGTCGTAACAACTGCACCAGCCGGAAAGTCCAACTCCACCTCCCAGACTTCACCTGTCGCTAAACAGGCTCCTGCTCCAAATGCACGATCATCATCGACCAACAATCAAGCCACCCAGGAGGCTGCTACGGCTGCAATTGTTGCTGCATCGCAGGCTATTGCGTTGGCTACAAAGGCACTTAATGCTTCAAGCCATGCTTTGAATGCTATTGAGGGTGGAAGTGATTTGGTATCTGATTCGAGCGTGGGTGGTGATCGAGGTATGAACAACTTGTGTGCTGTGGTATATCCAGCTCTTTTTTTGTTTACCTTTCGCAACTAACACTTTCAAAACCACCACTTCAATATCGCATTAGTTGCAACGCGCTCATCCGGCCAAGAAATGTCTCGCACGAACGGAACCATAGTCAAATCCACCGCAACGCGTAACAAGGTATGCTTCGACTCTCTCTCCTTCTGTTCCAATGTCTTCCAAATCTACAAAAACAATTTACTTAACCGTTCCTCAAATCCCTCTTCAGGTCGCAATCTTCTGGGACAAATCATTCTCAACCCCAACTACAATCTCTCAAGATAATGCAGTCGCGACTCTCCAGAAATTCGCTCTCAAGCGCGACGGCACCATCGCTAGTGTCCACGTCTATGAACGAGCTGGTAAAAACATGATGTCTCAAACTGCCGCCGCAGTTGATCTTATTGAAGTTGCCATGGGTGCCAAGAACGATACCTGGATTGTACTTGCTTCTAACTCTGATGATTTGTCATATGCTGTTTCGAGGGTTCAGAAGTTGGGGTAAGTGTACTTGTGAAGACGAGTAGGGTTTTTTTTTGTGTTGACGCAAAGCAACCAAAAACTGTACGATGAAACTAACAAACATGATTTGATGTAGGATTCCAATTGTTCTCGTCACATCAGAAAGCCAAGTTCATCCAGCCTTGATGTCTGAACATGTCAACGAAATCGTGTCTTGGAACGACATTCCACGTTCTTGAGTGAATTGTTTGAAAAGATGTATAACGCGTCAAATACCAGATTTAAATGAAATAGAAAGTTTTTGAGCCGTCTCAATGCTGTACTGCCACCAATGCGGTTTTTTGGCTGTCGCAACCCAAACCATTCAAAATCCAAACTTGAGCAGAAATCACACCACCCCAACAAACAACCCGAAGCTGCGAGACCACCAAGTAGTGTATGAATCGCCTCGCTCATCACCACCAATTAATATCCAGACTACTCGCATCCCCACTCGCCCGTGTCGCTACTCTTCCAATCCCAAAACAAGCAGTTTTTGCAACTTTGATTAACAAGATGGCAAATGTTGATTGGTCGCAATATGATGATGAACAGGCGAGTGATGAGAGAGACATGTATTGTGTAGATGAAATGAATTCATTGGATATTGCTGATACAGGCTTTTTTTTGCTTGGCTAGGTCCGACTCATGTCAGAAATGTGTATTGTCGTAGACAAGGACGATGTGCCAATTGGTGCTAAATCAAAAAAGGATTGTACGTGCTATGCCATTCGCAGCAATATTCGTCGCCTCGATTTCAAGCTGAACCATCAGCCAAAGACAAAAATAACGAACAATTCTGCTGGAATATATCAACGTGCGCTTTCTCACTCATTTTCACTTCCCACAATAGGCCATCTAATGGAAAACATATCTCAAGGCCTCCTCCACCGCGCATTCTCCGTCTTTTTGTTCGACTCTCAAAACAGACTCCTCCTACAACAACGTGCTGATGAGAAAATCACCTTTCCGGGGTACTGGACGAATACGTGTTGCTCACATCCACTTATGGTGCAGGATGAGGTTATTGAAGAGGATCAGCAAGGTGTGTTGTGTGTGGGATGGAATCCAAAGCAACAAATAACCGAGCGATATATCATTGGATTTGTTTCATGGACTTGCAAAAACTCACCACCATTCACACGCATTTTCATGTTGTAGGAGCAAGAAACGCAGCACAACGCAAACTCGATCACGAACTCGGGATTGCGTCTGCTGAAATACCGTTAGATTCGCTGAAATTTCTGACACGGATACATTATCTGGCTCCTTCTGATGGTGTTTGGGGTGAACATGAAAGTAAGAGATCAATATTACAGCTTCAATGTAATCTGGAGATATTCATATTTTTTGCCCCTAGTCGACTACATATTCGTAACCCGTCAAAAAACAGTCACCGTCCACCCCAATCCCAACGAAGTCAAAGATTTCAAATACGTCACGCAGGATGAGTTGCGTCAGATGATGAAAGATGCCGGTAAGCCCAGCACACACAAGCCCAAAAAACGACCCACATACTGATGAAATGAATATCTGGTTTTTCACAGAAGACAAGAAAATCAAACTAACACCATGGTTTGCGCTGATTGCTGATTCATTCCTCTTTCCGTGGTGGAATAATCTGGATAATTTGGAGTCGATGAAGGATGTTGGGACTATACATCGTATGTGTTGAGAATCATGTGGAGTGGTGTGAGCTGGCTCGCGTTGGTTGATGGTATTGAGATATCATATATTATATAGAAGGGAGTGAGAGAGATGGGTAATAGATTGTGGTTGCACCTCTACGTTGGAATTCCTGTTTGGCGATGATTTCTTTTTTTGTTCCCGACAGCCACAAGCTCAATAAGAGACAGAGCGATGGTAATAATGCATTGCAGTGGCTACCTCCATCCAACATGGAATCGACTCGTTTCCACTGAATTTCTTTTGTTCGCGATATACAAACACAAACGCCGCATACACACATTTGAAGAGGCTATCGAGTAATATTACATATACTAGTAAGAGGAGGTGGGACATTACAACAACTTATGCGGCCGTTTTTGTTCAATACTTGCTTTTAAAAAAGGGAGGTTTCCCCCAAAACCTCCATCAAACACCATCCCCTCTCTCACCCACACCGAAAACAAACCTCCCTCTTCTCTCTCTTATTAAACCATGGTCACACTCCCGTCACAATTAAACGTCATCTGACTACCCATAATTAGTGCAGACCGGTACGTGGTTGAGATATCATTAACGAATGCAACGCGCACGGTGGGGTTTAGTGTCTGTGACCAGTCTTGGACGTATGTGTCTTGGATTTTGGATTCCTCGAAATTCACGACGAGTTTTAGTTTCGGGAAGGTGGCGAAATTTGATGCTGATAGTGTCTAGAGAAAAGGTAATAAAGTGTGAGAAGATGTCCCTAGGACTCAAACACGGGGAGAGAGAAGGAATGAGGAGAAAAAGTCTCATATGCAGCAACATCATGCATGAGCTGCATGGTTCTGTCTTTACATATGCTAACGATCAGACACTTTTTTTACCTGTTGCCACCACGCTTGTTTCACATTCAGCTCTGCAGCACCGGCAGCTGTACCGTTACGTATCACTGGTGCTCCGGATTCTGGGAAGCAGAAAGGTTTGTTCTTTTGCAATGCGAATCTCTGTTGTGAAAAAGGCATACATTGTCATTAGATATCTGGAAATGGTAGAAGAAATGACAGCAACAAAAAAAGAATTCAAACGAGAGGTATGTGTTGCCCTGTGGGAGTCAACATTTCGCAACAACCAGTAAAGAAGTTTCGTGCATTAAGCTCCAGAAAAAGTCCCGTTTCTTGACATTTTTCAGGACACTCACATTATAAAAGTTGTGCAAGGCAAGATTATAATTAGCATCCACGACCGTGTTTATAGCCGGGCCAGTTCCAAGCATGGCATCATGGACATATGTAGCTGGTGTTGGTACTGTACTAAATGTAGTTGGATACCAATATAACGATATTCCGACCCAATCGACGTAATCATCACCAGGATAATCTAGTAGTATTTGAAATGTGTGAAAAATCACTTATTCACCTGGATGCCATCAAGCAAGGCTTTTTTTGCATCGAAACATTTCTTACATGGTCCATAAGGATCATCAGCTTCATCAATAACACCATCCGAATTAGTATCCATAGCTTTGAAATCAGCAGTCCCGACTGGCGGTATCTGCTGGTATGCAGTCGGACTGGCGTACGGGTAATATGTTCCGATATTAGGTGCCCACACCATGGCCGTCAGATTGGTATATTTTCGCAAAATAGTCGCCATGCTCTTATATCCAGCGACATATTCCTTTATGAGAAATTGTGAGGTTTTGTTTCAAAGCGAAAAACATAGCACATTACAGTCAAAATTAAGTGGCGTGTCAAACATATCCAGCAAACTCACTGTGGGTCTCTGCCCATACGGTTCCCAATTTCCATTCATTTCGTGTCCCAACCTCAACAGTATGGGCACAGCGTATTTTGAATTAATGCTAGCACATATCTGAGCGATATTTGTAAATGTAGCTGTTGTTATCGTTGACATGTCGACTAGTGGCACCATTGTTATTTCCAGGATTGTGCCTACACCTAGTAAGAATGTTTCATATCCAAACCAGTTTAGATCTGATGCTGATTGTCCATTGAAGCCGTTATTGTCGAATGAAATCCAGGCGTTTACTACTGCGGGGGGCAGTTTATTCAGTCTGGTTGTGAGGGCGGTGGGTGTGTCGTTCTATGAGACGAGGGTGTGAGGGTTTGATCTGGGCTGTGCTTTAGGTGCAGTGAATATTTGTGGTGGTTTTACCTTCCAGTCTAACGAGAAGCCTAGAATAAAATGTACTCAATTAACCTGGAATCTAATATACTGTATAATACATATGATGTACTCACCATACATGACCCTTTGAACTGGAGGTTCTAGCCTTGCATAACCCGATCTTCCAAACGCACACGATGCACTACCCGGTATAATGACGATAGGGTTGTTGAGACCAAGCACTTCATTTTCATGAAACCTGGATAAGATCGACTTAGTATCAAGATGTTCAAAATTGAAGGTGTTGTAACGGTGGCACATTATAAGTACTAGATTCATCTGCGCAGCTAAGGTAGAGCTACTGCTACCAGCGTTGCATACACAGCAATGCAAGACACGCTATAGCACCATGCCCCGTTACATACCTCCAGACCGAGAAACTCATAAAGGCAAAACATCCCACAAGGATGCAGATAGATACCCAGACCTTGAGCCAGAAGAAGAGGGCGAGGACCTCCTTCCTGATGGCAGTACCCATATGCGTTGATGTAAGTGGCGGCACTATATCAATCTCATCTATGCTTCTAATGTGTCTTGGGTATGTCCGTTCTAGTAGATTTTTAGGGTCAAACCACCGCAGGAGATGAATGGAGACGCAGGCTGATGCAGTTGGTTGCAACGTACTGGCTATAGGGTGATACCTTGCACCTGCTAATGTACCCTGTGCTTCCCTCTCGTGTCTAAAGTTTTGCCAAGAATGTCCTAGTGTTCAGCTTGAATGGAGCAACTTGAATGGAGCAAGGCAAAAGTAGCACTAAAACGACTGATATCAATATCGATCACTGACGTAGTAGAATACAGAATATTATTGAGAATTAATATTCTACTGCAGATCCACCTCACAATTAGCTATAACCAGTCCTGTCGTATGATGGTTATGGTGTTTTTGCTTGGTTTGAGCAATGTTGGGGTTTTACCTTTAAAGTCTATTATAAGTGGCCAATAGCACGTCCAATGAATAAATTATCAAGGATTCAAGCGTACTGTACACGTATGCGATCTCTTCCATTATTGCAAACTTCACACTTAATTGACATTCAACACAGAAACACTCGATATAACAACAATCATGAATCGAGACAAGAGAAGGTCCGCATCTCCACATCGCGACAACCGACCATCGAAAAGACAGAGGAGCTCATCTCCTCCTCCTCCTCGTCGACAAGAAACACGGGAAGACAGAGAGCGAGATCGAGATGCTGTTGGTCGTGACGCCAGTGGAAACTCTTGGGGGAAACAATCGGATCATGGTATGAATGTGTTATATATCGAGTACACGTCGTGTTGCCTTGCTACGAGTACTGTTGGAGAGACATCAACCAACATTTTGACAAACACATAACTCACTTTTCATGCTAAACTAGATACCTCAAGGGATAGAGGCAATGCATCATCATCTACAGTAGCACGTGGAGCTGCTGATCAGCATCCTGTTCGTGGTGTGCATGCTCAACGTGTCGAGTAAGTATCGTGTGTGTCAACCCAGAACCCAAGTGTTCATTACTGTTCGAATGGTTTTTTTCTCGTTGTTTGGTATATACTCATTCCACTACCTTGACAGGTCGCAAGAAGGAAGAGACGGATGGGAAGCCCCACCAACAATCGCAAAGGAAGAACCAAACTATGTACCCTCTGGAAAACTAGCTGCAGACCAAAACACATACAAGGGTGTCGTGCTCAAATACTCGGAGCCTGTTGAAGCCAGGAAATCATCAAAGAAGTGGAGGTTGTATGTGTTTAAGGGCAAGGAACAAGTTGGTATGTTCATTTGCCGAAATTAGACTCCCTTTTTTTCACATTTGGTTTGCCTCGACACAGGACGTGTTGTAGCGGAAAATATGTTCCTGGATACGATTGATAACGTGCTTACCACTTTTCTCCTTTTCTTCCTTTCTAGATTTATTACATGTACATCGCCAAAGTGCTTACCTGATTGGACGAGAACGACTCGTAGCTGATATACCGATAGATCACCCTTCCTGCTCAAAACAACATGCAGTACTACAGTATCGTCAAGTCCAGGAAAAGAATGATTTGGGAGATTCTACTCGTATCACAAAGTAAGATATGCTTGGACGTAACTGCTTTTTTATTTGAGTGTTCCTTCAACAAAAAAATGGTGTCGTTTTGTTTGGTAATGTTTACTAACAAATGCTCTCCTCTGTAGACCATACGTGATTGATTTAGAATCAGCAAACGGCACATTCCTAAATGGTGACAAGATTGATGCATCACGGTATTATGAATTGAAGGCTGGTGATAATATCCGTTTTGGATTTTCGAGTAGAGAGTATGTTATATTGCCGGAAGATGCTGCCTCATGAAACAAATTGGTTGCATTACGAAGGATAGGATCAACTGTTTTGTTATCTATCTATTGTAAATACAGATTGTTGAGCCAAAGACATCGGTGCGTATTGCTTTGTCTGAAATTCTTCTCCAACTCGTCCTCGTAAATCTACCAGAACTCGCGACATTTCATACTCGTATGCTTTGATTGTATTTACTAGGGTTATAACTGATACTTGATACAAGACGTGACTATGTAAAATGCAGTTGAATCTGACATATAAGCTATGGTAGCATCAGATATGCACAAAAATGATTCCTCCACTTGCCCTTCACTTGACGCAAACCTACTACTACAACTTGAATGCCCCACACATACCCCTCTAGCACCTCCTAAACTTTACCAACACCCTCCTTCTTCTTGCTAGCCTCCACGACATACCTAAACTTCCCTTTTCCAGCAGCACCACATCCAGTGACCATGCTCCTGAGCTGCCCATTCAACCAAGTAACAAACGAAGCATTGCAAAACACCACAACATTCATTTCTTCCACACAACCACGTTGCACAACTTCAACAACAAGTTGTTTCAACGCAACGAGATCTTGATGGCCCAATGAAAACATACGACCACCAGATCTGCCCACCACAAATTCGTATTGCAGATGTAGCGTCATGCGTTTCAACTCCTTTGGCAAGCTTTCACGTAAATCATCAAATTGGCGTTGTCGAGACAGATCGCTTTGAACAACGGCGTGTAGACCATGTTCAAGACCTGTTACAGGTGAGAATTTGATTTCGACGATTTGCAAGTTTTGAAAGAAGGGTGTTATATAGAAATCCAAATGGGGGTCGAGGATTACACTCATAGTTTTGATGCACGAGGGTAGTTCTTGGATTTGGATTGGTGGGTGTGTGTACATTGTGGTATCGTCCTCGACTTGGATTATGGCAGGGTTTGTAAAGTGGATTGTGTGGACTTGGGGAGAGTAGCGGACTAGCATTTCGAGGACAGCTAGGTTGTCGTATAGGATGTGGTTTTCTCCAAAGTTGATGTTGAGGGTGTGGACAGAGTCAGGGATGCATGTGAATACGTCGTCACATTCCATCCACCTAAGGCAAGATAGAGGAAGATGTAAGTTGATTGTGCCTCAATCCATAATGTGAAGATGCCCTTTTTTGTCATTCTGTATACTTTACCCTTCACCAACAATATCAAGCACTTCAACCCCACACAAGTTGCCAAACCAATCACCCTCATCAACTTCAATACTCTTGGGCATAGTGACAGATAGACGGCGTATATCCCGTCCATTCATAATCTCTGGAATAGCTGCAATATTGGTTGACGAATAGTTTATATTTACTGCGACGTTATGGAGAGTTCGAGCGATATCTTGCAAGAGTAGCTTTTCGTATTGCATGGATGCTGGAAGGATTTCGAATGGGTAGATGTCTATTGAGTTGATCATGAATCGCGTGTGGGAGAGACCGAGACTGTTGCAGAGCTTCTTTTGGGATTGACGAGTGTCGGACTTTGAGTAGAAGATGTTTAGTGCTCTGTCTCCCATCTAGAAAAGGGGTTGACGGGTTAATTGTCTGAAGGAGAAAAAAACGATAACACAACCGAGAATGCATTTTGTTTCAAATGATTTGAGCTTACTGGCTGTACAGAGATCTCATCTTCTTCTTTTGTAAAGACCAAGTGCTTGGACAACGTAGTGCACAATATGACCTACACACGGTGTGAGTGCTCAGTTCCAAATGTCCTGCTCAGTCGTTCCCAAGACACTGCAGCACTTTCAATGCGACCATTCCATCCCGCTAGCATCCCGACTTACATCAAAAGCACCATACGAGACCTTGACACCCGCAATCTCTGTAATCCAGTCATTCTTATACTCCAACCACATATCATAGACATCGTCATTACAACCCGGGAGCTCGACCATCTTGTTGGTAGCAGCAGCCAAGACGTCCGAGGAAGAAGGATTTCCAATATGTAGATGGACTCGACAAGCGACAGGTAGATCAGATATAATGTCGCGAACTGAGCGAGATAGACGACGAAGGCGGAAACATTCCTTTGGTGGGAGGTAGGAAGCGATGATGGAGACTAGTTCAGGGAGGATGTCTGCAAACGTTTCTGGTGTTGAAAAGGTAATTGGAGGGGTAAGCTTCATGATGATCAAATGTACTGCAGAAAAGATGATGAAATAAATAACACGAGCTAATTGAACTTACTATGGGAGGGCGGCATTTGGTTGTAAGGAGGATTGCTCTTGGGAGGAGAGTAAGCCTTGATAGCTGTCTTGCCTCGACTACTGGCCCTCATCGCTTGAAAATAGAGTGCGAGAAAATAACAGGTGATTATCGGATGTTCCAACATTGGTGAAGACTCTGCGAGGTGGATGAATTTATGGACGTGTCTCTACGCGTTATTTTAAAGAACATAATTGATTGAGTTGATTGAGTACTCGTCTTGGTGTTTCTTTGTCATTGTGAACAGTTTGTATCAATCAAAACATCGTGTTGGAACACAGAACAAAAAACTCACAACTCACATCGCTGCTCCGAACGATTCAACTTCAATTGACTAACCACTCAATTTCAATTTTACAGCTAGGTACAATGGTTGAATGCGAATTCTATTTTGTACCCTTCTTGGAACTCACTCGCTCCAAAGCTCCTCATGTGCTTGTGGACAACACAGAACCCATACATGGCACCTTACTATCACTAAGTCATTCAACACGCAGTGGGTGCCCAGATTATCTGAAAGCTGACTTGTCTACGGAATCAGCATTCAAGTTTATTCAACATCCAACCGCAGTCACTGATTTGGTTGCTAGAGCTGGCACGAGTAAAATACCTGTTTCCAACAATCATTTTGATGGTATGGTTGTGTCTTGAGAAGAACAAAAGTTGCTGTGCTTCATGCTTTGTGTGAGACATCGCTTTTTTTGTTGCTCATAAACAAACCTTCTCTTAGACGATGGAGTACTCTCAATGCTAGTCCTACTCGACCCTCACTTTGCACTACAACGCAAGGAACTCATTATTGATATGGCACGGTGTGGTGACTTCAACAATTACAAAACTTTCGACGATGCGCCGAAATTCGTGGCTATTATACGCAGTTTCTTCAAGTTCCCAGAAAATGCAGAGTCGGATGAAGCCATGCATGCCTGGTTTGACGATTGCTATAAGGAAATACTGCCGCTTGTCAAGGATATGATTGGGAATTTGGACAAGTATAAGACGTATTGGGAGAAGGATGAGAGCTTACGAAAGGTGAGTTGATAATACTTGGACATGTTTTTTACCTTTGACGTTTTAACCTTTACAATGCACTCTCCATAGGAAACTCAAACCATGCTGGCTTCTGGTCGTATAAGGCTGGATCGTCATGAAGACATTGACTTTTGTGTAGTCTCTATACCGGACGATGTAAAGGACTATAGCTTCATTCCGATCACGAATGCCATACCACGTGGTCGTGACTTGTATCGTATACTGGTCTGCCATGGTGAAAAGTACGAGTTGAAATACCGGTATAATACGCGCTTACATGTTGTTACTCCTTTCTCCTTTTTTTCTGCCCTCATGCCTTCACATGAAACTTAGATACGAATCAGTAGTCGACTATCAATCACTCCCAAAGCCATTGCCACGCGTCCCTTTGGATTCTCTAGCAAATCTGCTGAATGATTTGGAGAAATCACGGTCGAATGGCACGTCGTCGTGTCTGTGGGGTGGACATTTTGACGATATTGGACATGGAGCCTTTACAAATAGCTCTGTTACGTGTCTATTACGAGAAAGTATAGTTGCTGTCATAGTCAAATTTTATCGTGAAGCTTTATAATTGATGTAGTATGTTGTTTTACCTGAGATTAAATTTGTTTGTTGTAATGATCTGTGACCTTCGCGTGAATGCTTTATTTGTAAAGTCCCAAATTACACGTAAATGTTGCCTGCATCGCTCCCGAAATGACGTGTGTAAAGCTTGATCACCATGTTTTTTCGCACAGTCTGCGATCAACACTACAAACACACACACATGGAATCGCCGATAGAATGGAAGCAGCACATGGAAGCCGTGCTGCCGAGCTTCTTGAACAGGGAACTGGAAACTAGTAAGCCCCTTCTCCTTCTCTCCTGTTAAAAAAGCTGGATCTTTTTTTTCAGCGAGTTTCAGCTTGCTCACCTGTTTTGTTTCTATTTCCTAGTGCAAGCATGGGTGACTGAAGTTCCTCTCGTTCGAGTCAGCAAGTTCTTAGAGTACGTTATCAACCGATGCAGCTGTTTGAGGCTCTTGGGGTTAGCTTGTTAATCACACATTCTGGCAAATAGTTTGGTCAATCGACAGTTCCCAGGAGGTGACTTCAGAGTCGGGCATCTGAAACGTGTTAGGAGGGCACACGGTGATTCAATTGGTATGTGGATCCTCAATCTGCTTCTTGAGATCTTGGTTGCCAAAAAAAGAGGCATACCACTAGGGTAGATATCATTCCTGATCTTAAAACTCACTATCCATATGATGCTTATAGCTCCAGCCATGGTCCTAATCGCCCCAACTCTGGAAGTTGAAGAACCTGAAATCCTCACCTTCTTACGGAATACATGTGCGCTGGACTCGCAGCCGCGTGTAGTCACTGTGCCGAGACATGCTGCTATTACAAGACAGGAATTGGAACAAGCAATACAGTTTTGGCCCGTTACTTTTCGAGAATTTCCGTAAGTTGTGTTTGTGTTGTTGAAGAGAGACATTTCTTGCTGTTGAGAAAAGAGACATGAACTCATGCTTTGCCTGTATCTTTTCTCTTTTTCGACTCTTGTTCATAGTATGCCTGTGATACAGACTGAAGAGTTTCGAATCATAAGAAAGAGAATGGCTATGGCTATACGGCAGGCTGAATATGGGAGGTCGCATGGGCAGGTAAACCAATCCATCCTTTGCTGTACCTTTTTTTGCCTTTTGTTAATCCCAAACACTCACACATTCCATATTCTCTCTAGCTCGGAATTGGAGCAATAATAGTAGACCCATCAACATCATCAGTCCTCGCAGCTTGTTACGACAAGCGTAAATCACATCCTTTACATCATTGTGCTATGATGGCGATAGCCCAAGTAGCTGAACGAGAAAGAAGGAAGAGAGGCATTGAGCAGATTCCGCAACATCATTATAGTAACAATAGTATGAGCAATGGAAATGGGAATGGCCACTCGCAGTATGCCAATGGCACAGCAAATGGAATGACGAATGGACATGCACACGTGTGTCCGATAAGTGAAGAAGAGATGGGTCGTTTGGGATACTATTGTACTGGATACGAACTTTATATTACGAGAGAGCCTTGTATCATGTAAGTTGGCTTGTGAACTCTGTTGGAAGATGACAAGCTGATGTCGTCGGTTTTTTCTGCATTAGGTGCTCGATGGCTCTTGTACATTCACGCATATCACGAGTATTCTATGGCTTCCCAACACCTGGAGGGGGTCTCGGAACTGAACTACAAGTACATACCCATCCGCTGCTGAATCACAAGTTTACCGTTTTTCGAGGACTTGATCAGGATGAATGTGAAAAGGTATTTGAGGATGGGCGGTACTCTCCTGTGCCAACAGAGAATGGAATTGAGAATGGTCACGTTGTTGTTGGGAATGGGAATGCAAACCATCATGTTGGAAATGGAATTGCCAACATTCATATTGGGAATGGTATGAATGGGAAGTTGGACTCCTGAAACTGGCTGAGCTAGTAATAATAAGGTCTTTAGCGAGTACTGTAGATTTTTTTAGCCAGCTCGCTATTATTTTAGATGTAGCAAAGTGGCTGTTATATTATTTTTGTTTTGCATAACTGAATACACACTGTATTTGCATGTTTGAAACGCGATTGAGTGGACTTTATCGACGTGTGTCGTGAATTCTTCTTTAGCAAAAACCAAACATCATCCAATAATGAGTAGTGGATTTGGTACCAACGGAGGGCGAGGCCGGTGTTTCTCCTTCTTCCAGGAGTTTGCTAAATGCTATGTCGGGGCTATAGACCCAAAGGGCGAATGTCAATGGGCATTTGAAGATTATAGAGAATGTTTATACCATAGAAAAGAGGTATGTAAGGGAATGGGGAGCGTTGTTTGTTAGCTAGACATGAAGCGATGGTGTCATTAAGCTGTACTGCTTTGAGGTTTTTGGCTTGTGCATCGACATTTTTGCAAACACCAAACATTAGAAGATACTGACGTTTTAACATTGAATAGCTACTACGGCTCTCACTCGTACAAGAAGAATACGAAAAGAAACATTCGCCAAAGAAGGATGGTGGGATTCTTGCATCGCTGGGACTGAAAGCATGAAAAACACAGGTCGAATACCAAATTCCAACAACATCATAACATCAGACACGAACACCACCAAAACAACATACCACAATAGTAGTTTCATTTTAAAACTCAATCGCTCAAATTGTAGAATGGGAGCTTTTGGAAGGAAGAAATATAACGATGCCAGCTTTTTATGTCTTACTCAAAGGCTTATGGTACACTATGCAAGTTATCAAGTTTGGATGTGTTGTTTGTGATGGAATTCATAGATGGATTCTCTGAGAGCATATTGATCTCGCACGGGGATACAATATTAACAGAAGGTTAGGATGACAGCTCCAACTGATATTAGATTGAGTCAGGTTAGCATTCGAACGCACGTTAAGGATTTTTGTGGGTAAATTGCCACGACATTTTACCAGCAACCATCGGAGAACAGAGTACTGGTCTCGTCGAAGCCTTCATGTTCGTCCAAGTATCAAGAGCCGAAACAAAAAACAGTCGTTCTTTGGGTATTTGTATGGTAACAAGCCCAGGTCTTCCTGCGATTCTATTCTTCACTCTGCACGGGTGTTTCCCCGTCTCCTTGAACACTGTATCAAGAAGGCAAATCATTTCGACACTCACAGTTCAACCTCAAATTCTGAATATTAAAACCGACAATAGTTGAAAGAATGTTTCAATTTCAGTTTTCAAACCTCTTCAGCACTGCGGTACATCATGCAAAAGAGTGCAGGAATAAGTACAAATGAGACATGTTCTTGGAGTAGGGCGTCTATGAATTTCACCACGCGTAGAGATCTCTCTTACTCACTATCAACCCTCACTTGATCCAGATCAATTCCTCCATTAGGATGCACCGCATACACTACGGACTAGCCCACAGGCAACACCCTAACTGATTCCCCATCTGTCTAGAAGGCTGAAACCTACCGGCAACCCATCCTTGTTTCACCGAATACTGGTCTAATTAGGCTGGGCCGTCGTTCAAAGGCCGCTCAGACGTTCGTCCAACTACATTGGCCAAAAAAACGAATTGTGAAAGATACATCACAACGCAACAGTGTAGATCCGGACATAAACCACAATAGTTCAACGAATGTAGTGATGTCAGTTTATGATTCTTCTCACAAACTATGATACACAATGCAAAAGAGTTTAGCAATAACTTAAAATGGTATGTTGTTGTTGTGATTGGGAGTCTATGAATGTCGGAGAGCATTTAGCTCTCTCACCAGGAGGTAATAGTGTATCAGGAAGGCTATGAGAACGGCGACAACGACTATCAAAATGAACGATATTAGATATGGTTACCAAAGGCTTGTTTTTGCTGGTGAGTTTGGGCACTGCATTTACCAGCAACAATCGGAAGATGAAGACCCTTCCACCAGGTACTGTTCTCGGCAGCTTGAGTCCTCATTCGAAGCCTGCTTTCAAGTTCGTCCAACTATGTACGCAAAAAAAGTCATTATATTAGTAATTCCTTAAACCCAGCTTTGTGTTCTCATACCATCTGTTCACGCAGCACATCCATCCTCTTCCTCTCTTCAAGCGCATCCTTCAACTCTGTAACAGAAGACGAAGCATCTCGAGATTCACGTTCCAGTCTCGATATCTGCACAGTCAAGTCTCGAGCCTTTCGCCTACTCGACTGTAGATTCGAGCTTAGTATAGCGTTACTTTCTTGTAACTGGGTTATACGTTGTTGGATTTCCTTTAATGCGGATTCTCTTTCTGTTGTTTCCTTGATGAGGGTGGATATGTATTGTTCTTGACCGTCACATTCGGATTTATATTCTTCGATTGATTTTTGGAGGGCGGATACGTTGGCGTAGTAACTCATTGTTGATTGCGGTGAGTCGTCGTGTGAGCTGACTATTGCGTGGGAAGAGGCCAAAAGATCAGATGGAATGCAACGATGAATGCCGTCTTTTTCATACACAGAAACAAACGTACAGGTTCTTCATAGGACTCTTTTCGACGTACCTGGAGATTTTAGGGACACTGAGAGTTTACCATCTCGTAGCGCGATTTTAGCAAACTGTTGAATCAGCCCACATATTTCAACTTTTATGGCTTCAGATGAAGCTCTAAACATGAAAATACCCAGAGACGTATTCAGTTGAAACAGACTATCGTCAGATCCTACACAGAGTTGCAAAAAGTGTGAGGTAAAAAAAAAGATACCAAGTCCTGGAATTGCATCAATGGAATTGCATACCCAACAACTTTCCAATATCCAGCGTCAGACAATTCAGCACATCATCTAGCAGCTCCCACTCATCATTCCTCACTCTATCCAGATCAATTCCTCCATCAGGACGCACACTATATACTACACTCGAGTCCACAGGCAGCACTTTAACAGACTCCTGATCGATCGACAACAGCACCTGCCTTGCTGGCTGGAATCTAACAGTCAGCTCATTCAGCAAGAATATCTTAGCAACCGGGAATGTAGATCCGACTGATTTAGGAGTCTTCACGGATGGTGTTGGGAGCGACTTGATCTCCAACGACGATCTTTCAGGTTGGTTGTCCACTACGACCCGTTGTCCAACTTCGATTCTAGGTGGTATGACACGTTGGGATGTGTTGACTGCGGCCAGATCTTGGGATTTACGTACAGAGTCTTGGGATTTACGTACAGAGTCTTTACTAGGTTGTTGTTCAGAGTCGGCAGCAGTGGTTGACTTGTTTGATTTCGTTGGAGAAGCCTGAGGACTAGATGTAAACCTGTCTACGAATCTCGGTGGTGTTGTCATTGGCGATATTAACATTGATTTGGGAGTCAAGTCAGCAATGTTGTTTGCTGGTTTGATGTTTGATGTTTTCGTGTCGTCTGCACTTGACACGAGAGCTGTGACGGCGCCATTTGATTCAGACACGGCCCCTCCATTGACTGTAGCCGAGCTCATTGCCTACTATATAAAAACTAAACACTTCCAATGCACAATTTCCTAGACTATAAATAGCAGAGAGATATGGGCTATGTGCTAGTGACGTTGCTGCTAGTGGCGACATGTGCGGCTGTAATCGGCACCATCAGCTACTTTGGCAATCTCCGTAAAATGTACTGGCATGCTATTATCATTGGGTTTCTTGGCTGGTTTTTTGCATTCTCAATCATTGTCATCCTACCTATCGACTTGGCTTCGGTAAGATTATTTCTATTATATCAGTCTATATAGATCTGGTATTTTCAAAGTTGTGATCCTCGTCTTTGACTGCAAAGTTTCAACATCAAATTCAGTTTGATATCTGTCGAAGGCGGCAACAAAACATAAACTTAAACATTTATTACATTAGACTCTATATCATAATTGTCTTGAAACCGGAACTCGTGTATGCGATCAACCAATGGCCTATGTCGAGCAAGATTTCTTATGGACGTTCTGGGGTATTGTCTATTGGACGATGTTCAATCTGACCTGGTACGGATACTTTGTTTAGTTTTAATAGGAGATATGAAGCACGTTTATAGGTCATGTCATTCACACACTGTTCCTTATACAGGTTTGTGATTCCAATACAACAAACCTGGATTCGAAGTGGTGAATTCACACTTAAAGGCAAACTGAGAGAAGCAATCAAAGAAAATGTCGTCTATTATGCTGCTGTGGGAACCATAGGATTGATATTCTTGGTTTACATTGCCATCGTGAAACAATTCCAAAAGTATGGTTTGCTATGCTGAGACATTTGCCACCCTTGTTTTGCTTTGCATACTCACACTTTGCATTCAACAGGGAAGATCTAATGGCATTCGCAATGGCGGGCGCAAACGCATGGGGTTTATTCCTCATCACAATATTCATGGGTTATGGACTTGTGGAGGTACCAAGAGGATTGTGGTATTCGGCATCAACGAGATGGAAGTTGGCTCATTTGGAATTTGAAGCTCCGAAGATGAAGGAAGCTGTTATGGATGCTGAAGCTGAGGTTTATGACGTTGCCCGTGTAAGGTCCACTATGTCGAGTGGTTCGCTTTTTTTGTTGACACAAAATTACTTCAATAGGAAATCGCAATCATGTCGAAAAAGACACCATATAATCACGAATTGAGGCCGATTGTGGATCGATTGATGGAGAAGGTACTGTCAAGAAAAAGTACAAAGCCTCAATTGCAAAAGCCTCACGATCTTGGTCAAAATAGGCACCACTCGCATTGGAAGAACGAGGAGAACCCGAAGATGGAGAAGCCGCACCTGAAGTGAATGCTTCAAATCTTGCTAATCTCCATGCACGGAATAAGCGTGCCATGAAATTGTTAGAGAGAGCTCAAGCGTACGTAAAGAGCCAGCTCGTTTTTTCGCTGGTTTTGGGCTGATCAGATTCGTTATATGTTGATATTAGGCGCTATGATTTCTTGCTTCGAGATGCTTTTCTGATTCAGGATATTATAGAGCAAGAGGATAGTAGAGAGAGGTATTCTTGCATCTGTACTGTAATGCAATATTTCATTTTTTTCGCCATTACAATGCAATACTAATTCTTCCTTCTCGAACTCTTGTAGGAAATTCGTGTCAATATTTAGACCTGCTAGAGAATCGTGGTATAAGGAGTACAAGCTTCGCCTTGGTATATAGATTGAAGGTGCTTCCATTTTTTCGTCCTCTACTAACCCTCCGTTGTCGCATCTTGTCATAGATTGGGTGTGGCTCATCTGGATAAAACCCATTGTTACGAGAGGATTTGCAGTCATCTGTGCTTTTGCTTCAATCGCCATCATATGGTCAGAATCTACTTTTCAAGTGGAATCACCTAGACTGTCGATACCGGCCTTGTTGCTTTTCAATCCAGACATATCTTATGGTGTCTTGCAGGTAAAACAACAAAAATTGGAGTGAATGAAATGTGCATGAGAGCGTAGTTTTCTGACAAACATCCGCTGTATAGATGGTGTCGATATGTTTCATTCTGTATATGTGCTCTTGTGCATATACCTCATTATTCAAAGTCCAGTATTTTGATTATCTGCTTGTGGCTGAACATCATACAGATGATGGAAGTATTCTTTTCACGGCCGCTTATCTTTGGTGAGTCTGTGCTATTGAAGCAACAGCAATGCAACTGCTAATCCATCAGTTTTTGGCTCCATAGTCGATTGACATTCCCATTGTGCTACAACTTTCTCAAATTGATTGGAGATAACAACAATGCTGTCTTTGTGATGGTAATATGGCGATGCGATGAGCTTTTTTTTGTTGCTACATACACACCACACAAACTCACATATCTCTACTTTAGTTTTTGGGAGAAAGTGCCGAGCTAACTCCACTCCTTGGTGAAGGATACAACACATGGCTACCCGAAGTCATCCTCATATTCTGTGTCGTAACCTTCTTCAATCTCCATGGTCGAATACTCCGCCTCTTTAAAGTAAAAGCCTACTTTTACGAACAAGTCGACGTACACGATGAACGATCCGAAGAAGGACGATCGATTATAGAGCATGCTCGATCAATAGCCGAACGTAAAATACATCAACGAGGACCATATGCCAATGGTAATCCATCGGATCACTCACTAGGATCAGTGGAAGGTGGATTTACGAATTATCGTAGCACTACACGTGGGACAAATAACAATACAAGGGGTGCTGGTGGTGGAACGACAGAAGATTTTGTCGCAAAGTATAAAGCACGACAGGGGAATAGTAGTAATCCTAGTGAGACGTTTTCGTCTGTACGGGCAGGAGGTGGTGATTCATCACGAAGTGGAGGAAATAGTAGATTAGGTGGTGGAGCAGCTTCATCTTTATTAGGTAGTAATGAACGATTACGAGCTGCTAGTGCAGATAATACTCCCAAAGCCACAACAGGATCGGGAGTGCAGCAATCACTGAGCGGATACTTTTCTGGATTGAGTACTCGATTCAATAGTGTTGGTGGTGGTGGTGCAGGTGCTAGCCCGCCACGAGTACCTCAGAATAGTAGCAGTAATACTGGTGGTGGTGCCGGCAAGTTTCAACGGTTGCAAGAAGAGCCAACTGAACCATTGATCAACAAGTCTGCCAAGACCACTGGTAGTATGTTTTCGAGCTTTGTTGGTGGTGCTAGTGGTGGTGGGAATGGCAATGGTGGAAGCAACAACAACAATAACGGTGGTAGCAACAAGTCTTCGCCAAAAAGAAATCGTGACATGTTTGGAGATCTGTGACAAACGCATTGTATTATACGAAATTAGATGTTTTTCCATTGCACTTACTTGTAGTAAAATATATGTGAAGTAACGCGTCCAAACCGCCGCAAAAACAGGACGCTGTCAGCGCTACATGCTTGTCAGCGGAAAGCGCTGAAAAGTTTTTAGACGCACACGATGAGTACACTAGTGCATCAAGTAGGAGCCTGTAGGCGACTAATGCATCTTCCTACAGCACATCGGATGCATCCATCACGATTAGAACGCCATCTAGCATCAGTAGCATCTCCCAGCTCGTCTTCTTCTATAACCAGCAACACTGACCTCCTAACTCCAATCCCATATCAATCACGACTCGAAACCCACTACTACCAGACTATCCTCGAAGATCTCCTAGTCCTTACCTACGACCACTCCTCTCCAGACGCATCGCTCGAGCACTTATCATCAACATCGCCCGAATGGCAAAACAATCCATCATCACCAACCCCATTTATCGATTTATATAGCACGCCAAGGACAAAGCTGCCATCGTATAACGGCGGTATATCAGCTGTCACGTCGTTGATATCGAAAGAAGCGGTTGAGGTGGATTATTTTAGGGTGCCCAAACCGAAATATGGGAAATTGTATTTAAATCCGATTGACTATACGCCTGTAAAGATGGACGTGTTGAAGGCTAGGCCGCCGATACCGCCACCACCGCCGTATGCACCGGTGCCGAGCAGGATTGTGAATTTGAAGACGGTGTCGTTGAGGGTTTGGTCTAAAGAGGCTGCTTCAAACAAGTAAGGGCAAAACAAGCAGTTACACGCTGGGCAGCATTGCCATTCACATTCTCATCCACGCTCACTCTACGTAGGAATGTAATCCTATCCTGCATAATGACACTACAAGCAATAACAGGCGTCCGTGCAGAGCCGCTCTTCGCAACACAAGCCGATGTATCAAAACAAATCCGCTCAGGCATGGCTCTCGGAGCATACTGCACACTCTCTGGGCCACCAGCATTCGCCTTCCTCGATAAACTGATTACATGCGTGCTACCTCGCATGAATGACTGGGAAGGTATAAACCCAGTCGGGAACGGTAAAGGAGGAATCACATTTAAATTATCGGGACAGGCTGTTGGATTGTTTCCTGATATTGAGCCACATTTTGATTCATTCCCGAGATTGAATGATTTGGACGTGCTGATGGAGACGTCGGGGAGGACCGATGATGAAGCGGTGTTGCTATTGAGTGGGTACCAGATGCCATTTTTGGCGGTGAAGGAAGAGGTTGTTAAGAGTGCTGAGACTGGTGGGGCGTTTGATCCGTGGGCGCAATTCAGGTTCGTTGTTGTGACATTGCTCTATGTCTACATGGTTTTGTTTTTGCTTTGTGCAAGATGCAAGCGATGCAAGAAATCAATAGTGTGCAAGCGATGCAAGAAATCAATAGTGTCATGTAACGTTAACTCACCACCATCTTTATAACTATTTAGGACGAGACGAGAACGAGATACAGGCGAGTCTATGAGAAAAACCCCCGCTCCGAGTTTCTTTATCAATGTTTTTGTATTCCAACTAACATTCGTCATCCAAATCTTGCAGGAGTCATCAACAACAAGGCCGGGGGTGGAAGAGGAGCGAAACCAACAATGGCTAGCAAGAAAAAACGATAGAATGGATCCATTCTGTGCAGATTTTAGTAGGAGAAAGGCATTTGTGGGAGTCACAATCACTGTACTGTATTATATTCAAAAATGCAATCACACACACAGTAATATGATCACATAATGCTACTTGTTTGAGAACTGCGACGGTTGAAAGCCTCAATACACGACCTTCTCAGTTTTCGAAGATCACAATTACGCATCGAATAAAGCACCCTTGGCACTAGAAGTGTAGAATCGCGTATCCATGGCTGGTAGAGTCGAAAGAAATCCAAACCAGAAGAAGCTCTTGCTGAACGTCCTCAACGAAAGACGAAAGAACGTTGGCACTCACGTTCTTGGAGATGTCGATGTGGACGATTCAGCTTCGTTTTCATCAAAAGAAAATGAATCTATTCCACAATTAGTAAGTGGTGCTTTTTTTTAACAGGTTTATTATAACCGCTGGATAACTCCATCAGGAGAAACCGTGGGACAGATTTAAAGTATACGAATTACAGCTATGATGTTATCAATTAGGCATTTAAACGTAGTAATACACGTCCTTCGACGTGATAAAGCGCGACTATGTGATGCTTGTTAGGTCGATGGACCACTGCAAAGATCCGTCCGTCAGTCGAAACAGTCCTTGCCAGTGTGGTACAGAGTTGATGATGAGGTGTTTTGCTGATAACATGCGCGTGAAGAGGCGAGATGAAAAAAGGCTCCAGAGTTGTTCAGCTGTGATGTCTTGATTTCGGCAATCTCTAATCATTTGCATAGCCGTGCTGATC